AGCATCACTGTCTTTTGACATAGATCTGTATATTACACAGTCGTTGTCATGGTTTCTTACCTCTCATGAGCTTCGGCCTTGTACCGAAAGCCGAGTCGATCAGGTGTCCTGGTACCAGAGGGCGTGAGGCATTCCGACAGAGGAGCAGGAGGCAACACCAGTGGGGTTCAAGGTTGCCTTTCCTGATATTGATCCGCTCGGTAATCTCATCCGAGAGGGCCCGGCCGAAGTCCTGGTAACGAGCCGAGCACACTCAAAGGCTTCATCGGCTGCATTCGGTAGTTCGGTGGTATTATGATGTAATATGGTGTAATATTAAAGCCCTAAACAAATTGAGCTTCAAAATGTTCAGGAAGTGCCTCAAAAAAGTAAGAATATTTTTTAGTGACCGGTTTTTACCATACTCATTTCCCCTATTGACTGTAGTGTTATAAAAAACGTTGTGAAAACGATTTTTGAAATTTTGAATTCCAATCATAAATATCTTAATAATGAGACGGCCGATCGGCTTATGAACGTAATGGGATTCCTGACTGACCTAAAGGCTTATAATTATGATTGCAGCATGAGCTAAATCCAGGATTTTGTTTAGAATCTGAGAAAAAAATACACAGTAATGATAATATGAATATGCTGTTATCATCTTTACAATGCAATTGCTCAATTATAGGAATTACACAAACATGGAACCAACTTCACGAACTCAATGAACCATCCAACACTTCTATTTTTTCTCAAACCGACGGATTACATTGAAATTCATATAGTTAGATCGCTAAAAAAACAGTCACTCTTCTAGGCATGATGAAATCAGTATATTCTTATTGAAAAAGATCATTGGTTCAATTCTAACGCCTCTTGTACACATTTGCAACCTCTCTGTGTTTCCTTCTTGTTTCAAACTTGCAAGGATGATTCCTGTTCATACAAAAGATGACGTGATGGTCGTTTCTAACTTTTTCTAATTACATTGTGAGTCAAAAGAAAGTTTACAACTAGAAAATTGCTAAATATTAAAAAAACAAAACACCTATGAACAGTAAATTATTATACATATCATGAAAGAATGTTTCATCCTAAAACATTTGGTATAATTTTTGGTGGTATGTGGTCACGCTTGGATGAACAGGAGACATTGTTTAAGAGAGTGCAAAATTCGACTTGCGCCAAAGTGATGCCTATGTGATGTTTGAATAAAACAATTGGGATTTGGGTATTAATTCGGTCTTTACAGATCCTAATAACCTACCTAACGAAATTAATCATGCCACACATTTCAAAACACACACAGAGTCATAGTCGGTCAGTCACACACACACACACACACACACACATTTTTTTTGGACTCACACGGTATAGGCTGATCTCAATACTGTCTACCTTTTCTAAAGTTTTAGAACGAAATGTTTAAAACATGCTCTACCTTTTTTTTATTGATAAAAGTGAATCAGTAAATCCTGATCAGTTTGGATTTTCAGCGGTCTCATTCTACAGATCTTGCGCTACTGAAATTTTATGACCGCGTTTCAAGTGCACTCGCTGCTCACGAGCATGTCATTGGTGTATTTATGGATCTGAGTAAAGCATTTAACACACTTGACCATTCAATTCTTCTTTCTAAGCTAGAGCACGAGAATAAGGTCTATAGTTTTACAATAGTTTGCGAGTTAATTATTTATAATAATAACCATGTATATATAATCAATAAATCCTCTGATGAGCCAAAGAGGAAAACAAATCTATGATAATACAATACACTTATATATTTCGGTTAACTCTGACATTCTATATCTTTATTCCGCAGGGATCCATCCTGGGCCAATTATTATTTCTCTTATTTATATCAATGATATTTGTAATGTATCTTAAACTTTAAATTATTTCCTTATTTGCAGATGATACGAGTATCATCATGAAATGAACAGAAACTAAATTCGGAACTGCCAAAGTTGAATTTATGTCTTAGAAGTAATTTGATCTCTCTCAGTATGCTTAAAACAAATTATATTAATTTTAGAGGTAGAAAATCTAATGACAGCCTTGCTCTTAACATTAAACTGGATGATATTTTGATAGAGAGAAAGACGTGTTTAAATCAATAAAAACCCTGACTGAAGCAACCATGTAAAACACATTGTTACACCAATCTCCAGAAGTACTGTATATAATAAAATATTTTGTTTCTGATAGAATATTACTTATGCTAATATAATATACTAATGTATGTGTGTCTTGTTCTCCTTCTTGCTCACTGCTTTGTGAATTAAGAAAACGAAATTAAGTTATGTATTTGTATGGAATTATTCACATTGATCTTTTTATGTAATGATTCATTTTGAATGAAATCTTTAGTAAACATTTTGGAAAAAGAACAAGAGTATTTGTGTGAGACACGGAAGTTTTCATTTTGGTTGGCACCCCTATTCACGGTTGAAGCAGGGAGAAATATACTCGTGACGGGTTTTTATACAATCAGCTGTGTTAAACGCAGCAATAGGTGACGCACAAGCATATTGTATAAGTCTTTGCTATCATGTTATTATAAATTAAGTAATGATAATGATAATAAACTAATAACAATGACATATAATCAGAATAAAAAAAATAAAAAATTGTATCGATCCAATGCCTTTGTGTGCATCAGTCATTACTCATGCGAGGACAACAGAGAATAATAAACCAACTAATTGTTCTTAATGCAATGAATATATCATGTTTTAATGAAAGAGTACGTAAATACAGAATAGGAAGGTTTGCAAAGTTACATAAGCATGACCGTTTGAAATAACCCTGTATGTATTTTGAATTAATTGTAGATTAATTAGTATATATTAATTAAAGTTATTGAATATATTATTATTATTATTATCTAAGTACAACTTTGTAAAGCGCTTAGAAACATTGTAATAAGCGCTATAGAAATATAATGTATTATTATTATTATTATTACAAATACAAAGTAAAGAAAGATATCATCTATATAGCAAAAATATCGCCTTTATTAAACAGTGTTTATTAAATTGTATTTAAGATAAATGTTAAAAAAAGAAAAGAAATGGAGAAAGAAAGAGGGAGAGAGAGAGAACTAGAAATATTCGGGGGAGCTTTTGGGGAGCTTGTTAGCACTTTTTGAAACATGTGCCCCCCTCCCAGATGGATTGAGAATCCTGAATCGTTGATCTTTTCTTTCTCACTCTCTCGTTCAGATATGACTTGGTAAACCATAGCAAAAATAACAAATATTGCTGCGCGTTATTACTGAGCTTATGAAGATGATTTCTCTTCAAAAGAATTAAAGAGATAGTTGAGTTCTTTTTTTCAGATCGCAAATGCCTTCATAGTACTCGGTTATTGCTTTTATTCTTATCTATGACATTTCTAGTGCCCTTTTAGAACCTAAAATTGCTATGAAGGTAATTTTAGACCCCAAAAGTGTGAAATTTAGCCAGACGATCATACCAATTCAGCTCCACGTTAAAACAAATACGGTGACCGTTAATTAATTATTTAATTAAAAATAACAATACATAGACCGGCTGGTTGTGCGTAATATCACCAACACGAAAATGCCAACAAAAAAGCAAACATCGGCATTGGCTGAAATAGGACGTAAAAGGCGCTATTTCGTTTTTTCAAGGACTTTTTCAAATTATCTAATATTGGTGGTGGTACACAAGTATTAGAAATCGTTATATTTATGGATATTTCAGCCGTGTCTGAACCGATTTTGATCAAACAAAAATGATTTCGTCATTTAAATTGTATGTTCTTTCAAATTTGACACTCAGTTTTGCATTATCTCAAAAAAAAAATTGTATAGCACCCTCTGCAACGAAACTCAACTATCCCTTTAAGGTAAAGTAGTTAGCACAGTGGTTAGAAACCTAGGGTTAGTAAAATGTAGGCAATCCGTCATTTTGGGGGGTATAGACTAGGGGACGGCCCTGGAATCCAACTTTTATCAAAATGTGTTAAAGGTAAAGACCAGTTATGGTTATGCGATTGCATTGTGAAAGAAACGTTGTGAAATCGATCAGAAAATGTTGATCATCTAGCATCTAGCATCTGCAAGGTTCTGGAATCATCAAAATGATAAGAAATTTGGCCCATTCTTCGTAAAGTTACAAGCACTATACACAGAAAGGTGTATATGGGACTCCACTATATCTCTCACGGACCATGAGAGAAACAAATTTACCAAATATATGAATTAGTAGGCGGTTTCCCGGCAAATTTTTTATCATCATGTATTAGTCAAAACATATTCTTTCACATGATTGGTAATGAGAGCTTCCATTTCATTTTTTGAAATTGGGGCGTTTCCAATACTGGTCTTTACCTTTAAGTCATTACGCGTTGGTATCACTTCTTATTGACATCGTGTGTGGCACATGATAGTTCGAAATTTCGCGTTAAATGGGTAGTCGGCGGGAATGTTTGCGGATTTGAAAAGAGGGATTTCTTTTTTTAAGAGCATGACATTTGATGTTAAAGATGAAGTTGAGTTCTGGTCATGCGATTGCATTGTGAAAGAAACAGTGTGGAACCGACCAGAAAAGGTTGATCATCTAGCATATAAGAATTTGTGTGTATTGCAAGGTTCTGGAGTCATCAAAATGATAAAAAAATTTGGTCAAGTCTTGGTAAAGTTACAAACACTTGCACAGAAAGATGTATATGGGACTACACGAACACGTGGCGTAAAAAGCCGGCCCCCGATTTTTACGATGTTACATGCATATTTAGAATATGAAGGCATTTGAAGAGCCATGCTTTTCAGGGAACATGTCTTAACTGATGTTCTTCCACACTTGCATAATAAGAATTAGTAATGCTCACAAATTATTTTTCACCTCTTCCCAGAACTCAACCTTCTCTTTAAGGGGTGATATTTAATCACAAACATGTGAACGCGTATATTTATTTTTTCTTCTCGAAAACAGGCTAAAGGGGGCTACTCTTTGTGTTTGTGTACTCGATATTAAAGCTAAACATATGGATTTTATCTAGAGCCTAATCTTTGTACCTGCTCTTGTGCAAAAGGGATCATGTTTTCTTTATTTGTGGGGAAAATGTTCTTGAAAGTATGCACAAAATAGGGTCCTTTTCGAATCCGCTGTAACGATCACGCGTCACACCTATTAATATGAAGTGACATCACCCAACCGTGAATGAATAAACGGCTGAGCGAACGTGCAGAAAAAAGCCTCTATATATCTTAGCTCCCAGTCCGCCCCAAGTTCAGTGTGTCCGCTGTCTTATATCATCTATTTGTCCTCTAGTTTTGCCAGGAAATCAGATAGAGCCAGGAGGACATTTTTCTACTTCAAGTCAGCATCCTTTTTGGCATTGGATCGTTCTTCAGCGGCCACCTGTTTGTAAGAAAATAAAACACGATGATAATGATGATGATGATTATGATGATGATGATACTCCTGCTCTCAGCGTGAGCAAATCACACTGAGCGGTCGCGCTTCTACATCTCTGTAGGGTCTTTCACACTGTCCAAGCTCACTCCGCGAACTCACAAGCAGTCGAGTATGACACATAACCATATGAAGAAATTAATGGATTACTAACATGACTTGTAAAATGTGACCAAGTTATTAACAAAACGGTCAAATTCAAAATGCTGCAATCAATCATTCATTTTGTCTATTTATCATCTTCTCTGACCTGCTAGAGGATAACCTGATAGTACTTGCGATTCCACGTTGGACAAATCGGAATCAGTGTAAATATGTAAACACCAAGAAGAAGTTAGCGTTTAGGATCTATGCAGCTGTACTGTAAGTGGAACTGAGGGATAGGATGGAACCAATGGTCCAGGTCTATCCAGGGACATGGGTTGACGTCAGACAGACAATTAAGTCATTGTCAGGATACTCAAGAAGCAAGAGATACCCACATTAAAGACAAAGCTTAGGATTGACTTTCATCATTGAGTTGTATTAATATTGGGTTTAAGATTCATATGTTTGTAATTCATTTATAAGTTCTTTTGTAACACTCATCTGTATGAGTTGGTCTTCCGTTTGCAAGGTTAACAAAGTCTTAGTGGCAGTACCAACAATAGCAAAAGATCACAGCTTTGTGACAGTATTTATCTTCTTCATATACTTCTTCGATGGCATCGAATGCAAAGGTTAAAGAGTCGCTTAAAAATGGGTGAGGGTTGGGAATAGTTCACCATGTTCATAGGGTGATATGTTATACACGACCGCTCGGGAGATCACACTTGTACTACTACTACTACAGTGGTGGATCCAGGAATTTCTTACCGGGGGGGGGGGGCGCACAAAATCGCTAGGGGTGAAATATATGAAAAACTATGGAGCGAAGCTTATTCCTTATGTTTTCTCTTGTTTTGATAATTTCTTATGTATTTCAATGTTTTTTTAACTTATGTATTTTATTGTTTTTGTTGTTTTATTTCATTTCTTATTACAATTCAACTATTTTGACTTCCAAAACAACCACCTAAACTTTAAACAAGACCTAATAACCGATGACATTTCCATATGTTTTGTACACAAATCACAAAAATGAGCGATTTTCGGGCTGACATGCAAAGACGAAAGGTCACTTGACCTTGTAACTGTAGGTCCGTTTTTTTTTTTAAAGATGCGAAAAACTCGAGGAAAAGAAAGTCAGCCAGCGGGACGCCATCCATATGCGTTCCCGAACAATCGGAAAAATCGTGGAGGGGGGGGGGGGGCATAATGGCCCCCGGCCTTATTAGTGTTAAACAAGGGATGCAAATGAAGTCAAGATTGTAATCATCATAGTGCAGTAACTATCATAAATTTAGCTTGTAATAGGCATTTGCTTCAATTTGAGTTGGTATAAACACCTTTTCTTTGCAACTGCTTTATAGTCAGTGACTATCAATGCAAATAAAGTGAGCAATTGTTTTGAAATGAGATAACAGACACATAATGGCTTTTGACCCACATTAATTGCTTCAGCCCAAACTTTGTACAAGAGGATTTTGACAATACTTTTTAAAAAGCCTGTTGCTCAGTCATCCGTGGCACCACACTTATGAATATGGTGTCATTATACTTGGTATTAATTACCCTTTACCATTAAATATGATTTAAAGTCACATAGGTTACAACTTTTTAGTTAGAAGCTACCAAAGTTGGGAACACGTTTTCGATACGTACTGTGTATGTATATATGTACGCACACATGGTGCATTTACTACATGTAGTTGAAAGCAATAAATCATTTTAAAATCCATTCTTATCTGTCTTTGAAGATGATCCTTACCTGTTATTCTTTTTTCTGATATTACTCCACATCCTCCATGCTCCTGTCAGCTGATACAATATTTACGGTAAAGGGGAGATACAAAACAAAACATTTTCAATTCATTCTTGTTGCATTAATTGTATTTAAAACAAAGATACTATTCTTTCATTGAATATGCATAACGCCGGGGTCTGCATGAGAACTACACATGTACTTTCCGTCAATAGTAATTGGATAATCATTTTTTGTTTTACCTCAGTCTTTTTTTTAAATCATTAAACTCTACATACCCTTTATCAATAATTGCACTTATACATATATTTATTAAATGTCTAACCAGGTAATCTCAGCTCTGAATGACAATGAAAATACTACTACAATTGAATTTAAAATCACATGATCGTTTAAAAAAAAAAAAAAAAAAAAAAAAGATATTATTGAAATATTGCCAAAAAACACAAATACGAATGTATTTCGAATATTCATCCGAAAACATAGTTGTCAATTGTGTTAGTTAAAATATGCTTTATAATTCATAATACTTTTGTTTTCATGAAAGGCAGCTATCAGAAAAAATATATAACGGCTGTATTTTTAAAGTATTTGTTGAATAATAAGTAGCTACAATGGCGAAAAGTCTTAATCATTTTTGATTGAGTGCATTAATCTTTGCATTTATTTGTTCGGGAGGGGCGACCAATTTGGTCGAATGATCAGTTCGTGCATTGCGGCTTATTTCGTTCCGACTAGTATTCGATTCGGGTCGGGTTGTTGGGTGTTGTCATCACCCAAGCTTTATACCAACTGCCCCAAGACGTTCACAGCATTCAGGAAATAATTCCCCATAAGGTACCCTTTTACTACTCCTGGGTGGAAGGTGGCAAATTTACATTAATGTCAGGCCAAAAGACATTAGCGCCGCGAGAGGACTCGAACCGCGAACCATGCGATCCACGAGATATCCTCTAGACCGTGACATTTCTACCTATGTATAAACCTTTATGCCTTAGCACGAGTAAATACTAGTAAAAGCAAAAAGAGTTTACTGCTGTCCCGTACGATACCGCAGAGTGATGATGACTACAATGGGGAAATGTGTTGAACAAGAATAATATATACAAATATATACTGAATATACATACATATACAGTTATGAAAGGTGTTGTGTTGGGGTGTAAATATTAATAATTTACGTTATGCTGATGACACTGTACTTTGCGCAGAGAATGAAGCAGATTTACAACATGTATTGGATATTGAAAAAGTCAAAAGTGAAGAGTTTGGTCGAAGCATGAATGTCAATAAAACTAAGTCAATGATTTTTAGTAGAACAGAGAATAAGCCTAGAATATGTTTGAAACTCGATGGACATATCATTGAGCAAGTCAGTAATTACATCTACTTAGGACAAAATATCACAGATGATGCCAGATGCGAAGCAGAAATAAAAAGAAGAATAGAAATTGCCAGGAATACATTTCTGGCAATGAATGGATTATTCACAAATAGAAAGGTCACATTTGCGCTTAGGTTGAGACTAGTTGAGACTAGAATTGTTATGTATGGTCTTTCCTATTGTATGGATCAGAAACATGGACAATAGACAAGGCCATGGAAAATAGAATAACATCTTTTGAAATGTGGATCTACAGAAGAATGATGAAAATATCCTGGAAACGAAGGAAAACCAACAAAGAGATATTGCACATGGCAGTAGTAGGATTAATTAGAAGGAAGAGTGGAAGGAAGTCGACCTAGAGGGAGACCCAGAATCGACTGGGAAGAGAATGTCAAGAACTGGAGTGGACTAAAACTGCAAGAGTCCACCAGAATGGCAGAAGATAGAGTGAAATGGAGAGATGTTGCAATCAACGTCCGAACCGGGAGAAGATACTTAGATAGATAGATAGATATACATCGGACCACACTACTCCCATCGTTCATAAGGTGGGTTGATTGTACGACCCATTTTCGGCAACAATTTTTCCATGGTCCATATACTGCACTAACCGGATTTCTAACTTCGTATCAGGACCAAACATAAAAAGTTAACCCTATAAGTCTAAGCTTATCCATACAACCCTATCGCACGCCCTAAGTTAATCCTATATCTAGCTGGTCGCGGTTCTAGAAGATTTCATTCTGTTCATTTTTTGGATGAAGTCAGGCCTTTGTGGCCTTTAGGGTCTCTAACATTGACTGTCTGCATGCCCTTTGATTGAATTTATTTAAACCGATTTGTTTTGGGGTGGGCGAGGTCGAGTGCTTAAAGATTTGTAATTATTTATTTGTATTTGTTTAGAAGCAGGTGATTTGAGCCGCCTTTAACCCCCCCCCCCCATTATAATCGCTGCTGCTGTGATGACGAAACCAATCATGGAAGAATAGGTATCGGAGCAGGAGTACAAGACAGATTTTGTTTGGACATTTACGTGATTTACCTAATTGACATATGACTCCAGCATCATCAGAGTGAAGGCAATTGTGGAAACCGATTGCGTTCTTCACGCAGTCGTTGATTGAAGTTTCGTCGCCTACACATCTTACATTGTCCAGAAAGATGGGTCCTGAGCCTTCACCAAAAGTCCGGGCCCGCATCGTGAAGCCAGAAGCTCCAGGAAAGCCCAACTGCCTGCACACTACATCCGCGTCGTCCAGCCCCCAAAGATCGGAGCATACTGTTCCCCATTGCCCATTTAAATATACCTCGACTCGACCTTGATTGGCGGAGCTACCTGTTCCGGCAAGTCGCATCTCTAAAAGGGATATTTGCATTGAATATATGAAAAGAAATATTTCTTCAATGGTCATTAAAAATGGTTAATAATTGGGCTTAATAATAATGCCACGTACCACGACGACGTATCGCCACATAACACCACGTAAAACCAGGTATAGCCACTTAACGACACGTAACAACACGTAACATACGTTCTTTCAACGTATTGTCACGTACTGGTATCATTATTTTATTAGCTGGATAACATGAACTTCGTGTTTCTTATACTAATACCGTATGAATAAATGACAAGTGCGTGCAACAAATGTCCTATGAGCATCCATAAAGCTTTGTGTTACAGTATATAGAAATATGAAGCATATTAAGCCTACATTTACGTCATCATTGTTTTTTTTTTAAATAAATAAAACCGCCTTGGTTTACCGCCTCAAATATGAACGAGGTTTTATGGCTATGTTTTATGTGGAAATGTAACTACACCGTTAACACATTGATAAACATTCCACAACTTCAAAACCTCTCATTTTCGGTGTATAGTTATTGCTCTTATTCTTATTTATGACATTTCTAGTGCCCTTTTAGAACCTAAACATTGCTATGCAGGTAATTTTAGACCCCAAAATGTGTGAATTTAGATTAAATACAATCATACCAATTCAGCTCCACTTAACAAAAAATGCGGTGACAATTAATTAGTTAATTAATTAATAATAACAATACACGGGCCGGCTGGGTATGCGTTTTATAACCAACACGAAAAAGCCAACAAAAAGCCAATGTTGGCATTGGCTGTTGGAATAAAACGTATAAGGCGCTATCTCGTTTTTCAACGGCTGGTTCAAAATTACCGAATGTTTGTTGGGTACCACAAATATCAGAAATGGTTATTTTTACCGATTTTGATCAAACAAAGATGATTTCGTAATTTAAAATGTATATTCTTTCCATTTTGACACTTATTTTTTCATTATATCACAAACAAATTATTTTGTGTAGCGCCCTCGTCAACAATTTTTTTGTGTGTAGCGCCCTCTTCAACAAAACTTAACTATTCCTTTAAACAGGAGAAAGAATGTACTGCATTTGTCATACAGGAGTGACAACAGTGGAAGGGATGAACAAAAAATCGGATAAGAAAAGAGCGAAAGGGAAAATGATGAACGGGAAAAGACGAGCAACTGAATTTTAGAGCTTGTGCCCACCACTCCCCCTGCCAGAGAACCCCAGATTCGCCGCTGATATATTTAAATTGAACACTTCATGTGAAGTTCATTCTCACTGGCTGATTGTCAGAAGAGGAAAAGAAAGACCCATTTTGTTCAACACCCTACCTGTTATTTCCCCTAAGAATATATGGACAGAAAAGGATTATTGAATTTTCATTAATTGGTTTTTGGACTTGAGAGTCCCTCAAAGAAAAAGGCTATTAACATCACATCGCATTACATTATTTTCTTCGTCTTTCAGCAAATAACGTGAGCGTCTTTTACTTTTTATAATATTAAGTACGTAAAATAAAATATTCTCACCTGCACCACAAGAACTCCCTGTGGAATGTGAAAATGAAGAAGAAAACAAAAAGATTTATGAAAAATTAATTTTATCGGTGATTATAATTTTGCATATTTACAATTTAGCAAGTCGGTGTGATCCCTTAAAAATGTTTAAATACTAAGTGAAAAATGAAAACTTAAATCCTGCTTACCAAGGGAAGCCTCATCATCATCATCAATGCTGTACTTTCTGATGGCCCCGAAGTAACTACCCCAGTAATTGCCAGGTACCAATTTACACCTGGCTGGAGATAAGTGTCCTGCCAGAGGACGTTAGTGCCAGACTAGGCTTCGAACCCTCAACCCTAGGATTACGAGTTACGTGAATGAACCACTTTACCATGAAACCACGGAAACCGAAACCAGTTCTTTCCATAATGTCTCTAGTATATGCATTACATGAAATTTGTACCTTCATTCTTATTACCCACACATATATCTTGAGGGATAAATTAACGTGAGCAAAACAATTTTTCATGTTTGAATGCACAATGGACCAATAGCCAAAAAATGGATGCATTAATTAATTTGTAGGTTTGTTTGGTGGTTTGTACTATCTGACTGCTAAGGAAGCATGTGTGTGCTTGTAAGTAAGCAACCCGGGGACCGACGGCTTTAAGTCCTCTCCGAGGGAGGTTCATGGCGCCTATATACAAAGTATTATCATCGCCGTAGCTTTAAACCAACTGCCCTAAGGCGTGGAAGGTGACAAATTGAGATTAATGTCAGGCCAAAAGACATTGGCGCCGCGACAGGAGGCGAACCGCGAACCATGCGATCCACGATTCGGTGAGATATCCTCTAGACCACGACATTTCTACGTATGCATATAACCCACTGCCTTAGCATAAGTTACTATTAGTAAAATCAGCAAACTTTGAATGAGTTTGCTGCTATCCCTTAGGATACCGCAGGGTTGAGAAGACTTCCATGGGAAAATGTGTTGAAAAAGAATAATATATACACATCTTTATGAGATATAATATATATATATATATATATATATACCACACTTCTTCTATCGCTCATTAGGTTCGCATTGAAGGACCCATGCTAGGCGACAATTGCTCCGTGATCCATATCCTGCACTAACCAAATTTCTAACTTCAAATCCGGACAAAACAAAAAAGTTAACCCTATGAGTCTAAACTTATTCATAAAACCCTAACTCGAATCCTATATCTAGTTGGGCGTGGTTCTGGAAGATCGAGTTATGTTATTTTTTTGGGACGGGGTGAGGCCTTGGTGTTATATGGGCTCTTACATTGATTGTGTGCACGTCCTTTGCTTGTTATAATCGATTTGTTTTGGGGTGGGCGAGGTCGAGTGCTTGAAGATGTGTATTTATTTATTTTTATTTGTATAGCGGCAGGGGATTTGAGCCCCCTTAAATCCCCCCATTATAATCGCTACTGCCCTGATTACGAAACCAAGCACGGAAAAGTATTTTTCGGAGCAGGAGCAAAAGTCGGAGTCTGTTTAGAGATTTAGCTGATTTACCCTGAGCAACGCGACATATCACTCCAGCATCATCAGAGTGCTGGCAATTGTGGGCACCGATTCTGTTCTTTGGGCAGTCCATGATTGAAGTTTCGTCGCCTACACATTTCATATTGTCCAGAAAGATGGGTCCTGAGCCTTCGCCGAAAATCATGGCCCCTCTCGTGAAGCCAGAAGCTCCAGGGAAGCCCAATTGCCTGCACACTACGTTAGCTTCCCTCTGCTCCCAAAGATCGTCGCATACTGTTCCCCATTGACCATTGGCAAACACCTCAACTCGACCTTGATTGGCGGAGCTACCTGATCCGGCAAGTCGCACCTCTGCAAGGGATAATTGCATTGAATATATTAATGAAATGATTCTGCAATGGTCATTACAATTGGTTAATAATTGGGCTTATAATAATGCCACGTACTGGAACGTACTGGTATCTATATTTTATTAGCTGGATAACATAAACTTCGTGTTTTTTTTTTATAATAACATATGAATAAATGACAAGTGCGTGCAACAAATGTCCTATGAGCATCTACAAAGCTTTAATACGGTGTCACAACATATATAAATATGAAGCATATTAAGCCTACGTTTACGTCATCATTGTTTTTTTAAACGAATAAAACCGCCTTGGTTTACCGCCTCGAATATGAACGAGGTTTTATGGCTATTTTTTATGTGGAAATGTAACTGCACCGTTAACACATTGATAAACATTCCACAACTTCTAAACCTCTCATTTTCGGTGTATAGTTTTGCTTAAAAGGATAGTTGAGTTCTTGTTCAAGACCGCAAATGCCTTTAATGTGCATGGCTATTGCTTTTATTCTTATTTATGATATTTCTAGTGCCCTTTTAGAACCTTAAATCGCTATGAAGTTAATTTTAGACCCCGAAATGTGGGAATTTAGATTAAATACGATCACACCAATTTAGTGCCAGGTTAATGGTTATATTTACTGATTTTGATCAAACAAAGTTGATTTTGTATTTTAAATTGTATATTCTTTCAAATTTGACACTTAGTTTTTCATTATCTCACAAACAGATTATTTTGTTTAGCGCCCTCCACAACAGGACTCAACTATTCCTTTAAACAGGAGAAAGCATGTACTGCATTTGTCATTCAGGAGTGACAACAGTGGAACAACTACAGTGGGTACGCCCCCTCTCTCCCCGTCGTCTTGGGATTCGCCGCTGATATATATGTATAAATTGAACACTTCACGTGGAGTTCATTTTCACTGGATGATTGTCAGAGGAGAAGAGGAAAGACCCATTTTGTTCAACCCCCTCCCCGGTATTTCCCCTGAGAATGTTTAGACAGAGAAGGATTATTGAATTTCCATTCATTGATTTACCCTGATTAACGTGACATATCACTCCAGCATCATCAGAGTGCTGGCAATTGTGGACACCGATTGCGTTCTTTGGGCAGTCCATGATTGAAGTTTCGTTGCCTACACATCTCATATCGTCCAGGAGGATGGGTCCTGAGCCGGCGCCGAAGATCATGGCATGTATCGTGTAGCTAGAAGCCCCAGGGAAGCCCAACTGCCTGCACACTACATCCGCGTCGTCCAGCCCCCAAAGATCGTCGCATACTGTTCCCCATTGCCCATTGGCATACACCTCAACTCGACCTTGATTGGCGGAGTTACCTGATCCGGCAAGTCGCACCTCTGAAAGGGATAATTGCATTGAATATATGAAATGAAATGATTCTGCAATGGTCATTACAATTGGTTAATAATTGGGCTTATAATAATGCCACGTACCACGATCACGTATCGCCACAAAACACCACGTAAAACAGGTATCGCCACTTAACGTCACGTAAGGCCATGTAACACAATGTATCACCATGTAACAACGATAACCACGTAACGACACGTAACAACACGTAACACAATTTCTTTCAACGTATTGTCACGTACTGGAACGTACTGGTATCTATATTTTATTAGCTAGATAACATAAACTTCGTGTTTTGTTATACTAATAACGTATGAATAAATGACAAGTGCGTGCAACAAATTTCCTATGAGCATCTACAAAGCTATAATACGGTGTCACAACATATAGAAATATGAAGCATATTAAGCCTACCTTTATGCCATCATAGTTTTTTTAATAAATAGAAACGCCATGGTTTACCGCCTCAAATATAAACGAGGTTTTATGGCTATTTTTTATGTGGAAATGTAACTGTACCGTTAACACATTGACAAACATTCCACAACTTCTAAACCTCTCATTTTCGGTGTATATTTTTGCTTAAAAGGATAGTTGAGTTCTTGTTTAAGACCGCAAATGCCGTTAAGGTGCATGGTTATTGCTCTTATTCTTTTTTTATAACAGTTCTAGTGCCCTTTTAGAACCTACAATTGCTATGAAGGTAATTTTAGACCCTCAAAAGTTGTGAATTTAGATTGAATACGATCATACCAATTCAGTGCCAGTTTAATGGTTATTTTTACCGATTTTGATCAAACAAAGTTGATTTTGTAATTTAAATTGTATATTCTTTCAAATTTGGCACTATATATATTTTCATTATCTCACAAACAAATCATTTTATGTAGCGCCCTCCGCAATAGAACTCAACTATTCCTTCAAACAGGAGAAAGCATGTACTGCATTTGTCATACAGGAGTGACAACAGTGGAACAACTACAGTGGGTACGCCCCCCTCTCCCCGTCATCTAGGGATTGGCCGCTGATATATATATAAATTGAACACTTCACGTGGAGTTCATTTTCACCGGCTGATTATCAGAAGAGGAGAGGAAAGACCCATTTTGTTCAACCCCCTCCCCGGTATTTCCCCTGAGAATGTTTAGACAGAGAAGGATTATTGAATGTTCATTCATTGATTATTGGACTTTAGGGTCCCCCAAAGAAAAAGGCTATTAACATCACATCGCATTAAATTTTTTACTTCGTCTTTCAGCTTATAACATCAGCGTACTATACTTTTCACAATATTAAGTACGTAAAATAAAATATTCTCACCTGTACCCCTACAAATTTCTGTGGATTGTGAAACTGAAAAAAGAAAGATTCATGAAAAAATCATTTTATCGGTGATTATGATTTTGCGTAATATTTACAATTTAGCAAGTCAGTGTGATCCCTTAAAACAGGTGAAAAATGAAAAATTTAATCCTGTTTACCAAGGGAAGCCTCATCATAATCAATGCTGTACTTTCTGATGGCCCCGAAATAACTACCGCAGTAATTGCCAGGTAACAATTTACACCTGGCTGGAGATAAGTGTCCTGCCAGAGGACGTTAATGCCAGACTTGGTTTCGAACCCTCAACCCTAGGGTTACGAGTAAAGTGAATGAACCACTTTACCATGAAACCACGGAAACCAAAACCAGTTCTTTTAATTATGCCTCTATTTAATGAAATACATGATATTTGTACCTATAATCTTATTGATCACACATCTATCTTGAGGGGTTACTTAACGTGAGCAAAACGACTTTCCATGTTTGAATGCACAGTTAACCAATACCCCCCCCCCAAATGGCTGCATGAATTAATGTGTAGATTTGTTTGATGATTTATATTACCTGAATGCTCTGTAAGCATTATGTAATGAACTATTGAAAACATTGACAATTCCATTACTTGACAACTTAGTATAAACATCGTCTCAACCATAATCAACAATCCATTGGCCAAATTCTCTTATGGATGAGTCTTTTAGCGGGCGGGTAAGTATTTAGTATAGTACTTCTGTTCTTTGTTACTAGTTCATGAATTGGCTTCAGCAAGATGGAGCAGTGGTCACTGATGGTCACTGATAAATTTGATTGAGAAATGACTCTCCGTTATGAAGATATGACCATGAGTTGATTTTCACAAAATGGCGCCAGTATGACGCCACGATGACTTTGATTCTCTCAAAAGTCAGAAAAATCAGAACTGATTTTATTATTTACTATATAAATCTATGTATCTACCTGTTATTTGCTAGTTTATCTAAACTACGCTACCTTCGAGAACTCTTTAAAAACGTCACACTCGCGCATGCCCCCACCCCCATACATCGCCTTCACGTGAGCATCGCACGTCCGCCATTCATCCTCTTTCACGAGCCTCCAAAGACATAGCTTCGGACATGTTGCCCGCAAGGAGAGGGGACGGAGGGAGGGACATAGGTAGATACATAGACTTATATAGTAAATAATAAAATAGAACCGCCTTGGTTTACCGCCTCAAATATGAACGAGGTTTTATGGCTATGTTTTATGTGGAAATTTAACTGCACCGTTAACACATTGACAAACATTCCACAACTTCTCACCCTCTCATTTTCGGTGTATATTATTGCTTAAAAAGTATAGTTCAGTTCCTGTTGAAGACCGCAAATGCCTTTAAAGTGCATGGTTATTGCTCTTATTCCTATTTATGACATTGCTAGGGCCCTTTTAAAACCTAAAATTGCTATGAAGGTAATTTTAGACCCCAAAATGTGTGAATTCAGATTGAATACGATCATACCAATTTAGTGCCAGTTAAATGTTTATATATACCGATTTCGATCAAACAAAGATGATTTTGTAAGCTAAATTGTATATTCTTTCAAATTTGACACTTAGTTTTTCATTATCTCACAAACAAATTATTTTCTGTAGCGCCCTCTGCAACAGGACTCAACTATTTCTTTAAACAGGCGAAAACATGTACTGCATTTGTCATACAGGAGTGACAACAGTGGAACAACTACAGTGGGTACGCCCCCCTTTCCCCTGATTACGAAACCAAGCACGGAAGAGTATTTTCGAAGCAGGATCAAAAGTCGGAGTTTGTTTAGAGATTTAGCTGATTTACCCTGACCAACGCGACATATCACTCCAGCATCATCAGAGTGACGGCAATCGTGGAAACCGATTGCGTTCTTCGGGCAATCCATGATTGAACGTTCGTTGCCTACACATCTCATATCGTCTAGGTGGATGGGTCCTGAGCCGGCGCCAAAAGTGTTGGCATGTATCGTGTAGCTAGAAGCTCCAGGGAAGCCCAACTGCCTGCACACTACATCAGCGTCTCTCTGCCCCCAAAGATCGTCGCATACTGTTCCCCATTGCCCATTGGCATACACCTCAACTCGACCTTGATTGGCGGAGCTACCTGATCCGGCAAGTCGAACCTCTGAAAGGGATAATTGCATTGAATATATGAAATGAAATGATTCTGCAATGGTTATTACAATTGGTTAATATTTGGGGTTCGAACCCCGGCCGCGTCATACCAAAAGACGTTTAAAGATGGGAATTGTTGCTACCTTGTTTGGCGTTCAACAATAAGGGATAGAGCAACGTCGATCTGGCGCTGCTCAGTGGCTACCGGGCTCACGATCAATTTGGCAAAAAGAATTTCCGTTTCGGTTAAATAAAATTTGGAGTGGACTATTAGGCTATTATTATTATTTATTATTATTATTACAATAATGCCACGTACCACGACGACGTTTTGCCACATAACACCACGTAAAAACAGGTATCGCCACTTAAAGTCACGTAAGGCCATGTAACACAATGTTTCACCATGTAACAACGATAACCACGTTACGACACGTAACAACACGAAACACAATATCTTTCAACGTATTGTCACGTACTGGAACGTACTGGTATCTATATTTTATTAGCTGGATAACATAAACTTCGTGTTTTTTTTACTAATAACTTATGAATAAATGACAAGTGCGTGCAACAAATATCCTATGAGCATCTACAAAGCTTTAATACGGTGTTACAACATATAGAAATATGAAGCATATTAAGCCTACATTTACGTCAACAATGTTTTTTTAATAAATAGAACCGCCTTGGTTTACCGCCTCAAATATAAACGAGGTTTTATGGCTATGTTTTATGTGGAAATGTAACTGCACCGTTAACACATTGGCAAACATTCCACAACTTCTAAACCTCTCATTTACGGTGTATATTATTGCTTAAAATGATAGTTGAGTTCTTGTTTAAGACCGCAAATGCCTTTAAGGTGCATGGTTATTGCTCTTATTCTTATTTATGACATTTCTAGTGCACTTTTAGAACCTAACATTGCTCTGAAGCAATTTTAGACCCCAAAAGTTGTGAATTTAAATTCAGTGCCAGTTTAATGGTTATATTTACCGATTTTGATCAAACAAAGATGATTTTGTAAAATAAATTGTATATTCTTTCAAATTTGACACTTAGTTTTTCATTATATCACAAACAAATTATTTTGTGTAGCGCCCTCCGCAACAAAACTCAACTATTCCTTTAAACAGGAATCTAGGGATTCGCCGCTGATATACATACATTGAACACTTCACATGCAGTTCATTCTCACTGGCTGATTGTCAGAAGGGGAGAGGAAAGACCCATTTTGTTAAACCCCCTCCCCGGTATTTCCCCTTAGAACGTTTAGACAGAGAAGAATTATTGAATTTTCATTCATTGGTTTTTGGACTTTAGGGTCCCCCAAAGAAAAAGGCCTATTAACATCACGTCACATTACATTTTTCCTTCGTCTTTCAGCTTATAACATCAGCGTACTTTACTTTTCATAATATTAAGTACGTAAATGAAATATTCTCACCTGCAGCACTAGAACTTCCTGTGGAACGTGAAAATAAAAAAGAAAGATTCATGAAAAAAACTCCCCCGAATCTACGATTCTGTGAGATGAATTCCATATAATTATGAAATGTGACAAGTATACAGATTTACAAGTAGATTTTATTGAAAAAATTAGTAATCTGGAAGAATTTTTTTGTAATTTGGATAGTCAAGACAAATTCATATTTATAATGAGATTAGACAATGAAGTTGTAATAGATAGTTTTTCTTTGTTCACCAAAAACATAATTGCAATGAGGGGTAATTTTTAGATACTATATGATATAACAAAGTAGAAGTGTACAATCTTATGCATTTGGTTTAGTTCTCATTTACCTATTTTGTATTGCATGACTTATAGTTAATTTAGAAAAGTGCTGTATTATGTTTTATATTATGTTTTATATATTGATTGTTACATTACATTGTAAAGTGATTATAATTATGTTCATTAAAAGAATATTGATGTACATCAATGAAGTTTAATAAATACAATACAAAATACATGAATTTTTTTTATCGGCGATTATGATTTTGCATAATAATTACAATTTAGCAAGTCAGTGTGATCCCTTAAAAAAGGTGAAAAATGAGAACTTAAATCCTGATTACCAAGGGAAGCCTCATCATCATCAATGCTGTACTTTCTGATGGCCCCGAAATAACTACCGCAGTAATTGCCAGGTAACAATTTACACCTGGCTGGAGATAAGTGTCCTGCCAGAGGACGTTAATGCCAGACTAGGTTTCGAACCCTCAACCCTAGGATTACGAGTAAAGTGAATGAACCACTTTACCATGAAACCACGGAAACCGAAACCAGTTCTTTTAATTATGCCTCTATTTAATGAAATACATGATATTTGTACCTATAATCTTATTGCCCACACATCTATCTTGAGGGATAAATTAACGTGAGCAAAACGACTTTCCATGTTTGAATGCACAACGGACCAATACCCCCAAAAATGGCTGCATGAATTAATTTGAAGATTTGTTTGATGATTTATATTACCTGACTGCTCTGTAAGCATTATGTAATGAACTATTGAACACACTGACAATTTCATTACTTGACAACTCAGTATAAACATCGTCTCAACCATAATCAACAATCCATTGGCAAAATTCTCTTATGGATGAGTCTTTAAGTGGGCGGGTAAGTATAGTACTACTGTTCTTTGTTACTAGTTCATGAATTGGCTTCAGCAAGATGGAGCAGTGGTCACTAGTGGTCACTGATAAATATGAGTGAGAAATGACGTTCCGTTATGAAGATATGACCATGAGTTGATTTTCACAAAATGGCGCCAGTATGACGCCACGATGACTTTGATTCTCTGAAAAGTTAGAAAAATCAGAACTGATTTTATTATTTACTATATAAATCTATGTATCTACCTGTTATTTGCTAGTTTATCTAAACTACGCTACCTTCGAGAACTCTTTAAAAACGTCACACTCGCGCATGCCCCCACCCCCATACATCGCCTTCACGTGCGCATCGCACGTCCGCCATTCATCCTCTTTCACGAGCCTCCAAAGACATAGCTTCGGACATGTTGACGCAAGGAGAGGGGACGGAGGGAGGGACATAGGTAGATACATAGACTTATATAGTAAATAATAAAATGGAACCGCCTTGGTTTACCGCCTCAAATATGAACGAGGTTTTATGAAAAGTCACACAGTTCTAAGTTAGACTAATATCTATCATCATCGCATGTTTCATAATAATGGCTCCCCTCATTCCTTAGATATGGTGCGAACAAATTCATGGCAGAATAAATAATAAAACTCATGACAAAATCAATAGGTGATACGTAAACTACATACGTCTCACCTAACTAGATTGAATTTGTCACGTGACAAATTAGGTCATACGTATTCTATTTTTTATAATAAAGAACGCAATTTCAAGATTTCATCTTATCCTATGAAATGCTCCTCTCTTTATAGTTTATACATATGTCAAGTTTCAACTGTGTAGCAATGATCATGATGGATCTATGCAAGATAGACGGATATTGACCTTGAACAAGATAAATATGAGTGAGAAATTATTTTCCATTATGAAGATATGATCATGAATTACAAGTTCCTCCATTCTCACAAGGATTGGGAGAACAATCGTTGATATCTATGCAAATTGAGTTCCAAAGACAATAAATGGGATAAAAGGGATGAATAAATAATGTCCCTTTTGACATATTTATCTTCATTTGGCGGTGAACAGGTAAAAAGAAGTCAAATCTTGCATTCTAAACACAAATAATGGCAGTTCGAGGATAAATTCCTTCATTTGAAAATCTGTTGATACATAATTCAAATTAAGTAAATAAACTAAATATCTCTTTGGAAGTGAGCATTTTTAAAAAAAAACATGGCCTTAGAAAGAAAATATTTTTTGAAAAAATCTCATCGTCCCACAAAACGTAGCGTGTCCATGCCAGTTAAGAAAATGTCACTAAAACAAATTTCTTTCATTTGGGCGTGAAATGCATTCGAAAATGGTGGCGGAAATGAGATGGGATAGTCTGATCTTTAAGAAACTTCAGCACCAAAGGTTCAATTGCTATAATCATGATGAATCACACCAGTCTTATTATATCCTAAAACAAATCATAATTATGAGAGATCGTTGTGGTAATCACTGTATCAATTTTTCTCTTGAAAGTACCATGCACTCCCATTTCCAATGTGTCTACTCGAAATCATGAAGAGTGTAGTTTATATCATTACTGCACCAAAAGGTGAAACACCCTCGCATCTTTTGTCTGTACTTTCTTTCCTGTTGACTGTCAATCAAGAAAAACTCCAAGGTTTTCCTCACTAACGACTGCATGTTTCTTTCTTTCTTTTTCCTTGTTTGCTCTTTATCTATAATGTTTTGATGAACAAGGAGCAATTGTTTGATATAAAAAGTGTAGGTGTGTAATCTGCTTTGACTCTATATCTTACCTGTTCCACACGTAGGCCCGGTATAGCCAGGATTGCAGGCACAAATAAAGGTGTTCACTCCATCACTGCAAATTCCTCCATTCTCACAAGGATCGGGAGAACAATCGTTGATATCTATACAAATTAAGTTCCAAAGACAATAAATGGGATAAAAGGGATGAATAAATAATGTCCCTTTTGACATATTTATCTTCATTTGGCGGTAAACAGGTAAAAAGAAGTCAAATCTTGCATTCTAAATACAAATAATGACAGTTCGAGGATAAATTCCTTCATTTGAAAATCTGTTAATACATAATTCAAATTAAGTAAATAAACTAAATATCTCTTTGGAAGTTAGCATTTTTTTAAAAAAACATGGCCTTAGAAAGAAAATATTTTTTGAAAAAATCTCATCGTCCCCCAAAACGTAGCGTGTCCATGCCAGTTAAGAAAATGTCACTAAAACAAATTTCTTTCATTTGGGCGTGAAATGCATTTGAAAATGGTGGCGGAAATGACATGGGATAGTCTGATCTTTAAGACACCTCAGCACCAAAGGTTGAATCGCTATAATCATGATGAATCACACCAGTCTTATTATATCCTAAAATAAATCATAATTATGAGAGATCGTTGTGGTAATCACTGTATCAATTTTTTTCTTGAAAGTACCATGCACTCCCATTTTCAATTTGTCTACTCGAAATCATGAAGAGTGTAGTTTATATCATTACTGCTCCAAAAGGTGAAACACCCTCGCATCTTTTGTCTGGTCTTTAACTCCTGTTGACTGTCAATCAAAAGAAACCTCCAAGGTTTTCCTCACCAATGAGTGCATGTTTCTTTCTTTCTATTTCCTTGTTTGCTCTTCATCTATAATGTTTTGATGAAAAGTAGCAATTGTTTGATATAAAAAAGTGTAAGTATGTAATCTGCTTTGACTCTATGTCTTACCTGTTCCACACGTAGGCCCAGTAAAGCCAGGATCGCAGGCACAAGTAAACGTGTTCACTCCATCACTGCAAATTCCTCCATTCTCACAAGGATCGGGAGAACAATCGTTGATATCTGTGCAAATTGAGTTCCAAAGACAATAAATGGGATAAAAGGGACGAGAAAATAATGTACTTTTGACATATTTATCTTCATTTGGCGGTGAACAGGTAAAAAGAAGTCAAAACTTGCATTCTAAATACAAATAATGACAGTTCAAGGATAAATTCCTTCATTTGAAAATCTGTTAATACATGATTCAAATTAAGTAAATGAACTAAATATCTCTTTGGAATTTAGCATCTTTTGTCAAAAACATGGCCTTAGAAAGATTTTTTTTTTTTTTTAAATCTCATCGTCCCACAAAACGTAGTGTGTCCGTGCCAGTTCAGAAAATGTCACTAAAACAAATTTCTTACATTTGGGCGTGAAATGCATTTGAAAATGGTGGCGGAAATGAGATGGGATAGTGTGATCTTTAAGAAACTTCAGCACCAAAGGTTGAATTGCTATAATCATGATGAATCACACAAGTCTTATGATATCCTAAAACAAATCAAAATTATGAGAGATCGTTGTGGTAATCACTGTATCAATTTTTCTCTTGAAAGTACCATGCACTCCCATTTTCAATTTGTCTACTCGAAATCATGAAGAGTGTAGTTTATATCATTACTGCACCAAAAGGTGAAACACCCTCGCATCTTTTGTCTGGTCTTTAACTCCTGTTGACTGTCAATCAAGAGAAACCTCCAAGGTTTTCCTCACCAATGAGTTCATATTTCTTTCTTACTATTTCCTTGTTTGCTCTTGATCTATAATGTTTTGATGAACAAGGAGCAATTGTTTGATATAAAAAGTGTACGTGTGTAATCTGCTTTGACTCTATGTCTTACCTGTTCCACACGTAGGCCCAGTATAGCCAGGATTGCAGGCACAAGTAAAGGTGTTCACTCCATCACTGCAAATTCCTCCATTCTCACAAGGATCGGGCGAACAATCGTTGATATCTATGCAAATTGAGTTCCAAAGACAATAAATGGGATAAAAGGGATGAGTAAATAATGTCCCTTTTGACATATTTATCTTTATTTAGCGGTGAACAGGGAAAAAGAAGTCAAAACTTGCATTCTATATACAAATAATGACAGTTCAAGGATAAATTCCTTCATTTGAAAATCTGTTAATACATAATTCAAGTTAAGTAAATGAACTTCATATATCTTTGGAAGTAAGCATCTTTTGTCAAAAACATGGCCTTAGAAAGAAATGAAAATTTCACACAATCCCATCGTCCCACAAAACGTAGTGCCAAACAAGAACATGTCACGAAAACAAATTTCTTTCATTTGGGTGTGTAATGCAATTGAAAATGGTGGCGGAAATGACATGGGATAGTCTGATTTTTAAGACACCTCAGCACCAAAGGTTGAATCGCTATAATCATGATGAATCACACCAATCTATTAATGTCCAATAATAAATCATAATTATGAGAGATAGTTGTAGTAATCAGTATATCAAATTTTCTCTTGAAATTACCATGCACTCCCATTTTCCATGTGTCTACTCGAAATCATGAAGAGTGTAGTTTATATCATTACTTCAACAAAAGGTGAAACCCCTCGCATCTTTTGTCTGGTCTTTAACTCCTGTTGACTGTCAATCAAGAAAAACTCCAAGGTTTTCCTCACCAATGAATGCATGTTTCTTTCTTTCTATTTCCTTTTTTGCTCTTTATCTATCATGTTTTGATGAACAAGGAGCAATTGTTTGATATAAAAAGTGTAGGTGTGTAATTTGCTTTGACTCTATATCTTACCTGTTCCACACGTAGGCCCAGTATAGCCAGGATTGCAGGCACAAGTAAAGGCGTTCACTCCATCATTGCAAATTCCTCCATTCTCACAAGGATCGGGCGAACAATCGTTGATATCTATGCAAATTGAGTTCAAAAGACATTAAATGGGATAAAAGGGATGAGTAAATAATGTCCCTTTTGACATATTTATCTTCATTTGGCGGTGAACAGGTAAAAAGAAGTCAAATCTTGAATTCTATATACAAATAATGACAGTTCAAGGATAAATTCCTTCATTGGAAAATCTGTTAATACATAATTCAAGTTAAGTAAATGAACTTAATATCTCTTTGGAAGTTAGCATCTTTTTTTCAAAAAAAGGGCCTTAGAAAGAAAATATTTTTTGAAAAAATCTCATCGTCCCACAAAACGTAGTGCCAAACATGAACATGCCACTAAAACAAATTTCTTTCATTTGGGCGTGAAATGCATTTGAAAATGGTGGCGGAAATGACATGGGATAGTCTGATTTTTAAGACACCTCAGCACCAAAGGTTGAATTGTTATAATCATGATGAATAACACCAATCTATTAATGTCCAATAATAAATCATAATTATGAGAGATCGTTGTAGTAATAACTATATCAAATTTGCTCTTGAAAGTACCATGCACTCCCATTTTCCATGTGTCTACTCGAAATCATGAAGAGTGTAGTTTATATCATTACTGCACCAAAAGGTGAAACACCCTCGCATCTTTTGTCTGGTCTTTAACTCCTGTTGACTGTCAATCAAGAGAAACCTCCAAGGTTTTCCTCACCAATGAGTGCATATTTCTTTCTTACTATTTCCTTGTTTGCTCTTCATCTATAATGTTTTGATGAAAAAGGAGCAATTGTTTGATAAAAAAAAAAGTGTAAGTATGTAATCTGCTTTGACTCTATATCTTACCTGTTCCACACGTAGGCCCAGTATAGCCAGGATCGCAGGCACAAGTAAACATGTTCACTCCATCACTGCAAATTCCTCCATTCTCACAAGGATCGGGAGAACAATCGTTGATATCTGTGCAAATTGAGTTCCAAAGACAATAAATGGGATAAAAGGGATGAGAAAATAATGTCCCTTTTGACATATTTATCGTCATTTGGCGGTGAACAGGTAAAAAGAAGTCTAAACTTGCATTCTAAATACAAATAATGACAGTTCAAGGATAATAATAATAATAATAATAATAAAATATATATATATAGCGCAAAATAAACATAAGTTTCTCTTTGCGCTGTACAAGCATATATATAATCACATAAAATGAATCAACACAGAGAAATATACAAATCTTATACCACTAAAATGACTAACTTTACATAGTAAATAACATAACAAAGAGATAGCTAACATAGTCAAAACAAAACAAAGAACGTATGTAAGGATAGCTTAAACTAAGTAATTAAGGCCAAAGAGGTGCGTTTTTAGTGAAGATTTGAATGTTGCAGAAGTGGGTGCCTGTCGTATGAAATTGGGGAGATTGTTCCAAAGGTTTGGTCCAGCAAATGCAAATGATCTGCCCCCATACAATATAGTATTGGTTTTTGGTTTTTAAAGGATACATTCCTTTATTGGAAAATCTGTTAATACATTATTCAAGTTAAGTAAATTGTGGCGGAAATGACATGGGATAGTCTGATTTTTAAGACACCTCAGCACCAAAGGTTGAATCGCTATAATCGTGATGAATCACACCAGTCTATTAATATCCAAAAATAAATCATAATTATGAGAGATAGTTGTAGTAATCATTATATACCTCACTTAAGAAATCCAGCCATCTGATTGGTCGAATTGCATTCATAAACTTCAACTGTTCCTGTAAAATTCTCGGTAACCATGCTTAAACATTTTAATATTTTTAATAACCATGGTTATTAAAAACAGTTGGTCAGCCTCCATGGTTACCCCATAGGTTTACATGTTAAAAAATGGTTTGAGCGATGGAGGATGCCGTATGTGTGCGAAGGATTGGTCGGTAATTTCAATACAATTGAATCTCGATCGATCTTACCGACAATTTTATCTTGCATTGTTGACATGAAGACGAAAATAAACTTCCAAAAACAAAAAAACAACATCTGCCGATAGATCTTGATCTAAGTTCGTGCCAATATGCATTGCAAAAGTAAAAGAAGAGTCCGTATATGGAGCTTTTGCGAAGCATTCATCACACGCGAAGCCGGTTTCAATCCATTTTAATGTATATATTGGAGAAAACTGCCAAGCATGTTAACGGCGGGCCATAGCCGAGTGGTCTAAGCGTTGGTTTTCGATACACCTCTTGTTGTACGCAAGAGTTCGAATCCCGTCTTCGACAAAAATGATAAATATTTTTAATTTTTCATTTTTTAGTCTATTTTTTTTCGGCATATAAAAGTATTAATGACTGCTTTAATATTCGAGAAATAGTTGTTTTCATACGCTCTCGGGAAGGTTACAATTGGGCTATTCCCCTCGGCAAGCCTCGGGGAATAGCACAATTCTAACCTTCCCTTGAGCGTAATAAAACAACTATTTCTCTCAAAGCAGTCATTAATACTATACTATATCAAATTTTCTCTTGAAAGTACCATGCACTCCCATTTCTCATGTGTCTACTCGAAATCATGAAGAGTGTAGTTTATATCATTACTTCAACAAAAGGTGAAACCCCTCGCATCTTTTGTCTGGTCTTTAACTCCTGTTGACTGTCAATCAAGAAAAACTCCAAGGTTTTCCTCACCAATGAATGCATGTTTCTTTCTTTCTATTTCCTTTTTTGCTCTTTATCTATAATGTTTTGATGAACAAGGAGCAATTGTTTGATATAAAAAGTGTAGGTGTGTAATTTGCTTTGACTCTATATCTTACCTGTGCCACACGTAGGCCCAGTATAACCAGGATTGCAGGCACAAGTAAAGGTGTTCACTCCATCACTGCAAATTCCTCCATTCTCACAAGGATCGGGCGAACAATCGTTGATATCTATGCAAATTGAGTTCCAAAGACAATAAATGGGATAAAAGGGATGAGTAAATAATGTCTCTTTTGACATATTTATCTTCATTTGGCGGATAACAGGTAAAAAGCAGTCAAATCTTCCATTCTAAACACAAATAATTACAGTTCAAGGATAAATTCCTTCATTTGAAAATCTGTTAATACATAATTCAAGTTAAGTAAATAAACTAAATATCTCTTTGGAAGTTAGCATCTTTTTTCAAGAACATTGCCTTAGACAGAAAATACCGTCGTGTGTCCATTCCAGTTAAGAAATGTCACTAAAACAAATTTCTTTCATTTGGGCGTGAAATGCATTTGAAAATGGTAGCGGAAATGACATGGGATAGTCTGATCTTTAAGACACCTCAGCACCAAAGGTTGAATCGCTATAATCATGATGAATCACACCAGTCTATTCATATCCAAAAATAAATCATAATTATGAGAGATCGTTGTGGTAATCACTATATCAAATTTTCTCTTGAAAGTACCATGCACTCCCATTTTTCATGTGTTTACTCGAAATCATGAAGAGTATAGTTTATATCATTACTGCACCAAAAGGTGAAACCCCTCACATCTTTTGTCCGGTCTTTAACTCCTGTTGACTGTCAATCAAGAAAAACTCCAAGGTTTTCCTCACCAATGACTCCATGTTTCTTTCTTTCTATTTCCTTGTTTATTATCAGTATTATTATTATTATTTTATTTGGCAGAAATCACATGATATCAAAATACAGAGTATTTATCTATTTACTCTTTATCTATAATAATTATTTATCTATTTGCTCTTTATCTATAATAATTATTTATCTTTTTGCTCTTTATCTATAATGATTTGATGAACAAGGAGCAATTGTTTGATATAAAAAGTGTAGTTGTGTAATTTGCTTTGACTCTATATCTTACCTGTTCCACACGTAGGCCCAGTATGGCCAGGATTGCAGCAACAAGTAAAGGTGTTGACTCCATCACTGCAAATTCCTCCATTCTCACAAGGATCGGGAGAACAATCGTTGATATCTATGCAAATTGAGTTCCAAAGACAATAAATGGGATAAAAGGTATGAGTAAATAATGTCCCTTTTGTCATATTTATCTTCATTTGGCGGTGAACAGGTAAAAAGAAGTCAAAACTTGCATTCTATATACAAATAATGACAGTTCAAGGATAAATTCCTTCATTTGAAAATCTGTTAATACATAATTCAACTTAAGTAAATGAACTTAATATATCTTTGGAAGTAAGCATCTTTTGTCAAAAACATGGCCTTAGAAAGAAATGAAAATTTCACACAATCCCATCGTCCCACAAAACCTAGTGCCAAACAAGAACATGTCACGAAAACAAATTTCTTTCATTTGGGTGTGTAATGCATTTGAAAATGGTGGCGGAATTTACATGGGATAGTCTGATTCCTTAAGACATATGAGCACCAAAGGTTGAATCGCTATAATCATGATGAATCACATCAGTCTATTCATATCCAAAAATAAATCATAATTATGAGAGATCGTTGTGGTAATCGCTATATTAAATTTGCTCTTAAAAGTACCATGCACTCCCATCTTCCATGTGTCTACTCGAAATCATGAAGAGTGTAGTTTATATCATTACTGCACCAAAAGGTGAAACACCTCCGCATCTTTTGTCTGGTCTTTCTCTCCTGTTGACTGTCAATCAAGAAAAACTCCAAGGTCTTCCTCACCAATGAGTGCATGTTTATTTCTTTCTATTTCCTTGTTTGCTCTTGATTTATAATGTTTTGATGAAAAAGGAGCAATCGTTTGATATAAAAAAAGTGTAAGTATGTAATCTGCTTTGACTATATATCTTACCTGTTCCACACGTAGGCCCAGTATAGCCAGGATCGCAGGCACAAGTAAACATGTTCACTCCATCACTGCAAATTCCTCCATTCTCACAAGGATCGGGAGAACAATCGTTGATATCTGTGCAAATTGAGTTCCAAAGACAATAATAGGATAAAAGGGATGAGAAAATAATGTCCCTTTTGACATATTTATCTTCATTTGGCGGTGAACAGGTAAATAGAAGTCAAAACTTGTATTCTAAATACAAATAATGACAGTTCAAGGATACATTCCTTCATTTGAAAATCTGTTAATACATAATTCAAGTTAAGTAAATGAACTTAATATCTCTTTGGAAGTTAGCATCTTTTTTCAAAAACATGGCCTTAGAAAGAAAATATTTTTTTGAAAAAATCTCATCGTCCCACAAAACGTAGTGCCAAACATGAAAATGTCACTAAAACAAATTTCTTTCATTTTGGCGTGAAATGCATTCGAAAATGGTGGCGGAAATGACATGGGATAGTTTGATTTTTAAGACACCTCAGCACCAAAGGTTGAATCGCTATAATCATGATGAATCACACCAGTCTATTCATATCCAAAAATAAATCATAATTATGAGAGATCGTTGTGGTAATCACTATATCAAATTTGCTCTTGAAAGTACCATGCACTCCCATTGTCCATGTGTCTACTCAAAAGTATGAAAAGTGTAGTTTATATCATAAATTCACCAAAAGGTGAAACACCCTCGCATCTTTGGTCTCTACTTTCTCTCCTGTCGACTGTCAATCAAGAAAAACTCCAAGGTCTTCCTCACCAATGAGTGCATGTTTCTTTCTTTCTATTTCCTTGTTTGCTCTTGATTTATAATGTTTTGATGAAAAAGGAGCAATCGTTTGATATAAAAAAAAGTGTAATTATGTAATCTGCTTTGACTCTATATCTTACCTGTTCCACACGTAGGCCCAGTATAGCCAGGATCGCAGGCACAAGTTAACATGTTCACTCCATCACTGCAAATTCCTCCATTCTCACAAGGATCGGGAGAACAATCGTTGATATCTATGCAAATTGAGTTCCAAAGACAATAAATGGGATAAAAGGGATGAGTAAATAATGTCCCTTTTGTCATATTTATCTTCATTTGGCGGTGAACAGGTAAAAAGAAATCAAAACTTGCATTCTATATACAAATAATGACAGTTCAAGGATAAATTCCTTCATTTGAAAATCTGTTAATACATAATTCAAGTTAAGTAAATGAACTTAATGTATCTTTGGAAGTAAGCATCTTTTGTCAAAAACATGGCCTTAGAAAGAAATGAAAATTTCACACAATCCCATCGTCCCACAAAACCTAGTGCCAAACAAGAACATGTCACGAAAACAAATTTCTTTCATTTGGGTGTGTAATGCATTTGAAAATGGTGGCGGAAATGACATGGGAAAGTCTGATTTCTTAAGACATATGAGCACCAAAGGTTGAATCGCTATAATCATGATGAATCACATCAGTCTATTCATATCCAAAAATAAATCATAATTATGAGAGATCGTTGTGGTAATCGCTATATTAAATTTGCTCTTAAAAGTACCATGCACTATAATCATGATGAATCACACCAGTCTTATTATATCCTAAAACAAATCATAATTATGAGAGATAGTTGTAGTAATCACTATATCAAATTTTCTCTTGAAATTACCATGCACTCCCATTTTCCATGTGTCTACTTAAAATCATGAAGAGTGTAGTTTATATCATTGCTTCAACAAAAGGTGAAACCCCTCGCATCTTTTGTCTGGTCTTTAACTCCTGTTGACTGTCAATCAAGAAAAACTCCAAGGTTTTCCTTGAATGAATGCATGTTTCTTTCTTTCTATTTCCTTTTTTGCTCTTTATCTATAATGTTCTGATGAACAAGGAGCAATTGTTTGATATAAAAAGTGTAGGTGTGTAATTTGCTTTAACTCTATATCTTACCTGTTCCACACGTAGGCCCAGTATAGCCAGGATTGCAGGCACAAGTAAAGGTGTTCACTCCATCACTGCAAATTCCTCCATTCTCACAAGGATCGGGCGAACAATCGTTGATATCTATGCAAATCGAGTTCCAAAGACAATAAATGGGATAAAAGGGATGAGTAAATAATGTCCCTTTTGACATATTTATCTTTATTTAGCGGTGAACAGGAAAAAAGAAGTCTCAACTTGCATTCTATATACAAATAATAACAGTTCAAGGATAAATTCCTTCATTTGAAAATCTGTTAATACATAATCCAAGTTAAGTAAATGAACTTAATATCTCTTTGGAAGTTAGCATCTTTTTTCAAAAAAAGGGCCTTAGAAAGAAAATATCTTTTTTGAAAAAATCTCATCGTCCCACAAAACGTAGTGCCAAACATGAACATGCCACTAAAACAAATTTCTTTCATTTGGGCGTGAAATGCATTTGAAAATGGTGGCGGAAATGACATGGGATAGTCTGATTTTTAAGACACCTCAGCACCAAAGGTTGAATCGCTATAATCATGATGAATCACACCAGTCTATTAATGTCCAATAAAAAAATCATAATTATGAGAGATCGTCTTGGAAATCACTATATCAAGTTTGCTCTTGAAAGTACCATGCACTCCCATTTTCCATGTGTCTACTTAAAATCATGAAAAGTGTAGTTTATATCATAACTTCACCAAAAGATGAAACACCCTCGCATCTTTTGTCTCTACTTTCTCTCTTGTTGACTGTCAGTCAAGAAAAACTCCAAGGTTTTCCTCACTAATGATTGCATGTTTCTTTCTTTCTATTTCCTTGTTTGCTCTTGATCTATAATGTTTTGATGAACAAGGAGCAATTGTTTGATATAAAAAGTGTAGGTGTGTAATTTGCTTTAACTCTATATCTTACCTGTTCCACACGTAGGCCCAGTATAGCCAGGATTGCAGGCACAAGTAAAGGTGTTCACTCCATCACTGCAAATTCCTCCATTCTCACAAGGATCGGGCGAACAATCGTTGATATCTATGCAAATCGAGTTCCAAAGACAATAAATGGGATAAAAGGGATGAGTAAATAATGTCCCTTTTGACATATTTATCTTTATTTAGCGGTGAACAGGAAAAAAGAAGTCTCAACTTGCATTCTATATACAAATAATAACAGTTCAAGGATAAATTCCTTCATTTGAAAATCTGTTAATACATAATCCAAGTTAAGTAAATGAACTTAATATCTCTTTGGAAGTTAGCATCTTTTTTCAAAAAAAGGGCCTTAGAAAGAAAATATCTTTTTTGAAAAAATCTCATCGTCCCACAAAACGTAGTGCCAAACATGAACATGCCACTAAAACAAATTTCTTTCATTTGGGCGTGAAATGCATTTGAAAATGGTGGCGGAAATGACATGGGATAGTCTGATTTTTAAGACACCTCAGCACCAAAGGTTGAATCGCTATAATCATGATGAATCACACCAGTCTATTAATGTCCAATAAAAAATCATAATTATGAGAGATCGTCTTGGAAATCACTATATCAAGTTTGCTCTTGAAAGTACCATGCACTCCCATTTTCCATGTGTCTACTTAAAATCATGAAAAGTGTAGTTTATATCATAACTTCACCAAAAGGTGAAACACCCTCGCATCTTTTGTCTCTACTTTCTCTGCTGTTGACTGTCAGTCAAGAAAAACTCCAAGGTTTTCCTCACTAATGATTGCATGTTTCTTTCTTTCTATTTCCTTGTTTGCTCTTGATCTATAATGTTTTGATGAACAAGGAGCAATTGTTTGATATAAAAAGTGTAGGTGTGTAATTTGCTTTAACTCTATATCTTACCTGTTCCACACGTAGGCCCAGTATAGCCAGGATTGCAGGCACAAATAAAGGTGTTTACTCCATCACTGCAAATTCCTCCATTCTCACAAGGATCGGGCGAACAATCGTTGATATCTATGCAAATTGAGTTCCAAAGACAATAGATGGGATAAAAGGGATGAGTAAATAATGTCCCTTTTGACATATTTATCTTTATTTAGCGGTGAACAGGAAAAAAGAAGTCTAAACTTGCATTCTATAAACAAATAATGACAGTTCAAGGATAAATTCCTTCATTTGAAAATCTGTTAATACATAATCCAAGTTAAGTTAATGAACTTAATATCTCTTTGGAAGTTAGCATCTTTTTTCAAAAAAAGGGCCTTAGAAAGAAAATATTTTTTGAAAAAATCTCATCGTCCCACAAAAAGTAGTGCCGAACATGAACATGCCACTAAAACAAATTTCTTTCATTTGGGCGTGAAATGCATTTGAAAAAGGTGGCGGAAATGACATGAGAAAGTCTGATTTTTAAGACACCTCAGCACCAAAGGTTGAATCGCTATAATCATGATGAATCACACCAGTCTGTTCATATCCAAAAATAAATCATAATTATGAGAAATCGTTGTGGTAATCACTATATCAAATTTTCTCTTGAAAGTACCATGCAATCCCATCTTCCATGTGTCTACTCAAAATCATGAAGATTGTAGTTTATATCATAACTTCACCAAATGTTGAAACCCCTCGCATCTTTTGTCTGGTCTTTCTCTCCTGTTGACTGTCAATCAAGAAAAACTCCAAGGTTTTCCTCACCAATGACTCCATGTTTCTTTCTGTCTATTTCCTTGTTTGCTTTTTATCTATAATGTTTTGATGAACAAGGAGCAATTGTTTGATATAAAAAGTGTAGGTGTGTAATTTGCTTTGACTCTATATCTTACCTGTTCCACACGTAGGCCCAGTATAGCCAGGATTGCAGGCACAAGTAAAGGTGTTCACTCCGTCACTGCAAATTCCTCCATTCTCACAAGGATCGGGCGAACAATCGTTGATATCTATGCAAATTGAGTTCCGAAGACAATAAATGGGATAAAAGGGATGAGTATATAATGTACCTTTTGACATATTTATCTTCATTTGGCGGTATACAGGTAAAAAGAAGTCAAAACTTGCATTCTATATACAAATAATGGCAGTTCAAGGATAAATTCCTTCATTTGAAAATCTGTTAATACATTATTCAAATTAAGTAAATGAACTTAATATCTCTTTGAAAGTTAGCATCTTTTTTTCAAAAACATGGCCTTAGAAAGAAAATATTTTTTTGAAAAAAATCTCATCGTCCCACAAAACGTAGAGCCAAACATGAAAATGTCACTAAAACAAATTTCTTTCATTTGGGCGTGAAATGCATTTGAAAAAGGTGGCGGAAATGACATAAGAAAGTCTGATTTTTAAGACATCTCAGCCCCAAAGGTTAAATCGCTATAATCATGAAGAATCACACCAGCCTATTCATATCCAAAAATAAATCATAATTATGAGAGATCGTTGTGGTAATCACTATATCAAATTTGCTCTTGAAAGTACCATGAACTCCCATTTTCCATGTGTCTACTAAAAATCATGAAAAGTGTAGTTTATATCATTACTTCACCAAAAGGTGAAACATACTCGCATCTTTTGTCTGTACTTTCTCTCCTGTTGACGGTCATTCAAGAAAAACTCCAAGGTTTTCCTCACCAATAAATGCATGTTCTTTCTTTCTATTTCCTTGTTTGCTCTTTATCTATAATGTTTTGATGAACAAGGAGCAATTGTTTGATATAAAAAGTGTAGGTGTGTAATTTGCTTTGACTCTATATCTTACCTGTTCCACACGTAGGCCCAGTATGGCCAGGATTGCAGGCACAAGTAAACATGTTCACTCCGTCACTACAAATTCCTTCATTCTCACAAGGATCGGGCGAACAATCGTTGATATCTATGCAAATTGAGTTCCAAAGACAATAAATGGGATAAAAAGGATGAGTAAATAATGTCCCTTTTGAAATATTTATCTTTATTTAGCGGTGAACAGCTAAAAAGAAGTCGAAACTTGCATTCTATAAACAAATAATGACAGTTCAAGAATAAATTCCTTCATTTGAAAATCTGTTAATACATAATCCAAGTTAAGTTAATGAACTTAATATTTCTTTGGAAGTTAGCATCTTTTTTCAAAAAAAGGGTCTTAGAAAGAAAATATTTTTTTGAAAAAATCTCATCGTCCCACAAAACGTAGTGCCGAACATGAACATGCCACTAAAACAAATTTCTTTCATTTGAGCGTGAAATGCATTTGAAAAAGGTGGCGGAAATGACATGAGAAAGTCTGATTTTTAAGACAACTCAGCACCAAAGGTTGAATCGCTATAATCATGATGAATCACAGCAGTCTGTTCATATCCAAAAATAAATCATAATTATGAGAAATCGTTGTGGTAATCACTATATCAAATTTGCTCTTGAAAGTACCATGCACTCCCATCTTCCATGTGTCTACTCAAAATCATGAAGATTGTAGTTTATATCATTACTTCACCAAAAGGTGAAACATACTCGCATCTTTTGTCTGTACTTTCTCTCCTGTTGACGGTCATTCAAGAAAAACTCCAAGGTTTTCCTCACCAATAAATGCATGTTCTTTCTTTCTATTTCCTTGTTTGCTCTTTATCTATAATGTTTTGATGAACAAGGAGCAATTGTTTGATATAAAAAGTGTAGGTGTGTAATTTGCTTTGACTCTATATCTTACCTGTTCCACACGTAGGCCCAGTATAGCCAGGATTGCAGGCACAAGTAAAGGTGTTCACTCCGTCACTACAAATTCCTTCATTCTCACAAGAATCGGGCGAACAATCGTTGATATCTATGCAAATTGAGTTCCAAAGACAATAAATGGGATAAAAAGGATGAGTAAATAATGTCCCTTTTGAAATATTTATCTTTATTTAGCGGTAAACAGCTAAAAAAAAAGTCGAAACTTGCATTCTATAAACAAATAATGACAGTTCAAGAATAAATTCCTTCATTTGAAAATCTGTTAATACATAATCCAAGTTAAGTTAATGAACTTAATATTTCTTTGGAAGTTAGCATCTTTTTTCAAAAAAAGGGTCTTAGAAAGAAAATATTTTTTTGAAAAAATCTCATCGTCCCACAAAACGTAGTGCCGAACATGAACATGCCACTAAAACAAATTTCTTTCATTTGAGCGTGAAATGCATTTGAAAAAGGTGGCGGAAATGACATGAGAAAGTCTGATTTTTAAGACAACTCAGCACCAAAGGTTGAATCGCTATAATCATGATGAATCACACCAGTCTGTTCATATCCAAAAATAAATCATAATTATGAGAAATCGTTGTGGTAATCACTATATCAAATTTGCTCTTGAAAGTACCATGCACTCCCATCTTCCATGTGTCTACTCAAAATCATGAAGATTGTAGTTTATATCATTACTTCACCAAAAGGTGAAACATACTCGCGTCTTTTGTCTGTACTTTCTCTCCTGCTGACGGTCATTCAAGAAAAACTCCAAGGTTTTCCTCACCAATAAATGCATGTTCTTTCTTTCTATTTCCTTGTTTGCTCTTTATCTATAATGTTTTGATGAACAAGGAGCAATTGTTTGATATAAAAAGTGTAGGTGTGTAATTTGCTTTGACTCTATATCTTACCTGTTCCACACGTAGGCCCAGTATAGCCAGGATTGCAGGCACAAGTAAAGGTGTTCACTCCGTCACTGCAAATTCCTCCATTCTCACAAGAATCGGGCGAACAATCGTTGATATCTATGCAAATTGAGTTCCGAAGACAATAAATGGGATAAAAGGGATGGGTATATAATGTACCTTTTGACATATTTATCTTCATTTGGCGGTATACAGGTAAAAAGAAGTCAAAACTTGCATTCTATATACAAATAATGACAGTTCAAGGATAAATTCCTTCATTTGAAAATCTGTTAATACATTATTCAAATTAAGTAAATGAACTTAATATCTCTTTGAAAGTTAGCATCTTTTTTTCAAAAACATGGCCTTAGAAAGAAAATATTTTTTTGAAAAAAATCTCATCGTCCCACAAAACGTAGTGCCAAACATGAAAATGTCACTAAAACTAATTTCTTTCATTTGGGCTTGAAATGCATTTGAAAAAAAGTGGCGGAAATGACATAAGAAAGTCTGATTTTTAAGACATCTCAGCACCAAAGGTTTAATCGCTATAATCATGAAGAATCACACCAGCCTATTCATATCCAAAAATAAATCATAATTATGAGAGATCGTTATGGTAATCACTATATCAAATTTGCTCTTGAAAGTACCATGAACTCCCATTTTCCATGTGTCTACTAAAAATCATGAAAAGTGTAGTTTATATCATTACTTCACCAAAAGGTGAAACATACTCGCATCTTTTGTCTGTACTTTCTCTCCTGTTAACGGTCATTCAAGAAAAACTCCAAGGTTTTCCTCACCAATAAATGCATGTTCTTTCTTTCTATTTCCTTGTTTGCTCTTTATCTATAATGTTTTGATGAACAAGGAGCAATTGTTTGATATAAAAAGTGTAGGTGTGTAATTTGCTTTGACTCTATATCTTACCTGTTCCACACGTAGGCCCAGTATGGCCAGGATTGCAGGCACAAGTAAACATGTTCACTCCGTCACTACAAATTCCTCCATTCTCACAAGGATCGGGCGAACAATCGTTGATATCTATGCAAATTGAGTTCCAAAGACAATAAATGGGATAAAAAGGATGAGTAAATAATGTCCCTTTTGAAATATTTATCTTTATTTAGCGGTGAACAGCTAAAAAAGAAGTCAAAACTTGCATTTTATAAACAATAAATGACAGTTCAAGAATAAATTCCTTCATTTGAAAATCTGTTAATACATAATCCAAGTTAAGTTAATGAACTTAATATTTCTTTGGAAGTTAGCATCTTTTTTCAAAAAAAGGGTCTTAGAAAGAAAATATTTTTTTGAAAAAATCTCATCGTCCCACAAAACGTAGTGCCGAACATGAACGTGCCACTAAAACAAATTTCTTTCATTTGGGCGTGAAATGCATTTGAAAAAGGTGGCGGAAATGACATGAGAAAGTCTGATTTTTAAGACACCTCAGCACCAAAGGTTTAATCGCTATAATCATGATGAATCACACCAGTCTGTTCATATCCCAAAATAAATCATAATTATGAGAAATCGTTGTGGTAATCACTATATCAAATTTGCTCTTGAAAGTACCATGCACTCCCATCTTCCATGTGTCTACTCAAAATCATGAAGATTGTAGTTTATATCATAACTTCACCAAAAGTTGAAACCCCTCGCATCTTTTGTCTGGTCTTTCTCTCCTGTTGACTGTCAATTAAAAAAAAAATCCAAGGTTTTCCTCACCAATGACTCCATGTTTCTTTCTGTCTATTTCCTTGTTTGCTTTTTATCTATAATGTTTTGATGAACAAGGAGCAATTGTTTGATATAAAAAGTGTAGGTGTGTAATTTGCTTTGACTCTATATCTTACCTGTTCCACACGTAGGCCCAGTATAGCCAGGATTGCAGGCACAAGTAAAGGTGTTCACTCCGTCACTGCAAATTCCTCCATTCTCACAAGGATCGGGCGAACAATCGTTGATATCTATGCAAATTGAGTTCCGAAGACAATAAATGGGATAAAAGGGATGAGTATATAATGTCCCTTTTGACATATTTATCTTCATTTGGCGGTATACAGGTAAAAAGAAGTCAAAACTTGCATTCTATATACAAATAATGACAGTTCAAGGATAAATTCCTTCATTTGAAAATCTGTTAATACATTATTCAAATTAAGTAAATGAACTTAATATCTCTTTGAAAATTAGCATCTTTTTTTCAAAAACATGGCCTTAGAAAGAAAATATTTTTTTGAAAAAAATCTCATCGTCCCACAAAACGTAGTGCCAAACATGAAAATGTCACTAAAACAAATTTCTTTCATTTGGGCGTGAAATGCATTTGAAAAAAAGTGGCGGAAATGACATAAGAAAGTCTGATTTTTAAGACATCTCAGCACCAAAGGTTAAATCGCTATAATCATGAAGAATCACACCAGCCTATTCATATCCAAAAATAAATCATAATTATGAGAGATCGTTATGGTAATCACTATATCAAATTTGCTCTTGAAAGTACCATGAACTCCCATTTTCCATGTGTCTACTAAAAATCATGAAAAGTGTAGTTTATATCATTACTTCACCAAAAGGTGAAACATACTCGCATCTTTTGTCTGTACTTTCTCTCCTGTTGACGGTCATTCAAGAAAAACTCCAAGGTTTTCCTCACCAATAAATGCATGTTCTTTCTTTCTATTTCCTTGTTTGCTCTTTATCTATAATGTTTTGATGAACAAGGAGCAATTGTTTGATATAAAAAGTGTAGGTGTGTAATTTGCTTTGACTCTATATCTTACCTGTTCCACACGTAGGCCCAGTATGGCCAGGATTGCAGGCACAAGTAAAGGTGTTCACTCCATCACTGCAAATTCCTCCATTCTCACAAGGATCGGGCGAACAATCGTTGATATCTATGCAAATTGAGTTCCAAAGATAATAAATGGGATAAGAGGGATGAGTAAATAATGTCCCTTTTGACATATTTATCTTCATTTGGCGGTAGACAGGTAAAAAGAAGTCAAATCTTGCATTCTAAATACAAATAATGACAGTTCAAGGATAAATTCCATCATTAGAAAATCTGTTAATACATAATTCAAGTTAAATAAATAAACTTGATATCTTTTTGGAAGTTAGCATCTTTTTTTCAAAAACATGGCCTTAGAAAGAAAAAAAAAATTGAAAAAATCTCATCGTCCCACAAAACGTAGTGCCAAACATAAACATGCCACTAAAACAAATTTCTTTCATTTGGGCGTGAAATGCATTTGAAAATGGTGGCGGAAATGACATGGGATAGTCTGATTTTGAAGATACCTCAGCACCAAAGGTTGAATCGCTATAATCATGAAGAATCACACCAGTCTATTCATATCCAAAAATAAATCATAATTATGAGAGATCGTTGTGGTAATCACTATATCAAATTTGCTCTTGAAAGTACCATGCACTCCCATTTTCCATGTGTCTACTCAAAATCATGAAGATTGTAGTTTATATCATAACTTCACCAAAAGGTGAAACACCCTCGCATCTTTTGTCTGGTCTTTCTCTCCTGTTGACTGTGAATCAAGAAAAACTCCAAGGTTATCCTTACCAATGACTCCATGTTTCTTTCTGTCTATTTCCTTGTTTGCTTTTTATCTATAATGTTTTGATGAACAAGGAGCAATTGTTTGATATAAAAAGTGTAGGTGTGTAATTTGCTTTGACTCTATATCTTACCTGTTCCACACGTAGCCCCAGTATATCCAGGATTGCAGGCACAAATAAACGTGTTCACTCCATCACTGCAAATTCCTCCATTTTCACAAGGATCGGGAGAACAATCGTTGATATCTATGCAAATTGAGTTCCAAAGACAATAAATGGGATAAAAAGGATGAGTAAATAATGTCCCTTTTGAAATATTTATCTTTATTTAGCGGTGAACAGCTAAAAAGAAGTCAAAACTTGCATTTTATATACAAATAATGACAGTTCAAGGATAAATTCCTTCATTTGAAAATCTGTTAATACATAATTCAAGTTAATTAAATGAACTTAATATCTTTTTGGAAGTTAGCATCTTTTTTCAAAAACATGGCCTTAGAAAGAAAATATTTTTTTGAAAAAATCTCATCGTCCCACAAAACGTAGTGCCAATAATGAAAATGTCACTAAAACAAATTTCTTTCATTTGGGCGTGAAATGCATTTGAAAATGGTGGCGGAAATGACATGGGATAGTCTGATTTTGAAGACACCTCAGCACCAAAGGTTGAATCGCTATAATCATGATGAATCACACCAGTCTATTCATATCCAAAAATAAATCATAATTATGAGAGATCGTTGTGGTAATCACTATATCAAATTTGCTCTTGAAAGTACCATGCACTCCCATTTTCCATGTGTCTACTCAAAATCATGAAGATTGTAGTTTATATCATAACTTCACCAAAAGGTGAAACACCCTCGCATCTTTTGTCTGGTCTTTCTCTCCTGTTGACTGTCAATCAAGAAAAACTCCAAGGTTATCCTCACCAATGACTCCATGTTTCTTTCTGTCTATTTCCTTGTTTGCTTTTTATCTATAATGTTTTGATGAAAAGGAGCAATTGTTTGATATAAAAAGTGTAGGTGTGTAATTTGCTTTGACCCTATATCTTACCTGTTCCACACGTAGGCCCAGTATATCCAGGATTGCAGGCACAAATAAACGTGTTCACTCCATCACTGCAAATTCCTCCATTTTCACAAGGATCGGGAGAACAATCGTTGATATCTATGCAAATTGAGTTCCAAAGACAATAAATGGGATAAAAAGGATGAGTAAATAATGTCCCTTTTGAAATATTTATCTTTATTTAGCGGTGAACAGCTAAAAAGATGTCAAAACTTGCATTCTAAATACAAATAATGACAGTTCAAGGATAAATTCTTTCATTTGAAAATCTGTTTATACATAATTCAAGTTTAGTAAATGAACTTAATATCTCTTTGGAAGTTAGCATCTTTTTTCACAAACATGGCCTTAGAAAGAAAATATTTTTTTGAAAAAATCTCATCGTCCCACAAAACGTAGTGCCAATAATGAAAATGTCATTAAAACAAATTTCTTTCATTTGGGCTTGAAATGCATTTGAAAAAGGTGGCGGAAATGACATAAGAAAGTCTGATTTTTAAGACATCTCAGCCCCAAAGGTTGAATCGCTATAATCATGAAGAATCACACCAGCCTATTCATATACAAAAATAAATCATAATTATGAGAGATCGTTATGGTAATCACTATATCAAATTTGCTCTTGAAAGTACCATGAACTCCCATTTTCCATGTGTCTACTAAAAATCATGAAAAGTGTAGTTTATATCATTACTTCACCAAAAGGTGAAACATAATCGCATCTTTTGTCTGGTCTTTCTCTCCTGTTGACTGTCATTCAAGAAAAACTCCAAGGTTTTCCTCACCAATGAATGCATGTTCTTTCTTTCTATTTCCTTGTTTGCTCTTTATCTATAATGTTTTGATGAACAAGGAGCAATTGTTTGATATAAAAAGTGTAGGTGTTTAATTTGCTTTGACTCTATATCTTACCTGTTCCACACGTAGGCCCAGTATGGCCAGGATTGCAGGCACAAGTAAACATGTTCACTCCGTCACTACAAATTCCTCCATTCTCACAAGGATCGGGCGAACAATCGTTGATATCTATGCAAATTGAGTTCCAAAGACAATAAATGGGATAAAAAGGATGAGTAAATAATGTCCCTTTTGAAATATTTATCTTTATTTAGCGGTGAACAGCTAAAAAGAAGTCAAAATTTGCATTCTAAATACAAATAATGACAGTTCAAGGATAAATTCTTTCATTTGAAAATCTGTTTATACATAATTCAAGTTAAGTAAATGAACTTAATATCTCTTTGGAAGTTAGCATCTTTTTTCAAAAACATGGCCTTAGAAAGAAAATATTTTTTGAAAAAATCTCATCGTCCCACAAAACGTAGTGCCAATAATGAAAATGTCACTAAAACAAATTTCTTTCATTTGGGCTTGAAATGCATTTGAAAAAGGTGGCGGAAATGACATAAGAAAGTCTGATTTTTAAGACATTTCAGCACCAAAGGTTGAATCGCTTTAATCATGAAGAATCACACCAGCCTATTCATATCCAAAAATAAACCATAATTATGAGAGATCGTTATGGTAATCAATATATCAAATTTGCTCTTGAAAGTACCATGAACTCCCATTTTCCATGTGTCTACTAAAAATCATGAAAAGTGTAGTTTATATCATTACTTCACCAAAAGGTGAAACATAATCGCATCTTTTGTCTGGTCTTTCTCTCCTGTTGACTGTCATTCAAGAAAAACTCCAAGGTTTTCCTCACCAATGAATGCATGTTCTTTCTTTCTATTTCCTTGTTTGCTCTTGATCTATAATGTTTTGATGAACAAGGAGCGATTGTTTGATATAAAAAGTGTAGGTGTGTAATTTGCTTTGATACTATATCTTACCTGTTCCACACGTAGGCCCAGTATGGCCAGGATTGCAGGCACAAGTAAACATGTTCACTCCGTCACTACAAATTCCTCCATTCTCACAAGGATCGGGCGAACAATCGTTGATATCTATGCAAATTGAGTTCCAAAGACAATAAATGGGATAAAAAGGATGAGTAAATAATGTCCCTTTTGAAATATTTATCTTTATTTAGCGGTGAACAGCTAAAAAGAAGTCAAAACTTGCATTCTAAATACAAATAATGACAGTTCAAGGATAAATTCTTTCATTTGAAAATCTGTTTATACATAATTCAAGTTAAGTAAATGAACTTTATATCTCTTTGGAAGTTAGCATCTTTTTTCAAAAACATGGCCTTAGAAAGAAAATATTTTTTTGAAAAAATCTCATCGTCCCACAAAACGTAGTGCCAATAATGAAAATGTCACTAAAACAAATTTCTTTCATTTGGGCTTGAAATGCATTTGAAAAAGGTGGCGGAAATGACATAAGGAAGTCTGATTTTTAAGACATTTCAGCACCAAAGGTTGAATCGCTATAATCATGAAGAATCACACCAGCCTATTCATATCCAAAAATAAATCATAATTATGAGAGATCGTTATGGTAATCAATATATCAAATTTGCTCTTGAAAGTACCATAAACTCCCATTTTCCATGTGTCTACTAAAAATCATGAAAAGTGTAGTTTATATCATTACTTCACCAAAAGGTGAAACATACTCGCATCTTTTGTCTGTACTTTCTCTCCTGTTGACGGTCATTCAAGAAAAACTCCAAGGTTTTCCTCACCAATGAATGCATGTTCTTTCGTTCTATTTCCTTGTTTGCTCTTTATCTATAATGTTTTGATGAACAAGGAGCAATTGTTTGATATAAAAAGTGTAGGTGTGTAATTTGCTTTGACTCTATATCTTACCTGTTCCACACGTAGGCCCAGTATGGCCAGGATTGCAGGCACAAGTAAACATGTTTACTCCGTCACTACAAATTCCTCCATTCTCACAAGGATCGGGCGAACAATCGTTGATATCTATGCAAATTGAGTTCCAAAGACAATAAATGGGATAAAGAGGATGAGTAAATAATGTCCCTTTTGAAATATTTATCTGTATTTAGCGGTGAACAGCTAAAAAAAAAGTCAAAACTTGCATTCTATATACAAATAATGACAGTTCAAGAATAAATTCCTTCATTTGAAAATCTGTTAATACATAATTCAAATTAAGTAAATGAACTTAATATCTCTTTGGAAGTTAGCATCTTTTTTCAAAAACATGGCCTTAGAAAGAAAATATTTTTTTGAAAAAATCTCATCGTCCCACAAAACGTAGTGCCAATAATGAAAATGTCACTAAAACAAATTTCTTTCATTTGGGCGTGAAATGCATTTGAAAATGGTGGCGGAAATGACATGGGATAGTCTGATTTTTAAGACATCTCAGCACCAAAGGTTGAATCGCTATAATCATGAAGAATCACACCAGCCTATTCATATCCAAAAATAAATCATAATTATGAGAGATCGTTATGGTAATCACTATATCAAATTTGCTCTTGAAAGTACCATGAACTCCCATTTTCCATGTGTCTACTAAAAATCATGAAAAGTGTAGTTTATATCATTACTTCACCAAAAGGTGAAACATACTCGCATCTTTTGTCTGTACTTTCTCTCCTGTTGACTGTCATTCAAGAAAAACTCCAAGGTTTTCCTCACCAATGAATGCATGTTCTTTCTTTCTATTTCCTTGTTTGCTCTTTATCTATAATGTTTTGATGAACAAGGAGCCATTGTTTGATATAAAAAGTGTAGGTGTGTAATTTGCTTTGACTCTATATCTTACCTGTTCCACACGTAGGCCCAGTATGGCCAGGATTGCAGGCACAAGTAAAGGTGTTCACTCCATCACTGCAAATTCCTCCATTCTCACAAGGATCGGGCGAACAATCGTTGATATCTATGCAAATTGAGTTTCAAAGATAATAAATGGGATAAAAGGGATGAGTAAATAATGTCCCTTTTGACATATTTATCTTCATTTGGCGGTAGACAGGTAAAAAGAAGTCAAAAATTTGCATTCTATATACACATAATGACAGTTCAAGGATAAATTCCTTCATTTGAAAATCTGTTAATACATAATTCAAGTTAAGTAAATGAACTTAATATCTCTTTGGAAGTTAGCATCTTTTTTCAAAAACATGGCCTTAGAAAGAAAAAAAAAATTGAAAAAATCTCATCGTCCCACAAAACGTAGTGCCGAACATAAACATGCCACTAAAACAAATTTCTTTCATTTGGGCGTGAAATGCATTTGAAAATGGTGGCGGAAATGACATGGGATAGTCTGATATTTAAGACACCTCAGCACCAAAGGTTGAATCGCTATAATCATGATGAATCACACCAGTCTTATTATATCCTAAAACAAATCATAAGTATGAGAGATCGTTGTGGTAATCACTATATCAAATTTTCTCTTGAAAGTACCATGCACTCCAATTTCTCATGTGTCTACGCGCAATCATGAAGATTGTAGTTTATATCAATACTGCACCAAAAGGTGAAACCCCTCGCATCTTTTGTCTGGTCTTTCTCTCCTGTTGACTGTCAATCAAGAAAAACTCCAAGGTTTTCCTCACCAATGACTCCATGTTTCTTTCTGTCTATTTCCTTGTTTGCTTTTTATCTATGTTTTGATGAACAAGGAGCAATTGTTTGATATAAAAAGTGTAGGTGTGTAATTTGCTTTGACTCTATATCTTACCTGTTCCACACGTAGGCCCAGTATATCCAGGATTGCAGGCACAAATAAACGTGTTCACTCCATCACTGCAAATTCCTCCATTTTCACAAGGATCGGGAGAACAATCGTTGATATCTATGCAAATTGAGTTCCAAAGACAATAAATGGGATAAAAGGGATGAGTAAATATTGTCCCTTTTGACACATTTATCTTCATTTGGCGGTGAACAGGTAAAAAGAAGTCAAAATTTGCATTCTATAATTATACACATAATGACAGTTCAAGGATAAATTCCTTCATTTGAAAATCTGTTAATACATAATTCAAGTTAATTAAATGAACTTAATATCTCTTTGTAAGTTAGCATCTTTTTTCAAAAACATGGCCCTAGAAAGAAAATATTTTTTTGAAAAAATCTCATCGTTCCACAAAACGTAGTGCCAATAATGAAAATGTCACTAAAACAAATTTCTTTCATTTGGGCTTGAAATGCATTTGAAAAAGGTGGCGGAAATGACATAAGAAAGTCTGATTTTTAAGACACCTCAGCACCAAAGGTTGAATCGCTATAATCATGATGAATCACACCAGTCTATTCATATCCAAAAATAAATCATAATTATGAGAGATCGTTGTGGTAATCACTATATCAAATTTGCTCTTGAAAGTACCATGCACTCCCATTTTCCATGTGTCTACTAAAAATCATGAAAAGTGTAGTTTATATCATAACTTCACCAAAAGGTGAAACATACTCGCATCTTTTGTCTATACTTTCTCTCCTGTTGACTGTCATTTAAAAAAAACTCCAAGGTTTTCCTCACCAATGAATGCATGTTCTTTCTTTCTATTTCCTTGTTTGCTCTTTATCTATAATGTTTTGATGAACAAGGAGCAATTGTTTGATATAAAAAGTGTAGGTGTGTAATTTGCTTTGACACTATATCTTACCTGTTCCACACGTAGGCCCAGTATGGCCAGGATTGCAGGCACAAGTAAACATGTTCACTCCGTCACTACAAATTCCTCCATTCTCACAAGGATCGGGCGAACAATCGTTGATATCTATGCAAATTGAGTTCCAAAGATAATAAATGGGATAAAAGGGATGAGTAAATAATGTCCCTTTTGACACATTTATCTTCATTTGGCGGTAGACAGGTTAAAAGAAGTCAAATCTTGCATTCTAAATACAAATAATGACAGTTCAAGGATAAATTCCTTCATTTGAAAATCTGTTAATACATAATTCAAGTTAAATAAATGAACTTGATATTTCTTTGGAAGTTAGCATCTTTTTTTCAAAAACATGGCCTTAGAAAGAAAAAAAAATTGAAAAAATCTCATCGTCCCACAAAACGTAGTGCCGAACATAAACATGCCACTAAAACAAATTTCTTTCATTTGGGCGTGAAATGCATTTGAAAATGGTGGCGGAAATGACATGGGATAGTCTGATCTTTAAGACACCTCAGCACCAAAGGTTGAATTGCTATAATCATGATGAATCACACCAGTCTTATTATATCCTAAAACAAATCATAAGTATGAGAGATCGTTGTGGTAATCACTATATCAAATTTTCTCTTGAAAGTACCATGCACTCCAATTTCTCATGTGTCTACGAGAAATCATGAAGATTGTAGTTTATATCAATACTGCACCAAAAGGTGAAACCCCTCGCATCTTTTGTCTGGTCTTTCTCTCCTGTTGACTGTCAATCAAGAAAAACTCCAAGGTTTTCCTCACCAATGACTCCATGTTTCTTTCTGTCTATTTCCTTGTTTGCTTTTTATCTATGTTTTGATGAACAAGGAGCAATTGTTTGATATAAAAAGTGTAGGTGTGTAATTTGCTTTGACTCTATATCTTACCTGTTCCACACGTAGGCCCAGTATATCCAGGATTGCAGGCACAAATAAACGTGTTCACTCCATCACTGCAAATTCCTCCATTTTCACAAGGATCGGGAGAACAATCGTTGATATCTATGCAAATTGAGTTCCAAAGACAATAAATGGGATTAAAGGGATGAGTAAATATTGTCCCTTTTGACACATTTATCTTCATTTGGCGGTGAACAGGTAAAAAGAAGTCAAAATTTGCATTCTATGATTATACACATAATGACAGTTCAAGGATAAATTCCTTCATTTGAAAATCTGTTAATACATAATACAAGTTAATTATATGAACTTAATATCTCTTTGTAAGTTACCATCTTTTTTCAAAAACATGGCCCTAGAAAGAAAATATTTTTTTGGAAAAATCTCATCGTCACACAAAACGTAGTGCCAATAATGAAAATGTCACTAAAACAAATTTCTTTCATTTGGGCTTGAAATGCATTTGAAAAAGGTGGCGGAAATGCCATAAGAAAGTCTGATTTTTAAGACATCTCAGCACCAAAGGTTAAATCGCTATAATCATGATGAATCACACCAGTCTATTCATATCCAAAAATAAATCATAATTATGAGAGATCGTTGTGGTAATCACTATATCAAATTTGCTCTTGAAAGTACCATGCACTCCCATTTTCCATGTGTCTACTCAAAATCATGAAGATTGTAGTTTATATCATAACTTCACCAAAAGGTGAAACACCCTCGCATCCTTTGTCTGGTCTTTCTCTCCTGTCGACTGTCAATCAAGAAAAACTCCAAGGTTTTCCTCACCAATGACTCCATGTTTCTTTCTGTCTATTCCTTGTTTGCTTTTTATCTATAATGTTTTGATGAACAAGGAGCAATTGTTTGATATAAAAAGTATAGGTGTGTAATTTGCTTTGACTCTATGGGTGCGTTTAATCGACACTTTTTCACCCTAGAATCACGGTTTCTAAAGACGTTTAGTTTAAAACGCAATGCGTTCAAGCGATTTTTCGTCGGTCGTAAAAATAAACGTGTTTGAAAACACAAACATGAAACGCTGAAAAAGATGCGTTTTGTATCATGATTCAAAAGAATCACGGTCGCTAAAATTCGATTGAACGGACGGAGTTCTCAATCATGATTGTATGACGAAGCCTCTTCCGGTTTGGGAAAAACCGCGCGCCCGCTTTGCATGCAATTTGCGTTCACTATACCATCGTGGCCTGTTCCGTTATGTTATTCCTTGTTTTTCCTTCTATCATTTTTTCTTTCTGTTTTTCCTTATGTTATTCTTTGTTTCTTCCTTCTATTCTTATGTTATTCTTTGTTTTTTTCCTTCTATCACCTTTTCTTATGTTATTCTTTGTTTTTATCATTCTATCATTTGCTCTTTCTGTCTTTCCTTATGTTATTCTTTGTTTCTTCCTTCTATTCTTATGTTATTCTTTGTTTTTTTCCTTCTATCACCTTTTCTTATGTTATTCTTTGTTTTAAGCATTCTATCAATTTCTCTTTCTGTCTTTCCTTATGTTATTCTTTGTTTCTTCCTTCTATCATCTTCTCTTATGTTATTCTTTGTTTTTTTCCTTCTATCACCTTTTCTTATGTTATTCTTTGTTTTTATCATTCTATCATTTGCTCTTTCTGTCTTTCCTTATGTTATTCTTTGTTTCTTCCTTCTATTCTTATGTTATTCTTTGTTTTTTCCTTCTATCACCTTTTCTTATGTAATTCTTTGTTTTAAGCATTCTATCAATTTCTCTTTCTGTCTTTCTTTATGTTATTCTTTGTTTCTTCCTTTTATCATCTTCTCTTATGTTATTCTTTGTTTTTATAATTCTATCACTTTCTCTTATGTTATTCTTTGTTTTAATCATTCTGTTACTTTCTCTTTCTATCTTTCATTATGTTATCCTTTGATTCTTCCTTCTTTCACCTTCTCTTATGTTATTCTTTGTTTTAATCATTCTATCACTTTCTCTTTCTGTTCTTCCTTATGTCATTCTTTGTTCCTTCCTTTTTTCACATTCTCTTTCTGTCTTTCCTTATGTTATTCTTTGTTTCTTCCTTCTATTTTTATGTTATTCTTTGTTTTTTCCTTCTATTACCTTCTCTTTTGTTATTCTTTGTTTCTTCCTTCTATTCTTATGTTATGCTTTGTTTTTTCCTTCTATCACCTTTTATGTTATTCTTTGTTTTAAGCATTCTATCACTCTCTCTTTCTGTCTTTCTGTCTTTCCTTATGTTATTCTTCGATTCTTCCTTCTTTCACCTTCTCTTATGTTATTCTTTGTTTTAATCATTCTATCGACTTTATCTTTCTGTCTTTCCTTATGTTATTCTTTGTTTCTTCCTTCTATCACCTTCTCATTCTTTGTCTTATTATTGCGATCTATGCTCAAAACAGCAGTCGACAGTAGGCCGTAAACAATTCCAGAAAGCGCGCGCCGAAGTTCCTGGGCCATACTGCGCAGTGTGATGCGCAGTGGTTTGGCTCGCAATGAGCTAGAATCAGCGTTGATGAAAAATCGCTTGAACGCAAACCGCAGTGACCTTGCTTTTTGTAACGGCGTTTTGAATTGTGATTCATGTTTGTGATTCTAGCTTCGAAAATTCGATTGAACGCACCCTATATCTTACCTGTTCCACACGTAGGCCCAGTATATCCAGGATTGCAGGCACAAATAAACGTGTTCACTCCATCACTGCAAATTCCTCCATTTTCACAAGGATCGGGAGAACAATCGTTGATATCTATGCAAATTGAGTTCCAAAGACAATAAATGGGATAAAAGGGATGAGTAAATAATGTCCCTTTTGACACATTTATCTTCATTTGGCGGTAGACAGGTTAAAAGAAGTCAAATCTTGCATTCTAAATACAAATAATGACAGTTCAAGGATAAATTCCTTCATTTGAAAATCTGTTAATACATAATTCAAGTTAAATAAATGAACTTGATATTTCTTTGGAAGTTAGCATCTTTTTTTCAAAAACATGGCCTTAGAAAGAAAAAAAAAATTGAAAAAATCTCATCGTCCCACAAAACGTAGTGCCAAACATAAACATGCCACTAAAACAAATTTCTTTCATTTGGGCGTGAAATGCATTTGAAAATGGTGGCGGAAATGAAATGGGATAGTCTGATTTTTAAGACATCTCAGCACCAAAGGTTGAATTGCTATAATCATGATGAATCACACCAGTCTATTCATATCCAAAAATAAATCATAATTATGAGAGATCGTTGTGGTAATCACTATATCAAATTTGCTCTTGAAAGTACCATGCACTCCCATTTTCCATGTGTCTACTAAAAATCATGAAAAGTGTAGTTTATATCATAACTTCACCAAAAGGTGAAACATACTCGCATCTTTTGTCTGTACTTTCTCTCCTGTTGACTGTCATTCAAGAAAAACTCCAAGGTTTTCCTCACCAATGAATGCATGTTCTTTCTTTCTATTTCCTTGTTTGCTCTTTATCTATAATGTTTTGATGAACAAGGAGCAATTGTTTGATATAAAAAGTGTAGGTGTGTAATTTGCTTTGACTCTATATCTTACCTGTTCCACACGTAGGCCCAGTATGGCCAGGATTGCAGGCACAAGTAAACATGTTCACTCCGTCACTACAAATTCCTCCATTCTCACAAGGATCGGGCGAACAATCGTTGATATCTATGCAAATTGAGTTCCAAAGACAATAAATGGGATAAAAGGGATGAGTAAATAATGTCCCTTTTGACACATTTATCTTCATTTGGCGGTAGACAGGTTAAAAGAAGTCAAATCTTGCATTCTAAATACAAATAATGACAGTTCAAGGATAAATTCCTTCATTTGAAAATCTGTTAATACATAATTCAAGTTAAATAAATGAACTTGATATTTCTTTGGAAGTTAGCATCTTTTTTCAAAAACATGGCCTTAGAAAGAAAAAAAAAATTGAAAAAATCTCATCGTCCCACAAAACGTAGTGCCAAACATAAACATGCCACTAAAACAAATTTCTTTCATTTGGGCGTGAAATGCATTTGAAAATGGTGGCGGAAATGACATGGGATAGTCTGATCTTTAAGACACCTCAGCACCAAAGGTTGAATTGCTATAATCATGATGAATCACACCAGTCTATTCATATCCAAAAACAAATCATAATTATGAGAGATCGTTGTGGTAATCACTATATCAAATTTTCTCTTGAAAGTACCATGCACTCCAATTTCTCATGTGTCTACGAGAAATCATGAAGATTGTAGTTTATATCAATACTGCACCAAAAGGTGAAACCCCTCGCATCTTTTGTCTGGTCTTTCTCTCCTGTTGACTGTCAATCAAGAAAAACTCCAAGGTTTTCCTCACCAATGACTCCATGTTTCTTTCTGTCTATTTCCTTGTTTGCTTTTTATCTATGTTTTGATGAACAAGGAGCAATTGTTTGATATAAAAAGTGTAGGTGTGTAATTTGCTTTGACTCTATATCTTACCTGTTCCACACGTAGGCCCAGTATATCCAGGATTGCAGGCACAAATAAACGTGTTCACTCCATCACTGCAAATTCCTCCATTTTCACAAGGATCGGGAGAACAATCGTTGATATCTATGCAAATTGAGTTCCAAAGACAATAAATGGGATAAAAGGGATGAGTAAATAATGTCCCTTTTGACACATTTATCTTCATTTGGCGGTGAACAGGTAAAAAGAAGTCAAAATTTGCATTCTATAATATACACATAATGACAGTTCAAGGATAAATTCCTTCATTTGAAAATCTGTTAATACATAATTCAAGTTAATTAAATGAACTTAATATCTCTTTGTAAGTTAGCATCTTTTTTCAAAAACATGGCCTTAGAAAGAAAATATTTTTTTGGAAAAAATCTCATCGTCCCACAAAACGTAGTGCCAATAATGAAAATGTCACTAAAACAAATTTCTTTCATTTGGGCGTGAAATGCATTTGAAAATGGTGGCGGAAATGACATGGGATAGTCTGATTTTTAAGACATCTCAGCACCAAAGGTTGAATCGCTATAATCATGATGAATCACACCAGTCTATTCATATCCAAAAATAAATCATAATTATGAGAGATCGTTGTGGTAATCACTATATCAAATTTGCTCTTGAAAGTACCATGCACTCCCATTTTCCATGTGTCTACTAAAAATCATGAAAAGTGTAGTTTATATCATAACTTCACCAAAAGGTGAAACATACTCGCATCTTTTGTCTGTACTTTCTCTCCTGTTGACTGTCATTCAAGAAAAACTCCAAGGTTTTCCTCACCAATGAATGCATGTTCTTTCTTTCTATTTCCTTGTTTGCTCTTTATCTATAATGTTTTGATGAACAAGGAGCAATTGTTTGATATAAAAAGTGTAGGTGTGTAATTTGCTTTGACTCTATATCTTACCTGTTCCACACGTAGGCCCAGTATGGCCAGGATTGCAGGCACAAGTAAACATGTTCACTCCGTCACTACAAATTCCTCCATTCTCACAAGGATCGGGCGAACAATCGTTGATATCTATGCAAATTGAGTTCCAAAGATAATAAATGGGATAAAAGGGATGAGTAAATAATGTCCCTTTTGACACATTTATCTTCATTTGGCGGTAGACAGGTTAAAAGAAGTCAAATCTTGCATTCTAAATACAAATAATGACAGTTCAAGGATAAATTCCTTCATTTGAAAATCTGTTAATACATAATTCAAGTTAAATAAATGAACTTGATATTTCTTTGGAAGTTAGCATCTTTTTTTCAAAAACATGGCCTTAGAAAGAAAAAAAAATTGAAAAAATCTCATCGTCCCACAAAACGTAGTGCCAAACATAAACATGCCACTAAAACAAATTTCTTTCATTTGGGCGTGAAATGCATTTGAAAATGGTGGCGGAAATGACATGGGATAGTCTGATCTTTAAGACACCTCAGCACCAAAGGTTGAATTGCTATAATCATGATGAATCACACCAGTCTTATTATATCCTAAAACAAATCATAAGTATGAGAGATCGTTGTGGTAATCACTATATCAAATTTTCTCTTGAAAGTACCATGCACTCCAATTTCTCATGTGTCTACTCAAAATCATGAAGATTGTAGTTTATATCAATACTGCACCAAAAGGTGAAACCCCTCGCATCTTTTGTCTGGTCTTTCTCTCCTGTTGACTGTCAATCAAGAAAAACTCCAAGGTTTTCCTCACCAATGACTCCATGTTTCTTTCTGTCTATTTCCTTGTTTGCTTTTTATCTATGTTTTGATGAACAAGGAGCAATTGTTTGATATAAAAAGTGTAGGTGTGTAATTTGCTTTGACTCTATATCTTACCTGTTCCACACGTAGGCCCAGTATATCCAGGATTGCAGGCACAAATAAACGTGTTCACTCCATCACTGCAAATTCCTCCATTTTCACAAGGATCGGGAGAACAATCGTTGATATCTATGCAAATTGAGTTCCAAAGACAATAAATGGGATAAAAGGGATGAGTAAATATTGTCCCTTTTGACACATTTATCTTCATTTGGCGGTGAACAGGTAAAAAGAAGTCAAAATTTGCATTCTATATATACAATAATGACAGTTCAAGGATAAATTCCTTCATTTGAAAATCTGTTAATACATAATTCAAGTTAATTAAATGAACTTAATATCTCTTTGGAAGTTAGCATCTTTTTTCAAAAACATGGCCTTAGAAAGAAAATATTTTTTGGAAAAATCTCATCGTCCCACAAAACGTAGTGCCAATAATGAAAATGTCACTAAAACAAATTTCTTTCATTTGGGCTTGAAATGCATTTGAAAAAGGTGGCGGAAATGACATAAGAAAGTCTGATTTTTAAGACATCTCAGCACCAAAGGTTGAATCGCTATAATCATGATGAATCACACCAGTCTATTCATATCCAAAAATAAATCATAATTATGAGAGATCGTTGTGGTAATCACTATATCAAATTTGCTCTTGAAAGTACCATGCACTCCCATTTTCCATGTGTCTACTCAAAATCATGAAGAGTGTAGTTTATATCATAACTTCACCAAAAGGTGAAACACCCTCGCATCTTTTGTCTGGTCTTTCTCTCCTGTTGACTGTCAATCAAGAAAAACTCCAAGGTTTTCCTCACCAATGAATGCATGTTCTTTCTTTCTATTTCCTTGTTTGCTCTTTATCTATAATGTTTTGATGAACAAGGAGCAATTGTTTGATATAAAAAGTGTAGGTGTGTAATTTGCTTTGACTCTATATCTTACCTGTTCCACACGTAGGCCCAGTATGGCCAGGATTGCAGGCACAAGTAAACATGTTCACTCCGTCACTACAAATTCCTCCATTCTCACAAGGATCGGGCGAACAATCGTTGATATCTATGCAAATTGAGTTCCAAAGACAATAAATGGGATAAAAGGGATGAGTAAATAATGTCCCTTTTGACACATTTATCTTCATTTGGCGGTAGACAGGTTAAAAGAAGTCAAATCTTGCATTCTAAATACAAATAATGACAGTTCAAGGATAAATTCCTTCATTTGAAAATCTGTTAATACATAATTCAAGTTAAATAAATGAACTTGATATTTCTTTGGAAGTTAGCATCTTTTTTCAAAAACATGGCCTTAGAAAGAAAAAAAAAATTGAAAAAATCTCATCGTCCCACAAAACGTAGTGCCAAACATAAACATGCCACTAAAACAAATTTCTTTCATTTGGGCGTGAAATGCATTTGAAAATGGTGGCGGAAATGACATGGGATAGTCTGATTTTTAAGACATCTCAGCACCAAAGGTTGAATCGCTATAATCATGATGAATCACACCAGTCTATTCATATCCAAAAATAAATCATAATTATGAGAGATCGTTGTGGTAATCACTATATCAAATTTGCTCTTGAAAGTACCATGCACTCCCATTTTCCATGTGTCTACTAAAAATCATGAAAAGTGTAGTTTATATCATAACTTCACCAAAAGGTGAAACATACTCGCATCTTTTGTCTGTACTTTCTCTCCTGTTGACTGTCATTCAAGAAAAACTCCAAGGTTTTCCTCACCAATGACTCCATGTTTCTTTCTGTCTATTTCCTTGTTTGCTTTTATCTATAATGTTTTGATGAACAAGGAGCAATTGTTTGATATAAAAAGTGTAGGTGTGTAATTTGCTTTGACTCTATATCTTACCTGTTCCACACGTAGGCCCAGTATATCCAGGATTGCAGGCACAAATAAACGTGTTCACTCCATCACTGCAAATTCCTCCATTTTCACAAGGATCGGGAGAACAATCGTTGATATCTATGCAAATTGAGTTCCAAAGACAATAAATGGGATAAAAGGGATGAGTAAATAATGTCCCTTTTGACACATTTATCTTCATTTGGCGGTGAACAGGTAAAAAGAAGTCAAAATTTGCATTCTATATACACATAATGACAGTTCAAGGATAAATTCCTTCATTTGAAAATCTGTTAATACATAATTCAAGTTAAGTAAATGAACTTAATATCTCTTTGGAAGTTAGCATCTTTTTTCAAAAACATGGCCTTAGAAAGAAAATATTTTTTTGAAAAAATCTCATCGTCCCACAAAACGTAGTGCCAATAATGAAAATGTCACTAAAACAAATTTCTTTCATTTGGGCTTGAAATGCATTTGAAAAAGGTGGCGGAAATGACATAAGAAAGTCTGATTTTTAAGACATCTCAGCACCAAAGGTTGAATCGCTATAATCATGATGAATCACACCAGTCTATTCATATCCAAAAATAAATCATAATTATGAGAGATCGTTGTGGTAATCACTATATCAAATTTGCTCTTGAAAGTACCATGCACTCCCATTTTCCATGTGTCTACTAAAAATCATGAAAAGTGTAGTTTATATCATAACTTCACCAAAAGGTGAAACATACTCGCATCTTTTGTCTGTACTTTCTCTCCTGTTGACTGTCATTCAAGAAAAACTCCAAGGTTTTCCTCACCAATGAATGCATGTTCTTTCTTTCTATTTCCTTGTTTGCTCTTTATCTATAATGTTTTGATGAACAAGGAGCAATTGTTTGATATAAAAAGTGTAGGTGTGTAATTTGCTTTGACTCTATATCTTACCTGTTCCACACGTAGGCCCAGTATGGCCAGGATTGCAGGCACAAGTAAACATGTTCACTCCGTCACTACAAATTCCTCCATTCTCACAAGGATCGGGCGAACAATCGTTGATATCTATGCAAATTGAGTTCCAAAGACAATAAATGGGATAAAAGGGATGAGTAAATAATGTCCCTTTTGACACATTTATCTTCATTTGGCGGTAGACAGGTTAAAAGAAGTCAAATCTTGCATTCTAAATACAAATAATGACAGTTCAAGGATAAATTCCTTCATTTGAAAATCTGTTAATACATAATTCAAGTTAAATAAATGAACTTAATATTTCTTTGGAAGTTAGCATCTTTTTTTCAAAAACATGGCCTTAGAAAGAAAAAAAAATTTGAAAAAATCTCATCGTCCCACAAAACGTAGTGCCAAACATAAACATGCCACTAAAACAAATTTCTTTCATTTGGGCGTGAAATGCATTTGAAAATGGTGGCGGAAATGACATGGGATAGTCTGATTTTTAAGACATCTCAGCACCAAAGGTTGAATCGCTATAATCATGATGAATCACACCAGTCTATTCATATCCAAAAATAAATCATAATTATGAGAGATCGTTGTGGTAATCACTATATCAAATTTGCTCTTGAAAGTACCATGCACTCCCATTTTCCATGTGTCTACTAAAAATCATGAAAAGTGTAGTTTATATCATAACTTCACCAAAAGGTGAAACATACTCGCATCTTTTGTCTGTACTTTCTCTCCTGTTGACTGTCATTCAAGAAAAACTCCAAGGTTTTCCTCACCAATGAATGCATGTTCTTTCTTTCTATTTCCTTGTTTGCTCTTTATCTATAATGTTTTGATGAACAAGGAGCAATTGTTTGATATAAAAAGTGTAGGTGTGTAATTTGCTTTGACTCTATATCTTACCTGTTCCACACGTAGGCCCAGTATGGCCAGGATTGCAGGCACAAGTAAACATGTTCACTCCATCACTGCAAATTCCTCCATTCTCACAAGGATCGGGCGAACAATCGTTGATATCTATGCAAATTGAGTTCCAAAGACAATAAATGGGATAAAAGGGATGAGTAAATAATGTCCCTTTTGACACATTTATCTTCATTTGGCGGTGACAGGTTAAAAGAAGTCAAATCTTGCATTCTAAATACAAATAATGACAGTTCAAGGATAAATTCCTTCATTTGAAAATCTGTTAATACATAATTCAAGTTAAATAAATGAACTTGATATTTCTTTGGAAGTTAGCATCTTTTTTTCAAAAACATGGCCTTAGAAAGAAAAAAAAAATTGAAAAAATCTCATCGTCCCACAAAACGTAGTGCCAAACATAAAATGCCACTAAAACAAATTTCTTTCATTTGGGCGTGAAATGCATTTGAAAATGGTGGCGGAAATGACATGGGATAGTCTGATTTTTAAGACATCTCAGCACCAAAGGTTGAATCGCTATAATCATGATGAATCACACCAGTCTATTCATATCCAAAAATAAATCATAATTATGAGAGATCGTTGTGGTAATCACTATATCAAATTTGCTCTTGAAAGTACCATGCACTCCCATTTTCCATGTGTCTACTAAAAATCATGAAAAGTGTAGTTTATATCATAACTTCACCAAAAGGTGAAACATACTCGCATCTTTTGTCTGTACTTTCTCTCCTGTTGACTGTCATTCAAGAAAAACTCCAAGGTTTTCCTCACCAATGAATGCATGTTTCTTTCTGTCTATTTCCTTGTTTGCTTTTTATCTATAATGTTTTGATGAACAAGGAGCAATTGTTTGATATAAAAAGTGTAGGTGTGTAATTTGCTTTGACTCTATATCTTACCTGTTCCACACGTAGGCCCAGTATGGCCAGGATTGCAGGCACAAGTAAACATGTTCACTCCATCACTGCAAATTCCTCCATTCTCACAAGGATCGGGAGAACAATCGTTGATATCTATGCAAATTGAGTTCCAAAGACAATAAATGGGATAAAAGGGATGAGTAAATAATGTCCCTTTTGACACATTTATCTTCATTTGGCGGTGAACAGGTAAAAAGAAGTCAAAATTTGCATTCTAAATACAAATAATGACAGTTCAAGGATAAATTCCTTCATTTGAAAATCTGTTAATACATAATTCAAGTTAATTAAATGAACTTAATATCTCTTTGGAAGTTAGCATCTTTTTTCAAAAACATGGCCTTAGAAAGAAAATATTTTTTTGAAAAAATCTCATCGTCCCACAAAACGTAGTGCCAATAATGAAAATGTCACTAAAACAAATTTCTTTCATTTGGGCTTGAAATGCATTTGAAAAAGGTGGCGGAAATGACATAAGAAAGTCTGATTTTTAAGACATCTCAGCACCAAAGGTTGAATCGCTATAATCATGATGAATCACACCAGTCTATTCATATCCAAAAATAAATCATAATTATGAGAGATCGTTGTGGTAATCACTATATCAAATTTGCTCTTGAAAGTACCATGCACTCCCATTTTCCATGTGTCTACTCAAAATCATGAAGATTGTAGTTTATATCATAACTTCACCAAAAGGTGAAACACCCTCGCATCTTTTGTCTGGTCTTTCTCTCCTGTTGACTGTCAATCAAGAAAAACTCCAAGGTTTTCCTCACCAATGACTCCATGTTTCTTTCTGTCTATTTCCTTGTTTGCTTTTTATCTATAATGTTTTGATGAACAAGGAGCAATTGTTTGATATAAAAAGTGTAGGTGTGTAATTTGCTTTGACTCTATATCTTACCTGTTCCACACGTAGGCCCAGTATATCCAGGATTGCAGGCACAAATAAACGTGTTCACTCCATCACTGCAAATTCCTCCATTTCACAAGGATCGGGAGAACAATCGTTGATATCTATGCAAATTGAGTTCCAAAGACAATAAATGGGATAAAAGGGATGAGTAAATAATGTCCCTTTTGACACATTTATCTTCATTTGGCGGTGAACAGGTAAAAAGAAGTCAAAATTTGCATTCTATATACACATAATGACAGTTCAAGGATAAATTCCTTCATTTGAAAATCTGTTAATACATAATTCAAGTTAAGTAAATGAACTTAATATCTCTTTGGAAGTTAGCATCTTTTTTCAAAAACATGGCCTTAGAAAGAAAATATTTTTTTGAAAAAATCTCATCGTCCCACAAAACGTAGTGCCAATAATGAAAATGTCACTAAAACAAATTTCTTTCATTTGGGCGTGAAATGCATTTGAAAATGGTGGCGGAAATGACATGGGATAGTCTGATCTTTAAGACACCTCAGCACCAAAGGTTGAATCGCTATAATCATGAAGAATCACACCAGTCTATTCATATCCAAAAATAAATCATAATTATGAGAGATCGTTGTGGTAATCACTATATCAAATTTGCTCTTGAAAGTACCATGCACTCCCATTTTCCATGTGTCTACTAAAAATCATGAAAAGTGTAGTTTATATCATAACTTCACCAAAAGGTGAAACATACTCGCATCTTTTGTCTGTACTTTCTCTCCTGTTGACTGTCATTCAAGAAAAACTCCAAGGTTTTCCTCACCAATGAATGCATGTTCTTTCTTTCTATTTCCTTGTTTGCTCTTTATCTATAATGTTTTGATGAACAAGGAGCAATTGTTTGATATAAAAAGTGTAGGTGTGTAATTTGCTTTGACTCTATATCTTACCTGTTCCACACGTAGGCCCAGTATGGCCAGGATTGCAGGCACAAGTAAACATGTTCACTCCGTCACTACAAATTCCTCCATTCTCACAAGGATCGGGCGAACAATCGTTGATATCTATGCAAATTGAGTTCCAAAGACAATAAATGGGATAAAAGGGATGAGTAAATAATGTCCCTTTTGACACATTTATCTTCATTTGGCGGTAGACAGGTTAAAAGAAGTCAAATCTTGCATTCTAAATACAAATAATGACAGTTCAAGGATAAATTCCTTCATTTGAAAATCTGTTAATACATAATTCAAGTTAAATAAATGAACTTAATATTTCTTTGGAAGTTAGCATCTTTTTTCAAAAACATGGCCTTAGAAAGAAAAAAAATTTTGAAAAAATCTCATCGTCCCACAAAACGTAGTGCCAAACATAAACATGCCACTAAAACAAATTTCTTTCATTTGGGCGTGAAATGCATTTGAAAATGGTGGCGGAAATGACATGGGATAGTCTGATCTTTAAGACACCTCAGCACCAAAGGTTGAATCGCTATAATCATGATGAATCACACCAGTCTTATTATATCCTAAAACAAATCATAATTATGAGAGATCGTTGTGGTAATCACTATATCAAATTTTCTCTTGAAAGTACCATGCACTCCCATTTTCCATGTGTCTACTAAAAATCATGAAGATTGTAGTTTATATCAATACTGCACCAAAAGGTGAAACCCCTCGCATCTTTTGTCTGGTCTTTCTCTCCTGTTGACTGTCAATCAAGAAAAACTCCAAGGTTTTCCTCACCAATGACTCCATGTTTCTTTCTTTCTATTTCCTTGTTTGCTTTTTATCTATGTTTTGATGAACAAGGAGCAATTGTTTGATATAAAAAGTGTAGGTGTGTAATTTGCTTTGACTCTATATCTTACCTGTTCCACACGTAGGCCCAGTATATCCAGGATTGCAGGCACAAATAAACGTGTTCACTCCATCACTGCAAATTCCTCCATTTCACAAGGATCGGGAGAACAATCGTTGATATCTATGCAAATTGAGTTCCAAAGACAATAAATGGGATAAAAGGGATGAGTAAATAATGTCCCTTTTGACACATTTATCTTCATTTGGCGGTAGACAGGTTAAAAGAAGTCAAATCTTGCATTCTAAATACAAATAATGACAGTTCAAGGATAAATTCCTTCATTTGAAAATCTGTTAATACATAATTCAAGTTAAATAAATGAACTTAATATTTCTTTGGAAGTTAGCATCTTTTTTTCAAAAACATGGCCTTAGAAAGAAAAAAAAAATTTGAAAAAATCTCATCGTCCCACAAAACGTAGTGCCAAACATAAACATGCCACTAAAACAAATTTCTTTCATTTGGGCGTGAAATGCATTTGAAAATGGTGGCGGAAATGACATGGGATAGTCTGATCTTTAAGACACCTCAGCACCAAAGGTTGAATCGCTATAATCATGATGAATCACACCAGTCTTATTATATCCTAAAAAAATCATAATTATGAGAGATCGTTGTGGTAATCACTATATCAAATTTTCTCTTGAAAGTACCATGCACTCCCATTTTCATGTGTCTACTAGAAATCATGAAGATTGTAGTTTATATCAATACTGCACCAAAAGGTGAAACCCCTCGCATCTTTTGTCTGGTCTTTCTCTCCTGTTGACTGTCAATCAAGAAAAACTCCAAGGTTTTCCTCACCAATGACTCCATGTTTTTTTCTGTCTATTTCCTTGTTTGCTTTTTATCTATGTTTTGATGAACAAGGAGCAATTGTTTGATATAAAAAGTGTAGGTGTGTAATTTGCTTTGACTCTATATCTTACCTGTTCCACACGTAGGCCCAGTATATCCAGGATTGCAGGCACAAATAAACGTGTTCACTCCATCACTGCAAATTCCTCCATTTTCACAAGGATCGGGAGAACAATCGTTGATATCTATGCAAATTGAGTTCCAAAGACAATAAATGGGATAAAAGGGATGAGTAAATATGTCCCTTTTGACACATTTATCTTCATTTGGCGGTGAACAGGTAAAAAGAAGTCAAAATTTGCATTCTATATATACACATAATGACAGTTCAAGGATAAATTCCTTCATTTGAAAATCTGTTAATACATAATTCAAGTTAATTAAATGAACTTAATATCTCTTTGGAAGTTAGCATCTTTTTTCAAAAACATGGCCTTAGAAAGAAAATATTTTTTTGAAAAAATCTCATCGTCCCACAAAACGTAGTGCCAATAATGAAAATGTCACTAAAACAAATTTCTTTCATTTGGGCTTGAAATGCATTTGAAAAAGGTGGCGGAAATGACATAAGAAAGTCTGATTTTTAAGACATCTCAGCACCAAAGGTTGAATCGCTATAATCATGATGAATCACACCAGTCTATTCATATCCAAAAATAAATCATAATTATGAGAGATCGTTGTGGTAATCACTATATCAAATTTGCTCTTGAAAGTACCATGCACTCCCATTTTCCATGTGTCTACTCAAAATCATGAAGATTGTAGTTTATATCATAACTTCACCAAAAGGTGAAACACCCTCGCATCTTTTGTCTGGTCTTTCTCTCCTGTTGACTGTCAATCAAGAAAAACTCCAAGGTTTTCCTCACCAATGACTGCATGTTTCTTTCTGTCTATTTCCTTGTTTGCTTTTTATCTATAATGTTTTGATGAACAAGGAGCAATTGTTTGATATAAAAAGTGTAGGTGTGTAATTTGCTTTGACTCTATATCTTACCTGTTCCACACGTAGGCCCAGTATATCCAGGATTGCAGGCACAAATAAACGTGTTCACTCCATCACTGCAAATTCCTCCATTTTCACAAGGATCGGGAGAACAATCGTTGATATCTATGCAAATTGAGTTCCAAAGACAATAAATGGGATAAAAGGGATGAGTAAATAATGTCCCTTTTGACACATTTATCTTCATTTGGCGGTGAACAGGTAAAAAGAAGTCAAAATTTGCATTCTATATACACATAATGACAGTTCAAGGATAAATTCCTTCATTTGAAAATCTGTTAATACATAATTCAAGTTAAGTAAATGAACTTAATATCTCTTTGGAAGTTAGCATCTTTTTTCAAAAACATGGCCTTAGAAAGAAAATATTTTTTTGAAAAAATCTCATCGTCCCACAAAACGTAGTGCCAATAATGAAAATGTCACTAAAACAAATTTCTTTCATTTGGGCGTGAAATGCATTTGAAAATGGTGGCGGAAATGACATGGGATAGTCTGATCTTTAAGACACCTCAGCACCAAAGGTTGAATCGCTATAATCATGAAGAATCACACCAGTCTATTATATCCAAAAATAAATCATAATTATGAGAGATCGTTGTGGTAATCACTATATCAAATTTGCTCTTGAAAGTACCATGCACTCCCATTTTCCATGTGTCTACTAAAAATCATGAAAAGTGTAGTTTATATCATAACTTCACCAAAAGGTGAAACATACTCGCATCTTTTGTCTGTACTTTCTCTCCTGTTGACTGTCATTCAAGAAAAACTCCAAGGTTTTCCTCACCAATGAATGCATGTTCTTTCTTTCTATTTCCTTGTTTGCTCTTTATCTATAATGTTTTGATGAACAAGGAGCAATTGTTTGATATAAAAAGTGTAGGTGTGTAATTTGCTTTGACTCTATATCTTACCTGTTCCACACGTAGGCCCAGTATGGCCAGGATTGCAGGCACAAGTAAACATGTTCACTCCGTCACTACAAATTCCTCCATTCTCACAAGGATCGGGCGAACAATCGTTGATATCTATGCAAATTGAGTTCCAAAGACAATAAATGGGATAAAAGGGATGAGTAAATAATGTCCCTTTTGACACATTTATCTTCATTTGGCGGTAGACAGGTTAAAAGAAGTCAAATCTTGCATTCTAAATACAAATAATGACAGTTCAAGGATAAATTCCTTCATTTGAAAATCTGTTAATACATAATTCAAGTTAAATAAATGAACTTGATATTTCTTTGGAAGTTAGCATCTTTTTTTCAAAAACATGGCCTTAGAAAGAAAAAAAAATTGAAAAAATCTCATCGTCCCACAAAACGTAGTGCCAAACATAAACATGCCACTAAAACAAATTTCTTTCATTTGGGCGTGAAATGCATTTGAAAATGGTGGCGGAAATGACATGGGATAGTCTGATCTTTAAGACACCTCAGCACCAAAGGTTGAATTGCTATAATCATGATGAATCACACCAGTCTTATTATATCCTAAAACAAATCATAATTATGAGAGATCGTTGTGGTAATCACTATATCAAATTTTCTCTTGAAAGTACCATGCACTCCAATTTTCCATGTGTCTACGAGAAATCATGAAGATTGTAGTTTATATCAATACTGCACCAAAAGGTGAAACCCCTCGCATCTTTTGTCTGGTCTTTCTCTCCTGTTGACTGTCAATCAAGAAAAACTCCAAGGTTTTCCTCACCAATGACTCCATGTTTCTTTCTGTCTATTTCCTTGTTTGCTTTTTATCTATGTTTTGATGAACAAGGAGCAATTGTTTGATATAAAAAGTGTAGGTGTGTAATTTGCTTTGACTCTATATCTTACCTGTTCCACACGTAGGCCCAGTATATCCAGGATTGCAGGCACAAATAAACGTGTTCACTCCATCACTGCAAATTCCTCCATTTTCACAAGGATCGGGAGAACAATCGTTGATATCTATGCAAATTGAGTTCCAAAGACAATAAATGGGATAAAAGGGATGAGTAAATAATGTCCCTTTTGACACATTTATCTTCATTTGGCGGTAGACAGGTTAAAAGAAGTCAAATCTTGCATTCTAAATACAAATAATGACAGTTCAAGGATAAATTCCTTCATTTGAAAATCTGTTAATACATAATTCAAGTTAAATAAATGAACTTAATATTTCTTTGGAAGTTAGCATCTTTTTTTAAAAACATGGCCTTAGAAAGAAAAAAAAAATTGAAAAAATCTCATCGTCCCACAAAACGTAGTGCCAAACATAAACATGCCACTAAAACAAATTTCTTTCATTTGGGCGTGAAATGCATTTGAAAATGGTGGCGGAAATGACATGGGATAGTCTGATCTTTAAGACACCTCAGCACCAAAGGTTGAATCGCTATAATCATGATGAATCACACCAGTCTTATTATATCCAAAAATAAATCATAATTATGAGAGATCGTTGTGGTAATCACTATATCAAATTTTCTCTTGAAAGTACCATGCACTCCAATTTTCCATGTGTCTACTAAAATCATGAAGATTGTAGTTTATATCATACTTCACCAAAAGGTGAAACCCCTCGCATCTTTTGTCTGGTCTTTCTCTCCTGTTGACTGTCAATCAAGAAAAACTCCAAGGTTTTCCTCACCAATGACTCCATGTTTTTTTCTGTCTATTTCCTTGTTTGCTTTTTATCTATGTTTTGATGAACAAGGAGCAATTGTTTGATATAAAAAGTGTAGGTGTGTAATTTGCTTTGACTCTATATCTTACCTGTTCCACACGTAGGCCCAGTATATCCAGGATTGCAGGCACAAATAAACGTGTTCACTCCATCACTGCAAATTCCTCCATTTTCACAAGGATCGGGAGAACAATCGTTGATATCTATGCAAATTGAGTTCCAAAGACAATAAATGGGATAAAAGGGATGAGTAAATATTGTCCCTTTTGACACATTTATCTTCATTTGGCGGTGAACAGGTAAAAAGAAGTCAAAATTTGCATTCTATATATACAAATAATGACAGTTCAAGGATAAATTCCTTCATTTGAAAATCTGTTAATACATAATTCAAGTTAATTAAATGAACTTAATATCTCTTTGGAAGTTAGCATCTTTTTTCAAAAACATGGCCTTAGAAAGAAAATATTTTTTTGAAAAATCTCATCGTCCCACAAAACGTAGTGCCAATAATGAAAATGTCACTAAAACAAATTTCTTTCATTTGGGCTTGAAATGCATTTGAAAAAGGTGGCGGAAATGACATAAGAAAGTCTGATTTTTAAGACATCTCAGCACCAAAGGTTGAATCGCTATAATCATGATGAATCACACCAGTCTATTCATATCCAAAAATAAATCATAATTATGAGAGATCGTTGTGGTAATCACTATATCAAATTTGCTCTTGAAAGTACCATGCACTCCCATTTTCCATGTGTCTACTCAAAATCATGAAGATTGTAGTTTATATCATAACTTCACCAAAAGGTGAAACACCCTCGCATCTTTTGTCTGGTCTTTCTCTCCTGTTGACTGTCAATCAAGAAAAACTCCAAGGTTTTCCTCACCAATGACTCCATGTTTCTTTCTGTCTATTTCCTTGTTTGCTTTTTATCTATAATGTTTTGATGAACAAGGAGCAATTGTTTGATATAAAAAGTGTAGGTGTGTAATTTGCTTTGACTCTATATCTTACCTGTTCCACACGTAGGCCCAGTATATCCAGGATTGCAGGCACAAATAAACGTGTTCACTCCATCACTGCAAATTCCTCCATTTTCACAAGGATCGGGAGAACAATCGTTGATATCTATGCAAATTGAGTTCCAAAGACAATAAATGGGATAAAAGGGATGAGTAAATAATGTCCCTTTTGACACATTTATCTTCATTTGGCGGTGAACAGGTAAAAAGAAGTCAAAATTTGCATTCTATATACACATAATGACAGTTCAAGGATAAATTCCTTCATTTGAAAATCTGTTAATACATAATTCAAGTTAAGTAAATGAACTTAATATCTCTTTGGAAGTTAGCATCTTTTTTCAAAAACATGGCCTTAGAAAGAAAATATTTTTTTGAAAAAATCTCATCGTCCCACAAAACGTAGTGCCAATAATGAAAATGTCACTAAAACAAATTTCTTTCATTTGGGCGTGAAATGCATTTGAAAATGGTGGCGGAAATGACATGGGATAGTCTGATTTTTAAGACACCTCAGCACCAAAGGTTGAATCGCTATAATCATGAAGAATCACACCAGTCTATTCATATCCAAAAATAAATCATAATTATGAGAGATCGTTGTGGTAATCACTATATCAAATTTGCTCTTGAAAGTACCATGCACTCCCATTTTCCATGTGTCTACTAAAAATCATGAAAAGTGTAGTTTATATCATAACTTCACCAAAAGGTGAAACATACTCGCATCTTTTGTCTGTACTTTCTCTCCTGTTGACTGTCATTCAAGAAAAACTCCAAGGTTTTCCTCACCAATGAATGCATGTTCTTTCTTTCTATTTCCTTGTTTGCTCTTTATCTATAATGTTTTGATGAACAAGGAGCAATTGTTTGATATAAAAAGTGTAGGTGTGTAATTTGCTTTGACACTATATCTTACCTGTTCCACACGTAGGCCCAGTATATCCAGGATTGCAGGCACAAATAAACGTGTTCACTCCATCACTGCAAATTCCTCCATTTTCACAAGGATCGGGAGAACAATCGTTGATATCTATGCAAATTGAGTTCCAAAGACAATAAATGGGATAAAAGGGATGAGTAAATAATGTCCCTTTTGACACATTTATCTTCATTTGGCGGTAGACAGGTTAAAAGAAGTCAAATCTTGCATTCTAAATACAAATAATGACAGTTCAAGGATAAATTCCTTCATTTGAAAATCTGTTAATACATAATTCAAGTTAAATAAATGAACTTGATATTTCTTTGGAAGTTAGCATCTTTTTTCAAAAACATGGCCTTAGAAAGAAAAAAAAAATTGAAAAAATCTCATCGTCCCACAAAACGTAGTGCCAAACATAAACATGCCACTAAAACAAATTTCTTTCATTTGGGCGTGAAATGCATTTGAAAATGGTGGCGGAAATGACATGGGATAGTCTGATCTTTAAGACACCTCAGCACCAAAGGTTGAATTGCTATAATCATGATGAATCACACCAGTCTTATTATATCCTAAAACAAATCATAAGTATGAGAGATCGTTGTGGTAATCACTATATCAAATTTTCTCTTGAAAGTACCATGCACTCCAATTTTTCATGTGTCTACGAGAAATCATGAAGATTGTAGTTTATATCAATACTGCACCAAAAGGTGAAACCCCTCGCATCTTTTGTCTGGTCTTTCTCTCCTGTTGACTGTCAATCAAGAAAAACTCCAAGGTTTTCCTCACCAATGACTCCATGTTTCTTTCTGTCTATTTCCTTGTTTGCTTTTTATCTATGTTTTGATGAACAAGGAGCAATTGTTTGATATAAAAAGTGTAGGTGTGTAATTTGCTTTGACTCTATATCTTACCTGTTCCACACGTAGGCCCAGTATATCCAGGATTGCAGGCACAAATAAACGTGTTCACTCCATCACTGCAAATTCCTCCATTTTCACAAGGATCGGGAGAACAATCGTTGATATCTATGCAAATTGAGTTCCAAAGACAATAAATGGGATAAAAGGGATGAGTAAATAATGTCCCTTTTGACACATTTATCTTCATTTGGCGGTGAACAGGTAAAAAGAAGTCAAAATTTGCATTCTATATACACATAATGACAGTTCAAGGATAAATTCCTTCATTTGAAAATCTGTTAATACATAATTCAAGTTAAGTAAATGAACTTAATATCTCTTTGGAAGTTAGCATCTTTTTTCAAAAACATGGCCTTAGAAAGAAAATATTTTTTTGAAAAAATCTCATCGTCCCACAAAACGTAGTGCCAATAATGAAAATGTCACTAAAACAAATTTCTTTCATTTGGGCGTGAAATGCATTTGAAAATGGTGGCGGAAATGACATGGGATAGTCTGATCTTTAAGACACCTCAGCACCAAAGGTTGAATCGCTATAATCATGAAGAATCACACCAGTCTATTCATATCCAAAAATAAATCATAATTATGAGAGATCGTTGTGGTAATCACTATATCAAATTTGCTCTTGAAAGTACCATGCACTCCCATTTTCCATGTGTCTACTAAAAATCATGAAAAGTGTAGTTTATATCATAACTTCACCAAAAGGTGAAACATACTCGCATCTTTTGTCTGTACTTTCTCTCCTGTTGACTGTCATTCAAGAAAAACTCCAAGGTTTTCCTCACCAATGAATGCATGTTCTTTCTTTCTATTTCCTTGTTTGCTCTTTATCTATAATGTTTTGATGAACAAGGAGCAATTGTTTGATATAAAAAGTGTAGGTGTGTAATTTGCTTTGACACTATATCTTACCTGTTCCACACGTAGGCCCAGTATGGCCAGGATTGCAGGCACAAGTAAACATGTTCACTCCGTCACTACAAATTCCTCCATTCTCACAAGGATCGGGCGAACAATCGTTGATATCTATGCAAATTGAGTTCCAAAGATAATAAATGGGATAAAAGGGATGAGTAAATAATGTCCCTTTTGACACATTTATCTTCATTTGGCGGTAGACAGGTTAAAAGAAGTCAAATCTTGCATTCTAAATACAAATAATGACAGTTCAAGGATAAATTCCTTCATTTGAAAATCTGTTAATACATAATTCAAGTTAAATAAATGAACTTGATATTTCTTTGGAAGTTAGCATCTTTTTTTCAAAAACATGGCCTTAGAAAGAAAAAAAAAATTGAAAAAATCTCATCGTCCCACAAAACGTAGTGCCAAACATAAACATGCCACTAAAACAAATTTCTTTCATTTGGGCGTGAAATGCATTTGAAAATGGTGGCGGAAATGACATGGGATAGTCTGATCTTTAAGACACCTCAGCACCAAAGGTTGAATTGCTATAATCATGATGAATCACACCAGTCTTATTATATCCTAAAACAAATCATAAGTATGAGAGATCGTTGTGGTAATCACTATATCAAATTTTCTCTTGAAAGTACCATGCACTCCAATTTTCATGTGTCTACGAGAAATCATGAAGATTGTAGTTTATATCAATACTGCACCAAAAGGTGAAACCCCTCGCATCTTTTGTCTGGTCTTTCTCTCCTGTTGACTGTCAATCAAGAAAAACTCCAAGGTTTTCCTCACCAATGACTCCATGTTTCTTTCTGTCTATTTCCTTGTTTGCTTTTTATCTATGTTTTGATGAACAAGGAGCAATTGTTTGATATAAAAAGTGTAGGTGTGTAATTTGCTTTGACTCTATATCTTACCTGTTCCACACGTAGGCCCAGTATATCCAGGATTGCAGGCACAAATAAACGTGTTCACTCCATCACTGCAAATTCCTCCATTTTCACAAGGATCGGGAGAACAATCGTTGATATCTATGCAAATTGAGTTCCAAAGACAATAAATGGGATAAAAGGGATGAGTAAATATTGTCCCTTTTGACACATTTATCTTCATTTGGCGGTGAACAGGTAAAAAGAAGTCAAAATTTGCATTCTATATATACACATAATGACAGTTCAAGGATAAATTCCTTCATTTGAAAATCTGTTAATACATAATTCAAGTTAATTAAATGAACTTAATATCTCTTTGTAAGTTAGCATCTTTTTTCAAAAACATGGCCTTAGAAAGAAAATATTTTTTTGAAAAAATCTCATCGTCCCACAAAACGTAGTGCCAATAATGAAAATGTCACTAAAACAAATTTCTTTCATTTGGGCTTGAAATGCATTTGAAAAAGGTGGCGGAAATGACATAAGAAAGTCTGATTTTTAAGACATCTCAGCACCAAAGGTTAAATCGCTATAATCATGATGAATCACACCAGTCTATTAATATCCAAAAATAAATCATAATTATGAGAGATCGTTGTGGTAATCACTATATCAAATTTGCTCTTGAAAGTACCATGCACTCCCATTTTCCATGTGTCTACTAAAAATCATGAAAAGTGTAGTTTATATCATAACTTCACCAAAAGGTGAAACATACTCGCATCTTTTGTCTGTACTTTCTCTCCTGTTGACTGTCAATCAAGAAAAACTCCAAGGTTTTCCTCACCAATGACTCCATGTTTCTTTCTGTCTATTTCCTTGTTTGCTTTTTATCTATAATGTTTTGATGAACAAGGAGCAATTGTTTGATATAAAAAGTGTAGGTGTGTAATTTGCTTTGACTCTATATCTTACCTGTTCCACACGTAGGCCCAGTATATCCAGGATTGCAGGCACAAATAAACGTGTTCACTCCATCACTGCAAATTCCTCCATTTTCACAAGGATCGGGAGAACAATCGTTGATATCTATGCAAATTGAGTTCCAAAGACAATAAATGGGATAAAAGGGATGAGTAAATAATGTCCCTTTTGACATATTTATCTTCATTTGGCGGTGAACAGGTAAAAAGAAGTCAAAATTTGCATTCTATATACACATAATGACAGTTCAAGGATAAATTCCTTCATTTGAAAATCTGTTAATACATAATTCAAGTTAAGTAAATGAACTTAATATCTCTTTGGAAGTTAGCATCTTTTTTCAAAAACATGGCCTTAGAAAGAAAATATTTTTTTGGAAAAATCTCATCGTCCCACAAAACGTAGTGCCAATAATGAAAATGTCACTAAAACAAATTTCTTTCATTTGGGCTTGAAATGCATTTGAAAAAGGTGGCGGAAATGACATGAGAAAGTCTGATTTTTAAGACATCTCAGCACCAAAGGTTGAATCGCTATAATCATGATGAATCACACCAGTCTATTCATATCCAAAAATAAATCATAATTATGAGAGATCGTTGTGGTAATCACTATATCAAATTTGCTCTTGAAAGTACCATGCACTCCCATTTTCCATGTGTCTACTAAAAATCATGAAAAGTGTAGTTTATATCATAACTTCACCAAAAGGTGAAACATACTCGCATCTTTTGTCTGTACTTTCTCTCCTGTTGACTGTCATTCAAGAAAAACTCCAAGGTTTTCCTCACCAATGACTCCATGTTTCTTTCTGTCTATTTCCTTGTTTGCTTTTTATCTATAATGTTTTGATGAACAAGGAGCAATTGTTTGATATAAAAAGTGTAGGTGTGTAATTTGCTTTGACTCTATATCTTACCTGTTCCACACGTAGGCCCAGTATGGCCAGGATTGCAGGCACAAATAAACGTGTTCACTCCATCACTGCAAATTCCTCCATTTTCACAAGGATCGGGAGAACAATCGTTGATATCTATGCAAATTGAGTTCCAAAGACAATAAATGGGATAAAAGGGATGAGTAAATAATGTCCCTTTTGACATATTTATCTTCATTTGGCGGTAGACAGGTTAAAAGAAGTCAAATCTTGCATTCTAAATACAAATAATGACAGTTCAAGGATAAATTCCTTCATTTGAAAATCTGTTAATACATAATTCAAGTTAAATAAATGAACTTGATATTTCTTTGGAAGTTACCATCTTTTTTTCAAAAACATGGCCTTAGAAAGAAAAAAAAAATTGAAAAAATCTCATCGTCCCACAAAACGTAGTGCCAAACATAAACATGCCACTAAAACAAATTTCTTTCATTTGGGCGTGTAATGCATTTGAAAATGGTGGCGGAAATGACATGGGATAGTCTGATCTTTAAGACACCTCAGCACCAAAGGTTGAATTGCTATAATCATGATGAATCACACCAGTCTATTCATATCCAAAAATAAATCATAATTATGAGAGATCGTTGTGGTAATCACTATATCAAATTTGCTCTTGAAAGTACCATGCACTCCCATTTTCCATGTGTCTACTCAAAATCATGAAGATTGTAGTTTATATCATAACTTCACCAAAAGGTGAAACACCCTCGCATCTTTTGTCTGGTCTTTCTCTCCTGTTGACTGTCAATCAAGAAAAACTCCAAGGTTATCCTCACCAATGACTCCATGTTTCTTTCTGTCTATTTCCTTGTTTGCTTTTTATCTATAATGTTTTGATGAACAAGGAGCAATTGTTTGATATAAAAAGTGTAGGTGTGTAATTTGCTTTGACTCTATATCTTACCTGTTCCACACGTAGCCCAGTATATCCAGGATTGCAGGCACAAATAAACGTGTTCACTCCATCACTGCAAATTCCTCCATTTTCACAAGGATCGGGAGAACAATCGTTGATATCTATGCAAATTGAGTTCCAAAGACAATAAATGGGATAAAAGGGATGAGTAAATAATGTCCCTTTTGACACATTTATCTTCATTTGGCGGTGAACAGGTAAAAAGAAGTCAAAATTTGCATTCTATATACACATAATGACAGTTCAAGGATAATTTCCTTCATTTGAAAATCTGTTAATACATAATTCAAGTTAATTAAATGAACTTAATATCTTTTTGGAAGTTAGCATCTTTTTTCAAAAACATGGCCTTAGAAAGAAAATATTTTTTTGAAAAAATCTCATCGTCCCACAAAACGTAGTGCCAATAATGAAAATGTCACTAAAACAAATTTCTTTCATTTGGGCGTGAAATGCATTTGAAAATGGTGGCGGAAATGACATGGGATAGTCTGATTTTGAAGACACCTCAGCACCAAAGGTTGAATCGAAATAATCATGATGAATCACACCAGTCTGTTCATATCCAAAAATAAATCATAATTATGAGAGATCGTTGTGGTAATCACTATATCAAATTTGCTCTTGAAAGTACCATGCACTCCCATTTTCCATGTGTCTACTCAAAATCATGAAGATTGTAGTTTATATCATAACTTCACCAAAAGGTGAAACACCCTCGCATCTTTTGTCTGGTCTTTCTCTCCTGTTGACTGTCAATCAAGAAAAACTCCAAGGTTATCCTCACCAATGACTCCATGTTTCTTTCTGTCTATTTCCTTGTTTGCTTTTTATCTATAATGTTTTGATGAACAAGGAGCAATTGTTTGATATAAAAAGTGTAGGTGTGTAATTTGCTTTGACTCTATATCTTACCTGTTCCACACGTAGCCCCAGTATATCCAGGATTGCAGGCACAAATAAACGTGTTCACTCCATCACTGCAAATTCCTCCATTTTCACAAGGATCGGGAGAACAATCGTTGATATCTATGCAAATTGAGTTCCAAAGACAATAAATGGGATAAAAGGGATGAGTAAATAATGTCCCTTTTGACACATTTATCTTCATTTGGCGGTGAACAGGTAGAAAGAAGTCAAAAATTTGCATTCTATATACACATAATGACAGTTCAAGGATAATTCCTTCATTTGAAAATCTGTTAATACATAATTCAAGTTAATTAAATGAACTTAATATCTTTTTGGAAGTTAGCATCTTTTTTCAAAAACATGGCCTTAGAAAGAAAATATTTTTTTGAAAAAATCTCATCGTCCCACAAAACGTAGTGCCAATAATGAAAATGTCACTAAAACAAATTTTTTTCATTTGGGCGTGAAATGCATTTGAAAATGGTGGCGGAAATGACATGGGATAGTCTGATTTTGAAGACACCTCAGCACCAAAGGTTGAATCGAAATAATCATGATGAATCACACCAGTCTGTTCATATCCAAAAATAAATCATAATTATGAGAGATCGTTGTGGTAATCACTATATCAAATTTGCTCTTGAAAGTACCATGCACTCCCATTTTCCATGTGTCTACTCAAAATCATGAAGATTGTAGTTTATATCATAACTTCACCAAAAGGTGAAACACCCTCGCATCTTTTGTCTGGTCTTTCTCTCCTGTTGACTGTCAATCAAGAAAAACTCCAAGGTTATCCTCACCAATGACTCCATGTTTCTTTCTGTCTATTTCCTTGTTTGCTTTTTATCTATAATGTTTTGATGAACAAGGAGCAATTGTTTGATATAAAAAGTGTAGGTGTGTAATTTGCTTTGACTCTATATCTTACCTGTTCCACACGTAGGCCCAGTATATCCAGGATTGCAGGCACAAATAAACGTGTTCACTCCATCACTGCAAATTCCTCCATTCTCACAAGGATCGGGAGAACAATCGTTGATATCTATGCAAATTGAGTTCCAAAGACAATAAATGGGATAAAAAGGATGAGTAAATAATGTCCCTTTTGAAATATTTATCTTTATTAAGCGGTGAACAGCTAAAAAGAAGTCAAAACTTGCATTCTAAATACAAATAATGACAGTTCAAGGATAAATTCCTTCATTTGAAAATCTGTTTATACATAATTCAAGTTAAGTAAATGAACTTAATATCTCTTTGGAAGTTAGCATCTTTTTTCAAAAACATGGCCTTAGAAAGAAAATATTTTTTTGAAAAAATCTCATCGTCCCACAAAACGTAGTGCCAATAATGAAAATGTCACTAAAACAAATATCTTTCATTTGGGCTTGAAATGCATTTGAAAAAGGTGGCGGAAATGACATAAGAAAGTCTGATTTTTAAGACATCTCAGCCCCAAAGGTTGAATCGCTATAATCATGAAGAATCACACCAGCCTATTCATATCCAAAAATAAATCATAATTATGAGAGATCGTTATGGTAATCACTATATCAAATTTGCTCTTGAAAGTACCATGAACTCCCATTTTCCATGTGTCTACTAAAAATCATGAAAAGTGTAGTTTTTAACATTACTTCACCAAAAGGTGAAACATACTCGCATCTTTTGTCAGAACTTTCTCTCCTGTTGACGGTCATTCAAGAAAAACTCCAAGGTTTTCCTCACCAATGAATGCATGTTCTTTCTTTCTATTTCCTTGTTTGCTCTTTATCTATAATGTTTTGATGAACAAGGAGTAATTGTTTGATATAAAAAGTGTAGGTGTTTAAATTGCCCTTGACTCTATATCTTACCTGTTCCACACGTAGGCCCAGTATGGCCAGGATTGCAGGCACAAGTAAACATGTTCACTCCGTCACTACAAATTCCTCCATTCTCACAAGGATCGGGCGAACAATCGTTGATATCTATGCAAATTGAGTTCCAAAGACAATAAATGGGATAAAAAGGATGAGTAAATAATGTCCCTTTTGAAATATTTATCTTTATTTAGCGGTGAACAGCTAAAAAGAAGTCAAAACTTGCATTCTATTTACAAATAATGACAGTTCAAGGATAAATTCCTTCATTTGAAAATCTGTTAATACATAATTCAAGTTAATTAAATGAACTTAATATCTTTTTGGAAGTTAGCATCTTTTTTCAAAAACATGGCCTTAGAAAGAAAATATTTTTTTGAAAAAATCTCATCGTCCCACAAAAAGTAGTGCCAATAATGAAAATGTCACTAAAACAAATTTCTTTCATTTGGGCGTGAAATGCATTTGAAAATGGTGGCGGAAATGACATGGGATAGTCTGATTTTGAAGACACCTCAGCACCAAAGGTTGAATCGCTATAATCATGATGAATCACACCAGCCTATTCATATCCAAAAATAAATCATAATTATGAGAGATCGTTGTGGTAATCACTATATCAAATTTGCTCTTGAAAGTACCATGCACTCCCATTTTCCATGTGTCTACTCAAAATCATGAAGATTGTAGTTTATATCATAACTTCACCAAAAGGTGAAACACCCTCGCATCTTTTGTCTGGTCTTTCTCTCCTGTTGACTGTCAATCAAGAAAAACTCCAAGGTTATCCTCACCAATGACTCCATGTTTCTTTCTTTCTATTTCCTTGTTTGCTCTTTATCTATAATGTTTTGATGAACAAGGAGCAATTGTTTGATATAAAAAGTGTAGGTGTGTAATTTGCTTTGACTCTATATCTTACCTGTTCCACACGTAGGCCCAGTATGGCCAGGATTGCAGGCACAAGTAAACATGTTCACTCCGTCACTACAAATTCCTCCATTCTCACAAGGATCGGGCGAACAATCGTTGATATCTATGCAAATTGAGTTCCAAAGACAATAAATGGGATAAAAAGGATGAGTAAATAATGTCCCTTTTGAAATATTTATCTTTATTTAGCGGTGAACAGCTAAAAAGAAGTCAAAACTTGCATTTTATATACAAATAATGACAGTTCAAGGATAAATTCCTTCATTTGAAAATCTGTTAATACATAATTCAAGTTAATTAAATGAACTTAATATCTTTTTGGAAGTTAGCATCTTTTTTCAAAAACATGGCCTTAGAAAGAAAATATTTTTTTGAAAAAATCTCATCGTCCCACAAAACGTAGTGCCAATAATGAAAATGTCACTAAAACAAATTTCTTTCATTTGGGCGTGAAATGCATTTGAAAATGGTGGCGGAAATGACATGGGATAGTCTGATTTTGAAGACACCTCAGCACCAAAGGTTGAATCGCTATAATCATGATGAATCACACCAGCCTATTCATATCCAAAAATAAATCATAATTATGAGAGATCGTTGTGGTAATCACTATATCAAATTTGCTCTTGAAAGTACCATGCACTCCCATTTTCCATGTGTCTACTCAAAATCATGAAGATTGTAGTTTATATCATAACTTCACCAAAAGGTGAAACACCCTCGCATCTTTTGTCTGGTCTTTCTCTCCTGTTGACTGTCAATCAAGAAAAACTCCAAGGTTATCCTCACCAATGACTCCATGTTTCTTTCTTTCTATTTCCTTGTTTGCTCTTTATCTATAATGTTTTGATGAACAAGGAGCAATTGTTTGATATAAAAAGTGTAGGTGTGTAATTTGCTTTGACTCTATATCTTACCTGTTCCACACGTAGGCCCAGTATGGCCAGGATTGCAGGCACAAGTAAACATGTTCACTCCGTCACTACAAATTCCTCCATTCTCACAAGGATCGGGCGAACAATCGTTGATATCTATGCAAATTGAGTTCCAAAGACAATAAATGGGATAAAAAGGATGAGTAAATAATGTCCCTTTTGAAATATTTATCTTTATTTAGCGGTGAACAGCTAAAAAGAAGTCAAAACTTGCATTTTATATACAAATAATGACAGTTCAAGGATAAATTCCTTCATTTGAAAATCTGTTAATACATAATTCAAGTTAATTAAATGAACTTAATATCTTTTTGGAAGTTAGCATCTTTTTTCAAAAACATGGCCTTAGAAAGAAAATATTTTTTTGAAAAAATCTCATCGTCCCACAAAACGTAGTGCCAATAATGAAAATGTCACTAAAACAAATTTCTTTCATTTGGGCGTGAAATGCATTTGAAAATGGTGGCGGAAATGACATGGGATAGTCTGATTTTGAAGACACCTCAGCACCAAAGGTTGAATCGAAATAATCATGATGAATCACACCAGTCTGTTCATATCCAAAAATAAATCATAATTATGAGAGATCGTTGTGGTAATCACTATATCAAATTTGCTCTTGAAAGTACCATGCACTCCCATTTTCCATGTGTCTACTCAAAATCATGAAGATTGTAGTTTATATCATAACTTCACCAAAAGGTGAAACACCCTCGCATCTTTTGTCTGGTCTTTCTCTCCTGTTGACTGTCAATCAAGAAAAACTCCAAGGTTATCCTCACCAATGACTCCATGTTTCTTTCTTTCTATTTCCTTGTTTGCTCTTTATCTATAATGTTTTGATGAACAAGGAGCAATTGTTTGATATAAAAAGTGTAGGTGTGTAATTTGCTTTGACTCTATATCTTACCTGTTCCACACGTAGCCCCAGTATATCCAGGATTGCAGGCACAAATAAACGTGTTCACTCCATCACTGCAAATTCCTCCATTTTCACAAGGATCGGGAGAACAATCGTTGATATCTATGCAAATCGAGTTCCAAAGACAATAAATGGGATAAAAGGGATGAGTAAATAATGTCCCTTTTGACACATTTATCTTCATTTGGCGGTGAACAGGTAAAAAGAAGTCAAAAATTTGCATTCTATATACACATAATGACAGTTCAAGGATAAATTCCTTCATTTGAAAATCTGTTAATACATAATTCAAGTTAATTAAATGAACTTAATATCTCTTTGGAAGTTAGCATCTTTTTTCAAAAACATGGCCTTAGAAAGAAAATATTTTTTTGAAAAAATCTCATCGTCCCACAAAACGTAGTGCCAATAATGAAAATGTCACTAAAACAAATTTCTTTCATTTGGGCTTGAAATGCATTTGAAAAAGGTGGCGGAAATGACATAAGAAAGTCTGATTTTTAAGACATCTCAGCCCTAAAGGTTGAATCGCTATAATCATGAAGAATCACACCAGCCTATTCATATCCAAAAATAAATCATAATTATGAGAGATCGTTATGGTAATCACTATATCAAATTTGCTCTTGAAAGTACCATGAACTCCCATTTTCCATGTGTCTACTAAAAATCATGAAAAGTGTAGTTTATATCATTACTTCACCAAAAGGTGAAACATACTCGCATCTTTTGTCAGAACTTTCTCTCCTGTTGACGGTCATTCAAGAAAAACTCCAAGGTTTTCCTCACCAATGAATGCATGTTCTTTCTTTCTATTTCCTTGTTTGCTCTTTATCTATAATGTTTTGATGAACAAGGAGCAATTGTTTGATATAAAAAGTGTAGGTGTTTAAATTGCCCTTGACTCTATATCTTACCTGTTCCACACGTAGGCCCAGTATGGCCAGGATTGCAGGCACAAGTAAACATGTTCACTCCGTCACTACAAATTCCTCCATTCTCACAAGGATCGGGCGAACAATCGTTGATATCTATGCAAATTGAGTTCCAAAGACAATAAATGGGATAAAAAGGATGAGTAAATAATGTCCCTTTTGAAATATTTATCTTTATTAAGCGGTGAACAGCTAAAAAGAAGTCAAAACTTGCATTCTATATACAAATAATGACAGTTCAAGGATAAATTCCTTCATTTGAAAATCTGTTAATACATAATTCAAGTTAAGTAAATGAACTTAATATCTCTTTGGAAGTTAGCATCTTTTTTCAAAAACATGGCCTTAGAAAGAAAATATTTTTTTGAAAAAATCTCATCGTCCCACAAAACGTAGTGCCAATAATGAAAATGTCACTAAAACAAATTTCTTTCATTTGGGCTTGAAATGCATTTGAAAAAGGTGGCGGAAATGACATAAGAAAGTCTGATTTTTAAGACATCTCAGCCCCAAAGGTTGAATCGCTATAATCATGAAGAATCACACCAGCCTATTCATATCCAAAAATAAATCATAATTATGAGAGATCGTTATGGTAATCACTATATCAAATTTGCTCTTGAAAGTACCATGAACTCCCATTTTCCATGTGTCTACTAAAAATCATGAAAAGTGTAGTTTATAACATTACTTCACCAAAAGGTGAAACATACTCGCATCTTTTGTCAGAACTTTCTCTCCTGTTGACGGTCATTCAAGAAAAACTCCAAGGTTTTCCTCACCAATGAATGCATGTTCTTTCTTTCTATTTCCTTGTTTGCTCTTTATCTATAATGTTTTGATGAACAAGGAGCAATTGTTTGATATAAAAAGTGTAGGTGTTTAAATTGCCCTTGACTCTATATCTTACCTGTTCCACACGTAGGCCCAGTATGGCCAGGATTGCAGGCACAAGTAAACATGTTCACTCCGTCACTACAAATTCCTCCATTCTCACAAGGATCGGGCGAACAATCGTTGATATCTATGCAAATTGAGTTCCAAAGACAATAAATGGGATAAAAAGGATGAGTAAATAATGTCCCTTTTGAAATATTTATCTTTATTTAGCGGTGAACAGCTAAAAAGAAGTCAAAACTTGCATTCTATATACAAATAATGACAGTTCAAGAATAAATTCCTTTATTTGAAAATTTGTTTATACATAATTCAAGTTTAGTAAATAAACTTAATATCTCTTTGGAAGTTAGCATCTTTTTTCAAAAACATGGCCTTAGAAAGAAGATAACGTAGTGTGTCCATGCCAGTTAAGAAATGTCACAATAACAAATTTCTTTCATTTGGGCGTGAAATGCATTTGAAAATTGTGGCGGAAATGACATGGGATAGTCTGATTTTTAAGACAGCTCAGCACCAAAAGTTGAATTGCTATAATCATGAAGAATCACACCAGTCTTATTATATCCTAAAACAAATCATAAGTATGAGAGATCGTTGTGGTAATTACTATATCAAATTCTCTCTTCAAAGTACCCTGCACTCCCATTTCTCATGTGTCTACTCGAAATCATGAAGAGTGTAGTTTATATCATTACTGCATCAAAAGGTGAAACACCCTCGCATCTTTTGTCTGTACTTTCACTCCTGTTGACTGTCAATCAAGAAAAACTCCAAGTTTTTCCTGATCAATGACTGCATGTTTCTTTCTTTCTGTTTCCTAGTTTGCTCTTTATCTATAATGTTTTGATGAACAAGGAACAATTGTTTGATATAAAAAGTGTAGGTGTGTAATTTGCTTTGACTCTATATCTTACCTGTTCCACACGTAGGCCCAGTATAGCCAGGATTGCAGGCACAAGTAAAGGTGTTTACTCCGTCACTGCAAATTCCTCCATTCTCACAAGGATCGGGAGAACAATCGTTGATATCTATGCAAATTGAGTTCCAAAGACAATAAATGGGATAAAAGGGATGAGTATATAATGTTCCTTTTGACATATTTATTTTCATTTGGCGGTACACAGGTAAAAAGAAGTAAAAACTTGCATTCTAAATACAAATAATGACAGTTCAAGGATAAATTCCTTCATTTGAAAATATGTTAATACATTATTCAAATTAAGTAAATGAACTTAATATCTCTTTGAAAGTTAGCATCTTTTTTTCGAAAACATGGCCTAAGAAAGAAAATATTTTTTTGAAAAAAATCTCATCGTCCCACAAAACGTAGTGCCAAACATGAACATGCCACTAAAACAAATTTCTTTCATTTGGGCGTGTAATGCATTTGAAAATGGTGGCGAAAATGACATGGGATAGTCTGATTTTGAAGACATCTCAGCACCAAAGGTTGAATCGTTATAATCATGATGAAACACACCAGTCTATTCATATCCAAAAATAAATCATAATTATGAGAGATCGTTGTGGTGATCACTAAATTAATTTGCTCTTAAAAGTACCATGCACTTCCATTTTCCATGTGTCTATTCAAAATTATGAAAAGTGCAGTTTATATCATAACTTCACCAAAAGGTGAAACACCCTCGCATTATTTGTCTCTACTTTCTCTCCTGTTGACTGTCATTAAAGAAAAACTCCAAGGTTTTCCTTACCAATGAATGCATGTTTCTTTCTTTCTATTTCCTTGTTTGCTCTTTATCTATAATGTTTTGATGAACAAGGAGCAATTGTTTGATATAAAGAGTGTAGGTGTGTAATTTGCTTTGACTGTATATCTTACCTGTTCCACACGTAGGCCCAGTATAGCCAGGATTGCAGGCACAGGTAAAGGTGTTCACTCCATCACTGCAAGTTCCTCCATTCTCACAAGGATCGGGCGAACAATCGTTGATATCTATGCAAATTGAGTTTCAAAGACAATTAATGGGATAAAAGGGATGAGTATATAATGTTCCTTTTGACATATTTATTTTCATTTGGCGGTATACAGGTAAAAAGAAGTAAGAACTTGCATTATAAATACAAATAATGACAGTTCAAGGACAAATTCCTTCATTTGAAAATCTGTTAATACATAATTCAAGTTAAGTAAATGAACTAAATATCTCTTTGGAAGTTAGCATCTTCTTTCAAAAACATGGCCTTAGAAAAAGAAAAAAAATTGAAAAAATCTCATCGTCCCACAAAACATAGTGCCGAACATGAAAATGTCACTAAAACAAATTTCTTTCATTTGGGCGTGAAATGCATTTGAAAATGGTGGCGGAAATGAAATGGGATAGTTTGATCTTTAAGACACCTCAGCACCACAAAGGTTGAATTGCTATAATCATGATGAATCACACCAGTCTTATTATATCCTAAAACAAATCATAAGTATGAGAGATCGTTGTGGTAATCACTATATCAAATTTGCTCTTGAAAGTACCATGCACTCCCATTTCTCATGTGTCTACTCGAAATCATGAAGAGTGTAGTTTATATTATTACTGCACCAAAAGGTGAAACATCCTGGCAACTTTTGTCTGTACTTTCTTTCCTGTTGATTGTCAATCAAGAAAAACTCCAAGGTTTTCCTCACCAATGACTCCATGTTTCTTTCTTTCTATTTCCTTGTTTGCTCTTTATCTATAATGTTTTGATGAACAAGGAGCAATTGTTTGATATAAAACGTGTAGGTGTGTAAATTGCTTTGACTCTATATCTTACCTGTTCCACACGTTGGCCCAGTATGGCCAGGATTGCAGGCACAGGTAAAGGTGTTCACTCCGTCACTGCAAATTCCTCCATTCTCACAAGGATCAGGAGAACAATCGTTGATAGCTATGCAAATTGAGTTCCAAAGACAATAAATGGGATAAAAGGGATGAGTAAAATATGTCCCTTTTGACACATTTATCTTCATTTGGCGGTATACAGGTAAAAAGCAGTCAAATCTTGAATTCTAAATACAAATAATGACAGTTCAAGGATAAATTCATTCATTTGAAAATCTGTTAATACATTATTCAAATTAAGTAAATGAACTTAATATCTCTTTGAAAGTTAGCATCTTTTTTTCGAAAACATGGCCTAAGAAAGAAAATATTTTTTTGAAAAAAATCTCATCGTCCCACAAAACGTAGTGCCAAACATGAACATGCCACTAAAACAAATTTCTTTCATTTGGGCGTGTAATGCATTTGAAAATGGTGGCGAAAATGACATGGGATAGTCTGATTTTGAAGACATCTCAGCACCAAAGGTTGAATCGTTATAATCATGATGAAACACACCAGTCTATTCATATCCAAAAATAAATCATAATTATGAGAGATCGTTGTGGTGATCACTAAATTAATTTGCTCTTAAAAGTACCATGCACTTCCATTTTCCATGTGTCTATTCAAAATTATGAAAAGTGCAGTTTATATCATAACTTCACCAAAAGGTGAAACACCCTCGCATTATTTGTCTCTACTTTCTCTCCTGTTGACTGTCAATAAAGAAAAACTCCAAGGTTTTCCTTACCAATGAATGCATGTTTCTTTCTTTCTATTTCCTTGTTTGCTCTTTATCTATAATGTTTTGATGAACAAGGAGCAATTGTTTGATATAAAGAGTGTAGGTGTGTAATTTGCTTTGACTGTATATCTTACCTGTTCCACACGTAGGCCCAGTATAGCCAGGATTGCAGGCACAGGTAAAGGTGTTCACTCCATCACTGCAAGTTCCTCCATTCTCACAAGGATCGGGCGAACAATCGTTGATATCTATGCAAATTGAGTTTCAAAGACAATTAATGGGATAAAAGGGATGAGTATATAATGTTCCTTTTGACATATTTATTTTCATTTGGCGGTATACAGGTAAAAAGAAGTAAGAACTTGCATTATAAATACAAATAATGACAGTTCAAGGACAAATTCCTTCATTTGAAAATCTGTTAATACATAATTCAAGTTAAGTAAATGAACTAAATATCTCTTTGGAAGTTAGCATCTTCTTTCAAAAACATGGCCTTAGAAAGAAAAAAAAAATTGAAAAAATCTCATCGTCCCACAAAACATAGTGCCAAACATGAAAATGTCACTAAAACAAATTTCTTTCATTTGGGCGTGAAATGCATTTGAAAATGGTGGCGGAAATGAAATGGGATAGTCTGATCTTTAAGACACCTCAGCACCACAAAGGTTGAATTGCTATAATCATGATGAATCACACCAGTCTTATTATATCCTAAAACAAATCATAAGTATGAGAGATCGTTGTGGTAATCACTATATCAAATTTGCTCTTGAAAGTACCATGCACTCCCATTTCTCATGTGTCTACTCGAAATCATGAAGAGTGTAGTTTATATTATTACTGCACCAAAAGGTGAAACATCCTGGCAACTTTTGTCTGTACTTTCTTTCCTGTTGATTGTCAATCAAGAAAAACTCCAAGGTTTTCTTCACCAATGACTCCATGTTTCTTTCTTTCTATTTCCTTGTTTGCTCTTTATCTATAATGTTTTGATGAACAAGGAGCAATTGTTTGATATAAAACGTGTAGGTGTGTAAATTGCTTTGACTCTATATCTTACCTGTTCCACACGTTGGCCCAGTATGGCCAGGATTGCAGGCACAGGTAAAGGTGTTCACTCCGTCACTGCAAATTCCTCCATTCTCACAAGGATCAGGAGAACAATCGTTGATAGCTATGCAAATTGAGTTCCAAAGACAATAAATGGGATAAAAGGGATGAGTAAAATATGTCCCTTTTGACACATTTATCTTCATTTGGCGGTATACAGGTAAAAAGCAGTCAAATCTTGAATTCTAAATACAAATAATGACAGTTCAAGGATAAATTCATTCATTTGAAAATCTGTTAATACATTATTCAAATTAAGTAAATGAACTTAATATCTCTTTGGAAGTTAGCATCTTTTTTTTCAAAAATATGGCTTTAGAAAGAAAATATATTTTGAAAAAATCTCATCGTCCCACAAAACGTAATGTGCCCAAGCCAGACATGAAAATGTCACTGAAACAAATTTATTTGATTTGGGCGTGAAATGGACGTGAAAATGGACGCGGAAATGGCATGGGATGGTCTGATCTACAGGACACCTCAGCACCAAAAGTTGAATTTTTGGAAACTTGGATTACTTGCAAAACTTGTGAAAGTTTGTGAACAAAACATTTCTGGCTTACACGACAATTCAAATCCCCCCTTTAAACAAAGAAATGAGTTATTCAAATTAGCATTGATCTTATGGCTACTCCTTCCTGGTCGATCGAGTGAAAAGAATGTACTTACGATCGCAGTCTGCACGAGCACCATGGACTTCGCTGTCGGGGAGGACGGCTCCAGTCTCGGGGTCCGCACACCAACAGTAAGTACCATTGCCCTTGTAACACTGCTCCATGGCATAGAATCCATCTTGAGTACATTGTGGGATAAACACATTCTCCGTTTCACCTCTTTCTTCCAGCCTTATTCGTCTTTCAGTCTCACATGGTCGAGGATCAGCTGTAAATATCAAACCATTCAGGATGAAGAGTTTAAAGAGAAAACTAGATGGAACTTCGACTGCGCGCAGTCGAAAATGATGCCTCCGCCATAGAGCAATTTTAAAAACCAAAAAAGGAAGAAAATTTTCAAATTCAAGTTCAATTGTAATCGATTACAGGTTCTCACTCTCAGAATATCGTGATTACAAGCGATTTCTCATATACATATATAACCCTTTGATCTTTGACCTCATGACACTAAAATCTACTCAGTTCATTAGCTGTGCAAGATGTCCTGAGTTAAATAGTAATCCATCAACATCTAATCAGCTCTTTGGCTCTGCAAGTAACATACATGACCTAAGTTTTGCAGGAATCCATCAATCGGTTCTTTAGATAACGCGATCACGAGCTGTTTTTGCATACATAATGAACCCTGTGACCTTTGACCTTTGAACTCGTGACTCCAGAATCTAATCACTTCATCGGCTCTGCAAGATACAAACATGACTAAAGTTTAGCAGGAATCCATCAATCGGTTCTTCAGATAACGCGATAACGTGAACGGACAACCCGAAAATAAAACGCCTCCGGTTACTTCATAACAGAGGCATACAAAAGTGTAAGTATGTAATCTGCTTTGACTCTATATCTTACCTGTTCCACATGTAGGCCCAGTATAGCCAGGATCGCAGGCACAAGTAAAGGTGTTTACTCCATCAATACAAATTCCTCCATTCTCACAAGGATCAAGAGAACAATCGTTGATATCTATGCAAATTGAGTTCCAAAGACAATAAATGGGATAAAAGGGATAAGTAAATAATGTCCCTTTTGACATATTCATCTTCATTTGGCGGTGAACAGGTAAAAAGAACTCCAAACTTGCATTCTAAATAAAAATAATGACAGTTCAAGGATAAATTCCCTCATTTGAAAATCTATTAATAGTGTGTCCATGCCAGACATGAAAATGTCACTACAACAAATAACTCTAATTTGGGCGTGAAATGAATGTGAAAATAGACGCGAAAATGGCATAGAATAGACTGATCTACAGGACACCTCAGCACCAAAAGTTAAATTGCTATAATCATGATGAATTACACCAGTCTTATCAAATCCTAAAACAAATCATAATTATCAGAGATCGCTGTGGTAATCGAGACCTTGGTGTTTTAATCGACAAAAATCTTACATTTCAGCAGCATATTAAAAACGTTTGCAAATCCGCATCTTTTGGAATCTTCAAAATTTGGAAAATGAGGAAACTGCTTGACCGACCCACAACTGCAAAATTAACCCATGCTTTTGTATCCTCCCACCTTGATTATTGTAATTCATGTTTTTCTGGCCTTCCTCATTCATACTTACTTCCACTCCAAAGAATTCAGAATACTGCTGCAAGACTTGTTACTCTCTGGAGAAAATTTGAGCACATAACCCCAATATTGCGTTCTCTCCATTGGCTTCCCATACACTATCGTACAACATTTAAAGTTCTTCTTCTGGAATACAAAATTCTCCATGGCCAAGCCCCTAAATATCTTTCATATTTGATTTCCTTACGTTTTTCTAGTTCTCTAAGACCTCTTCGATCATCATCAACCTTGCAGTTAACCCTTGGACCTCGTTCTGTTACAAAATATGGCGATCGAGCTTTTTCAGTAAATGCCCCTATCCTTTGGAATAAATTACCAGCGCATATTCATAATACTCATTCTCTTGACCAGTTTAAGTTCTTACTGAAAACGCACCTTTTTAATTCATGAATGCTATTATGCAGTTGTGAGTCGGTCAAAGGAAGTGCACACCATCTTATTCTTTGTTTGTTTGATATTTTGTTTGATTCATGTTTGACCTTATGTTTGTTTGACCTTATGTTTGATCGCATTTTTATTTGTGTTATTATATATGTGTGATTTATTGAATAAAGAACATATTTATATTTGTAGTGTGTATTACAAGTTTTAGTTGGTAATTTTAAGTCAATGGTGCGCTTAGAAACACCTGTATTAAGCGCCTAATAAATGTTATAAATATTATATATATTAATCACTATATCAAATTTGCTCTTAAATGTACCATGCACTCCCCATTTTCATGTGTCTACTCAAAACCATAAAGAGTGTAGTTTATATCATTACTGCACCAAAAGGTGAAACACCCTCGCATCTTTTGTCTGTACTTTCTCTCCTGTTGACTGTCAATCAAGAAAAACTCCAAGGATTTCCTCACCAATGAATGCATGTTTCTTTCTTTCTATTTCCTTGTTTGCTCGTTATCTATAATATTGAAAATATCTCATCATCCCACAAAACGTAGTGTGTCTTTGCCAATTAAGAAAATGTCACTAAAACAAATTTCTTTCATTTGGGTAAAAAAAGAATTTTAAAATGGACGCAGAAATGGCATGGGATAGTCTGATCTTCAAGACACCTCAGCACCAAAATTTGTATCGCTATAATCATGATGGATCACACTAGTCTAATCATATACTAAAACAAATCATAATTATCAGAGATTGTTGTTTTAAAACAAATCATAATTATCAGACATCGTTGTGGTAATCACTATATCAAATTTGCTCTTGAAAATACCATGCACTCCCGTTTTTCATGTGTATACACGAAATTTAGAAAAGGGTAGTTTATTTCATTACTGCACCAAAAGTTGAAACACCCTCGCATCTTTTGTCTGTACGTTCACTCCTGTTGACTGCCAATCAAGAAAAATCTCCGAGGTTTTCATCACAAATGACTGCATGTTTCTTTCTTTCTATTTCCTTGTCTGCTTTTTATCTATAATGTTTTGACGAACACGGAGCAATTGTTTGATATAAAAAGTGTAGGTTTGTAATCTGCTTTGACTCTATATCTTACCTGTTCCACACGTAGGCCCAGTATATCCAGGATCGCAGGTACAAGTAAAGGTGTTCACACCATCACTGCAAATTCCTCCATTTTCACAAGGATCGGGAGAACAATCGTTGATATCTGTGCAAATTGAGTTCCAAAGACAATTAATGGGATAAAAAGAATGAGAAAATAATGTCTCTTTTGACATATTTATCTTCATTTGGCAGTGAACAGGTAAACAGAATTCAAAACTTGCATTCTTAATATAAATAATGACAGTTCAGGGATAAATTCTCTCATTTGAGAATCTATTAATACATAATTCAAATTAAGTAAATGAACTAAATATATTTTGGAATTCATCATCTTTTTTTAAAAACATGGCCTTAGAAATAAAAATATATTTTGAAAATATCTCATCATCCCACAAAATGTAGTGTGTCTTTGCCAATTAAGAAAATGTCACTAAAACAAATTTCTTTCATTTGGGCGAAAAATGAATTTTAAAATGGACGCAGAAATGGCATGGGATAGTCTGATCTTCAAGACACCTCAGCACCAAAAGTTGAATCGCTATAATCATGATGAATTACACCAGTCTTATCATATCCTAAAACAAATCATATTTATCAGAGATTGATGTGGTAATCACTAAATCAAATTTGCTCATGAAAGTACCATGCACTACCATTTTGCATGTGTCTACTCGAAATCAAGAAGGGTGTAGTTTATTTCATAACTGCACCAAAAGGTGAAACACCCTTTTTTTCTGTACTTTCACTCCTGTTGACTGCCATCTAGAAAAACCTCCAAGGTTTTTGTCACGAATAACTGCATGTTTCTTTCTTTCTATGTCCTTGTTTGCTCTTTGTTTGGTCTTTATATATAATGTTTTAATGAACAAGGAGCAATTGTTGGATATAAAAAGTGTAAGTATGTAATCTGTTTTGACTCTTTATCTTACCTGTTCCACACGTAGGCCCAGTATAGCCAGGAACGCAGGCACAAGTAAAAGTGTTCACTCCATCAGTGCAATATCCTCCATTCTCACAAGGATCAAGAGAACAATCGTTGATATCTGTGCAAATTGAGTTCCAAAGACAATAAATAGGAAAAATAGGATGAGAGAATAATGTCCCTTTTAACATATTATTTTTATTTGGCGGTGAACAGGTAAAAAAAAGTCAAAAGTTGCATTCGAAATACAAATAATGAAAGTTCAGGGATAAATTCTTTTTTTTTTTAAATCTATTAATACACAATTCAAATGAAGTAAATGAACTAAATATCTTTTAGGAAGTTAGCATCTTTTTTTCAAAAACATGGCCATAGAAAGAAAATATATTTTTTTTAAAATCTCATCGCCCCTCAAAACGTAGTGTGTCCATGCATAAAGAAAATGTCACTAAATCAAATTCCTTTCATTCGGGCATGAAATGAATTTGAAAATGGACGCAGAAATGGCCTGGGATATCCTGATCTTTAAGACACCTCAGCACCAAAAGTTGAATCGCTATTATCAGAATGAATTACACCAGTCTTATCATATCCTAAAACAAATCATATTTATCAGAGATTGTTGTTTTAAAACAAATCATAATTATCAGACATCGTTGTGGTAATCACTATATCAAATTTGCTCTTGAAAATACCATGCACTCCCGTTTTTCATGTGTATACACGAAATTTAGAAAAGGGTAGTTTATTTCATTACTGCACCAAAAGTTGAAACACCCTCGCATCTTTTGTCTGTACGTTCACTCCTGTTGACTGCCAATCAAGAAAAATCTCCGAGGTTTTCATCACAAATGACTGCATGTTTCTTTCTTTCTATTTCCTTGTCTGCTTTTTATCTATAATGTTTTGACGAACACGGAGCAATTGTTTGATATAAAAAGTGTAGGTTTGTAATCTGCTTTGACTCTATATCTTACCTGTTCCACACGTAGGCCCAGTATATCCAGGATCGCAGGTACAAGTAAAGGTGTTCACACCATCACTGCAAATTCCTCCATTTTCACAAGGATCGGGAGAACAATCGTTGATATCTGTGCAAATTGAGTTCCAAAGACAATTAATGGGATAAAAAGAATGAGAAAATAATGTCTCTTTTGACATATTTATCTTCATTTGGCAGTGAACAGGTAAACAGAATTCAAAACTTGCATTCTAAATATAAATAATGACAGTTCAGGGATAAATTCTCTCATTTGAGAATCTATTAATACATAATTCAAATTAAGTAAATGAACTAAATATATTTTGGGATTCATCATCTTTTTTTAAAAACATGGCCTTAGAAATAAAAATATATTTTGAAAATATCTCATCATCCCACAAAATGTAGTGTGTCTTTGCCAATTAAGAAAATGTCACTAAAACAAATTTCTTTCATTTGGGCGAAAAATGAATTTTAAAATGGACGCAGAAATGGCATGGGATAGTCTGATCTTCAAGACACCTCAGCACCAAAAGTTGAATCGCTATAGTCATGACGAATTACACCAGTCTTATCATATCCTAAAACGAATCATATTTATCAGAGATTGTTGTGGTAATCACTAAATCAAATTTGCTCGTGAAAGTACCATGCACTACCATGTTGCATGTGTCTACTCGAAATCAAGAAGGGTGTAGTTTATTTCATAACTGCACCAAAAGTTGAAACACCCTTTGTTCTGTACTTTCACTCTTGTTGACTGCCAATCTAGAAAAACCTCCTAGGTTTTTGTCACGAATAACTGCACGTTTCTTTCTTTCTATTTCCTTGCTTGCTCTTTGTTTGGTCTTTATATATAATGTTTTAATGAACAAGGAGCAATTGTTGGATATAAAAAGTGTAGGTATGTAATCTGTTTTGACTCTTTATCTTACCTGTTCCACACGTAGGCCCAGTATAGCCAGGAACGCAGGCACAAGTAAAAGTGTTCACTCCATCAGTGCAATATCCTCCATTTTCACAAGGATCAAGAGAACAATCGTTGATATCTGTGCAAATTGAGTTCCAAAGACAATACATGGGATAAATAGGATGAGAGAATAATGTCCCTTTTAACATGTTATTTTTATTTGGCGGTGAACAGGTAAAAAAAAGTCAAAAAGTTGCATTCGAAATAGAAATAATGAAAGTTGAGGGATAAATTCTTTTTTTTTTAAAATCTATTAATACATAATTCAAATGAAGTAAATGAACTAAATATCTTTTGGGAAGTTAGCATCTTTTTTCAAAAACATGGCCATAGAAAGAAAAGATATTTTTAAAAAATTTCATCGTCCCTCAAAACGTAGTGTGTCCATGCATAAAGAAAATGTCACTAAAACAAATTTCTTTCATTTGGGCATGAAATGAATTTGAAAATGGACGCGGAAATGGCCTGGGATAGCCTGATCTTGAAGACAACTCAGCACCAAAAGTTGAATCGCTATAATCATAATGAATTACACCAGTCTTATCATATCCTAAAACAAATCATATTTATCAGAGATTGATGTTTTAAAACAAATCATAATTATCAGACATCGTTGTGGTAATCACTATATCAAATTTGCTCTTGAAAGTACCATGCACTCCCGTTTTTCATGTGTATACTCGAAATTTAGAAAAGGGTAGTTTATTTCATTACTGCACCAAAAGTTGAAACACCCTCGCATCTTATGTCTGTACTTTCACTCCTGTTGACTGCCAATCAAGAAAAATATCCGAGGTTTTCATCACCAATGACTGCATTTTCTTTCTTTCTTTTTCCTTGTCTGCTTTTTATCTATAATGTTTTGACGAACACGGAGCAATTATTTGATATAAAAAGTGTAGGTTTGTAATCTGCTTTGACTCTATATCTTACCTGTTCCACACGTAGGCCCAGTATATCCAGGATCGCAGGTACAAGTAAAGGTGTTCACACCATCACCGCAAATTCCTCCATTTTCACAAGGATCGGGAGAACAATCGTTGATATCTGTGCAAATTGAGTTCCAAAGACAATTAATGGGATAAAAAGAATGAGAAAATAATGTCTCTTTTGACATATTTATCTTCATTTGGCAGTGAACAGGTAAACAGAAGTCAAAACTTGCATTCTAAATATAAATAATGACAGTTCAGGGATAAATTCTCTCATTTGAAAATCTATTAATACATAATTCAAATTAAGTAAATGAACTAAATATATTTTGGAATTCATCATCTTTTTTTAAAAACATGGCCTTAGAAATAAAAATATATTTTGAAAATATCTCATCATCCCACAAAATGTAGTGTGTCTTTGCCAATTAAGAAAATGTCACTAAAACAAATTTCTTTCATTTGGGCGAAAAATTAATTTTAAAATGGACGCAGAAATGGCATGGGATAGTCTGATCTTCAAGACACCTCAGCACCAAAAGTTGAATCGCTATAGTCATGACGAATTACACCAGTCTTATCATATCCTAAAACGAATCATATTTATCAGAGATTGTTGTGGTAATCACTAAATCAAATTTGCTCGTGAAAGTACCATGCACTACCATGTTGCATGTGTCTACTCGAAATAAAGAAGGGTGTAGTTTATTTCATAACTGCACCAAAAGTTGAAACACCCTTTGTTCTGTACTTTCACTCTTGTTGACTGCCAATCTAGAAAAACCTCCTAGGTTTTTGTCACGAATAACTGCACGTTTCTTTCTTTCTTTTTCCTTGCTTGCTCTTTGTTTGGTCTTTATATATAATGTTTTAATGAACAAGGAGCAATTGTTGGATATAAAAAGTGTAGGTATGTAATCTGTTTTGACTCTTTATCGTACCTGTTCCACACGTAGGCCCAGTATAGCCAGGAACGCAGGCACAAGTAAAAGTGTTCACTCCAGCAGTGCAATATCCTCCATTTTCACAAGGATCAAGAGAACAATCGTTGATATCTGTGCAAATTGAGTTCCAAAGACAATACATGGGATAAATAGGTTGAGAGAATAATGTCCCTTTTAACATGTTATTTTTATTTGGCGGTGAACAGGTAAAAAAAAGTCAAAAAGTTGCATTCGAAATAGAAATAATGAAAGTTGAGGGATAAATTCTTTTTAAAAAAAAATCTATTAATACATAATTCAAATGAAGTAAATGAACTAAATATCTTTTGGGAAGTTAGCATCTTTTTTTCAAAAACATGGCCATAAAAAGAAAAGATATTTTTAAAAAATTACATCGTCCCTCAAAACGTAGTGTGTCCATGCATAAAGAAAATGTCACTAAAACAAATTTCTTTCATTTGGGCATGAAATGAATTTGAAAAAGGACGCGGAAATGGCCTCGGATATCCTGATCTTTAAGACACCTCAGCACCAAAAGTTGAATCGCTATAATCATGATGAATTACACCAGTCTTATCATATCCTAAAACAAATCATATTTATCAGAGATTGATGTTTTAAAACAAATCATAATTATCAGACATCGTTGTGGTAATCACTATATCAAATTTGCTCTTGAAAGTACCATGCACTCCCGTTTTTCATGTGTATACTCGAAATTTAGAAAAGGGTAGTTTATTTCATTACTGCACCAAAAGTTGAAACACCCTCGCATCTTATGTCTGTACTTTCACTCCTGTTGACTGCCAATCAAGAAAAATATCCGAGGTTTTCATCACCAATGACTGCATGTTTCTTTCTTTCTATTTCCTAGTCTGCTTTTTATCTATAATGTTTTGACGACCAAGGAGTAATTGTTTGATATAAAAAGTGTAGGTTTGTAATCTGCTTTGACTCTATATCTTACCTGTTCCACACGTAGGCCCAGTATATCCAGGATCGCAGGTACAAGTAAAGGTGTTCACACCATCACTGCAAATACCTCCATTTTCACAAGGATCGGGAGAACAATCGTTGATATCTGTGCAAATTGAGTTTCAAAGACATTAAATGGGATAAAAGGAATGAGAAAATAATGTCTCTTTTGACATATTAATCTTCATTTGGCGGTGAACAGGTAAACAGAAGTAAAAACTTGCATTCTAAATTTAAATAATGACAGTTCAGGGATAAATTCTCTCATTTGAAATTCTATTAATACATAATTCAAATTAAGTAAACGAACTAAATATATTTTGGAAGTTATCATCTTTTTTTAAAAACATGGCCTTAGAAATAAAAATATATTTTGAAAATATCTCATCATCCCACAAAATGTAGTGTGTCTTTGCCAATTAAGAAAATGTCACTCAAACAAATTTCTTTCATTTGGGCGAAAAATGAATTTTAAAATGGACGCAGAAATGGCATGGGATAGTCTGATCTTGAAGACAACTCAGCATCAAAAGTTGAATCGCTATAATCATGATGAATTACACCAGTCTTATCATTTCCTAAAACAAATCATATTTATCAGAGATTGATGTTTTAAAACAAATCATAATTATCAGACATCGTTGTGGTAATCACTATATCAAATTTCCTCTTGAAAGTACCATGCACTCCCGTTTTTCATGTGTATACTCGAAATTTAGAAAAGGGTAGTTTATTTCATTACTGCACCAAAAGTTGAAACACCCTCGCATCTTATGTCTGTACTTTCACTCCTGTTGACTGCCAATCAAGAAAAATATCCGAGGTTTTCATCACCAATGACTGCATTTTCTTTCTTTCTTTTTCCTTGTCTGCTTTTTATCTATAATGTTTTGACGAACACGGAGCAATTATTTGATATAAAAAGTGTAGGTTTGTAATCTGCTTTGACTCTATATCTTACCTGTTCCACACGTAGGCCCAGTATATCCAGGATCGCAGGTACAAGTAAAGGTGTTCACACCATCACCGCAAATTCCTCCATTTTCACAAGGATCGGGAGAACAATCGTTGATATCTGTGCAAATTGAGTTCCAAAGACAATTAATGGGATAAAAAGAATGAGAAAATAATGTCTCTTTTGACATATTTATCTTCATTTGGCAGTGAACAGGTAAACAGAAGTCAAAACTTGCATTCTAAATATACATAATGACAGTTCAGGGATAAATTCTCTCATTTGAAAATCTATTAATACATAATTCAAATTAAGTAAATGAACTAAATATATTTTGGAATTCATCATCTTTTTTTAAAAACATGGCCTTAGAAATAAAAATATATTTTGAAAATATCTCATCATCCCACAAAATGTAGTGTGTCTTTGCCAATTAAGAAAATGTCACTAAAACAAATTTCTTTCATTTGGGCGAAAAATGAATTTTAAAATGGACGCAGAAATGGCATGGGATAGTCTGATCTTCAAGACACCTCAGCACCAAAAGTTGAATCGCTATAGTCATGACGAATTACACCAGTCTTATCATATCCTAAAACGAATCATATTTATCAGAGATTGTTGTGGTAATCACTAAATCAAATTTGCTCGTGAAAGTACCATGCACTACCATGTTGCATGTGTCTACTCGAAATAAAGAAGGGTGTAGTTTATTTCATAACTGCACCAAAAGTTGAAACACCCTTTGTTCTGTACTTTCACTCTTGTTGACTGCCAATCTAGAAAAACCTCCTAGGTTTTTGTCACGAATAACTGCACGTTTCTTTCTTTCTTTTTCCTTGCTTGCTCTTTGTTTGGTCTTTATATATAATGTTTTAATGAACAAGGAGCAATTGTTGGATATAAAAAGTGTAGGTATGTAATCTGTTTTGACTCTTTATCGTACCTGTTCCACACGTAGGCCCAGTATAGCCAGGAACGCAGGCACAAGTAAAAGTGTTCACTCCATCAGTGCAATATCCTCCATTTTCACAAGGATCAAGAGAACAATCGTTGATATCTGTGCAAATTGAGTTCCAAAGACAATACATGGGATAAATAGGTTGAGAGAATAATGTCCCTTTTAACATGTTATTTTTATTTGGCGGTGAACAGGTAAAAAAAAGTCAAAAAGTTGCATTCGAAATAGAAATAATGAAAGTTGAGGGATAAATTCTTTTTTTAAAAAAATCTATTAATACATAATTCAAATGAAGTAAATGAACTAAATATCTTTTGGGAAGTTAGCATCTTTTTTTCAAAAACATGGCCATAAAAAGAAAAGATATTTTTAAAAAATTACATCGTCCCTCAAAACGTAGTGTGTCCATGCATAAAGAAAATGTCACTAAAACAAATTTCTTTCATTTGGGCATGAAATGAATTTGAAAAAGGACGCGGAAATGGCCTCGGATATCCTGATCTTTAAGACACCTCAGCACCAAAAGTTGAATCGCTATAATCATGATGAATTACACCAGTCTTATCATATCCTAAAACAAATCATATTTATCAGAGATTGATGTTTTAAAACAAATCATAATTATCAGACATCGTTGTGGTAATCACTATATCAAATTTGCTCTTGAAAGTACCATGCACTCCCGTTTTTCATGTGTATACTCGAAATTTAGAAAAGGGTAGTTTATTTCATTACTGCACCAAAAGTTGAAACACCCTCGCATCTTATGTCTGTACTTTCACTCCTGTTGACTGCCAATCAAGAAAAATATCCGAGGTTTTCATCACCAATGACTGCATGTTTCTTTCTTTCTATTTCCTAGTCTGCTTTTTATCTATAATGTTTTGACGACCAAGGAGTAATTGTTTGATATAAAAAGTGTAGGTTTGTAATCTGCTTTGACTCTATATCTTACCTGTTCCACACGTAGGCCCAGTATATCCAGGATCGCAGGTACAAGTAAAGGTGTTCACACCATCACTGCAAATACCTCCATTTTCACAAGGATCGGGAGAACAATCGTTGATATCTGTGCAAATTGAGTTTCAAAGACATTAAATGGGATAAAAGGAATGAGAAAATAATGTCTCTTTTGACATATTAATCTTCATTTGGCGGTGAACAGGTAAACAGAAGTAAAAACTTGCATTCTAAATTTAAATAATGACAGTTCAGGGATAAATTCTCTCATTTGAAATTCTATTAATACATAATTCAAATTAAGTAAACGAACTAATTATATTTTGGAAGTTATCATCTTTTTTTAAAAACATGGCCTTAGAAATAAAAATATATTTTGAAAATATCTCATCATCCCACAAAATGTAGTGTGTCTTTGCCAATTAAGAAAATGTCACTCAAACAAATTTCTTTCATTTGGGCGAAAAATGAATTTTAAAATGGACGCAGAAATGGCATGGGATAGTCTGATCTTGAAGACAACTCAGCACCAAAAGTTGAATCGCTATAATCATGATGAATTACACCAGTCTTATCATTTCCTAAAACAAATCATATTTATCAGAGATTGATGTTTTAAAACAAATCATAATTATCAGACATCGTTGTGGTAATCACTATATCAAATTTCCTCTTGAAAGTACCATGCACTCCCGTTTTTCATGTGTATACTCGAAATTTAGAAAAGGGTAGTTTATTTCATTACTGCACCAAAAGTTGAAACACCCTCGCATCTTATGTCTGTACTTTCACTCCTGTTGACTGCCAATCAAGAAAAATATCCGAGGTTTTCATCACCAATGACTGCATTTTCTTTCTTTCTTTTTCCTTGTCTGCTTTTTATCTATAATGTTTTGACGAACAAGGAGTAATTGTTTGATATAAAAAGTGTAGGTTTGTAATCTGCTTTGACTCTATATCTTACCTGTTCCACACGTAGGCCCAGTATATCCAGGATCGCAGGTACAAGTAAAGGTGTTCTCACCATCACTGCAAATACTTCCATTTTCACAAGGATCGGGAGAACAATCGTTGATATCTGTGCAAATTGAGTTTCAAAGACATTAAATGGGATAAAAGGAATGAGAAAATAATGTCTCTTTTGACATATTAATCTTCATTTGGCGGTGAACAGGTAAACAGAAGTCAAAACTTGCATTCTAAATATAAATAATGACAGTTTAGGGATAAATTCTCTCATTTGAAATTCTATTAATACATAATTCAAATTAAGTAAATGAACTAAATATATTTTGGAAGTTATCATCTTTTTTTTAAAAACATGGCCTTAGAAATAAAAATATATTTTGAAAATATCTCATCATCCCACAAAATGTAGTGTGTCTTTGCCAATTAAGAAAATGTCACTAAAACAAATTTCTTTCATTTGGGCGAAAAATGAATTTTAAAATGGACGCAGAAATGGCATGGGATAGTCTGATCTTGAAGACACCTCAGCACCAAAAGTTGAATCGCTATAATCATGATGAATCACACTAGTCTAATCATATACTAAAACAAATCATAATTATCAGACATCGTTGTGGTAATCACTATATCAAATTTGCTCTTGAAAGTACCATGCACTCCCGTTTTTCATGTGTATACTCGAAATTTAGAAAAGGGTAGTTTATTTCATTACTGCACCAAAAGTTGAAACACCCTCGCATCTTTGTCTGTACTTTCACTCCTGTTGACTGCCAATCAAGAAAAATATCCGAGGTTTTTATCACCAATGACTGCATGTTTCTTTCTTTCTATTTCCTTGTCTGCTTTTTATCTAAAATGTTTCGACGAACAAGGAGCAATTGTTTGATATAAAAAGTGTAGGTTTGTAATCTGCTTTGACTCTATATCTCACCTGTTCCACACGTAGGCCCAGTATGGCCAGGATTGCAGGCACAAGTAAAGGTGTTCACACCATCACTGCAAATACCTCCATTTTCACAAGGATCAAGAGAACAATCGTCGATATCTGTGCAAATTGAGTTCCAAAGACAATTAATGGGATAAAAGGAATGAGAAAATAATGTCTTTTTTGACATATTTATCTTCATTTGGCGGTGAACAGGTAAACAGAAGTCAAAACTTGCATTCTAAATATAAATAAAGACAGTTCAGGGATAAATTCTCTCATTTGAAAATCTACATAATTCAAATTAATAATTCAAATTAAGTAAATGAACTAAATATTTTTTGGAATTCATCATTTTTTTTCAAAAACATGGCCTTAGAAATAAAAATATATTTTGAAAACATCTCATCATCCCACAAAACGTAGTGTGTCTTTGCCAATTAAGAAAATGTCACTAAAACAAATTTCTTTCATTTGGGCGAAAAATGAATTTTAAAATGGACGCAGAAATGGCATGGGATAGTCTGATCTTGAAGACACCTCAGCAACAAAAATTGAATCGCTATAATCATGATGAATCACACTAGTCTAATCATATACTAAAACAAATCATAATTATCAGACATCGTTGTGGTAATCACTTTATCAAATTTGCTCTTGAAAGTACCTTGCACTCCCGTTTTTCATGTGTATACTCGAAATTTAGAAAAGGGTAATTTATTTCATTACTGCACCAAAAGTTGAAACACCCTCGCATCTTTTGTCTGTACTTCCACTCCTGTTGACTCCTAATCAAGAAAAATATCCGAGGTTTTTATCACCAATGACTGCATGTTTCTTTCTTTCTATTTCGTTGTCTGCTTTTTATCTATAATGTTTTGACGAACAAGGAGCAATTGTTTGATATAAAAAGTGTAGGTTTGTATTTTGTTTTGACTCTATATCTTACCTGTTCCACACGTAGGCCCAGTATATCCAGGATCGCAGGTACAAGTAAAGGTGTTCACACCATCACTGCAAATACCTCCATTTTCACAAGGATCAAGAGAACAATCGTCGATATCTGTGCAAATTGAGTTCCAAAGACAATTAATGGGATAAAAGGAATGAGAAAATAATGTCTTTTTTGACATATTTATCTTCATTTGGCGGTGAACAGGTAAACAGAAGTCAAAACTTGCATTCTAAATATAAGTAATGACAGTTCAGGGATAAATTCTCTCATTTGAAAATCTATTAATACATTATTCAAATTAAGTAAATAAACTAAATATATTTTGGAATTAATCATTTTTTTTTCAAAAACATGGCCTTAGAAATAAAAATATATTTTGAAAACATCTCATCATCCCACAAAACGTAGTGTGTCTTTGCCAATTAAGAAAATGTCACTAAAACAAATTTCTTTCATTTGGGCGAAAAATGAATTTTAAAATGGACGCAGAAATGGCATGGGATAGTCTGATCTTGAAGACACCTCAGCAACAAAAGTTGAATCGCTATAATCATGATGAATCACACTAGTCTAATCATATACTAAAACAAATCATAATTATCAGACATCGTTGTGGTAATCACTTTATCAAATTTGCTCTTGAAAGTACCTTGCACTCCCGTTTTTCATGTGTATACTCGAAATTTAGAAAAGGGTAATTTATTTCATTACTGCACCAAAAGTTGAAACACCCTCGCATCTTTTGTCTGTACTTCCACTTCTGTTGACTCCTAATCAAGAAAAATATCCGAGGTTTTTATCACCAATGACTGCATGTTTCTTTCTTTCTATTTCGTTGTCTGCTTTTTATCTATAATGTTTTGACGAACAAGGAGCAATTGTTTGATATAAAAAGTGTAGGTTTGTATTTTGTTTTGACTCTATATCTTACCTGTTACACACGAAAGCCCAGTATATCCAGGATCGCAGGTACAAGTAAAGGTGTTCACACCATCACTGCAAATACCTCCATTTTCACAAGGATCAAGAGAACAATCGTCGATATCTGTGCAAATTGAGTTCCAAAGACAATTAATGGGATAAAAGGAATGAGAAAATAATGTCTTTTTTGACATATTTATCTTCATTTGGCGGTGAACAGGTAAACAGAAGTCAAAACTTGCATTCTAAATATAAGTAATGACAGTTCAGGGATAAATTCTCTCATTTGAAAATCTATTAATACATTATTCAAATTAAGTAAATAAACTAAATATATTTTGGAATTAATCATTTTTTTCTTCAAAAACATGGCCTTAGAAATAAAAATATATTTTGAAAACATCTCATCATCCCACAAAACGTAGTGTGTCTTTGCCAATTAAGAAAATGTCACTAAAACAAATTTCTTTCATTTGGGCGAAAAATGAATTTTAAAATGGACGCAGAAATGGCATGGGATAGTCTGATCTTGAAGACACTTCAGCAACAAAAGTTGAATCGCTTAAATCATGAGAAATCACACAAGTCAAATCATATACTAAAACAAATCATAATTATCAGAGATCGTTGTGGTAATCACTATATCAAATTTGCTCTTGAAAGTACCATGCACTCCCATTTTTCATGTGTCTACTCAAAATCTAGAAGAGTGTAGTTAATTTCATTACTGCACCAAAAGTTGAAACATCCTCGCATCTTTTGTTTGTACTTTCACTCCTGTTGACTGCCAATCAAGAAAAAACTCAGAGGTTTTCATCACCAATGACTAAATGTTTCTTTCTTTCTATTTCCTTGTCTGCTTTTTATCTATAATGTTTTGACGAACAAGGAGCAATTTTTTAATATAAAAAGTGTAGGATTGTAATCTGCTTTGACTCTATATCTTACCTGTTCCACACCTAGGCCCAGTATAGCCAGGATTGCAGGCACAAGTAAAGGTGTTCACCCCATCACTGCAAATTCCTCCATTCTCACAAGGATCGGGAGAACAATCGTTGATATCTGTGCAAATTGAGTTCCAAAGACAATTAATGGGATAAAAGGAATGAGAAAATAATGTCTCTTTTGACATATTTATCTTCATTTGGCGGTGAACAGGTAAACAGAAGTCAAAACTTGCATTCTAAATATAAATAAAGACAGTTCAGGGATAAATTCTCTCATTTGAAAATCTATTAATACATAATTCAAATTAAGTAAATGAACTAAATATTTTTTGGAATTCATCATTTTTTTTTCAAAAACATGGCCTTAGAAATAAAAATATATTTTGAAAATATCTCATCATCCCACAAAACGTAGTGTGTCTTTGCCAATTAAGAAAATGTCACTAAAACAAATTTCTTTCATTTGGGCGAAAAATGAATTTTAAAATGGACGCAGAAATGGCATGGGATAGTCTGATCTTGAAGACACCTCAGCAACAAAAGTTGAATCGCTATAATCATGATGAATCACACTAGTCTAATCATATACTAAAACAAATCATAATTATCAGACATCGTTGTGGTAATCACTATATCAAATTTGCTCTTGAAAGTACCATGCACTCCCATTTCTCATGTGTCTACTCGAAATCATGAAGAGTGTAGTTTATATTATTACTGCACCAAAAGGTGAAACATCCTCGCATCTTTTGTCTGTCCTTTCACTCCTGTTGACTGCCAATCAAGAAAAAACTCAGAGGTTTTCATCACCAATGACTGCATGTTTCTTTCTTTCTATTTCCTTGTCTGCTTTTTATCTATAATGTTTTGACGAACAAGGAGCAATTGTTTGATATAAAAAGTGTAGGACTGTAATCTGCTTTGACTCTATATCTGACCTGTTCCACACGTAGCCCCAGTATATCCAGGATCGCAGGTACAAGTAAAGGTGTTCACTCCATCACTGCAAATTCCTCCATTCTCACAAGGATCGGGAGAACAATCGTTGATATCTGTGCAAGTTGAGTTCCAAAGACAATTAATGGGATAAAAGGGATGAGAAAATATTGTCTCTTTTGACATATTTATCTTCATTTGGCGGTGAAAAGGTAAATAGAAGTCAAAACTTGCATTTTAAATACAAATAATGACAGTTCAAGGATAAATTCCTTCATTTGAAAATCTATTAATACATAATTCAAATTAAGTAAATGAACTAAATATCTCTTTAGAAGTTATCATCTTTTTTTTAAAACATGGCCTTAGAAATAAAAAAAAATATATTTTGAAAATATCTCATCATCCCACAAAACGTAGTGTGTCCTTGCCAATTAAGAAAATGTCACTAAAACAAATTTCTTTCATTTGGGCAAAAAATGAATTTTAAAATGGACGCGGAAATGGCATGGGATAGTCTGATCTTGAAGACACCTCAGCACCAAAAGTTGAATCGCTATAATCATGATGAATCACACCACTTTAATCATATCCTAAAACAAATCATAAGTAGACTTGAATTCGTTACTTTGACGAATTAGGTGATACGTACGATAATGTTTTACATAATGAAGAATGCATTTTCACGATTTCATATCATCTCATAAAATGCTCCTCCCATTATGGTTTATACATATCTCACGTTTTCACTGTGTAGTCTTGATCATTATTGATATATAGAAGATAGATTGAGACAATATGACCTTTGATTCTAATAATTGACATAATGAAGAATACATTTTCACAATTTCATGTTATTTACATGAAATAGTTCACACATCATGTTCTACCTAAATTCCAAGTTAAACATAGTTTCCATGGTATAATTGTCAGATGGTCTACAGTTGGAGGGTACCCGTTCGCGTATTTTTTTGTTCTTTAATTGATTTCCGGAGTGACAGTATGAACTCATTTGCATACAGCCAATCAGAGCTCATCTTGTTAATTATAACGAAAGGTAATGCAATGTTTTGGTATGGGGTCATGGATTTAATTCAAATGAACATATTGGAAGCATATGCGATCCTACAATAATCAGTTGTGGATCGGGGGGCAAAAGGCCCATGCCTCATAACCAGAGCATTATGCCTCCATCATTGGTAAAATGAAGCCCAGAGCAGAAGATGGAGACATTTTTTCTTTGGAATATCAATAGTTTTAAAACTGACCTTCGCCGTAGATCTCCATACGAAGAGCAATATACCTATGCCATGTGACAGGCATCAAGCGGACATATCTGCAAACCTGGGGCACAGACAGAGTGTTGGTCACGATGGTGTTCTTGTCAAAGTTACCGGTGAAGATCTTCAATGAAAAAGGAAAATAAATCCACTTTTGAATTATTATGACTCAAATGATTCTACAGTTAATTGCAACCGAGAGAATCTGATTTAAATAGCATTTTTTGCTTCTACAGTAGATCTACCTATTTATTTGTTTATATAATTTTGTAGTTATATTCTGGTTACATCTATTTTTAGTTTTAAAGGCCTTATAATTAAATAGAGAAAAGAAATTGAAATAGATTGAGTGCATTTCTTGCTCTAACATATCGATAAAGATAGACAGTTCTTTAATTCTACCTGATAATTTTCTCCTCTTAAATATTGTGTAAGAATAGTAAATAGTACACCTAACATGAATCTCTGTTCCTGAGGTAATGATTGCCTTTCTCTTTCAAAAAAATTACATACAACTATTTTAACTGTTTTCAATAAGATATCAAATTCCTTCAAAGTTCTTAAAGAATAGAGTCAATATAATATTTATTTTAAAAAATGATCAGAGAACACATTTACACTGTCATCTCCATTGATGTCCAGCACGGTGTGAAAGGGCGTGTCATCAGTTCTACAAGCAAGCTTGTAGCTTTTTACCCACTCATAAAACCCTGGATACCCAAAAGACTCTGGGTCTGAGGTTTTTCCATTCCCTTGAGTCGCAACTGCAATGATACGGTAAGGTTCCAAAAGATCCACCTTGGGGAAAAAAAAGAATGGTAGGAAAAACTCTTGATATTCATCCTCATAATCATTTAATATTCATGCCAACAATTTTAACCAATGAGCATATTCCAAAATGTGTCAAATCTATATGATTTTTTAAAATAATAAGAACGGCTACTTTCTTTGCATCTATCAATGCCATTATCTTGCTCTCATAAAGCTCTGCTCCTCCAAGGGCTATATTTGATTGGAAGTTCTCTACATTGATGCTGTCATTGATGATCTCATTTCTGAGTGATATCAAACAATTATATTAATGTCCTTAAAGAGGAAACAAATGCTGGCTTACCTACAAAGAGGAGAGAACCCATAAGTCACCTCAAAAAGTGGCCAATAAAAACAATTTTGACAGTGTAAGTGAAGGGTGCCATAAAAATGCCTAGTGACTCTTTCATTACTAACAAGGTGGTACTGATGCGATATGAACCCATGCCAAAGAAATGACTGGTGACTCTTATTACATACATTGTGGCAGTGTATGAATACAAATTAAACTATGTTCTAAAAATTGAGCGTTGACTCTTTCATTACAGATACGGTGGCAACATTGGGATATGAACCCATGCCATAGAAAGAAGGGTTGTCTTAAAGGGCAAGTCCACTCCAAAAATAACTTAAGGCCCGGTCACACAGAGGGGACGCATGGGGGACACACGGCCGGCGCATGGAAAATTTGCAATTTTGGCCAGTGCGTTGTCATGCGCCCAACTTTTGTCGAAGCTATACAGCTAGCTGACACCAAATGCATAGCGCGCTGGACGCATACAGGGCGCATACAGGGCGCACACAGGGCGCACACAGGGCGCACACAGAGCGCACATGAAAACAACTTCCACGAATGCACAGCGTGTTGCTAGCGCGCTGGACGAATGGTCCACGCATGCACCGCGTTCTACGACGCACGGCCAGCGCATTGGAAATCGGAAAAGAACGTGTGCCTAACTTTTGTCATAATTTTGGAAAAGCTAGCGAGCTGACACAAAAAGCACGGCGTGTAGCTAGCGCGCTGTGCGTATACAGGGCGTGTGCTCCGCGTTTGTCTGGCGCTGGTCTAGCGCGCTCCACGCATGTCTGGCGCTGGTCTAGCGCGCTACGGCGCATGTCTGGCGTGCCTTTGGCGTGTATATTCATGCGTCGAGCTCGGCGCACGTTTTTGAGCATGCTCAAAAAATCCCGACGCACACAGCGAATGACGACGCATGCATAGCGCTGGTCCAGCGTTGGTCCAGCGCGCTCGACGAACGAGTAACGAATGATGACGCACGCCTAGCGAACGACAACGCACTGGCCCAAATTGCAAATTTCCAATGCGCTGGCCGTGCGTTCCCCATGCGTCCTCCCTGTGTGACCGGGCCTTTACTTTCAAAAGACGCAGAAAAATCAGATAAACCAAACAAACAAAAATTGAGCAAAATCGGATAACTAATAAGAAAGTTATGAATTTTTGAAAAAGTATGTTAAACTATAGAACAATGAGAATCACAACACAAATTGCCAATATGGTAATCAGTTTGTGACGTCATGTTGCCTTAACATTGTGGCCCGAATTCACAAAGGAGGTTTGTCGACAAACCTCCTTTGTGAATACAACAGTTTACGGTTGTGTGCGCCATTTTAAACAAAGCCAATGACCTAGAGGTCATGTATTTATGCGTAAATTAAGATTGCGCCCATGCAAATTATGACGGTATCACTGCATACGCGCTGCGTTGTGCGCGCACATCATCATTTGCATGGGCGCAATCTTAATTTACGCATAAATACCAATGGTCAAAGGTCATCGGCTTTGTTTCAAAAGATCCACCTTGGGGAAAGAAAGAATGGTAGGAAGGACTCTTGATATTCATCCTCATAATCATTTAATATTCATGCCAACAATTTTAACCAATGAGCATATTCCAAAATGTGTCAAATTTATATGATTTTTCAAGATAATAAGAAAGGCTACTTTCTTTGCATCTATCAATTTTAAAACATTGGCTTTGTTTCAAAGCCAATGACCCGAGATCAACTGTCTGCGCATGCGCACTGATACAACCGTAAACTTGTGTATTCGGGCCTTTGTGTCTGAATTGGCTTTAAAGTGGAAATTCAAAAAAAAATCACAAATATGTCAAATTATGTTTCACTAGAAACTGGTAAGCTAACAGATGGCCATCGTATAAGTTTTAGGTCAACTGCATATCGGATGATTTATAAAAATACAAATACAACCACCTCCTTAGCAGCTGGGATATACGGGAGATTCGCCTGAAAAATAACAGTGTTCTAATGACGTCACAATATTGACCAATATAAGGGACTTTTAGATTCGCACGAAGACAATGGGGATTGCTACAATCAACGTCCTTTTAATGCACTGCCTTGAATGGACGTCACACGTATCAGTCCACGCAAATCTAAAAGTCCCTATTGCCCAAGCAGACGACATCCCATAAAAGAATTAACATAATTGCAAAGCTATTATTTCTCAAATTATCACGAGTTTAGTGTATATAAATGTGATGGCATATCAAACCATTCAAAAGGGGATATGAAACCGATTCTAATAACTAAAATCTTTTGTTTGTAAATACGTAGGATAGGGTTTAATTAACAATCAAAGAAATCAGACTTTCAAATTGAAAACCCCCCGGAATGATATTAAGGACGGCATTTGTTCCTCTTGAAACGCCGAACATACCGCGGTGTGTGCAGCTGAATATACAATGGCTTTTTTTTTTTTTTTACAAGCGACAGATTCCTTTATTTGTGTATCGCTGCATTTGTCATCAAAATAAAACCATGCGCGGGGTTTAGAGTGAGGCAATAGATTATACATTTAGCCTGACGGTAGTGAAGTAAGAGAAAGAACTCATGAGAAGATAAAAAACAGGTACTGAAATATGTAAGATGTCATGGGACATCGTCTGCTTGTGCAAATAATGTCCATACTGTGATGTCACACATCTCAGCAGCGTTCGGAGAGCTATTCAGGTGCTATGACGGGGCTGCATTTAAGCGTTTTTGTAATTTATAATAATCATTACTTCGCATGTTTCCAAGCATTGCATTTAGATAATCTTGTCAAATCACAGTTTCAACTTTGCAATGATGAAAATAAAGTTAGTTTTTAAATCAATGAATATCTACTTTAAGAATTTTTTCTTACCTGGATCCACTGTTCGGTATCTGCTGTTTCTGCGCCCCAGGCTGTTTCGGCCAGGTTAAGACGACCTTTATTTGCGCTAAAGGTGCCAAACCCTTCTTCTTCGGCGGTATACGCACTGGAAGCTGTAAGACTGGAATCCGGGATAACATAACTCTCAAGGCCCAGACCAGGCTTATTCAAGATAGCTGTAAGTTAATGCGTGACAATGTATAGCAAAATGTAGGAAGTGGTGGTCAAATAGGCAAATATGATCGAATGCTTCTATCAGATGGACATACAATAGACAAGTGTGTAATTACAATCTGGGCATGAGCAGGAAAAAAAATTATTTGTAAAAATGTTAAGGTCCTCTGCAAGACAAGTACTTGATATTTGCTCATGAATAAACAAGCAAAGCATTCCATGTTCTACAGGTAGATGTATTCCTATGAAACGAGGGAAATCAAAAGCTATTCAAGGAGACCTATCCATGTTTAAAACATCCGTGGATATATATATATATATATATGGAGGCATTTTGATCCAGTCAACTTATAATGTTAGGTGCGGCCATTCCTTGAATGGTGTTCTAAACAAACCACATTAGAATAACCGTTTTGGTCTGAGGACACATGGCTTCATGTCATAAAAGAGATATAGTTCGAGCTATTACTGAAGTAAGGACTGTGTTGATCGAAGAGATATTTTTAATCAGAGCATGTTTCATAAAACCTTGAGTCCCTTTTAATGTTTACATATAAATGAATAATGGATTAATGAACTAGATTGACCACAAACTTTCTGGACTGTAAACAATACTCTTTACTAGTTAAACTACATTGTATAATACGGCTATGATTGGCTGTGGATCATAATTCTTTCGGAAATGAGCGTTCTAGATTCAGACAAAAAACCTTCTAACAACTATCCCCAGGACAACCTGCCCACCAGGACAATGCACCCTTGGACCATGGTAACTCCATGCTTGGACATGTATCCCAACAAATATTCTAACTAGGTCTTTCATCCCCTAAACAAGCTACCCACTAGGATGATGCACCATTTTACATGTATCCCCACATACTACACTGACTTGGTCTACTATTCCCTGGAAAACCTACCACTTAGACAATGCACCCTTGGACATGGATCCAAAAAGACTACTCTGCCATCCCCTAAGTCAATATCCTCTAGAGCGATTGCCTCTGGACATCTATTTCTTTAGGATTTCCACCTCCTAGGGCAGTGTACCCCTACCACATTCCCATCAGATTTCTAGGATAATAGACCCTGGGTGAAATTGACCTTAACAGGTGTCTGGTGCACACTGTCCTAACATTTTAACTCTGGACAAAAACAATTTAGAAATTTACTCCGGGGGACTGGGGTACATGCATAGAGATCCTCAATATTTCAATCTTAACCCTCTCTTTAAAGAAGAATGAGGAGCCCTGCCGTAAGTCAATTGCCTTCTACAAATCGAATTATTAGGTATAACAACCCTCCACACCAAATGCCATATATAATATAATAACCGAAGTCTTAAATTCAATCCTTAAACGAGGACTATACCTTACCCTATCTCTGAACCTAACCTAAAACTCGACGAATTAGGTGATACGTATTCAAATGTGTTACATAATGAAGAACGCATTTTCACGAATTCAACTTCCGTTATGAAATACTCCTCCTATTATGGTCTATCAATAAATGAAGTTTCAACTGTGTAGCATTGATCATTTCGGATCTATGAAAGATGATCCCCGGGATGGTAGGCAAATGCCATGACAAATATACCAAAAAATCCACATAGACATAACACGTAAACGGAAAATTTGAGTCTCAAATTGAAGCTGGCAGACAAGAATCGAAATGTTGCTCAAACAAGACTGGAGTGTAGAATGAAGATTTCCAAAAAATTCACCTCCCATAGAGAATACAAGCAAAATCGGAAAAATTGGCATGCCTTTTTACTCGACAGAATGGACTATGATGCCATAGTTGAAATGAAAAACACATGGCACCTTTTGTGTAGAAAATCGGCTCAAAAACTACATATCAAAAATTGGGAGAAAAGCAATCAATATTTATACAGATACATTCTATTTTTCATAAATTTGCTGACGTCATAATATGCAAATTCTTTTGTTTAGTTCCAAGACCATTATGATGACGTCACGATGTGCTTAACTCATAGCCTGCCATGAGGCTTCATGCACGGTATCGTTATAGTGCTTTCAGGGGCGTCGCTAGACCTTTTTCAGTGGGGGGGGGGGGGGGGGGTGTAGACGCCAACGATTACCGACCAAACTAGCCACCAATTACCGACAAAATTAAATGTCCCAATATTTACAAATTGAACCCTATAAACCCGGGGCAGAAGGCTAAATTGTTTTTCCTGGCTATTGTCTAACTATAGTACTTGCGTATGCGCAAATGGTCATTTTTCTGAACGATATAAATATACAAATTAGTTCGTCAACTTAGTCAGCATCATAGCTATATGTTTAATGCAGGCGCGGAGATATATAGGATCTTATTTTAGGAAGGGGCGGTAGTATAGTGAGCAAGCGAATCACTTAAAGAGCGCGCCAAGCGCGCTCATTAGAGGGGTGTGGGTGATAGGCCTCCCGCGCGAAGCGCGAAAGCTTAGACGTTTCCTTCAATTAATAGGAAAAGAAGACTTTTTATTGTACCGTTCTTGACTGTTAATCCTTGTCTAAATTTAGTTTCTCCCCCTCCCGCGCAAAGCGCAGAAGTGACGTGTCAATGAATTAAGAGAAAAAGCAGACGATTCGCTGTACTGTTCTCGACTCTTAATCCATATCTGAATAAAGTTTCTCTCTCCCGCGCAAAGCGCAGAAGTCTTGGCCTTTCATCAAATTATAGAGAAAGGAAGACGATTTGTCGTACCGTTGTTGACTCTTAATCCTTCTTTGAATTTAGTTTCCCCGAACATGTTAAACCTCTGATTTCTTTAGCTGATATTATAGGAAAGTGACACTTCGAACAAATACAAGTATTGTAGTTGTAGTCACTCTCAAAGTCGTCACAGCGGTTAAAAAGTCAGTTCGTAGGGAAAAAAACTTGTTGGCCGACCGACAATATACATCTCACCGACTTCAAAATTCTGCATTGATATAGAACACAAGGATCGAGCAAGAATACCGACACAGCTGACCCGACATAGCAACATATTTACCCATGTCTTTCTTGCTCCCTCGGCGAGACGACTCCACTCAACAACCTCCCGCGTTTCTTTTGTTTCCCTTTTCTCTTTGTTTTCTTCTCTTTTCTTTCCTTTCTTTTCCTTTTTTTTTTTTTTTTTTTCTTTCCCTCTCTTTTTTCCGTCCCCCTTCTCTCTTTTTCGCCGATGGCAACGCAATTTTACCGACAATATCCTGACGCGTTAATCAGATTATCTCAATGTAAACTTGACATTCCGTGATTTGGGGCTTGGCACAATGGGGATTAGCCCTGTGGCAGGATGAGAGTTAATGGCCAAATGAAACATGAAATCGTATTTTCGACTCAAACTTAAAATCTCATCGTCTCACAAAACGTAGCGTGCCCCTGCCAGACTAGAAAATGTCAATGAAACAAATTGCTTTCATATTTGCGGGAAATGAATGTGGAAATGGATGCGGATATGGCATGAGATAGTCAGACACCACAGCACCAAAAGTTGAATCGCTATAATGAGGATGAATCACACCAGTATTATCATACCCTAAAACAACTCATCAATATCAGAGATCGTTGTGGTAATCAAAATGTCAAATTTTCTCTTGAAAGTACTATGCACTCTTATTTTCCATGTGTCTACTCGAAATCAAGAAGAGTTTAGTTTATTTCATTACTGCACCAAAAGGTGAAACACACTCGCATCTTTTGGCTGTACTTTTACTCCTGTTGACTGTCAATAAACTCAAACTCGAACTCAAACTCAATCAAGATGAACGACCAAGGTTTTCCTCACCAATGACTGCATGTTTCTTTCTTTTTATTTCCTTGTTTGCTTTTTATCTATGATATTTTGATGAACAAGGAGCAATTTTTTGATAGATAAAGTGTAGGTATGTAATCTGCTTTGACTCTATATATTACCTGTTCCACACGTAGGCCCAGTATAGCCAGGATAGCAGGCACAAGTAAAGGTGTTCACTCCATCACTGCAAATTCCACCATTCTCACAAGGATCGGGAGAACAATCGTTGATATCTGTGCAAATTGAGTTCCAAAGACAATAAATGGGATAAAAGGATGAGAAAAAATGTCCCTTTTGACATATTTATGCTTATTTGGCGTTGAACAGATAAAAAGAAGTGAAAACTTGTATTATAAATACAAATAATGACAGTTCTTGATAGGAATAAATTCCTTCATTTAAAAATATTTTAATACATAATTCAAATGAAGAAAATGAACTAAATATCTCTTTTGAAGTAAGCATCTTTTATTCAAAAACATGGTCTTAAGGCCCGTTCCCACTGGCCGATGGACACAAAACGTATGCATAACGGACACAGCGGACGAGCAAAATTTCGAGGGAGGCTCCATCCGTTTTCATCCGCTCCTGAAATGGACACAATTTGCGAAAATTTGCGAAAACAGAACGGAAAAGAACGGACGTGGGTAGTATGTAGCGGGGATGTTAAACGAATGTTCATCGGAAGCCTAGCGGATGAAAGCGGATGGAAGTGGATGACAGCTCCGAAGGGGTTACCGGAGATAATTAGGAAGCGGACGCATAGCGGAAAGAGCGGATGCATAGCGGATAAAACGGATGCATCACGTACGCCTAACGGAAACAAAGGGGAAGCCGAGCGGATGTATATAGGATGCAAACCGTTCACTGCGCATGCGGGGGGTATGAATTGCGTCCGCTCTGTGGATATAAAGGGATGCAGCACGCTCAAAAGGTCGGTCCCCAGACGCAAATGATCATATCTGATTGATACACGTCCGTAAAAACCCAATTACACACACATGGGCCTCAATCCTTTCGTAATACCTATTGTTCAGGGGGATGAATGAATAGATCATCCCCCCTGAACAATAGGTATCAATTACAGATTTACGTCCATGGTCACACACAAACACGCAGTCAGCATAAAGCGGAAAGACGTGCTGGCGGCTACATTGATACATCTCTACTACATCTCGTTATTGAAGAAGGCTACATTGATACATCTCTATACTACCCCTTGTATCAACACCATGGTGCGTCAGTCAGGCAAGAAAAGGAAGTCCGTGCCTACTCGTTCAAGCCCTGGCAAGGTAAAGAAGGCCAGAACCAGCACCCCACCCCCTGACACTGACTCTGATGGTGAAGCTGCTGCTGCTGTGGTGGACCAGCCCCAAGGCCCTCAAGCTCCTCAAAGCCCTGTTGCTCAAGGCCCTGATGTTCAAGCCCCAGAAGGCCCTGATGTCCAAGCCCCTGAAGGCCCTGATGTTCAAGCCCATGAAGGCCCTGCTGAAACCCCTGAAGGCCCTGAACAAGCTCCAGCCAGAGGGAGGAAGAGGCAATTAGAGAAGAAGAAGGGAGAGAGGAAACAGTACACCGTTTCCGAGGAGCATGATGACGATGTGCTGGAATGGCTGAGGGAGAACGAGTACCTCTGGAGAAAGGGCCACAGACTGTATCGGGACACCAAGAAGAAGCAGGCAGCTTGGAGAGACAAGGCAGAGAGCCTGGGGTACACTGCAGAAGTACTCCTTGGATGGTGGAAGCACATGCACTCCTGGTATGGAAAGCTACACCTCAAGAAATCCGGGCAGGCCGCCGTCAAGCTCACTGACCGGGAGAAGTACGTTATGGCCAAGTGCAGTTCCCTGGAGGGTGGGATCCACCACCGAGGAGCAGCCCCTCTGAGACCCCTCTCCCTCAGACAGCCCACAGACAGCCAAGCACCTTCAAGCCAGGAGCCCTCGACAGCTGAACTCCCCATGGTGCCGAACTTGGAGGATCCCGTGGAGGATGACGCCGTGCTGTCACAAATGGAGGAACAAGCGGCAGCCACCAGAGGCCAACCCACCCCCACCTCCACCACTAGATCCAGAGGACGCAGGCAGAGAGATAGACTGGAGGGACAGGACGACAGTGTGCTGTTGGAGATCAGGGACACAATGAAGACCAGCACAGAACTTTTCTCTCAGCTGGTCGACTTGGACAGAGCATCCTCGGCCCGGAAGCCCTTCATCACCTACGTGAGCCAGACCCTGAGGGACCTGCCCGAGGCCGAGTACCAGGTTATGAAGCAGAAGATCACATTACTTTTCCACAACCCTCAAGGCCCAGCTGAAGTTCGTCCTACCCAGTACAGGTCTGCTCCTCCCCCCAGGCGACGTCACAGCCCTTCCACGGCTTTCAACAGCCCCTCACCTACCAAGGCTACGACTACCACGACTTCTCACAGCAGAAGCAGAACTTTCCAGTCCAGGCCCATGTTCATCGGACGCCACAGACGCCACTCCTCACCCAGCTGCAGACCAGACAGCCCCAGCACACTCATCCCAACCCTTCCTCCACCCTAGAGCAACTCCTGACCACACCACCACCTGCTGTACCCTCGAGGCCAAGCACAGCCACAGTCACTGCCTTACGCCTCACAGCTGAGACCATGGACATGACTCAGAGTGACTCAGAATAGTTTGAGAGACTGAGTTGTGATTGTGAACACTTGTTGTGAACACTTGTGAGCAGCATTGTTTACTTATAAAAATGTTTTGTTTACTTAATAAAGTGTTGGCAAAAACTTTGAAAAATTGGCTAAAACTTTGCATTTTTTTGTTGACTTAATAAAGTGTTGGTAAAAAATTTGAAACACTTGTTGTGAGCAGCATTGTTTACTTATAAAATTGTTTTTTACTTTGTAAAGTGTTGATAAAAACTTTGAAAAAATGGCTAAAACTTTGCATACCTTTTTTGTTTACTTAATAAAGTGTTGGTAAAACCTTTGAAACACTTGTTGTGAACACTTGTGAGCAGCATTGTTTACTTACAAATGTTTTGTATACTTAATAAAGTGTTGGTAAAAACTTTGAAAAAATGGTTAAAACTTTGCATTTTTTTGTTTACTCAATTAAGTGTTGGTAAAAACTTTGAAAAAATGGTTAAAACTTTTTTTGTTTGATACAGTCTGAACAGGTTGTGGTTCTGCTGTTCAATGAGTGCAGCTATCATATGGACTCTTTGATCATCCATGGTGGAGAACAATTAATGATGATGTTGAAGACCAAGACCAAGGGTGATGAGGTCTGTACACCACGGCTGCTCGACTCATACTGAGATCCAGATGATTTTCTCCCCCTTTTCATACAAAATATCGGTTGTCCGCTAGGCGTCCTTCTACATACCCTAGACATCCTAAATATACGAGATACATCCCAGATACAAACGCTTTGTCCGTTTTGAATACTTTCTATACGAGATGCATACGCTTACATCCTTTCTATTTCCGTGCTACTAACGATGTATAGACGTTCCATGTACCTTATCTTTCCTCCCTCTTTCCGTTTACAGCTGCAGCGGATGTGAGTTGCGAGGATGCAGAGGGGATACAGCGGACGTTGAACGGATGATAACGGACATGGTCTTAGAAATAAAAAGATTTTTTGAAAAAATCTCATTGTCCCACAAAACGTAGTGTGTCCATGCCAGTTAAGAAAATGTCACTAAAACAAATTTCTTTCATTTGGGCATGAAATGAATTTAAAAATGGACGCGGAAATGGCATGGGATAGTCTGATTTTCAAGACACCTCAGCATCAAAAGTTGAATCGCTATAATCATGATGAATGACACCAGTCTAATCATATACTAAAACAAATCATAATTATCAGAGATCGTTGTGGTAATCACTATATCAAAGTTGCTCTTGAAAGTACCATGCACTCCCATTTTTCATGTGTCTACTCGAAATCTAGAAGAGCGTAGTTTATTTCATTACAGCACCAAAATTAAAAAATACCCTTGCATCTTTTGTCTGTACTTTCACTCCTGTTGACTGCCCATCAGTAAAAGCTTAGTGGGTCAATGCCAGTTAAGAAAATGTCACAAAAACAAATTTCTTTCATTTGGGCGTGAAATGAATTTGAAAATGGACGCGGAAATGGCATGTGATAGTCTGATCTACAGGACACCTCAGCACCAAAAGTTGAATCGCTATAATCATGATGAATGACACCAGTCTAATCATATACTAAAACAAATCATAATTATCAGAGATCGTTGTAGTAATCACTATATTAAATTTGCTCTTGAAAGTACCATGCACTCTAATTTTTCATGTGTCTACTCGAAATCTAAAAGAGTGTAGTTTATTTCATTATTGCCCCAAAGTTGAAACACCCTCGCATTTTTTGTCTGTACCTTCACTCCTGTTGACTGCCAATCAAGAAAAACCTCCAAGGTTTTCATCACCAATGACTGTATGTTTCTTTATATTCCTTTGTCTGCTTTCTATAATGCTTTGATGAACAAGGAGCAATTGTTTTATATAAAAGTGTAGGTTTGTAATCTGCCTTGACTCTACATCTTACCAGTTCCACACGTAGGCCCAGTATAGCCAGGAAGGCAGGCACAAGTAACGGTGTTCACTCCATCACTGCAAAGTCCTCCATTCTCACAAGGATCGGGAGAACAATCGTTGATATCTGTGCAAATTGAGTTCCAAAGACAATAAATGGGATAACAGGGATGAGAACAAAATGTCCCTTTTAACATATTTATCCTTACTTGGCGGTGAGCAGGTAAAAAGAAGTAAAAACTTGCATTCTTAATACAACTAATGACAGTTCTTGTCAGGAATAAATTTCTTTATTTAAAAATATTTTAGTACATAATTCAAAAGAAGTAAATGAACTAAATATCTCTTTTGAAGTAAGCATCTTTTTTTCAAAAACATGGTCTTAGAAATAAAAATATTTAAAAAAAAATTTCATTGTCCCACGAAACGTAGTGTGTCCATGCAAGTTAAGAAAATGTCACTAAAACAAATTTCTTTCATTTGGGCGTGAAATGAATTTGAAAATGGACGCGGAAATGGCATGGGATAGTCTGATCTTTAAGACACCTCAGCACCAAAAGTTGAATCGCTATAATCATGATGAATCACACCAGTTTAATCATATCCTAAAACAAATCATAACTAGACTTGAATTCGTTACTTTGACCAATTAGGTGATACGTATGATAATGTTTTACATAATGAAGAATGCATTTTCACAATTTCATATCATCTCATAAAATGCTCCTCCCATTATGGTTTATACATATCTCACGTTTTCACTGTGTATTCTTGATCATTATTGATATACAGAAGATAGATTGAGACAATATGACCTTTGACTCTAATAATTGACATAATGAAGAATACATTTTCACAATTTCATCTTATTTACATGAAATAGTTCACACATCATGTTCTACCTAAATTCCAAGTTAAACATAGTTTCCATGGTATAATTGTCAGATGGTCCACAGTTGGAGGGTACCCGTTCGCATATTTTTTTGTTCTTCAATTGATTTCCGGAGTGACAGTATGAACTCATTTGCATACAGCCAATCAGAGCTCATCTTGTTAATTATAACGAAAGGTAATGCAATGTTTTGGTATGGGGTCATGGATTTAATTCAAATGAACATATTGGAAGCATATGCGATCCTACAAGTTGTGGATCGGGGGGGGGGGGGGCAAAAGGCCCATGCCTTATAACCAGAGCATTATGCCTCCATCATTGGTAAAATGAAGCCCAGAGCAGAAGATGGAGACATTTTTTTCTTTGGAATATCAATAGTTTTAAAACTGACCTTCGCCGTAGATCTCCATACGAAGAGCAATATACCTATGCCATGTGACAGGCATCAAGCGGACATATCTGCAAACCTGGGGCACAGACAGAGTGTTGGTCACGATGGTGTTCTTGTCAAAGTTACCTGTAAAGATCTTCAATGAAAAATGAAAATAAATCCACTTTTGAATTATTATGACTCAAATGATTCTACAGTTAATTGCAAACGAACAAAAGAGAATCTGATTTAAATAGCATTGTTTGCTTCTACACTAGATCTACCTATTTATTTGTTTATATAATTTTGTAGTTATATTCTGGTTGCATCTATTTTTAGTTTTAAAGGCCTAATAATTAAATGGAGAAAAGAAATTGAAATAGATTGAGTGCATTTCTTGCTCTAACATATCGATAAAGATAGACAGTTCTTTAATTCTACCTGATAATGTTCTCCTCTTAAACATTGTGTAAGAATAGTAAATAGTACACCTAACATGAATCTCTGTTCCTGAGGTAACGATTGCCTTTCTCTTTCAAAAAAATTACATACAACTATTTTAACTGTTTTCAATAAGATATCAAATTCCTTCAAAGTTCTTAAAGAATAGAGTCAATATAATATTTATTTTAAAAAATGATCAGAGAACAAATTTACACTGTCATCTCCATTGATGTCCAGCACGGTGTGAAAGGGCGTGTCATCAGTTCTACAAGCAAGCTTGTAGCTTTTTACCCACTCATAAAACCCTGGATACCCAAAAGACTCTGGGTCTGAGGTTTTTCCATTCCCTTGAGTCGCAACTGCAATGATACGGTAAGGTTCCAAAAGATCCACCTTGGGGAAAGAAAAGAATGGTAGGAAAAACTCTTGATATTCATCCTCATAATCATTTAATATTCATGCCAACAATTTTAACCAATGAGCATATTCCAAAATGTGTCAAATTTATATGATTTTTCAAGATAATAAGAACGGCTACTTTCTTTGCATCTATCAATGACATTATCTTGCTCTCATGAAGCTCTGCTCCTCCAAGGGCAATATTTGATTGGAAGTTCTCCACATTGATGTTGTGATTGATGATCTCATTTCTGAGTGATATCAAACAATTATATTAATGTCCTTAACGAGGAAACAAATGCTGGCTTACCTACAAAGAGGAGAGAACCCATAAGTCACCTCAAAAAGTGGCCAATAAAAACAATTTTAACAGTGTAAGTGAAGGGTGCCATAGAAATGCCTAGTGACTCTTTCATTACTAACAAGGTGGTACTGATGCGATATGAACCCATGCCAAAGAAATGACTGGTGACTCTTATTACATACATTGTGGCAGTGTATAAATACAAATTAAACTATGTTCTAAGAATTGAGCGTTGACTCTTTCATTACAGATACGGTGGCAACATTGGGATATGAACCCATGCCATAGAAAGAAGGGTTGTCTTAAAGGGCAAGTCCACTCCAAAAATAACTTACTTTCAAAAGACGCAGAAAAATCAGATAAACCAAACAAGCAAAAATTGAGCAAAATCGGATAACTAATAAGAAAGTTATGAATTTTTGAAAAAGTATGTTAAACTATAGAACAATGAGAATCACAACACAAATTGCCAATATGGTAATCAGATTGTGACGTCATGTTGCCTTAACATTGTGGCCCGAATTCACAAAGGAGGTTTGTCGACAAACCTCCTTTGTGAATACAACAGTTTACGGTTGTGTGCGCCATTTTAAACAAAGCCAATGACCTAGAGGTCATGTATTTATGCGTAAATTAAGATTGCGCCCATGCAAATTATGACGGTATCACTGCATACGCGCTGCGTTGTGCGCGCACATCATCATTTGCATGGGCGCAATCTTAATTTACGCATAAATACCAATGGTCAAAGGTCATCGGCTTTGTTTGAAAAGATCCACCTTGGGGAAAGAAAAGAATGGTAGGAAGAACTCTTGATATTCATCCTCATAATCATTTAATATTCATGCCAACAATTTTAACCAATGAGCATAATTATTCCAAAATGTGTCAAATTTATATGATTTTTCAAGATAATAAGAAAGGCTACTTTCTTTGCATCTATCAATTTTAAAACATTGGCTTTGTTTCAAAGCCAATGACCCGAGATCAACTGTCTGCGCATGCGCACTGATACAACCGTAAACTTGTGTATTCGGGCCTTTGTGTCTGAATTGGCTTTAAAGTGGAAATTCAAAAAAAAAAATCACAAATATGTCAACTTATGTTTCACTAGAAACTGGTAAGCTAACAGATGGCCATCGTATAAGTTTTAGGTCAACTGCATATCGGATGATTTATAAAAATACAAATACAACCACCTCCTTAGCAGCTGGGATATACGGGAGATTCGCCAGAAAAATAACAGTGTTCTAATGACGTCACAATATTGACCAATATAAGGGACTTTTAGATTCGCACGAAGACAATGGGGATTGCTACAATCAACGTCCTTTTAATGCACTGCCTTGAATGGACGTCACACGTATCAGTCCACGCAAATCTAAAAGTCCCTATTGCCCAAGCAGACGACATCCCATACAAAAATTAACATAATTGCAAAGTTATTATTTGTCAAATTATCACGAGTTTAGTGTATATAAATGTGATGGCATATCAAACCATTCAAAAGGGGATATGAAACCGATTCTAATAACTAAAATCTTTTGTTTGTAAATACGTAGGATAGGGTTTAATTAACAATCAAAGAAATCAGACTTTCAAATTGAAAACCCCCCGGAATGATATTAAGGACGGCATTTGTTCCTCTTGAAACGCCGAACATACCGCGGTGTGTGCAGCTGAATATACAATGGCTTTTTTTTTTTTACAAGCGACAGATTCCTTTATTTGTGTATCGCTGCATTTGTCATCAAAATAAAAACATGCGCGGGGTTTAGAGTGAGGCAATAGATTATACATTTAGCCTGAAGGTAGTAAAGTAAGAGAAAGAACTCATGAGAAGATAAAAAACAGGTACTGAAATATGTAAGATGTCATGGGACATCGTCTGCTTGTGCAAATAATGTCCATACTGTGATGTCACACATCTCAGCAGCGTTCGGAGAGCTATTCAGGTGCTATGACGGGGCTGCATTTAAGCGTTTTTGTAATTTATAATAATCATTACTTCGCATGTTTCCAAGCATTGCATTTAGATAATCTTGTCAAATCACAGTTTCAACTTTGCAATGATGAAAATAAAGTTAGTTTTTAAATCAATGAATATCTACTTTAAGAATTTTTTCTTACCTGGATCCACTGTTCGGTATCTGCTGTTTCTGCGCCCCAGGCTGTTTCGGCCAGGTTAAGACGACCTTTATTTGCGCTAAAGGTGCCAAACCCTTCTTCTTCGGCGGTATACGCACTGGAAGCTGTAAGACTGGAATCCGGGATAACATAACTCTCAAGGCCCAGACCAGGCTTATTCAAGATAGCTGTAAGTTAATGCGTGACAATGTATAGCAAAATGTAGGAAGTGGTGGTCAAATAGGCAAATATGATCGAATGCTTCTATCAGATGGACATACAATAGACAAGTGTGTAATTACAATCTGAGCATGAGCAGGAAAAAAAATTATTTGTAAAAATTTTAAGGTCCTCTGCAAGACAAGTACTTGATATTTGCTCATGAATAAACAAGCAAAGCATTCCATGTTCTACAGGTAGATGTATTCCTATGAAACGAGGGAAATCAAAAGCTATTCAAGGAGACCTATCCATGTTTAAAACATCCGTGGATATATATATATATGGAGGCATTTTGATCCAGTCAACTTATAATGTTAGGTGCGGCCATTCCTTGAATGGTGTTCTAAACAAACCACATTAGAATAACCGTTTTGGTCTGAGGACACATGGCTTCATGTCATAAAAGAGATATAGTTCGAGCTATTACTGAAGTAAGGACTGTGTTGATCGAAGAGATATTTTTTATCAGAGCATGTTTCATAAAACCTTGAGTCCCTTTTAATGTTTACATATAAATGAATAATGGATTAATGAACTAGATTGACCACAAACTTTCTAGACTGTAAACAGTACTCTTTACTAGTTAAACTACATTGTATAATACGGCTATGATTGGCTGTGGATCATAATTCTTTCGGAAATGAGCGTTCTAGATTCAGACAAAAAACCTTCTAACAACTATCCCCAGGACAACCTGCCCACCAGGACAATGCACCCTTGGACCATGGTAACTCCATGCTTGGACATGTATCCCAACAAATATTCTAACTAGGTCTTTCATCCCCTAAACAAGCTACCCACTAGGATGATGCACCATTTTACATGTATCCCCACATACTACACTGACTTGGTCTACTATTCCCTGGAAAACCTACCACTTAGACAATGCACCCTTGGACATGGATCCAAAAAGACTACTCTGCCATCCCCTAAGTCAATATCCTCTAGAGCGATTGCCTCTGGACATCTATTTCTTTAGGATTTCCACCTCCTAGGGCAGTGTACCCCTACCACATTCCCATCAGATTTCTAGGATAATAGACCCTGGGTGAAATTGACCTTAACAGGTGTCTGGTGCACACTGTCCTAACATTTTAACTCTGGACAAAAACAATTTAGAAGTTTACTCCGGGGGACTGGGGTACATGCAAAGAGATCCTCAATATTTCAATCTTAACCCTCTCTTAAAAGAAGAATGAGGAGCCCTGCCGTAAGTCAATTGCCTTCTACAAATCGAATTATTAGGTATAACAACCCTCCACACCAAATGCCATATATAATATAATAACCGAAGTCTTAAATTCAATCCTTAAACGAGGACTATACCTTACCCTATCTCTGAACCTAACCTAAAACTCGACGAATTAGGTGATACGTATTCAAATGTGTTACATAATGAAGAACGCATTTTCACGAATTCAACTTCCGTTATGAAATACTCCTCCTATTATGGTCTATCAATAAATGAAGTTTCAACTGTGTAGCATTGATCATTTCGGATCTATGAAAGATGATCCCCGGGATGGGAGGCAAATGCCATGACAAATATACCAAAAAATCCACATAGACATAACACGTAAACGGAAAATTTGAGTCTCAAATTGAAGCTGGCAGACAAGAATCGAAATGTTGCTCGAACAAGACTGGAGTGTAGAATGAAGATTTCCAAAAAATTCACCTCCCATAGAGAATACAAGCAAAATCGGAAAAATTGGCATGCCTTTTTACTCGACAGAATGGACTATGATGCCATAGTTGAAATGAAAAACCAATGGCACCTTTTGTGTAGAAAATCGGCTCAAAAACTACATATCAAAAATTGGGAGAAAAGCAATCAATATTTATACAGATACATTCTATTTTTCATGAATTTGCTGACGTCATAATATGCAAATTCTTTTGTTTAGTTCCAAGACCATTATGATGACGTCACGATGTGCTTAACTCATAGCCTGCCATGAGGCTTCATGCACGGTATCGTTATAGTGCTTTCAGGGGCGTCGCTAGACCTTTTTCAGTGGGGGGGGGGGGGGGGGGTAGACGCCAACGATTACCGACTAAACTAGCCACCAATTACCGACAAAATTAAATGTCCCAATATTTACAAATTGAACCCTATAAACCCGGGGCCGAAGGCTAAATTGTTTTTCCTGGCTATGGACTAACTATAGTACTTGCGTATGCGCAAATGGTCATTTTCCTGAACGATATAAATATACAAATTAGTTCGTCAACTTAGTCAGCATCATAGCTATATGTTTAATGCAGGCGCGGAGATATATAGGATCTTATTTTAGGAAGGGGCGGTAGTATAGTGAGCAGGCGAATCACTTAAAGAGCGCGCCAAGCGCGCTCATTAGAGGGGTGTGGGTGATAGGCCTCCCGCGCGAAGCGCGAAAGCTTAGACGTTTCCTTCAATTAATAGGAAAAGAAGACTTTTTATTGTACCGTTCTTGACTGTTAATCCTTGTCTAAATTCAGTTTCTCCCCCTCCCGCGCAAAGCGCAGAAGTGACGTGTCATTGAATTAAGAGAAAAAGCAGACGATTCGCTGTACTGTTCTCGACTCTTAATCCAATATCTGAATAAAGTTTCCCTCTCCCGCGCAAAGCGCAGAAGTTTTGGCCTTTCATCAAATTATAGAGGAAGGCAGACGATTTGTCGTACCGTTGTTGACTCTTAATCCTTCTTTGAATTTAGTTTACCCGAACATGTTAAACCTCTGATTTCTTTAGCTGATATTATAGGAAAGTGACACTTCGAACAAATACAAGTATTGTAGTTGTAGTCACTCTCGAAGTCGTCACAGCGGTTAAAAAGTCAGTTCGTAGGGAAAAAAACTTGTTGGCCGACCGACAATATACATCTCACCGACTTCAACATTCTGCATTGATATAGTACACTAGGATCGAGCAAGAATACCGACACAGCTGACCCGACATAGCAACATATTTACCCATGTCTTTCTTGCTCCCTCGGCGAGACGACTCCACTCAACAACCTCCCGCGTTTCTTTTGTTTCCCTTTTCTCTTTGTTTTCTTCTGTTTTCCTTTCCTTTCTTCTCTTTCTTTCTTCTCTTTTCTTTCCTTTCTTTTCCTTTTCTTTTTTTTCCCTTTTCTTTCCCTCTCTTTTTTCCGTCCCCCTTCTCTCTTTTTCGCCGATGGCAACGCAATTTTTCCGACAATATCCTGACGCGTTAATCAGCTTATCTTAATGTAAACTTGGCATTCCGTGATTTGGGGCTTGGCACAATGGGGATTAGCCCTGTGGCAGGATGAGAGTTAATGGCCAAATGAAACATGAAATCGTATTTTCGACTCAAACTTAAAATCTCATCGTCTCACAAAACGTAGCGTGCACCTGCCAGACTAGAAAATGTCAATGAAACAAATTGCTTTCATATTTGCGGGAAATGAATGTGGAAATGGATGCGGATATGGCCTGAGATAGTCAGACACCACAGCACCAAAAGTTGAATCGCTATAATCAGGATGAATCATACCAGTACTATCATACCCTAAAACAACTCATCAATGTCAGAGATCGTTGTGGTAATTAAAATGTCAAATTTTCTCTTGAAAGTACTATGCACTCTTATTTTCCACGTGTCTACTCGAAATCAAGAAGAGTTTAGTTTATTTCAATACTGCACCAAAAGGTGAAACACACTCGCATCTTTTGGCTGTACCTTTACTCCTGTTGACTGTCAATAAACTCAAACTCGAACTCAAACTCAATCAAGAAGAACGACCAAGGTTTTCCTCACCAATGACTGCATGTTTCTTTCTTTCTATTTCCTTGTTTGCTCTTTATCTATGATATTTTGATGAACAAGGAGCAATTGTTTGATAAAGTGTAGGTATGTAATCTGCTTTGACTCTATACATTACCTGTTCCACACGTAGGCCCAGTATAGCCAGGATAGCAGGCACAAGTAAAGGTGTTCACTCCATCACTGCAAATTCCACCATTTTCACAAGGATCGGGAGAACAATCGTTGATATCTGTGCAAATTGAGTTCCAAAAACAATAAATGGGATAAAAGGGTTGAGAAAATAATGTGTCTTTTGACATATTTATTTTTATTTGGCGGTGAACAGGTAAAAAGAAGTCAAAACTTGCATTCTAAATACAAATAATGACAGTTCAATGATCAATTCATTTGTTTAAAAATCTATTAATACATAATTCAAATGAAGTAAATGAAGTAAATATCTCTTTGAATGTTAGCATCTTTTTTTTTAAACAAGGCCTTAGAAAGAAAATATATTTTGAAAAAATCTCATCGTCCCACAAAACGTAGTGTGCCCAAGCCAGACAAGAAAATGTCCCTAAAACAAATTTCTTTAATTTGGGCGTTAAATGAATGTAAATATGGACGAGGAAATGGCATGGGGTAGTCTGATCTTCAAGACACCTCAGCACCAAAAGTTGAATCGCTGTAATCAGGATGAATGAAACCACTCTTATCATATCCAAAAACAAATCATAATGATCAGAGATTGTTGTGGTAATCACTATATCAAATTTGCTCTTGAAAGTACCATGCACTCCCATTTTCCATGTGTCTACTCGAAATCTAGAAGAGTGTAGTTTATATCATTACTACACGAAAAGATGAAACACCCTTGCATCTTTTGTCAGTACTTTCACTCCTGTTGACTGTTAATCAAGAAAAACCTTCAAGGTTTTCCTCACCAATGACTTCATGTTTCTTTCTTTCTTTTTTCGTTGTTTGCTCTATATATTTGATGTTTTGATGAACAAGGAGCAATTGTTTGAAATAAAAAGTGTAGGTATGTAATCTGCTTTGACTCTATATCTTACCTGTTCTACACGTAGGCCCAGTATAGCCAGGATCGCAGGCACAAGTAAAGGTGTTTACTCCATCACTGCAAATTCCTCCATTCTCACAAGGATCGGGAGAACAATCTGTGCAAATTGAGTTCCAAAGACAATAATAGGGATAAAAGGGATGAGAAAGTAATGTCTCTTTTGACATATTTATTTTCATTTGGCGGTGAACAGGGGTAAAATGAAGTCAAGACTTGCATTCTAAATACAAATAATGACAATTCATAGATGAATGTCTTCATTTGAAAATCTATTAATACATAATTCAAATTAAAAAAAAGAACTAAATATCTCTTTGAATGTTAGCATCTTTTTTTCAAAAACGTGGCCTTAGAAAGAAAACATATTTATGAAAAAATCTCATCGTCCCATAAAACGTAGTGTGTCCATGCCAGTTAAGAAAATGTCACTAAAACAAATTTCTTTCATTTGGGCGTAAAAATGAATGTGAAAATGTACGCGGAAATGGCATGGGCTAGTCTGATCTACAGGACACCTCAGCACCAAAAGTTGAATCGCTATAATCAGGATGAATTACGCCAATCTAATCATATCCTAAAACAAATCATAATTATCAGAGATCGTTGTGGTAATCACTATATCAAGTTTGCTCTTGAAAGTACCATGCACTATCATTTTTCATATGTCTTCTCGAAATCAAGAAAAATGTAGTTTATTTCATTACTGCACCAGAAGTTGAAACACCCTCGCATCTTTTGTTTGTACTTTCACTCCTGTTGACTTCCAATCAAGAAAAAACCTCATCATCTCACAAAACGTAATATGCCCCTGCCAGACAAGAAAATGAAACTAAAACGAATTTATTTTATTTGGGCGTGAAATGAATGTGAAAATGGACGCAGAAATGGCATGAAATTGGACGCAGAAATGGCATGAGACACCTCAGCACCAAAAGTTGAATCGCTGTAATCAGGATTAAACATACCAGTCTTTATCATACCCTATAACAAATCATTACTGTACTTGATTTTTTTACTTTCCAATTTAGATAATTTGTATTCTAATGTACATAATGAAGAACGCATTTTCAGGAATTTAATTTAACACAACAAATGTTTTAACCCATCGGAAACGAATCTGGTTCGCTGGAATGGGAGGCAAGTGCTTTGACCACTGTTCCAAATTTTCCATGATTATGGTGACGTCATAATATGCAAATTTGTATTTTGAGTTCGACACATTTATGATGACGTCACGATGTACTTAATGGCCAAATGACATATGAAATCATTGCTCCGACTCATATTCTATTCAAATATGAAAAATAAATTGCGGTCCCCAAGCATACCAAATATGCTATGTATTACAAGAGCTCGCCTGCACAGACAGTTTTCTTGAATGGACGCTTATTCCGTTATGAATAGTCATAAAGATATAAACTTGGTATCAAAATGTTCGGAAAAGTATCGATAATATCATGTAGAAAGAAAAATGGCAATTTGCGTAAGCGCATTACTTTTTTTTTAAATGCTCAAAATGGCCTGTAACATATGTAAAATAAATTTGAGACGGTTTGGAGCAATTTTAAATTTTGCACGCGCGTTAACGCGCGGACGATAGCGGACGTATGCGAACGCGCGCGTTTATTGACCTGTAATTGACCTTAATCATGATACAAATAAATGAGAAATGACTTTTCGTTACGAAGATATAATCACGAGTTGATTTGTACAAAATGGCGCTTGGATGACGTCAAAATGATTTGGATCAATGAAAAGTCAACCAGTTCTAAGTTAGACTATTATCCATCATCATGTTTTATGACAAGGGCTTTATCCATTCTTGAGATATCCTGCGAACAAATTCGAGGAAGTATCATCTAATAAAGACAAATCTTGACGAAATCTGTATTGATACGTATAACTACGTACGTATCACCTAATGATAACCGTAGCACTATGCCTCTATTGTTGGTGAAAAAAAGGCCCAGAGTAATTGTCGCAGGAGAAATTGAATATGGAGCAAAACATGTTGGAGTATCACTAGTTTTAAAACTGACCTGTGATAGGGCCTTCACCGTAGATTTCCATACGAAGACTGATGAAATTGAACCAACCGACAGGCATCAAGCGGACATAGCGGCAAATCTGGGGTACAGGCAGAGTGTTGGTCACGATGGTGTTGCGGTCAACATTACCGATGAAGACCTTCAATGAAAAAGGAAAATCAATCCACTTTTGAATGAATTATGACTCAATTGATTATGCGGTCAATTGCAATCGAACTAAAGAGAATCGATTTGACAAGCATGCTGAATAATACATATTTTGGCATGTCCAGTGTCTGTACATTTGTTTCTATTTGAAGTTTTATACTGATGTCATCAATTTCTAGTTTTCGAGACCTAGTAATAAAATAGGAAAACACATAATATGGATTTAAGATTTTGTGCTTGAAGTGCATTACTTGCTCTGACAATACTACCAAATAGTTTTTTCCTCTTATACTTTGTGTAACTAAGCAGAATAGTATATACTACACCTAAACTGTATATGTGTTCCTGAGGTAACGATTGCCTTTTTCTTTAAAAGAAAGTATCGTAACATAAAAATATTTTAATTATTATCAAAAAATATTTCAAATGCTTCCAAATTCCTACAAGAATAGAGTCAATGTAATATTAAAAAAAAAAAAGAATAATCAGAAAACAAACTTACCTCGTCATATGCAGGGTTTGTAGCGATGTTCTGTACGGTGTGAAACGTCATGCCATCTGTACTACAAGCAAGCTTGTAGCTTGTTACCCACTGGCTTGATTCTTGTCGCCCTTGAGTCGCAACTGAAGTGATACGGTAAAGGTCCAAAAGATCCACCTTGTAGATAGAAAAGAATCGGAGGAAGCTTTCTTGATTTTCATCCTCTTATTCATCTATTTATTTCTATCTCCATTAAAGACTTGTAACCAAAGAGCATGTTCTAAGGTGTGTCAAATCTATATGAATTAAATACAAATACTAAGAACGGTTTCTTTCTCTGCACCTATAAATGTCATTACCTTGCTTTCAAGCCGCTCTGCCCCTCCAAGGGCAATTTTTTAAAAAATTATACACATTGATGTTTTAATTGCCGATCTCACTTCTGAGTAATATCGAACAATTAGATGAATGCCCTTAAAAATGAAAGTAGTAATTGACTTGGATGTGAATAATTATGTAACTATGGCAATATTATAGTAGCTTTACCTACATAGTGGAGAGAAAATCTACAAACTCATATGCCACCTCAAAAAGTGGCCAATAAACACAATTTTAATAGTGGAAGTAAATAGTGCCATAGAAATGACTGGTGACTCTTTCGTTACTGACATGGTAGTAGCGGTGGAATATAAATTCATGCCATGCATAGAAATAAGGGTTACCTAATGTTTCGTGTCCGAATTCTCCTTAAGAAATTATTTGTTTACCTGGATCCACTGGTTGGCATTGTTTGCTCCTGCAGACCAGCCTCCATTCAGGTTTCCGTCTCGGGCCAGGTTAAGACGTCCTCTCTTTGCACCATTGTCAGCACCATACTCACTAGAAGCTGTCAGACTTGAATCTGGGATGAAATAACTCTCAAGTCCCAGAGGACCAGGTCCATTCAAGATGGCTGTAAGTTAATGCGTGACAATGTATGGCAAAATGTAGGAAGTGGTGGTCAAATAGGCAAACAGAATCGAATGCTCCTATAAGATGGACATACAATAGACAAGTGTGTATTACAATCCGGGCTTGAGCCCGTCAGTCAATAAAAACCTCCTAGGTTTTCTTCACCAATGCCTGCATGTTTCTTTCTTTATATTCCCGGTTTGCTCTTTATCTATAATGTCTTGAAAAACAAGGAGCAATTACTTCATAAAAAAAGTGTAGGTATGGAATCTGCTTTGACTGTATATCTTACCTGTTCCGCACGTAGGCCCAGTATAGCCAGGATCGCAGGCACAAGTAAAAATGTTGTCTCCACCACTGCAAGTTCCTCCATTCTCACAAGGATCAGGAGAACAATCGTTGATATCTGTGCAAATTGAGTTCCAAAGACAATAAATGGGATAACAGGGATGAGAAAAATGGCATTCTTAATACAAATAATGACAGTTCAGGAACAAATTCCTTCATTTGAAAAACTATTAAAACATAATTCAATTGAAGTAAATGAATTAAATATCTCTTTTAATGTTAGCATCTTTTTACAAAAAACGTGGCCTTAGAAAAAGAATATATTTTTTTGAAAAATCTCATCACCTCACAAAACGTAGTGTGCCACTGCCAGAAAAGAAAATGTCCCTAAAACAAATTTCTTTCATTTGGGCGTGAAATGAAGGTGAAAATGGACGCAGAAATGGCATGAAATTGGACGCAGAAATGGCATGAGACACCTCAGCACCAAAAGTTGAATCGCTTTAATCAGGATAAATCATACCAGTCGTTATCATACCCTAAAACAAAGCATTACTATACTTGAATTTGTCACTTGTCAAATTAGGTTATACGTATTCTAATATACATAATAAAGAACGAGTTTTCACGATTTCAATTTAAAAAATAAAAACAAATTAACCCATCGCGAATCGAATCTGAGTCGCCGAAATGGGAGCAAGTGCTTTGTCCAGTATACCAAAAAAAAAAAAAAAACACTCAGACATTACACGTAAACGAAAATGGAGATTTTTAAATCACATTGTGTAGTTAAAATATCAACATGATCTCAACATCTGATTAACAAATAAATGGCACCTTTTGTGTAGAGAATGGTCTTAGCTAGAACATATCCGAAGCTTACAGAAAAACGAGCGAAATATCGAGATATTGCTCAAACAAGACTGGAATGTAGAATGAAGATTTCAGAAAAAGTCACCTCCCCTAGACAATACACACAACATTGAGAAAATTGACATACCTCCTTTAACCGAAAGAGTGGACCATGACGCCATTTTTTAAATGACAAATAAATACCATATATGTTTGAGTTACAACATATCAACAATTGGGAGAAAATGATCAATATTTACAGATTTACACTCAATTTTCTATAAATATGCTGACGTCATAATATACAAAGTCATATTTTGAGTTCCAAGGCCATTATGATGACGTCATGATGTACTTAATGACCAAATGTGATATGAAATCATTTCTCCGAATCATAAAATATTCAAATATGAAAAATAAATTGTGGTCCCCAAGCATGCCAAAGAGTTATAATGAACTTGTTATGACCTGTAATGTATGTAAAACGAATTTGAGACGATTTGGAGCAATTTTAAATTTTGAACGCGCGTTGACGCGCGGACGTGGGCGGACTTACGCATACGCTCGCGTTTATTGACCTGTAATTGACCAGACAGGTATTGACCTTAATTATTATAAATATATATGAGAAATCTTTTTCCATTGTGAAGATATGATCATGATTTTATTTTTTTTAAATGGCGCCTGGAAGACGTCAAAATAATTTTAAGTCAATGAAAATTTACACAGTTCTAAGTTAGACTAGGATCTATCATCGTTATAAGTTTCATGACAATGGCTTCATCCATTCTTGAGATATCCTGCGAACAAATTCGAGGAAGAATGAATAACTAGAAATTTAATTCGTCACGAAGACGAATAAGGTGGTCTGTCTTCAAGTCTTATAATAGATTATAATATTTACTATATTGAAAGAGGGAGAAGTTATATAGACATGTAAACAATGATGATTATGATGATGATCTTGATAGTAATGATTATGATGATGATGATCATGATGATGTTGATAAGGATGATTATCATCATTATGATAATGATGATGATCATGATCATGAGCGTGATTCTGACATCTTATCGGAAAAATGAGGAATGATTTAGATAACATATAGTCTTAGCTACAACATACTAAAATTTGTGAGAAAACTGTTGAATAACAACCGAGATACTGGTCAAAACACCTTGTCATGCAGATTCATGTTTTGAAAAAAGTGACCTCCCATAGACATAACACGCAAATATGACAAATTATGCATTGTCGTCTTTAATGGAATATCTAACTATGATGACGTCATCGAAATAAAAAATGAATGACATATTTTTGATAGAGAATTATCTCAGCTACAACATATTAAATTCTGGGAGAAAATCGATCACCGATAAGTGAGATAATCTCAATTAAACAAAGACAAAAATGACGTCATCAACAAAATACATTTGTTTGAGTTTAGATGCCAATATGATGACTTTGTTTCACTTTGTACGAGTCAGGGTGGTATGAAATCATATCTACAACTCATGCTTTTTCCAACCATGATATAAAAATTGGGGGTCGATGGACTATCTGAACAGCTATTTCGATTTTTAAAATGGCATGTTTTTGATCAAATTTGCATTATATTGCCAATAGCAGTACGCGCGGATTTTGAACTTTGACGCACGCTCACGGCCTTATGAAAGGTCAAGAGTGACTGTAAATTGTCAATTACGGTAAGAGGAATCCAAATCATGTAAACATTTTGAATTTGACCTTTTCCGCGCGCTGTGAGCGCGCACAACGCGCGCGGGGACACGTACGGACGGAAAATTTTGAAATGCTTAAAATGACCTGATTCGTACTCTCCTTAAGTAGTTAAGTGATTTTGAGCTTTTTAAAATTTTGACGCACACGTACGCGCGCGTCATGACCTTTATGTGACCTTTGATGACATGACCTGTTGACTCTTAACCTAAAATATATGTGATATGAATATGAATGACCATTGCTTATGCATCATGAAGATATGATGGATAACGTGATTTCTCAAAATGGCGCCTGGATGACGTCACGATAACCTCATGACCTTGAAAATGTTCCTGTCACGTCTCATTACAATGACCTATAATTGTGCCGAAATTTAATGAGATTAACTAAACCAAACTTGAGTTATCCGGGGCACAAAAAACGGGAAGAAATAAAAATAAATAAAGAAAATTCTGACGAAATCAATAGGTGGTCTGTTGATAACAGACCACCTAATAATAAAGAAAAATCTTCACGAAATCAAAAGGTGATACGTATAACTACGTACGTATCACCTAATGATAAAAACGTAGCACTATGCCTTTATTATTAGTGGAAAAGAGGCCCAGAGTAATTGTCGCAGGAGAAATTGAATATGGAGCAAAAAAATGTTGGAGCATCACTAGTTTTAAAACTGACCTCTGAAAGGGCCTTCACCGTAGATCTCCATACGAAGACTGATGTGGACGAACCAGGTGACGGGCATCAAGCGGACATAGAGGCAAATCTGGGGTACAGGCAGAGTGTTGGTCACGATGGTGTTGCGGTCGGCATTACCGGTGAAGATCTTCAATGAAAAAGGATATTCAATCCACTTTTGAATAAATTATGACTCAAATGATTATGCGGTCAATTGCAATCGAACTAAAGAGAATCGAATTGATAAGCATGCTGAACAATACATATTTTTGCATGTGCAGTGCCTGTCTATTCGTTTTTATTTGAAGTTATATTCTGATGACATCAATTTCTAGTTTTCGAGACCTAGTAATGAAATAGGAAAAAACATCCTGTTGATTGAAGATTTTTTGCTTGAAGTGCATTTCTTGCTCTGATATATTTACAAATATAGACAGTTCTTCAATCCTACCTAATAGTTATTTTCCTCTTAAACTTTGTGTGAGCCGAATAGTAAATAATACACCTAGCATGTAGTTGTATGCCTGGGGTAATTAATGTCTATTTCTTTAAAAGAAAGTATCGTAACATGAACATAGTTTAATTGTTATCAACAAGATTGCAAATGCCTTCAAAGTTCTTCAAGAATAGATTAATGTAATATTAAAAAAAGAATAATCAGAGAATAAACTAACCGTGACAGCTCTAGGGTGTGAAGAGATGCCCTGCACGGTGTAAAAGGTCGTGCCATCAGTACTACAAGCAAGCTTGTAGCTTGTTACCCACTGGCTTGATTCTTGTCGCCCTTGGGTCGCAACTGAAGTGATACGGTAAATGTCCAAAAGATCCACCTTGTAGATAGAAAATAATCGGAGGAAGCTTTCTTGATGTTCATCCTCTTATTCATCTATTTATTTCGATCTCCATTAAAGAATTGTAACCAATGAGCATGTTCCAAAGTGTGTCAAATCTATATGAATTAAATACAAATACTAAGAACGGTTTCTTTCTCTGCACCTATTAATGACATTACCTTGCTTTCAAGCCGCTCTGCCCCTCCAAGGGCAATATTTAAAAAAAATTCTACACATTGATGTTTTAATTGTCGATCTCACTTCTGAGTAATATCGACCAATTAGATGAATGCCCTTAAAAATGAAAGTAGTTATTGACTTGGATGTGAATAATTATGTAACTATGGCAATCTTATAGTAGCTTTACCTACAAAGTGGAGAGAAAATCTAGAAACTCATATGCCACCTCAAAAAGTGGCCAATTAACACAATTTTAATAGTGGAAGTAAATAGTGCCATAGAAATGACTGGTGACTCTTTCGTTACTGACATGGTAGTAGCGGTGGAATATAAATTCATGCCATGCATAGAAATAAGGGTTGCCTAATGTTTCGTGTCCGAATTCTCCTTAAGAAATTATTTGTTTACCTGGATCCACTGGTTGGCATCGTTTGCTCGTGCAGACCAGCCTCCCTTCAGGTTCCCGTCTCGGGCCAGGTTAAGACGTCCTCTATTTGCGCCATGGTCAGCATTATACTCACTAGAAGCTGTCAGACTTGAATCTGGGATGATATACCTCTCAAGTCCCAGAGGGCCAGGTCCATTCAAGATGGCTGTAAGTTATTGCGTACAATGTATGGCAAAAATGTAGGAAGTGGTGGTAAAAATAGGCAAATAGAATCGAATGCTCCTATCAGATGGATATAAAATAGACATGTGTGTAGTTACAATCTGGGCATGAGACCGTCAGTCAATAAAAGTCTCCAAGGTTTTCCTCACCAATGACTGCATGTTTCTTTCTTTCTATTCCCTGTTTGCTCTTTTTATATAATGTCTTAATGAACAAGGAGCAATTGCTTAATAAGAAAGTGTAGGTATGGAATTTGCTTTGACTCTATATCTTACTTGTTCCGCATGTTGGTCCAGTATAGCCAGGATCGCAGGCACAAGTAAAGGTGTTCACTCCATCACTGCAAGTTCCTCCATTCTTACAAGGATCATGAGAACAATCGATGATATCTGTGCAAATTGAGTTCCAAAGACATAAAATTGGATAAAAGGGATGAGAAAATAATGTCCCTTTTGACATATTTTTCTTCATTTGGCGGTGAACAGGAAAATAAAGTCAAAATGGCTTTCCAAATACACATTACAGTTCAGGAATAAATTCCTTCATTTGTATTACTATTAGACATAATTCAAATGAATTAAATGAACTAAATATCTCTTTTAATGTTAGCATCTTTTTGCAAAAACGTGGCTTTAAAAAGAAAATATATTGATGAAAAAATCTCATCGTCTCACAAAACGTAATATTCCCCTGCCAGACATGAAAATGTAACTAAAACAAATTTCTTTCATTATGACGTGAAGTGAATGTGAAATTGGACGCAGAAATGGCATGAGACACCTCAGCACCAAAAGTTGAATCGCTGTAATCAGGATGAAACATACCAGTCTTTATCATACCCTATAACAAATCATTACTTTACTTGAATTTTTCACTTGACAAATTAGATAATACGTATTCTAATGTACATAATGAAGAACACATTTTCAAGAATTTAATTTATCACAAAAAATGTTTTAACTCATCGGAATCGAATATAGGTCGCTGGAATGGGAGGTGATGTAAATGGGTACCTGGTAGGAATTTATTCCTTGAAATGCAGCGCGCGTAACAGCTGCACTGCTAAAGCCAGGGTAATCATGCTGCATTATTGTAGAGCGCTTAGAGACTTCTGACAAAATAAGTGTTAGGCGCTATATAAGCACTGTAATTATTTAATTATTAAGTGTTTTGACCACTATACCAAATTTTCTACAATGATTGTGACGTCATAATATTCAAATTCGTATTTTGAGTTCGACACCATTATGATGACGTCACGATGTACTTAATGGCCAAATGACACATGAAATCATTTCTCCGATTCATATTCTATTCAAATATGAAAAATAAATTGCCGTCCCCAAGCAATTACAAAGAGCTCTAATGGACTCGTATAATTTTGCACATAGCATACAAAGCATATATTATATGCTATGTATTACAAGAGCTTGCGTGCACGGAAATTTATCTTGCATGGACACTTATTCCGTTATGAATAGTCATAAAGATATAAACTTGGTATCAAAATGCTCGAACAAGTATCGAAAATATCGTGAAGAAAGAAGAATGGGATTTTGCGTTAACGCATTATTTTTTTTTAATGCTCAAAATGGCCTGCACATATGTAAAATGAATTTGAGACGATTCGGAGCAATTTTAAATTTTGCGCGCGCGTTAACGCACTGCCGATCGCGAACGTATGCGTACGCGCGCCTTTATTGACCTGTAATTGACCTTTATCATAATAACAATAAATGAGAAATGACTTTCCATTATGAAGATATAATCATGAGTTGATTTTTACAAAATGGCGCTTGGATGACGTCAAAATGATCTGGGTCAATAAAAAGTCACACAGTTCTAAGTTAGAATAGGATCTATCATCGTTATAAATTTCATGACAATGGCTTCACCCATTTTTGAGATATCCTCTGAACAAATTCGAGGAAGAATGAATAGGAATAAAGAAAAATTTTCACAAAATCAAAAGGTGATACGTATAATTACTTAAGGATCACCTAATAAAGACAACACTTGACGAAATCTGTAGTTGATACGTATAACTACGTACGTATCACCTAATGATAACCGTAGCACGATGCCTCTATTAATGGTGAAAAAGGGCCCAGAGTAATTGTCGCAGGAGATATTGAATATGGAGCAAAACATGTTGGAGTATCACTAGTTTTAAAACTGACCTGTGAAAGGGCCTTCACCGTAGATTTCCATACGAAGACTGATGCGATCGAACCACTTGACAGGCATCAAGCGGACATAGCGGCAAATCTGGGGTACAGGCAGAATGTTGGTCTTGATGGTGTTGCGGTCAACATTACCGGTGAAGACCTTCAATGAAAAAGGAAAATGAATCCACTTTTGAATGAATTATGACTCGAATGATTCTGCGGTCAATTGCAATCGAACTAAAGAGAATCGAATTGACAAGCATGCTGAATAATACATATTTGTGTATGTCCAGTGCCTGTCCATTCGTTTCTATTTAAAGTTTTATTCTGATGACATCAATTTCTAGTTTTCGAGACCTAGTAATAAAATAGGAAGACACATGATACGGATTAAAGATTTTTTGCTTGAAGTGCATTACTTGCTCTGACAATCCTACCTAATAGGTTTTTCCTCTTATACTTTGTGTAACTAAGCAAAATAGTATATACTTCACCTAAACTGTATATGTGTTCCTGAGGTAACGATTGCCTTTTTCTTTAAAAGAAAGTATCGTAACATAACAATATTTTAATTGTTATCAAAAAGATATTAAATGCCTTCAAATTCCTACAAGAATGGAGTCAATGTAATTTAAAAAAAATGAATAATCAGAGAACAAACTAATACCTTGTCATATGCAGGGTTTGTGGAGATGTCCTGTACGGTGTGAAAGGTCGTGCCATCAGTACTACAAGCAAGCTTGTAGCTTTTTACCCACTGGCTGTAATCTTGTCGCCCTTGAGTCGCAACTGAAGTGATACGGTAAAGGTCCAAAAGATCCACCTTTTAGAAAGAAAAAGAATCGGAGGAAGCATTCTTGATGTTTCATCCTCTTGGATCATCTATTTCTTTCTATCTCCATGACAAAATTTTGAACCAATGTGCATGTTCCAAAATGTGTTAAATCTATATGATTAAAATAATACAAATACTAATAACGGTTCCTTTCTTTGCACATATCAATGACATTACCATGGTTTCATGCAGTTCTGCCCCTCCAAGGACAATATTTAAGTTAGAAGTTCGCCATATTGATGCTTCAATTGTCGATCTCATTTCTGAGCAATATCGAACAATTAGATTAAAGCCCTTAAAAATGAAAGCAATTGTTGACTTGGATGTGAATAATAATTGACAATCTTATAGTAGCTTTACCTACATAGTTAAGAGAAAATCTACGAACCCATATGTCACCTCGAAAAGTGGCCAATAAAAACAATTTTAACAGTGTAAGTGAATAGTGCCATAGAAATGACTAGTGACTCTTTCATTGTTGACCTGGTGTCGGCGGTAGAATATGAACCCATATGCCATATAACTGACTGTTGACTCTTTCGTTACTGACATGGTGGTAGCGGTGGAATATAAATTCATGCCATGCATATAAATAACGGGTGACTCATATTACATACTTTGTGGCAGTGTATGGAAATTTGACTGTTGACCCTTTCATTACTGATACGTTGGCAGCAGTGGGGTATGAACCCATGCAATATAAAAAAGGGTTGCCTAATGTTTCGTGTCCAAATTGTCCTTAAGAAATTATTTGTTTACCTGGATCCACTGGTTGGCATCTCTTGTTCGTGCAATCCAGCCTCCCTTCAGGTTCCCGTCTCGGACCAGGTTAAGACGAACTCTCTTTACACTATGGTCAGCACTATACTCACTGGACGCTGTCAGACTTGAATCTGGGATGATATAACTCTCAAGTCCCAGAGGGCCAGGTCCATTCAAGATGGCTGTAAGTTATTGCGTGACAATGTATGGCAAAGAAGTAGGAAGTGGTAGTCAACTAGGTAAATAGAATCGAATGCTCCCATCAGATGGACATAAAATAGACAAGTGTGTAGTTACAATCTGGGCATGAGACCGTCAGTCAATAAAAATCTCCAAGGTTTTCCTCACCAATGACTGCATGTTTCTTTCTTTCTATTCCCTGTTTGCTCTTTTTCTATAATGTTTTGTTGAACAAGGAGCAATTGTTTGATATAAAAAGTATGGGTATGTAATCTGCTTTGAGTCTATATCTTACCTGTGCCACACGTAGGCCCAGTATAGCCAGGATCGCAGACACAAGTAAAGGTATACACTCCATCATTGCAAGTTCCTCCATTCTTACAAGGATCAGGAGAACAATCGTTGATATCTGTGCAAATTCAGTTCCAAAGACAATAAATGGGATAAAAGCGATGGGAAAATAATGTCCCTTTTGACATATTTATCTTCATTTGGCGGTGAACAGGAAAATAAAGTCAAAATGGCATTCTAAATACACATTACAGTTCAGGAATAAATCCCTTCATTTTTTATAACTATTAATACATAATTCAAATGAATTAAATGAACTAAATATCTCTTTTAATGTTAGCATCTTTTTGAAAAAACGTGGCCTTATGAAGAAAATATATTTATGAAAAAATCTCATCGTCTCACAAAACGTAATATGCTCCTGCCAGACCAGAAAATGTCACTTAAACAAATTTCTTTCATTTTGGCGTGAAATGAATGTGAAAATGGACGCAGAAATGGCATGAAATTGGATGCAGAAATGGCATGAGACACCTCAGCACCAAAAGTTGAATCGCTGTAATCAGGATGAAACATACCAGTCTTTATCATACCCTATAACAAATCATTACTTTACTTGAATTTTTCACTTGACAAATTAGATAATACGTATTCTAATGTACATAATGAAGAACGCATTTTCACGAATTGAATTTCACACAAAAAATGTTTTAACTCATCGGAATCGAATATAGGTCGCTGGAATGGGAGGTGATGTAAATGGGTACCTGGTAGGAATTTATTCCTTGAAACGCAGCGCGCGTAACAGCTGCACTGCTAAAGCCAGGGTAATTATGCTGCATTATTGTAGAGCGCTTAGAGACTTCTGACAAAGTAAGTTTTAGGCGCTATAGAAGCACTGTAATTATTTAATTAAGTGCTTTGACCACTATCCCAAATTTTCTACAATTATTGTGACGTCATAATATGCAAATTCGTATTTTGAGTTCGACACCATTTTGATGACGTCACGATATACTTAATGGCCAAATGACACATGAAATCATTTCTCCGACTCATATTCTATTCAATTATGAAAAATAAATTGCGGTCCCCAAGCATACCATTTTGGCTTATACATGCTATGTATTACAAGAGCTTGGGTGAACGGACATTTATCTTAAATGGATGCTTATTCCGTTATGAATAGTCATAAAGATATAAACTTGGTATCAAAATGTTCGGAAAAGGATCGAAAATATTGTGAAGAAAGAAGAATGGCAATTTGCGTTAGCGCATTTTTTTTTTAATGCTCAAAATGGCCTGTAACATATGTAAAAAGAATTTGAGACGATTTGGAGCAATTTTAAATTTTGCGCGCGCGTTTACGCGCGGACGATCGCGAACGTATGCGTACGCGCGCCTTTATTGACCTGTAATTGACCTTAATCATGATAACAATAAATGAGAAATGACTTTTCGTTATGAAGATATGATCATGAGTTGATTTTTACAAAATGGCGCAAGGATGACGTCAAAATGATTTGGGTCAATGAACAGTCACAGAGTTCTTAGTTAGACTAGGATCTATCATCGTTATAAGTTTCATGACAATGGCTTCATCCATTCTTGAGATATCTTGCGAACAAATTTGAGGAAGAATGAATAGTAATGAAGAAAAATCTTCACGAAATCAAAAGGTGATACGTATAACTACTTAAGTATCACCTAATAAAGACGAATCTTGACGATATCTGTAGTTGATAAATATAACTACGTACGTATCACCTAATGATAACCGTAGCACTATGCCTCTACTATTGGTGAAAAAATGTCCAGAGTAATTGTCGCAGGAGAAATTGAATATGGAGCAAAACATGTTGGAACATCACTAGTTTTAAAACTGACCTATGACAGGGCCTTCACCGTAAATTTCCATACGAAGACTGATGTGGCGGAACCACTTGACAGGCATCAAGCGGACATAGCGGCAAATCTGGGGTACAGGAAGAATGTTGGTCACGATGGTGTTGCGGTCAACATTACCGGTGAAGACCTTCAATGAAAAAGGAAAATGAATCCACTTTTGAATGAATTATCACTCAAATGATTCTGCGGTCAATTTTAAACTAAAGAGAAACGAAATAACAAGCATGCTGAATAATACATATTTTTGCATGTCCAGTGCCTGTCCCTTCGTTTCTATTTGAAGTTTTATTCTGATGACATCAATTTCTAGTTTTCGAGACTTAGTAATAAAATAGGAAGACACATGATATGGATTAAAGATTTTTTGCTTGAAGTGCATTACTTGCTCTGACAATCCTACCTAATAGGTTTTTCCTCTTATACTTTGTGTAACTAAGCAAAATAGTATATACTTCACCTAAACTGTATATGTGTTCCTGAGGTAACGATTGCCTTTTTCTTTAAAAGAAAGTATCGTAACATAACAATATTTTAATTGTTATCAAAATGATATTAAATGCCTTCAAATTCCTACAAGAATGGAGTCAATGTAATTTAAAAAAAATGAATAATCAGAGAACAAACTAATACCTTGTCATATGCAGGGTTTGTGGAGATGTCCTGTACGGTGTGAAAGGTCGTGCCATCAGTACTACAAGCAAGCTTGTAGCTTGTTACCCACTGGCTTGCTTCTGGTCGCCCTTGGGTCGCAACTGAAGTGATACGGTAAATGTCCGCAAGATCCACCTTGTAGAAAGAAAAGAATAGGAGGAAGCTTTCTTGATGTTCATCCTCTTATTCATCTATTTATTTATATCTCCATTAAAGACTTGTAACCAATGAGCATGTTCCAAAGTGTGTCAAATCTATATGAATTAAATACAAACACTAAGAAAGGTTTCTTTCTCTGCACCTATAAATGACATTACCTTGCTTTCAAGCCGCTCTGCCCCTCCAAGGGCAATATTTAAAAAAAATTCTACACATTGATGTTTTAATTGTCGATCTCACTTCTGAGTAATATCGAATAATTAGATGAATGCCCTTAAAAATGAAAGTAGTTATTGACTTGGATGTGAATAATTATGTAACTATGGCAATCTTATAGTAGCTTTACCTACATAGTGGAGAGAAAATCTACAAACTCATATGCCACCTCAAAAAGTGGCCAATAAACACAATTTTAATAGTGGAAGTAAATAGTGCCATAGAAATGACTGGTGACTCTTTCGTTACTGACATGCTAGTAGCGGTGGAATATAAATTCATGCCAAGCACAGAAATAAGGGTTACCTAATGTTTCGTGTCCGAATTCTCCTTAAGAAATTATTTGTTTACCTGGATCCACTGGTTGGCATCGTTTGCTCGTGCAGACCAGCTTCCCTTCAGGTTCCCGTCTCGGGCCAGGTTAAGACGTCCTCTATTTGCACCATGGTCAGCATTATACTCACTAGAAGCTGTCAGACTTGAATCTGGGATGATATACCTCTCAAGTCCCAGAGGGCCAGGTCCATTCAAGATGGCTGTAAGTTATTGCGTGACAATGTATGGCAAAAATGTAGGAAGTGGTGGTAAAAATGGGCAAATAGAATCGAATGCTCCTATCAGATGGACATAAAATAGACATGTGTGTAGTAACAATCTGGGCATGAGACCGTCAGTCAATAAAAATCTCCAAGGTTTTCCTCACCAATGGCTGCATGTTTCTTTCTTTCTATTCCCTGTTTGCTCTTTTTATATCATGTCTTAATGAACAAGGAGCAATTGCTTGATAAAAAAGTGTAGGTATGAAATCTGCTTTGACTCTATATCTTACTTGTTCCACATGTTGGTCCAGTATAGCCAGGATCGCAGGCACAAGTAAAGGTATTCACTCCATCACTGCAAGTTCCTCCATTCTTACAAGGATCATGAGAACAATCGATGATATCTGTGCAAATTGAGTTCCAAAGACATAAAATTGGATAAAAGGGATGAGAAAATAATATCCCTTTTGACATATTTTTCTTCATTTGGCGGTGAACAGGAAAATAAAGTCAAAATGGCTTTCCAAATACACATTACAGTTCAGGAATAAATTCCTTCATTTGTATTACTCTTAATACATAATTCAAATGAATTAAATGAACTAAATATTTCTTTTAATGTAAGCATCTTTTTGCAAAAAGGTGGCTTTAAAAAGAAAATATATTGATGAAAAAATCTCATCGTCTCACAAAACGTAATATTCCCCTGCCAGACATGAAAATGTCACTAAAACAAATTTCTTTCATTATGACGTGAAGTGAATGTGAAAATGGACGCAGAAATGGCATGAGACACCTCAGCACCAAAAGTTGAATCGCTGTAATCAGGATGAAACATACCAGTCTTTATCATACCCTATAACAAATCATTACTTTACTTGAATTTTTCACTTGACAAATTATATAATACGTATTCTAATGTACATAATGAAGAACACATTTTCAAGAATTTAATTTAACACAAAAAATGTTTTAACTCATCGGAATCGAATATAGGTCGCTGGAATGGGAGGTGATGTAAATGGGTACCTGGTAGGAATTTATTCCTTGAAATGCAGCGCGCGTAACAGCTGCACTGCTAAAGCCAGGGTAATCATGCTGCATTATTGTAGAGCGCTTAGAGAATTCTGACAAAGTAAGTGTTAGGCGCTATATAAGCACTGTAATTATTTATTATTAAGTGTTTTGACCACTATACCAAATTTTCTACAATGATTGTGACGTCATAATATTCAAATTCGTATTTTGAGTTCGACACCATTATGATGACGTCACGATGTACTTATGGCCAAATGACACATGAAATCATTTCTCCGATTCATATTCTATTCAAATATGAAAAATAAATTGCCGTCCCCAAGCATTACAAAGAGCTCTAATGGACTCGTATAATTTTGCACATAGCATACATAGCATATATTATATGCTATGTATTACAAGAGCTTGCGTGCACGGAAATTTATCTTGCATGGACACTTATTCCGTTATGAATAGTCATCAAGATATAAACTTGGTATCAAAATGCTCGAACAAGTATCGAAAATATCGTGAAAAAAGAAGAATGGGATTTTGCGTTAACGCATTATTTTTTTTTTAATGCTCAAAATGGTCTGCAACATATGTAAAATGAATTTGAGACGATTTGAAGCAATTTTAAATTTTGCGCGCGCGTTAACGCACTGCCGATCGCGAACGTATGCGTACGCGCGCCTTTATTGACCTGTAATTGACCTTTATCATAATAACAATAAATGAGAAATGACTTTCCATTATGAAGATATAATCATGAGTTGATTTTTACAAAATGGCGCTTGGATGACGTCAAAATGATCTGGGTCAATGAAAAGTCACACAGTTCCAAGTTAGAATAGGATCTATCATCGTTATAAATTTCATGACAATGGCTTCACCCATTTTTGAGATATCCTCCGAACAAATTCGAGGAAGAATGAATAAGAATAAAGAAAAATCTTCACAAAATCAAAAAATGATACGTATAATTACTTAAGGATCACCTAATAAAGACAACACTTGACGAAATCTGTAGTTGATATGTATAACTACGTACGTATCACCTAATGATAACCGTAGCACGATGCCTCTATTTATGGTGAAAAAGGGCCCAGAGTAATTGTCGCAGGAGAAATTGAATATGGAGCAAAACATGTTGGAGTATCACTAGTTTTAAAACTGACCTGTGAAAGGGCCTTCACCGTAGATTTCCATACGAAGACTGATGCGATCGAACCACTTGACAGGCATCAAGCGGACATAGCGGCAAATCTGGGGTACAGGCAGAATGTTGGTCTTCATGGTGTTGCGGTCAACATTACCGGTGAAGACCTTCAATGAAAAAGGAAAATGAATCCACTTTTGAATGAATTATGACTCAAATAATTCTGCGGTCAATTGCAATCGAACTAAAGAGAATCGAATTGACAAGCATGCTGAATAATACATATTTGTGTATGTCCAGTGCCTGTCCATTCGTTTCTATTTAAAGTTTTATTCTGATGACATCAATTTCTAGTTTTCGAGACCTAGTAATAAAATAGGAAGACATATGATACGGATTAAAGATTTTTTGCTTGAAGTGCTTTACTTGCTCTGACAATCCTACCTAATAGGTTTTTCCTCTTATACTTTGTGTAACTAAGCAAAATAGTATATACTTCACCTAAACTGTATATGTGTTCCTGAGGTAACGATTGCCCTTTTCTTTAAAAGAAAGTATCGTAACATAACAATATTTTAATTGTTATCAAAAAGATATTAAATGCCTTCAAATTCCTACAAGAATGGAGTCAATGTTATTTAAAAAAAATGAATAATCAGAGAACAAACTAATACCTTGTCATATGCAGGGTTTGTGGAGATGTCCTGTACGGTGTGAAAGGTCGTGCCATCAGTACTACAAGCAAGCTTGTAGCTTTTTACCCACTGGCTGTAATCTTGTCGCCCTTGAGTCGCAACTGAAGTGATACGGTAAAGGTCCAAAAGATCCACCTTTTAGAAAGAAAAAGAATCGGAGGAAGCATTCTTGATGTTTCATCCTCTTGGATCATCTATTTCTTTCTATCTCCATGACAAAACTTTGAACCAATGTGCATGTTCCAAAATGTGTTAAATCTATATGATTAAAATAATACAAATACTAATAACGGTTCCTTTCTTTGCACATATCAATGACATTACCATGGTTTCATGCAGTTCTGCCCCTCCAAGGACAATATTTAAGTTAGAAGTTCGCCATATTGATGCTTCAATTGTCGATCTCATTTCTGAGCAATATCGAACAATTAGATTAAAGCCCTTAAAAATGAAAGCAATTGTTGACTTGGATGTGAATAATAATTGACAATCTTATAGTAGCTTTACCTACATAGTTAAGAAAAAATCTACGAACCCATATGTCACCTCGAAAAGTGGCCAATAAAAACAATTTTAACAGTGTAAGTGAATAGTGCCATAGAAATGACTAGTGACTCTTTCATTGTTGACCTGGTGTCGGCGGTAGAATATGAACCCATATGCCATATAACTGACTGTTGACTCTTTCGTTACTGACATGGTGGTAGCGGTGGAATATAAATTCATGCCATGCATATAAATAACGGGTGACTCATATTACATACTTTGTGGCAGTGTATGGAAATTTGACTGTTGACCCTTTCATTACTGATACGGTGGCAGCAGTGGGGTATGAACCCATGCAATATAAAAAGGGTTGCCTAATGTTTCGTGTCCAAATTGTCCTTAAGAAATTATTTGTTTACCTGGATCCACTGGTTGGCATCTCTTGTTCGTGCAATCCAGCCTCCCTTCAGGTTCCCGTCTCGGACCAGGTTAAGACGACCTCTCTTTACACCATGGTCAGCACTATACTCACTGGACGCTGTCAGACTTGAATCTGGGATGATATAACTCTCAAGTCCCAGAGGGCCAGGTCCATTCAAGATGGCTGTAAGTTATTGCGTGACAATGTATGGCAAAGAAGTAGGAAGTGGTAGTCAACTAGGTAAATAGAATCGAATGCTCCCATCAGATGGACATAAAATAGACAAGTGTGTAGTTACAATCTGGGCATGAGACCGTCAGTCAATAAAAATCTCCAAGGTTCTCCTCACCAATGACTGCATGTTTCTTTCTTTCTATTCCCTGTTTGCTCTTTTTCTATAATGTTTTGTTGAACAAGGAGCAATTGTTTGATATAAAAAGTATGGGTATGTAATCTGCTTTGAGTCTATATCTTACCTGTGCCACACGTAGGCCCAGTATAGCCAGGATCGCAGACACAAGTAAAGGTATACACTCCATCATTGCAAATTCCTCCATTCTCACAAGGATCAGGAGAACAATCGTTGATATCTGTGCAAATTCAGTTCCAAAGACAATAAATGGGATAAAAGGGATGGGAAAATAATGTCCCTTTTGACATATTTATCTTCATTTGGCGGTGAACAGGAAAATAAAGTCAAAATGGCATTCTAAATACACATTACAGTTCAGGAATAAATCCCTTCATTTGTATAACTATTAATACATAATTCAAATGAATTAAATGAACTAAATATCTCTTTTAATGTTAGCATCTTTTTGAAAAAACGTGGCCTTATAAAGAAAATATATTTATGAAAAAATCTCATCGTCTCACAAAACGTAATATGCCCCTGCCAGACAAGAAAATGTCACTTAAACAAATTTCTTTCATTTTGGCGTGAAATGAATGTGAAAATGGACGCAGAAATGGCATGAAATTGGATGCAGAAATGGCATGAGACACCTCAGCACCAAAAGTTGAATCGCTGTAATCAGAATGAAACATACCAGTCTTTATCATACCCTATAACAAATCATTACTTTACTTGAATTTTTCACTTGACAAATTAGATAATACGTATTCTAATGTACATAATGAAGAACGCATTTTCACGAATTGAATTTCACACAAAAAATGTTTTAACTCATCGGAATCGAATATAGGTCGCTGGAATGGGAGGTGATGTAAATGGGTACCTGGTAGGAATTTATTCCTTGAAACGCAGCGCGCGTAACAGCTGCACTGCTAAAGCCAGGGTAATTATGCTGCATTATTGTAGAGCGCTTAGAGACTTCTGACAAAGTAAGTTTTAGGCGCTATATAAGCACTGTCATTATTTAATTATAAGTGCTTTGACCACTATCCCAAATTTTCTACAATTCGTCGCTGTTTTCACGAAGTGACGGTAGTGAAAAAAAATTGCATTCACTTTGCGTTACGATTTTCCTCACTACTGTCACTTCGTGAAAACAAGGACGAATTATTGTGACGTCATAATATGCAAATTCGTATTTTGAGTTCGACACCATTTTGATGACGTCACGATATACTTAAAGGCCAAATGACACATGAAATCATTTCTCCGACTCATATTCTATTCAATTATGAAAAATAAATTGCGGTCCCCAAGCATACCATTTTGGCTTATATATGCTATGTATTACAAGAGCTTGGGCGAACGGACATTTATTTTGAATGGATGCTTATTCCGTTATGAATAGTCATAAAGATATAAACTTGGTATCAAAATGTTCGGAAAAGGATCGAAAATATTGTGAAGAAAGAAGAATGGCAATTTGCGTTGGCGCATTTTTTTTGTAATGCTAAAAATGGCCTGTAACATATGTAAAAAGAATTTGAGACGATTTGGAGCAATTTTAAATTTTGCGCGCGCGTTTACGCGCCGACGATCGCGAACGTATGCGTACGCGCGCCTTTATTGACCTGTAATTGACCTTAATCATGATACCAATAAATGAGAAATGTCTTTTCGTTATAAAGATATGATCATGAGTTGATTTTTACAAAATGGCGCAAGGATGACGTCAAAATGATTTGGGTCAATGAACAGTCACAGAGTTCTTAGTTAGACTAGGATCTATCATCGTTATAAGTTTCATGACAATGGCTTCATCCATTCTTGAGATATCTTGCGAACAAATTTGAGGAAGAATGAATAGTTATGAAGAAAAATCTTCACGAAATCAAAAGGTGATACGTATAACTACTTAAGTATCACCTAATAAAGACAAATCTTGACGATATCTGTAGTTGATAAATATCGTCGCTGTTTTCACGAAGTGACGGTAGTGAAAAAAAAATTGCATTCACTTTGCGTTACGATTTTCCTCACTACCGTCACTTCGTGAAAATAGGACGATATAACTACGTACGTATCACCTAATGATAACCGTAGCACTATGCCTCTATTATTGGTGAAAAAATGTCCAGAGTAATTGTCGCAGGAGAAATTGAATATGGAGCAAAACATGTTGGAACATCACTAGTTTTAAAACTGACCTATGACAGGGCCTTCACCGTAGATTTCCATACGAAGACTGATGTGGCCGAACCACTTGACAGGCATCAAGCGGACATAGCGGCAAATCTGGGGTACAGGAAGAATGTTGGTCACGATGGTGTTGCGGTCAACATTACCGGTGAAGACCTTCAATGAAAAAGGAAAATGAATCCACTTTTGAATGAATTATGACTCAAATGATTCTGCGGTCAATTTTAAACTAAAGAGAAACGAAATGACAAGCATGCTGAATAATACATATTTTTGCATGTCCAGTGCCTGTCCCTTCGTTTCTATTTGAAGTTTTATTCTGATGACATCAATTTCTAGTTTTCGAGACCTAGTAATAAAATAGGAAGACACATGATATGGATTCAAGATTTTTTGCTTGAAGTGCATTACTTGCTCTGACAATCCTACCTAATAGGTTTTTCCTCTTATACTTTGTGTAACTAAGCAAAATAGTATATACTTCACCTAAACTGTATATGTGTTCCTGAGGTAACGATTGCCTTTTTCTTTAAAAGAAAGTATCGTACCATAACAATATTTTAATTGTTATCAAAATGATATTAAATGCCTTCAAATTCCTACAAGAATGGAGTCAATGTAATATTTAAAAAATGAATAATCAGAGAACAAACTAATACCTTGTCATATGCAGGGTTTGTGGAGATGTCCTGTACGGTGTGAAAGGTCTTGCCATCAGTACTACAAGCAAGCTTGTAGCTTGTTACCCACTGGCTTGCTTCTGGTCGCCCTTGGGTCGCAACTGAAGTGATACGGTAAATGTCCGCAAGATCCACCTTGTAGAAAGAAAAGAATCGGAGGAAGCTTTCTTGATGTTCATCCTCTTATTCATCTATTTATTTATATCTCCATTAAAGACTTGTAACCAATGAGCATGTTCCAAAGTGTGTCAAATCTATATGAATTAAATACAAACACTAAGAAAGGTTTCTTTCTCTGCACCTATAAATGACATTACCTTGCTTTCAAGCCGCTCTGCCCCTCCAAGGGCAATTAAAAAAAAAAATCTACACATTGATGTTTTAATTGTCGATCTCACTTCTGAGTAATATCGAATAATTAGATGAATGCCGTTAAAAATGAAAGTAGTTATTGACTTGGATGTGAATAATTATGTAACTATGGCAATCTTATAGTAGCTTTACCTACATAGTGGAGAGAAAATCTACAAACTCATATGCCACCTCAAAAAGTGGCCAATAAACACAATTTTAATAGTGGAAGTAAATAGTGCCATAGAAATGACTGGTGACTCTTTCGTTACTGACATGCTAGTAGCGGTGGAATATAAATTCATGCCAAGCACAGAAATAAGGGTTACCTAATGTTTCGTGTCCGAATTCTCCTTAAGAAATTATTTGTTTACCTGGATCCACTGGTTGGCATCGTTTGCTCGTGCAGACCAGCTTCCCTTCAGGTTCCCGTCTCGGGCCAGGTTAAGACGTCCTCTATTTGCACCATGGTCAGCATTATACTCACTAGAAGCTGTCAGACTTGAATCTGGGATGATATACCTCTCAAGTCCCAGAGGGCCAGGTCCATTCAAGATGGCTGTAAGTTATTGCGTGACAATGTATGGCAAAAATGTAGGAAGTGGTGGTAAAAATAGGCAAATAGAATCGAATGCTCCTATCAGATGGACATAAAATAGACATGTGTGTAGTTACAATCTGGGCATGAGACCGTCAGTCAATAAAAATCTCCAAGGTTTTCCTCACCAATGGCTGCATGTTTCTTTCTTTCTATTCCCTGTTTGCTCTTTTTATATCATGTCTTAATAAACAAGGAGCAATTGCTTGATAAAAAGGTGTAGGTATGAAATCTGCTTTGACTCTATATCTTACTTGTTCCACATGTTGGTCCAGTATAGCCAGGATCGCAGGCACAAGTAAAGGTATTCACTCCATCACTGCAAGTTCCTCCATTCTTACAAGGATCATGAGAACAATCGATGATATCTGTGCAAATTGAGTTCCAAAGACAATAAATTGGATAAAAGGGATGAGAAAATAATATCCCTTTTGACATATTTTTCTTCATTTGGCGGTGAACAGGAAAATAAAGTCAAAATGGCTTTCCAAATACACATTACAGTTCAGGAATAAATTCCTTCATTTGTTTTACTCTTAATACATAATTCAAATGAATTAAATGAACTGAATATCTCTTTTGATGTTAGCATCTTTTTGCAAAAAGGTGGCTTTAAAAAGAAAATATATTGATGAAAAAATATCATCGTCTCACAAAACGTAATATTCCCCTGCCAGACATGAAAATGTAACTAAAACAATTTCTTTCATTTTGACGTGAAGTGAATGTGAAAATGGACGCAGAAATGGCATTAAATTGGACGCAGAAATGGCATGAGACACCTCAGCACGGGCTAAAAGTTGAATCGCTGTAATCAGGATGAAACATACCAGTCTTTATCATACCCTTTAACAAATCATTAATTTACTTGAATTCGTCACTAGACAAATTAGATAATACGTATTCTAATGTACATAATGAAGAATGCATTTTCACGAATTTAATTTAATACAAAAAATGTTTTAACTCATCGGAATCGAATATAGGTCGCTAGAATGGGAGGTGATGTAAATGGGTACCTGGTAGGAATTTATTCCTTGAAACGCAGCGCGCGTAACAGCTGCACTGCTAAAGCCAGGGTAATCATGCTGCATTATTGTAGAGCGCTTAGAGACTTCTGACAAAGTAAGTTTTAGGCGCTATATAAGCACTGTAATTATTTAATTATTAAGTGCTTTGACCACTATACCAAATTTTCTACAATAATTGTGACGTCATAATATTCAAATTCGTATTTTGAGTTCGACACCATTATGATGACGTCACGATGTACTTAATGGCCAAATGACACATGAAATCATTTCTCCGATTCATATTCTATTCAAATATGAAAAATAAATTGCCGTCCCCAAGCATTACAAAGAGCTCTAATGGACTCGTATGATTTTGCACATAACATACATAGCATATATTATATGCTATGTATTACAAGAGCTTACGTGCACGGAAATTTATCTTGAATGGACACTTATTCCGTTATGAATAGTCATCAAGATATAAACTTGGTATCAAAATGCTCGAACAAGTATCGAAAATATCGTGAAGAAAGAAGAATGGGATTTTGCGTTAACGCACTATTTTTTTTAATGCTCAAAATGGCCTGCAACATATGTAAAATGAATTTAAGACGATTTGGAGCAATTTTAAATTTTGCGCGCGCGTTAACGCACTGCCGATCGCGAACGTATGCGTACGCGCGCCTTTATTGACCTGTAATTGACCTTTATCATAATAACAATAAATGAGAAATGACTTTCCATTATGAAGATATAATCATGAGTTGATTTTTACAAAATGGCGCTTGGATGACGTCAAAATGATCTGGGTCAATGGAAAGTCACACAGTTCTAAGTTAGAATAGGATCTATCATCGTTATAAATTTCATGACAATGGCTTCATTCATTTTTGAGATATCCTCCGAACAAATTCGAGGAAGAATGAAAAGGAATAAAGAAAAATCTTCACAAAATCAAAAGGTGATACGTATAATTACTTAAGGATCACCTAATGAAGACAACACTTGACGAAATCTGTAGTTGATACGTATAACTACGTACGTATCACCTAAAGATAACCGTAGCACTATGACTCTATTAATGGTGAAAAAGGGCCCAGAGTAATTATCGCAGGAGAAATTGAATATGAAGCAAAACATGTTGAAACATCACTAATTTTAAAACTAACCTGTGAAAGGGCCTTCACCGTAGATTTCCATACGAAGACTGATACGACCGAACCACTTGATAGGCATCAAGCGGACATAGCGGCAAATCTGGGGTACAGGCAGAATGTTGGTCTTGATGGTGTTGCGGTCAACATTACCGGTGAAGACCTTCAATGAAAAAGGAAAATGAATCCACTTTTGAATGAATTATGACTCAAATGATTCTGCGGTCAATTTTAAACTAAAGAGAAACGAAATGACAAGCATGCTGAATAATACATATTTTTGCATGTCCAGTGCCTGTCCATTCGTTTCTATTTAAAGTTTTATTCTGATGACATCAATTTCTAGTTTTCGAGACCTAGTAATAAAAGAGGAAGACACATGATATGGATTGAAGATTTTTTGCTTGAAGTGCATTACTTGCTCTGACAATCCTACCTAATAGGTTTTTCCTCTTATACTTTGTGTAACTAAGCAAAATAGTATATACTTCACCTAAACTGTATTTGTGTTCCTGAGGTAACGATTGCCTTTTTCTTTAAAAGAAAGTATCGTAACATAACAATATTTTAATTGTTATCAAAAAGATATTAAATGCCTTCAAATTCCTACAAGAATGGAGTCAATGTAATATTTAAAAAATGAATAATCAGAGAACAAACTAATACCTTGTCATATGCAGGGTTTGTGGAGATGTCCTGTACGGTGTGAAAGGTCTTGCCATCAGTACTACAAGCAAGCTTGTAGCTTTTTACCCACTCGCTGTAATCTTGTCGCCCTTGAGTCGCAACTGAAGTGATACGGTAAAGGTCCAAAAGATCCACCTTTTAGAAAGAAAAAGAATCGGAGGAAGCATTCTTGATGTTTTATCCTCTTGGATCATCTATTTCTTTCTATCTCCATGACAAAACTTTGAACCAATGTGCATGTTCCAAAATGTGTTAAATCTATATGATTTAAATAATACAAATACTAATAACGGTTCCTTTCTTTGCACATATCAATGACATTACCATGGTTTCATGCAGCTCTGCCCCTCCAAGGACAATATTTAAGTTAGAAGTTCGCCACATTGATGCTTCAATTGTCGATCTCATTTCTGAGCAATATCGAACAATTAGATTAAAGTCCTTAAAAATTAAAGCAATTGTTGACTTGGATGTGAATAATAATTAACAATCTTATAGTAGCTTTACCTACATAGTTAAGAAAAAATCTACGAACCCATATGTCACCTCGAAAAGTGGCCAATAAAAACAATTTTAATAGTGTAAGTGAATAGTGCCATAGAAATGACTAGTGACTCTTTCATTATTGACCTGGTGTCGGCGGTAGAATATGAACCCATATGCCATATAACTGACTGTTGACTTTTTCGTTACTGACATGGTGGTAGCGATGGAATATAAATTCATGCCATGCATATAAATGACGGGTGACTCATATTACATAATTTGTGGCAGTGTATGGAAATTTGACTGTTGACCCTTTCATTACTGATACGGTGGCAGCAGTGGGGTATGAACCCATGCCATAGAAAAAAGGGTTGCCTAATGTTTCGTGTCCAAATTGTCCTTAAGAAATTATTTGTTTACCTGGATCCACTGGTTGGCATCTCTTGTTCGTGCAATCCAGCCTCCCTTCAGGTTCCCGTCTCGGACCAGGTTAAGACGACCTCTCTTTACACCTTTGTCAGCACTATACTCACTGGACGCTGTCAGACTTGAATCTGGGATGATATAACTCTCAAGTCCCAGAGGGCCAGGTCCATTCAAGATGGCTGTAAGTTATTGCGTGACAATGTATTACAAAGAAGTAGGAAGTGGTAGTCAAATAGGTAAATAGAATCGAATGCTCCCATCAGATGGACATAAAATAGACAAGTGTGTAGTTACAATCTGGGCATGAGACCGTCAGTCAATAAAAATCTTCAAGGTTTTCCTCACCAATGACAGCATGTTTCTTTCTTTCTATTCCCTGTTTGCTCTTTTTCTATAATGTTTTGTTGAACAAGGAGCAATTGTTTGATATAAAAAGTATGGGTATGTAATCTGCTTTGAGTCTATATCTTACCTGTGCCACACGTAGGCCCAGTATAGCCAGGATCGCAGACACAAGTAAAGGTATACACTCCATCATTGCAAATTCCTCCATTCTCACAAGGATCAGGAGAACAATCGTTGATATCTGTGCAAATTCAGTTCCAAAGACAATAAATGGGATAAAAGGGATGGGAAAATAATGTCTCTTTTGACATATTTATCTTCATTTGGCGGTGAACAGGAAAATAAAGTCAAAATGGCATTCTAAATACACATTACAGTTCAGGAATAAATCCCTTCATTTGTATAACTATTAATAAATAATTCAAATGAATTAAATGAACTAAATATCTCTTTTAATGTTAGCATCTTTTTGAAAAAACGTGGGCTTATAAAGAAAATATATTTATGAAAAAATCTCATCGTCTCACAAAACGTAATATGCCCCTGCCAGACAAGAAAATGTCACTTAAATAAATTTCTTTCATTTTGGCGTGAAATGAATGTGAAAATGGACGCAGAAATGGCATGAAATTGGATGCAGAAATGGCATGAGACACCTCAGCACCAAAAGTTGAATCGCTGTAATCAGGATGAAACATAATAGTCTTTATCATACCCTATAACAAATCATTACTTTACTTGAATGTTTCACTTGACAAATTAGATAATACGTATTCTAATGTACATAATGAAGAACGCATTTTCACGAATTGAATTTCACACAAAAAATGTTTTAACTCATCGGAATCGAATATAGGTCGCTGGAATGGGAGGTGATGTAAATGGGTACCTGGTAGGAATTTATTCCTTGAAACGCAGCGCGCGTAACACCTGCACTGCTAAAGCCAGGGTAATCATGCTGCATTATTGTGGAGCGCTTAGAGACTTCTGACAAAGTAAGTTTTAGGCGCTATATAAGCACTGTAATTATTTAATTATAAGTGCTTTGACTACTATCCCAAATTTTTTACAATTATTGTGACGTCATAATATGCAAATTCGTATTTTGAGTTCGACACCATTTTGATGACGTCACGATATACTTAATGGCCAAATGACACATGAAATCATTTCTCCGACTCATATTCTATTCAATTATGAAAAATAAATTGCGGTCCCCAAGCATACCATTTTGGCTTATATATGCTATGTATTACAAGAGCTTGGGTGAACTGACATTTATCTTGAATGGATGCTTATTCCGTTATGAATAGTCATAAAGATATAAACTTGGTATCAAAATGTTCGGAAAAGGATCGAAAATATTGTGAAGAAAGAAGAATGGCAATTTGCGTTGGCGCATTTTTTTTTTAATGCTCAAAATGGCCTGTAACATATGTAAAAAGAATTTGAGACGATTTGGAGCAATTTTAAATTTTGCGCGCGCGTTTACGCGCGGACGATCGCGAACGTATGCGTACGCGCGCCTTTAATGACCTGTAATTGACCTTAATCATGATAACAATAAATGAGAAATGACTTTTCGTTATGAAGATATGATCATGAGTTGATTTTTACAAAATGGCGCAAGGATGACGTCAAAATGATTCTGGTCAATGAACAGTCACAGAGTTCTTAGTTAGACTAGGATCTATCATCGTTATAAGTTTCATGACAATGGCTTCATCCATTCTTGAGATATCTTGCGAACAAATTCGAGGAAGAATGAATAATAATGAAGAAAAATCTTCACGAAATCAAAAGGTGATACGTATAACTACTTAAGTATCACCTAATAAAGACAAATCTTGACGATATCTGTAGTCGATAAATATAACTACGTACGTATCACCTAATGATAACCGTAGCACTATGCCTCTATTATTGGTGAAAAAATGTCCAGAGTAATTGTCGCAGGAGAAATTGAATATGGAGCAAAACATGTTGGAACATCACTAGTTTTAAAACTGACCTATGACAGGGCCTTCACCGTAGATTTCCATACGAAGACTGATGTGGCCGAACCACTTGACAGGCATCAAGCGGACATAGCGGCAAATCTGGGGTACAGGAAGAATGTTGGTCACGATGGTGTTGCGGTCAACATTACCGGTGAAGACCTTCAATGAAAAAGGAAAATGAATCCACTTTTGAATGAATTATGACTCAAATGATTCTGCGGTCAATTGCAATCGAACTAAAGAGAATCGAATTGACAAGCATGCTGAATAATACATATTTGTGTATGTCCAGTGCCTGTCCATTCGTTTCTATTTAAAGTTTTATTCTGATGACATCAATTTCTAGTTTTCGAGACTTAGTAATAAAATAGGAAGACACATGATATGGATTAAAGATTTTTTGCTTGAAGTGCATTACTTGCTCTGACAATCCTACCTAATAGGTTTTTCCTCTTATACTTTGTGTAACTAAGCAAAATAGTATATACTCCACCTAAACTGTATATGTGTTCCTGAGGTAACGATTGCCTTTTTCTTTAAAAGAAAGTATCGTAACATAACAATATTTTAATTGTTATCAAAAAGATATTAAATGCCTTCAAATTCCTACAAGAATGGAGTCAATGTAATATTTAAAACATGAATAATCAGAGAACAAACTAATACCTTGTCATATGCAGGGTTTGTGGAGATGTCCTGTACGGTGTGAAAGGTCTTGCCATCAGTACTACATGCAAGCTTGTAGCTTGTTACCCACTGGCTTGCTTCTGGTCGCCCTTGGGTCGCAACTGAAGTGATACGGTAAATGTCCGCAAGATCCACCTTGTAGAAAGAAAAGAATCGGAGGAAGCTTTCTTGATGTTCATCCTCTTATTCATCTATTTATTTCTATCTCCATTAAAGACTTGTAACCAATGAGCATGTTCCAAAGTGTGTCAAATCTATATGAATTAAATACAAACACTAAGAAAGGTTTCTTTCTCTGCACCTATAAATGACATTACCTTGCTTTCAAGCCGCTCTGCCCCTCCAAGGACAATATTTAAAAAAAAATCTACACATTGATGTTTTAATTGTCGATCTCACTTCTGAGTAATATCGAATAATTAGATGAATGCCCTTAAAAATGAAAGTAGTTATTGACTTGGATGTGAATAATTATGTAACTATGGCAATCTTATAGTAGCTTTACCTACATAGTGGAGAGAAAATCTACAAACTCATATGCCACCTCAAAAAGTGGCCAATAAACACAATTTTAATAGTGGAAGTAAATAGTGCTATAGAAATGACTGGTGACTCTTTCGTTACTGACATGCTAGTAGCGGTGGAATATAAATTCATGCCAAGCATAGAAATAAGGGTTACCTAATGTTTCGTGTCCGAATTCTCCTTAAGAAATTATTTGTTTACCTGGATCCACTGGTTGGCATCGTTTGCTCGTGCAGACCAGCTTCCCTTCAGGTTCCCGTCTCGGGCCAGGTTAAGACGTCCTCTATTTGCACCATGGTCAGCGTTATACTCACTAGAAGCTGTCAGACTTGAATCTGGGATGATATACCTCTCAAGTCCCAGAGGGCCAGGTCCATTCAAGATGGCTGTAAGTTATTGCGTGACAATGTATGGCAAAAATGTAGGAAGTGGTGGTAAAAATAGGCAAATAGAATCGAATGCTCCTATCAGATGGACATAAAATAGACATGTGTGTAGTTACAATCTGGGCATGAGACCGTCAGTCAATAAAAATCTCCAAGGTTTTCCTCACCTATGGCTGCATGTTTCTTTCTTTCTATTCCATGTTTGCTCTTTTTATGTCATGTCTTAATGAACAAGGAGCAATTGCTTGATAAAAAAGTGTAGGTATGAAATCTGCTTTGACTCTATATCTTACTTGTTCCACATGTTGGTCCAGTATAGCCAGGATCGCAGGCACAAGTAAAGGTATTCACTCCATCACTGCAAGTTCCTCCATTCTTACAAGGATCATGAGAACAATCGATGATATCTGTGCAAATTGAGTTCCAAAGACATAAAATTGGATAAAAGGGATGAGAAAATAATATCCCTTTTGACATATTTTTCTTCATTTGGCGGTGAACAGGAAAATAAAGTCAAAATGGCTTTCCAAATACACATTACAGTTCAGGAATAAATTCCTTCATTTGTATTACTCTTAATACATAATTCAAATGAATTAAATGAACTAAATATCTCTTTTATTGTTAGCATCTTTTTGAAGAAAAAAACGTGGCCTTATAAAGAAAATATATTGATGAAAAAATTTCATCGTCTCACAAAACGTAATATTCCCCTGCCAGACATGAAAATGTAACTAAAACAATTTCTTTCATTTTGACGTGAAGTGAATGTGAAAATGGACGCAGAAATGGCATTAAATTGGACGCAGAAATGGCATGAGACACCTCAGCACGGGCTAAAAGTTGAATCGCTGTAATCAGGATGAAACATACCAGTCTTTATCATACCCTTTAACAAATCATTACTTTACTTGAATTCGTCACTAGACAAATTAGATAATACGTATTCTAATGTACATAATGAAGAATGCATTTTCACGAATTTAATTTAACACAAAAAATGTTTTAACTCATCGGAATCGAATATAGGTCGCTAGAAAGGGAGGTGATGTAAATGGGTACCTGGTAGGAATTTATTCCTTGAAACGCAGCGCGCGTAACAGCTGCACTGCTAAAGCCAGGGTAATCATGCTGCATTATTGTAGAGCGCTTAGAGACTTCTGACAAAGTAAGTTTTAGGCGCTATATAAGCACTGTTATTATTTAATTATTAAGTGCTTTGACCACTATACCAAATTTTCTACAATGATTGTGACGTCATAATATTCAAATTCGTATTTTGAGTTCGACACCATTATGATGACGTCACGATATACTTAATGGCCAAATGACACATGAAATCATTTCTCCGATTCATATTCTATTCAAATATGAAAAAAATTGCCGTCCCCAAGCATTACAAAGAGCTCTAATGGACTCGTATGATTTTGCACATAACATACATAGCATATATTATATGCTATGTATTACAAGAGCTTACGTGCACGGAAATTTATCTTGAATGGACACTTATTCCGTTATGAATAGTCATAAAGATATAAACTTGGTATCAAAATGCTCGGACAAGTATCGAAAATATCGTGAAGAAAGAAGAATGGGATTTTGCGTTAACGCATTATTTTTTTTAATTCTCAAAATAGCCTGCAACATATGTAAAATGAATTTGAGACGATTTGGAGCAATTTTAAATTTTGCGCGCGCGTTAACGCACCGCCGATCGCGAACGTATGCGAACGCGCGCGTTTTTGACCTGTAATTGACCTTTATCATAATAACAATAAATGAGAAATGACTTTCCATTATGAAGATATAATCATGAGTTGATTTTTACAAAATGGCGCTTGGATGACGTCAAAATGATCTGGGTCAATGGAAAGTCACACAGTTCTAAGTTAGAATAGGATCTATCATCGTTATAAATTTCATGACAATGGCTTCATTCATTTTTGAGATATCCTCCGAACAAATTCGAGGAAGAATGAAAAGGAATAAAGAAAAATCTTCACAAAATCAAAAGGTGATACGTATAATTACTTAAGGATCACCTAATGAAGACAACACTTGACGAAATCTGTAGTTGATACGTATAACTACGTACGTATCACCTAAAGATAACCGTAGCACTATGATTCTATTAATGGTGAAAAAGGGCCCAGAGTATTTGTCGCAGGAGAAATTGAATATGGAGCAAAACATGTTGGAACATCACTAATTTTAAAACTAACCTGTGAAAGGGCCTTCACCGTAGATTTCCATACGAAGACTGATACGACCGAACCACTTGATAGGCATCAAGCGGACATAGCGGCAAATCTGGGGTACAGGCAGAATGTTGGTCAGGATGGTGTTGCGGTCAACATTACCGGTGAAGACCTTCAATGAAAAAGGAAAATGAATCCACTTTTGAATGAATTATGACTCAAATAATTCTGCGGTCAATTTTAAACTAAAGAGAAACGAAATGACAAGCATGCTGAATAATACATATTTTTGCATGTCCAGTGCCTGTCCATTCGTTTCTATTTAAAGTTTTATCCTGATGACATCAATTTCTAGTTTTCGAGACCTAGTAATAAAAGAGGAAGACACATGATATGGATTGAAGATTTTTTGCTTGAAGTGCATTACTTGCTCTGACAATCCTACCTAATAGGTTTTTCCTCTTATACTTTGTGTAACTAAGCAAAATAGTATATACTTCACCTAAACTGTATATGTGTTCCTGAGGTAACGATTGCCTTTTTCTTTAAAAGAAAGTATCGTAACATAACAATATTTTAATTGTTATCAAAAAGATATTAAATGCCTTCAAATTCCTACAAGAATGGAGTCAATGTAATATTTAAAAAATGAATAATCAGAGAACAAACTAATACCTTGTCATATGCAGGGTTTGTGGAGATGTCCTGTACGGTGTGAAAGGTCTTGCCATCAGTACTACAAGCAAGCTTGTAGCTTTTTACCCACTCGCTGTAATCTTGTCGCCCTTGAGTCGCAACTGAAGTGATACGGTAAAGGTCCAAAAGATCCACCTTTTAGAAAGAAAAAGAATCGGAGGAAGCATTCCTGATGTTTCATCCTCTTGGATCATCTATTTCTTTCTATCTCCATGACAAAACTTTGAACCAATGTGCATGTTCCAAAATGTGTTAAATCTATATGATTAAAATAATACAAATACTAATAACGGTTCCTTTCTTTGCACATATCAATGACATTACCATGGTTTCATGCAGTTCTGCCCCTCCAAGGACAATATTTAAGTTAGAAGTTCTCCACATTGATGCTTCAATTGCCGATCTCATTTCTGAGCAATATCGAACAATTAGATTAAAGCCCTTAAAAATGAAAGCAATTGTTGACTTGGATGTGAATAATAATTGACAATCTTATAGTAGCTTTACCTACATAGTTAAGAGAAAATCTACGAACCCATATGTCACCTCGAAAAGTGGCCAATAAAAACAATTTTAACAGTGTAAGTGAATAGTGCCATAGAAATAACTAGTGACTCTTTCATTGTTGACCTGGTGTCGGCGGTAGAATATGAACCCATATGCCATATAACTGACTGTTGACTTTTTCGTTACTGACATGGTGGTAGCGGTGGAATATAAATTCATGCCATGCATATAAATGACGGGTGACTCATATTACATACTTTGTGGCAGTGTATGGAAATTTGACTGTTGACCCTTTCATTACTGATACGGTGGCAGCAGTGGGGTATGAACCCATGCCATAGAAAAAAGGGTTGCCTAATGTTTCGTGTCCAAATTGTCCTTAAGAAATTATTTGTTTACCTGGATCCACTGGTTGGCATCTCTTGTTCGTGCAATCCAGCCTCCCTTCAGGTTCCCGTCTCGGACTAGGTTAAGACGACCTCTCTTTACACCTTTGTCAGCACTATACTCACTGGACGCTGTCAGACTTGAATCTGGGATGATATAACTCTCAAGTCCCAGAGGGCCAGGTCCATTCAAGATGGCTGTAAGTTATTGCGTGACAATGTATGGCAAAGAAGTAGGAAGTGGTAGTCAAATAGGTAAATAGAATCGAATGCTCCCATCAGATGGACATAAAATAGACAAGTGTGTAGTTACAATCTGGGCATGAGACCGTCAGTCAATAAAAATCTTCAAGGTTTTCCTCACCAATGACTGCATGTTTCTTTCTTTCTATTTCCTGTTTGCTCTTTTTATATAATGTCTTAATGAACAAGAAGCAATTGCTTGATAAAAAAGTGTAGGTATGGAATCTGCTTTGACTCTATATCTTACTTGCTCCGCACGTAGGCCCAGTATAGCCAGGATCGCAGGCACAAGTAAAGGTGTTCACTCCATCACTACAAGTTCCTCCATTCTCACAAGGATCAGGGGAACAATCGTTGATATCTGTGCAAATTCAGTTCCAAAGACAATAAATGGGATAAAAGGGATGGGAAAATAATGTCCCTTTTGACATATTTATCTTCATTTGGCGGTGAACAGGAAAATAAAGTCAAAATGGCATTCTAAATACACATTATAGTTCAGGAATAAATCCCTTCATTTGTATAACTATTAATACATAATTCAAATGAATTAAATGAACTAAATATCTCTTTTAATGTTAGCATCTTTTTGAAGAAAAAAACGTGGCCTTATAAAGAAAATATATTAATGAAAAACTCTCATCGTCTCACAAAACGTAATATGCCCCTGCCAGACAAGAAAATGTCACTTAAACAAATTTCTTTCATTTTGGCGTGAAATGAATGTGACAATTGACGCAGAAATGGCATGAAATTGGATGCAGAAATGGCATGAGACACCTCAGCACCAAAAGTTTAATCGCTGTAATCAGGATGAAACATACCAGTCTTTATCATACCCTATAACAAATCATTACTTTACTTGAATTTTTCACTTGACAAATTAGATCATACGTATTCTAATGTTCATAATGAAGAACGCAAAGAAGTAGGAAAATGTAGTCAAATAGGTAAATAGAATCGAATGCTCCCATCAGATGGACATAAAATAGAAAAGTGTGTAGTTACAAGCTGGGCATGAGACCGTCAGTCAATAAAAATCTCCAAGGTTTTTTTCACCAATGACTGCATGTTTCTTTCTTTCTATTCCCTGTTTGCTCTTTTTCTATAATGTTTTGTTGAACAAGGAGCAATTGTTTGATATAAAAAGTATGGGTATGTAATCTGCTTTGACTCTATATCTTACCTGTGCCACACGTAGGCCCAGTATAGCCAGGATCGCAGACACAAGTAAAGGTATTCACTCCATCATTGCAAATTCCTCCATTCTCACAAGGATCAGGAGAACAAGCGTTGATATCTGTGCAAATTCAGTTCCAAATACAATAAATGGGATAAAAGGGATGGGAAAATAATGTCCCTTTTGACATATTTATCTTCATTTGGCGGTGAACAGGAAAATAAAGTCAAAATGGCATTCTAAATACACATTACAGTTCAGGAATAAATCCCTTCATTTGTATAACTATTAATACATAATTCAAATGAATTAAATGAACTAAATATCTCTTTTAATGTTAGCATCTTTTTGAAAAAACGTGGCCTTATAAAGAAAATATATTTATGAAAAGCTCTCCTCGTCTCACAAAACGTAATATGCCCCTGCCAGACAAGAAAATGTCACTTAAACAAATTTCTTTCATTTTGGCGTGAAATGAATGTGAAAATGGACGCAGAAATGGCATGAAATTGGACGCAGAAATGGCATGAGACACCTCAGCACCAAAAGTTGAATCGCTGTAATCATGATGAAACATACCAGTCTTTATCATACCCTATAACAAATCATTACTTTACTTGAATTTTTCACTTGACAAATTAGATAATACGTATTCTAATGTACATAATGAAGAAAGCATTTTCACGAATTGGATTTCACACAAAAATGTTTAAACTCATCGGAATCGAATATAGGTCGCTGGAATGGGAGGTGATGTAAATGGGTACCTGGTAGGAATTTATTCCTTGAAACGCAGCGCGCGTAACAGCTGCACTGCTAAAGCCAGGGTAATTATGCTGCATTATTGTAGAGCGCTTAGAGACTTCTGACAAAGTAAGTTTTAGGCGCTATATAAGCACTGTAATTATTTAATTATAAGTGCTTTGACCACTATACCAAATTTTCTACAATTATTGTGACGTGATAATATGCAAATTCGTATTTTGAGTTCGACACCATTATGATGACGTCGCGATATACTTAATGGCCAAATGACACATGAAATCATTTCTCCGACTCATATTCTATTCAATTATGAAAAATAAATTGCGGTCCCCAAGCATACCATTTTGGCTTCTATATGCTATGTATTACAAGAGCTTGGGTGAACGGACATTTATCTTGAATGGATGCTTATTCCGTTATGAATAGTCATAAAGATATAAACTTGGTATCAAAATGTTCGGAAAAGTATCGAAAATATTGTGAAGAAAGAAGAATGGCAATTTGGGTTAGCGCATTTTTTTTGGTAATATTTAAAATGGCCTGTAACATATGTAAAAAGAATTTGAGACGATTTGGAGCAATTTTAAATTTTGCGCGCGCGTTTACGCGCGGACGATCGCGAACGTATGCGTACGCGCGCCTTTAATGACCTGTAATTGACCTTCATCATGATAACAATAAATGAGAAAAGACTTTTTGTTATGAAGATATGATCATGAGTTGATTTTTACAAAATGGCGCTTGGATGACGTCAAAATGATTTGGGTCAATGAACAGTCACAGAGTTCTAAGTTAGACTAGGATCTATCATCGTTATAAGTTTCATGACAATGGCTTCATCCATTCTTGAGATATCTTGCGAACAAATTCGAGGAAGAATGAATAATAATAAAGAAAATCTTCACGAAATCAAAAGGTGATACGTATAACTACTTAAGAATCACCTAATAAAGACAAATCTTGACGATATCTGTAGTTGATAAAATATAACTACGTACGTATCACCTAATGATTACCGTAGCACTATGCCTCTATTATTGGTGAAAAAAGACTTTTCGTTATGAAGATATGATCATGAGTTGTTTTTTACAAAATGGCGCTTGGATGACGTCAAAATGATTTGGGTCAATGAACAGTCACAGAGTTCTAAGTTAGACTAGGATCTATCATCGTTATAAGTTTCATGACAATGGCTTCATCCATTCTTGAGATATCCTGCGAACAAAATCAAGGAAGAATGAATAATAATAAAGAAAAATCTTCACGAAATCAAAAGGTGATACGTACAACTACGTACGTATCACCTTATGATAAAAACGTAGCACTATGCCTTTATTATTAGTGAAAAAAGGCCCAGAGTAATTGTCGCAGGAGAAATTGAATATGGAGCAAAAAATGTTGGAGTATCACTAGTTTTAAAACTGACCTCTGAAAGGGCCTTCACCGTAGATTTCCATACGAAGACTGATGTAGCCGAACCACTTGACAGGCATCAAGCGGACATAGCGGCAAATCTGGGGTACAGGCAGAGTGTTGGTCACGATGGTGTTGCGGTCGGCATTACCGGTGAAGATCTTCAATGAAAAAGGATATTCAATCCACTTTTGAATGAATTATGACTCAAATGATTCTGCGGTCAATTGCAATCGAACTAAAGAGAATCGAATTGACAAGCATGCTGAATAATACATATTTTTGCATGTGCAGTGCCTGTCTATTCGTTTTTATTTGAAGTTATATTCTGATGACATCAATTTCTAGTTTTCGAGACCTAGTAATGAAATAGGAAAAAACATCCTGTTGATTGAAGATTTTTTGCTTGAAGTGCATTTCTTGCTCTGATATATTTACAAATATAGACAGTTCTTCAATCCTACCTAATAGTTCTTTTCCTCTTAAACTTTGTGTGAGCCGAATAGTAAATAATACACCTAGCATGTAGTTGTATGCCCGGGTTAATGAATGTCTATTTCTTTACAAGAAAGTATCGTAACATGAACATAGTTTAATTGTTATCAACAAGATTGCAAATGCCTTCAAAGTTCTTCAAGAATAGATTAATGTAATATTAAAAAAGAATAATCAGAGAATAAACTTACCCAGACAGCTCCAGGGTATGCAGAGATGCCCTGCACGGTGTAAAAGGTCGTGCCATCAGTACTACAAGCAAGCTTGTAGCTTGTTACCCACTGGCTTGCTTCTTGTCGCCCTTGGGTCGCAACTGAAGTGATACGGTAAATGTCCGCAAGATCCACCTTGTAGAAAGAAAAGAATCGGAGGAAGCTTTCTTGATGTTCATCCTCTTATTCATCTATTTCTTTCTATCTCCATGACAAAACTTTGAACCAATGTTCATGTTCCAAAATGTGTTAAATCTATATGATTAAAATAATACAAATACTAATAACGGTTCCTTTCTTTGCACATGTCAATGACATTGCCATGGTTTCATGCAGCTCTGCCCCTCCAAGGACAATATTTAAGTTAGACGTTCTCCACATTGATGCTTCAATTGCCGATCTCATTTATGAGCAATATCGAACAATTAGATTAAAGCCCTTAAAAATGAAAGCAATTATTGACTTGGATGTGAATAATAATTGACAATCTTATAGTAGCTTTACCTACATAGTTAAGAGAAAATCTACGAACCCATATGTCACCTCGAAAAGTGGCCAATAAAAAGAATTTTAAAGGTGTAAGTGAATAGTGCCATAGAAATGACTAGTGACTCTTTCATTGTTGACCTGGTTTCGGCGGTAGAATATGAACCCATATGCCATATAACTGACTGTTGACTCTTTCGTTACTGACATGGTGGTAGCGGTGGAATATAAATTCATGCCATGCATATAAATGACGGGTGACTCATATTACATACTTTGTGGCAGTGTATGGAAATTTGACTGTTGACCCTTTCATTACTGATACGGTGGCAGCAGTGGGGTATGAACCCATGCCATAGATATAAGGGTTGCCTAATGTTTCGTGTCCAATTACCTGGATCCACTGGTTGGCATCATTTGTTCGTGCAATCCAGGCTGCCTTCAGGTTCCCGTCTCGGACCAGGTTAAGACGACCTCTCTTTGCCCCATAGTCAGCACTAAACTCACTAGAAGCTGTCATACTTGAATCTGGGATGATATAACTCTCAAGTCCCAGAGGGCCAGGTCCATTCAAGATGGCTGTAAGTTATTGCGTGACAATGTATTGCAAAGAAGTAGGAAAATGTAGTCAAATAGGTAAATAGAATCGAATGCTCCCATCAGATGGACATAAAATGTGACCCGGCACCACAAAACCAACAAAAAGTCGCAACCAGCGATTCTCCGTAATCAGCTAAAATGTCAATTTAGGTGAAAAAAATAGATTTTTGTTTTTTTGCATTTTCTGAAAGAGTGGTCTTTTCTGTACCTAGTATCAAAATTTGGAAGTCTAAAACATAGTAGAAGATGTGTTTTAAACGGTTTTTCTAGACCAGTTTTTTTCGCACAGCCTTCGGTCTCTTCCAAAATTTGATCACTTTTCCCGAGCGAAATTATCGTACTCCGGAAATGGTCGGTCGTTGCTAACGGGTCGTGCTACGCGGGCTGTGATTGGTCCGTTATAGCAATCAGTGCGGCGCGCCATTTTGTTTGTATCCGCTTTCACATCCGAGTTCCAGATTTGCGTTCGTCTTATATTCTCCGTTAACGACTTCGAGTAGCTTGATTGTACATCACATATCCAGAATTTGTTGATCAAGAGTAAGAACATTATTATATTTTATACATTTGAGAGTGACAAGTTGCGAAAAAGTCTACAACGTCGTTACAATGCCAGGTTTTGTACGTGAGCAGAGCCGTGGGATGGTACCGGGGTGCACCAACGCAGATGCCCGGGTAGCTCCGGCGGTCAACGAAGCGATGATGCGGGGGCTAGCTGCGGGGGATCAGGCCAACCTTACAGCTTTGCTTACTGAACACTTCGGGCAAGACGGCGACGAGATAATTCCTGATAATGTTGTTACAAATAATTGCCCAGATGTATACAAAACAAGATAGGTGACAAGCAGTGTTATGTAAGGGGGAACAAAAAGACTCCGGGTCCACCATGAATAGGCATTGTCTAGTGCAGGTGTCTCGGCACTATGTTGCAGTTCACTTAATCTGTCCAATTACAACTCTATACATTTACAACATAATAAATTTTGAAAGACTTAAGTCCACACATTGAAACCTCAGAAACATAATGAACAGACTATGTTTGACCATCAGGCCAAATTTCAGCCTAATCTGAAAATCTCTTCATAGTGGTTGCTATGGCCTTTTGATTCACCCTTCTATTGATTTCCCTGTGGTTTGCTTGCTCCGCATGCTTGAATAGCCCCAAACTTTAAAGCTCTCTTTCTCACAATTTAATACCAGTAACCTCCCTCACCAGCTCTTTTCATTCACTAAATTGAAAGGGTTAGGAAGCTTCAATTTGGACAAGTAATATACCATTTTAATGAGGAGAACTTCTTCTTTCATAATCAGATGAAATCAGGAAAATAATTTTTTGCGACTTTTTGGTGGTTTTGTAGTGCCGGGTCACAAATAGAAAAGTGTGTAGTTACAAGCCGGGCATGAGACCGTCAGTCAATGAAAATCTCCACGGTTTTCCTCACCAATGACTGCATGTTTCTTTCTTTCTATTCCCTGTTTGATCTTTTTCTATAATGTTTTGTTGAACAAGGAGCAATTGTTTGATATAAAAAGTATGGGTATGTAATCTGCTTTGACTCTATATCTTACCTGTGCCACACGTAGGCCCAGTATAGCCAGGATCGCAGACACAAGTAAAGGTATTCACTCCATCATTGCAAATTCCTCCATTCTCACAAGGATCAGGAGAACAATCGTTGATATCTGTGCAAATTCAGTTCCAAATACAATAAATGGGATAAAAGGGATGGGAAAATTATGTCCCTTTTGACATATTTATCTTCATTTGGCGGTAAACAGGAAAATAAAGTCAAAATGGCATTCTAAATACACATTACAGTTCAGGAATAAATCCCTTCATTTGTATAACTATTAATACATAATTCAAATGAATTAGATGAACTAAATATCTCTTTTAATGTTAGCATCTTTTTGAAAAAACGTGGCCTTATAAAGAAAATATATTTATGAAAAAATCTCATCGTCTCACAAAACGTAATATGCCCCTGCCAGACAAGAAAATGTCACTTAAACAAATTTCTTTCATTTTGGCGTGAAATGAATGTGAAAATGGACGCAGAAATGGCATGAAATTGGACGCAGAAATGGCATGAGACAACTCAGCACCAAAAGTTGAATCGCTGTAATCAGGATGAAACATACCAGTCTTTATCATACCCAATAACAAATCATTACTTTACTTGAATTTTTCACTTGACAAATTAGATAATACGTATTCTAATGTACATAATGAAGAACGCATTTTCACGAATTGGATTTCACACAAAAATGTTTAAACTCATCGGAATCGAATATAGGTCGCTGGAATGGGAGGTGATGTAAATGGGTACCTGGTAGGAATTTATTCCTTGAAACGCAGCGCGCGTAACAGCTGCACTGCTAAAGCCAGGGTAATTATGCTGCATTATTGTAGAGCGCTTAGAGACTTCTGACAAAGTAAGTTTTAGGCGCTATATAAGCACTGTAATTATTTAATTATTAAGTGCTTTGACCACTATACCAAATTTTCTACAATTATTGTGACGTGATAATAATGCAAATTCGTATTTTGAGTTCGACACCATTATGATGACGTCACGATATACTTAATGGCCAAATGACACATGAAATCATTTCTCCGACTCATATTCTATTCAATTATGAAAAATAAATTGCGGTCCCCAAGCATACCATTTTGGCTTCTATATGCTATGTATTACAAGAGCTTGGGTGAACGGACATTTATCTTGAATGGATGCTTATTCCGTTATGAATAGTCATAAAGATATAAACTTGGTATCAAAATGTTCGGAAAAGTATCGAAAATATTGTGAAGAAAGAAGAATGGCAATTTGCGTTAGCGCATTTTTTTTGTAATACTCAAAATGGCCTGTAACATATGTAAAAAGAATTTGAGACGATTTGGAGCAATTTTAAATTTTGCGCGCGCGTTTACGCGCGGACGATCGCGAACGTATGCGTACGCGCGCCTTTATTGACCTGTAATTGACCTTAATCATGATAACAATAAATGAGAAAAGACTTTTTGTTATGAAGATATGATCATGAGTTGATTTTTACAAAATGGCGCTTGGATGACGTCAAAATGATTTGGGTCAATGAACGGTCACAGAGTTCTAAGTTAGACTAGGATCTATCATCGTTATAAGTTTCATGACAATGGCTTCATCCATTCTTGAGATATCCTGCGAACAAATTCGAGGAAGAATGAATAATAATAAAGAAAAATCTTCACGAAATCAAAAGGTGATACGTACAACTACGTACGTATCACCTTATGATAAAAACGTAGCACTATGCCTTTATTATTAGTGAAAAAAGGCCCAGAGTAATTGTCGCAGGAGAAATTGAATATGGAGCAAAAAATGTTGGAGTATCACTAGTTTTAAAACTGACCTCTGAAAGGGCCTTCACCGTAGATTTCCATACGAAGACTGATGTAGCCGAACCACTTGACAGGCATCAAGCGGACATAGCGGCAAATCTGGGGTACAGGCAGAGTGTTGGTCACGATGGTGTTGCGGTCGGCATTACCGGTGAAGATCTTCAATGAAAAAGGATATTCAATCCACTTTTGAATGAATTATGACTCAAATGATTCTGCGGTCAATTGCAATCGAACTAAAGAGAATCGAATTGACAAGCATGCTGAATAATACATATTTTTGCATGTGCAGTGCCTGTCTATTCGTTTTTATTTGAAGTTATATTCTGATGACATCAATTTCTAGTTTTCGAGACCTAGTAATGAAATAGGAAAAAAACATCCTGTTGATTGAAGATTTTTTGCTTGAAGTGCATTTCTTGCTCTGATATATTTACAAATATAGACAGTTCTTCAATCCTACCTAATAGTTCTTTTCCTCTTAAACTTTGTGTGAGCCGAATAGTAAATAATACACCTAGCATGTAGTTGTATGCCCGGGGTAATGAATGTCTATTTCTTTACAAGAAAGTATCGTAACATGAACATAGTTTAATTGTTATCAACAAGATTGCAAATGCCTTCAAAGTTCTTCAAGAATAGATTAATGTAATATTAAAAAAAGAATAATCAGAGAATAAACTTACCCAGACAGCTCCAGGGTATGCAGAGATGCCCTGCACGGTGTAAAAGGTCGTGCCATCAGTACTACAAGCAAGCTTGTAGCTTGTTACCCACTGGCTTGCTTCTTGTCGCCCTTGGGTCGCAACTGAAGTGATACGGTAAATGTCCGCAAGATCCACCTTGTAGAAAGAAAAGAATCGGAGGAAGCTTTCTTGATGTTCATCCTCTTATTCATCTATTTCTTTCTATCTCCATGACAAAACTTTGAACCAATGTTCATGTTTCAAAATTTGTTAAATCTATATGATTAAAATAATACAAATACTAATAACGGTTCCTTTCTTTGCACATGTCAATGACATTGCCATGGTTTCATGCAGCTCTGCCCCTCCAAGGACAATATTTAAGTTAGACGTTCTCCACATTGATGCTTCAATTGCCGATCTCATTTCTGAGCAATATCGAACAATTAGATTAAAGCCCTTAAAAATGAAAGCAATTGTTGACTTGGATGTGAATAATAATTGACAATCTTATAGTAGCTTTACCTACATAGTTAAGAGAAAATCTACGAACCCATATGTCACCTCGAAAAGTGGCCAATAAAAAGAATTTTAACAGTGTAAGTGAATAGTGACATAGAAATGACTAGTGACTCTTTCATTGTTGACCTGGTTTCGGCGGTAGAATATGAACCCATATGCCATATAACTGACTGTTGACTCTTTCGTTACTGACATGGTGGTAGCGGTGGAATATAAATTCATGCCATGCATATAAATGACGGGTGACTCATATTACATACTTTGTGGCAGTGTATGGAAATTTGACTGTTGACCCTTTCATTACTGATACGGTGGCAGCAGTGGGGTATGAACCCATGCCATAGATATAAGGGTTGCCTAATGTTTCGTGTCCAATTACCTGGATCCACTGGTTGGCATCATTTGTTCGTGCAATCCAGGCTGCCTTCAGGTTCCCGTCTCGGACCAGGTTAAGACGACCTCTCTTTGCACCATAGTCAGCACTAAACTCACTAGAAGCTGTCATACTTGAATCTGGGATGATATAACTCTCAAGTCCCAGAGGGCCAGGTCCATTCAAGATGGCTGTAAGTTATTGCGTGACAACGTTTTGCAAAGAAGTAGGAAAATGTAGTCAAATAGGTAAATAGAATCGAATGCTCCCATCAGATGGACATAAAATAGAAAAGTGTGTAGTTACAAGCCGGGCATGAGACCGTCAGTCAATGAAAATCTCCACGGTTTTCCTCACCAATGACTGCATGTTTCTTTCTTTCTATTCCCTGTTTGATCTTTTTCTATAATGTTTTGTTGAACAAGGAGCAATTGTTTGATATAAAAAGTATGGGTATGTAATCTGCTTTGACTCTATATCTTACCTGTGCCACACGTAGGCCCAGTATAGCCAGGATCGCAGACACAAGTAAAGGTATTCACTCCATCATTGCAAATTCCTCCATTCTCACAAGGATCAGGAGAACAATCGTTGATATCTGTGCAAATTCAGTTCCAAATACAATAAATGGGATAAAAGGGATGGGAAAATTTTGTCCCTTTTGACATATTTATCTTCATTTGGCGGTGAACAGGAAAATAAAGTCAAAATGGCATTCTAAATACACATTACAGTTCAGGAATAAATCCCTTCATTTGTATAACTATTAATACATAATTCAAATGAATTAAATGAACTAAATATCTCTTTTAATGTTAGCATCTTTTTGAAAAAACGTGGCCTTATAAAGAAAATATATTTATGAAAAAATCTCATCGTCTCACAAAACGTAATATGCCCCTGCCAGACAAGAAAATGTCACTTAAACAAATTTCTTTCATTTTGGCGTGAAATGAATGTGAAAATGGACGCAGAAATGGCATGAAATTGGACGCAGAAATGGCATGAGACACCTCAGCACCAAAAGTTGAATCGCTGTAATCAGGATGAAACATACCAGTCTTTATCATACCCAATAACAAATCATTACTTTACTTGAATTTTTCACTTGACAAATTAGATAATACGTATTCTAATGTACATAATGAAGAACGCATTTTCACGAATTGGATTTCACACAAAAATGTTTAAACTCATCGGAATCGAATATAGGTCGCTGGAATGGGAGGTGATGTAAATGGGTACCTGGTAGGAATTTATTCCTTGAAACGCAGCGCGCGTAACAGCTGCACTGCTAAAGCCAGGGTAATTATGATGCATTATTGTAGAGCGCTTAGAGACTTCTGACAAAGTAAGTTTTAGGCGCTATATAAGCACTGTAATTATTTAATTATAAGTGCTTTGACCACTATACCAAATTTTCTACAATTATTGTGACGTGATAATATGCAAATTCGTATTTTGAGTTCGACACCATTATGATGACGTCACGATATACTTAATGGCCAAATGACACATGAAATCATTTCTCCGACTCATATTCTATTCAATTATGAAAAATAAATTGCGGTCCCCAAGCATACCATTTTGGCTTCTATATGCTATGTATTACAAGAGCTTGGGTGAACGGACATTTATCTTGAATGGATGCTTATTCCGTTATGAATAGTCATAAAGATATAAACTTGGTATCAAAATGTTCGGAAAAGTATCGAAAATATTGTGAAGAAAGAAGAATGGCAATTTGCGTTAGCGCATTTTTTTTGTAATACTCAAAATGGCCTGTAACATATGTAAAAAGAATTTGAGACGATTTGGAGCAATTTTAAATTTTGCGCGCGCGTTTACGCGCGGACGATCGCGAACGTATGCGTACGCGCGCCTTTATTGACCTGTAATTGACCTTAATCACGATAACAATAAATGAGAAAAGACTTTTTGTTATGAAGATATGATCATGAGTTGATTTTTACAAAATGGCGCTTGGATGACGTCAAAATGATTTGGGTCAATGAACAGTCACAGAGTTCTAAGTTAGACTAGGATCTATCATCGTTATAAGTTTCATGACAATGGCTTCATCCATTCTTGAGATATCCTGCGAACAAATTCGAGGAAGAATGAATAATAATAAAGAAAATCTTCACGAAATCAAAAGGTGATACGTATAACTACTTAAGAATCACCTAATAAAGACAAATCTTGACGATATCTGTAGTTGATAAAATATAACTACGTACGTATCACCTAATGATAACCGTAGCACTATGCCTCTATTATTGGTGAAAAAATGTCCAGAGTAATTGTCGCAGGAGAAATTGAATATGGAGCAAAACATGTTGGAACATCACTAGTTTTAAAACTGACCTATGACAGGGCCTTCACCGTAGATTTCCATACGAAGACTGATGTGGCCGAACCACTTGACAGGCATCAAGCGGACATAGCGGCAAATCTGGGGTACAGGAAGAATGTTGGTCACGATGGTGTTGCGGTCAACATTACCGGTGAAGACCTTCAATGAAAAAGGAAAATGAATCCACTTTTGAATGAATTATGACTCAAATGATTCTGCGGTCAATTTTAAACTAAAGAGAAACGAAATGACAAGCATGCTGAATAATACATATTTTTGCATGTCCAGTGCCTGTCCATTCGTTTCTATTTGAAGTTTTATTCTGATGACATCAATTTCTAGTTTTCGAGACTTATACCCCATTCACAGTGGTTTTGAAATTTGTAGCGGCGTTGTAGCGGAGCGGCGACACCGCCATAACACCGCTACAAATGCATTCACAGTAGAAAAGTTATCCCGCTGCAGCAGCGGGATAAATATCATGTACCCATTCACGCTGCAGCGGGTGATTTTTATTACCTCCGTAACAAACACGTGTATGCATGGCTTATGACCCGCGAGTGACCCCGATATGACCGGAAATACTTCAGCGCGGGGTTTTCGATTGCTTGAAATTGCGCGCGCTAGCTGTACTTTACACACTCTTCCTCATGTAGCTAGCTCGATTTAGCTTTTTGTATCCTCGATCATATTACTTTTTAAAAAACTAGCATTTTTATTGCTTCCAGTCAGAATATTTTAATTTTTTGAAGTGTGAAATATTTTTATTTGGATAATTATAATATCTACATAATAATAAAATCAATTTGAATCCACTGGTTACTTTATTTCTGTTTCACTTTATGTTCCCCATTGCTGGAGAAAAGAGGTCAGTAATAGGTAAGTAAACAAATCACACGTGTTTGTCGCGGTGTTATAGCGGAGAGCCTTCACACTGAGTAAACACTGCGACAGCAGCGGGACTGTCCCGCTGCTGTAGCTAGGTGAACCTAGCGATAGTTTGTCGCGGCGTTATCGCGAGGCGGTGTTATCCCGCGATAGTTTATAACGGGTCCGAGCCTTCACACTGAAGACAACACCGCGACAGCAGCGGGACAGTCCCGCTGCTGTCGCGGTGTTTGAGGCCACTGTGAATGGGGTATTGGTAATAAAATAGGAAGACACATGATATGGATTAAAGATTTTTTGCTTGAAGTGCATTACTTGCTCTGACAATCCTACCTAATAGGTTTTTCCTCTTATACTTTGTGTAACTAAGCAAAATAGTATATACTTCACCTAAACTGTATATGTGTTCCTGAGGTAACGATTGCCTTTTTCTTTAAAAGAAAGTATCGTAACATAACAATATTTTAATTGTTATCAAAAAGATATTATATGCCTTCAAATTCCTACAAGAATGGAGTCAATGTAATATTTAAAAAATGAATAATCAGAGAACAAACTAATACCTTGTCATATGCAGGGTTTGTGGAGATGTCCTGTACGGTGTGAAAGGTCGTGCCATCAGTACTACAAGCAAGCTCGTAGCTTGTTACCCACTGGCTTGATTCTTGTCGCCCTTGGGTCGCAACTGAAGTGATACGGTAAATGTCCGCAAGATCCACCTTGTAGAAAGAAAAGAATCGGAGCAAGCTTTCTTGATGTTCATCCTCTTATTCATCTATTTATTTCTATCTCCATTAAAGACTTGTAACCAATGAGCATGTTCCAAAGTGTGTCAAATCTATATGAATTAAATACAAATACTAAGAACGGTTTCTTTCTCTGCACCTATAAATGACATTACCTTGCTTTCAAGCCGCTCTGCCCCTCCAAGGGCAATATTTAAAAAAATTCTACACATTGATGTTTTAATTGTCGATCTCACTTCTGAGTAATATCGAACAATTAGATGAATGCCTTTAAAAATGAAAGTAGTTATTGATTTGGATGTGAATAATTATGTAACTATGGAAATCTTATAGTAGCTTTACCTACATAGTGGAGAGAAAATCTACAAACTCATATGCCACCTCAAAAAGTGGCCAATAAACACAATTTTAATAGTGGAAGTAAATAGTGCCATAGAAATGACTGGTGACTCTTTCGTTACTGACATGGTAGTAGCGGTGGAATATAAATTCATGCCATGCATAGAAATAAGGGTTACCTAATGTTTCGTGTCCGAATTGACCTTAAGAAATTATTTGTTTACCTGGATCCACTGGTTGGCATCGTTTGCTCGTGCAGACCAGCCTCCCTTCAGGTTCCCGTCTCGGGCCAGGTTAAGACGTCCTCTATTTGCAGCATGGTCAGCACTATACTCACTAGAAGCTGTCATACTTGAATCTGGGATGATATACCTCTCAAGTCCCAGAGGGCCAGGTCCATTAGAGATGGCTGTGAGTTATTGCGTGACAATGTATGGCAAAAATGTAGGAAGTGGTGGTAAAAATATGCAAATAGAATCGAATGCTCCTATCAGATGGACATAAAATAGACATGTGTGTAGTTACAATCTGGGCATGAGACCGTCAGTCACTAAAAATCTCCAAGGTTTTCCTCACCAATGACTGCATGTTTCTTTCTTTCTATTCCCTGTTTGCTCTTTTTATATTATGTCTTAATGAACAAGGAGCAATTGCTTGATAAGAAAGTGTAGGTATGGAATCTGCTTTGACTCTATATCTTACTTGTTCCACATGTTGGTCCAGTATAGCCAGGATCACAGGCACAAGTAAAGGTGTTCACTCCATCACTGCAAGTTCCTCCATTCTTACAAGGATCATGAGAACAATCGATGATATCTGTGCAAATTGAGTTCCAAAGACAATAAATTGGATAAAAGGGATGAGAAAATAATATCCCTTTTGACATATTTTTCTTCATTTGGCGGTGAACAGGAAAATAAAGTCAAAATGGCTTTCCAAATACACATTACAGTTCAGGAATAAATTCCTTCATTAGTATTACTATTAATACATAATTCATATGAATTAAATGAACTAAATATCTCTTTTAATGTTAGCATCTTTTTGCAAAAACGTGGCTTTAAAAAGAAAATATATTGACGAAAAAATCTTATCGTCTCACAAAACGTAATATTCCCCTGCCAGACATGAAAATGTCACTAAAACAAATTTCTTTTATTTTGACGTGAAGTGAACGTGAAAATGGACGCAGAAATGGCATTAAATTGGACGCAGAAATTGCATGAGACAACTCAGCACCAAAAGTTGAATCGCTGTAATCAGGATGAAACATACCAGTCTTTATCATACCCTATAACAAATCATAACTTTACTTGAATTTTTCACTTGACATATTAGATAATACGTATTCTAATGTACATAATGAAGAACGCATTTTCACGAATTGGATTTCACACAAAAATGTTTTAACTCATCGCAATCGAATCTAGGTCGCTGGAATGGGAGGTGATGTAAATGGGTACCTGGTAGGAATTTATTCCTTGAAATGCAGCGCGCGTAACAGCTGCACTGCTAAAGCCAGGGTAATCATGCTGCATTATTGTAGAGCGCTTAGAGACTTCTGACAAAGTAAGTGTTAGGCGCTATATAAGCACTGTAATTATTTAATTATTAAGTGTTTTGACCACTTCACCAAATTTTCTACAATGATTGTGACGTCATAATATTCAAATTCATATTTTGAGTTCGACACCATTATGATGACGTCACGATGTACTTAATGGCCAAATGACACATGAAATCATTTCTCCGATTCATATTCTATTCATATATGAAAAATAAATTGCCGTCCCCAATCATTACAAAGAGCTCTAATGGACTGGTATGATTTTGCACATAGCATACATAGCATATATTATATGCTATGTATTACAAGAGCTTGCGTGCACGGAAAATTATCTTGAATGGACACTTATTCCGTTATGAATAGTCATAAAGATATAAACTTGGTATCAAAATGCTCGGACAAGTATCGAAAATATCGTGAAGAAAGAAGAATGGGATTTTGCGTTAACGCATTGTTTTTTTTTTTATTGCTCAAAATGGCCTGCAACATATGTAAAATGAATTTGAGACGATTTGGAGCAATTTTAAATTTTGCGCGCGCGTTAAAGCACTGCCGATTGCGTACGTATGCGTACGCGCGCGTTTTTTGACCTGTAATTGACCTTTATCATAATAACAATAAATGAGAAATGACTTTCCATTATGAAGTTATAATCATGAGTTGATTTTTACAAAATGGCGCTTGGATGACGTCAAAATGATCTGGGTCAATGAAAAGTCACACAGTTCTAAGTTAGAATAGAATCTATCATAGTTATAAATTTCATGACAATGGCTTCATCCATTTTTGAGATATCCTCCGAACAAATTCGAGGAAGAATGAATAATAATAAAGAAAAATCTTCAAAAAATCAAAAGGTGATACGTATAATTACTTAAGGATCACCTAATGAAGACAACACTTGACGGAATCTGTAGTTGATACGTATAACTACGTACGTATCACCTAATGATAACCGTAGCACTATGCCTCTAGTAATGGTGAAAAAGGGCCCAGAGTAATTGTCGCAGGAGAAATTGAATATGGAGCAAAACATGTTGGAACATCACTAATTTTAAAACTGACCTGTGAAAGGGCCTTCACCGTAGATTTCCATACGAAGACTGATGCGATCGAACCACTTGACAGGCATCAAGCGGACATAGCGGCAAATCTGGGGTACAGGCAGAGTGTTGGTCACGATGGTGTTGCGGTCAACATTACCGGTGAAGACCTTCAATGAAAAAGGAAAATGAATCCACTTTTGAATGAATTATGACTCAAATGATTCTGCGGTCAATTGCAATCGAACTAAAGAGAATCGAATTGACAAGCATGCTGAATAATCATATTTATGTATGTCCAGTGCCTGTCCATTCGTTTCTATTTAAAGTTTTATTCTGATGACATCAATTTCTAGTTTTCGAGACCTAGTAATAAAATAGGAAGACACATGATATGGATTGAAGATTTTTTGCTTGAAGTGCATTACTGGCTCTGACAATCCTACCTAATAGGTTTTTCCTCTTATACTTTGTGTAACTAAGCAAAATAGTATATACTTCACCTAAATTGTATATGTGTTCCTGAGGTAACGATTGCCTTTTTCTTTAAAAGAAAGTATCGTAACATAACAATATTTTAATTGTTATCAAAAAGATATTAAATGCCTTCAAATTCCTACAAGAATGGAGTCAATGTAATATTTAAAAAATGAATAATCAGAGAACAAACTAATACCTTGTCATATGCAGGGTTTGTGGAGATGTCCTGTACGGTGTGAAAGGTCTTGCCATCAGTACTACAAGCAAGCTTGTAGCTTTTTACCCACTGGCTGTAATCTTGTCGCCCTTGAGTCGCAACTGAAGTGATACGGTAAAGGTCCAAAAGATCCACCTTTTAGAAAGAAAAATAATCGGAGGAAGCATTCTTGATGTTTCATCCTCTTGGATCATCTATTTCTTTCTATCTCCATGACAAAAAATTGAACCAGTGTGCATGTTCCAAAATGTGTTAAATCTATATGATTAAAATAATACAAATACTAATAACGGTTCCTTTCTTTGCACATATCAATGACATTACCATGGTTTCATGCAGTTCTGCCCCTCCAAGGACAATATTTAAGTTAGAAGTTCTCCACATTGATGCTTCAATTGTCGATCTCATTTCTGAGCAATATCGAACAATTAGATTAAAGCCCTTAAAAATGAAAGCAATTGTTGACTTGGATGTGAATAATAATTGACAATCTTATAGTAGCTTTACCTACATAGTTAAGAGAAAATCTACGAACCCATATGTCACCTCGAAAAGTGGCCAATAAAAACAATGTTAACATTGTAAGTGAATAGTGCCATAGAAATGACTAGTGACTCTTTCATTGTTGACCTGGTGTCGGCGGTAGAATATGAACCCATATGCCATTTAACTGACTGTTGACTCTTTCGTTACTGACATGGTGGTAGCGGTGGAATATAAATTCATGCCATGCATATAAATGACGGGTGACTCATATTACATACTTTATGGCAGTGTATGGAAATTTGACTGTTGACCCTTTCATTACTGATACGGTGGCAGCAGTGGGGTATGAACCCATGCCATAGAAATAAGGGTTACCTAATGTTTCGTGTCCAAATAGTCCTTAAGAAATTGTTTGTTTACCTGGATCCACTGGTTGGCATCTCTTGATCGTGCAATCCAGCCTCCCTTCAGGTTCCCGTCTCGGACCAGGTTAAGACGACCTCTCTTTACACCATGGTCAGCACTATACTCACTGGACGCTGTCAGACTTGAATCTGGGATGATATAACTCTCAAGTCCCAGAGGGCCAGGTCCATTAGAGATGGCTGTAAGTTATTGCGTGACAATGTATGGAAAAGAAGTAGGAAGTGGTAGTCAAATAGGTAAATAGAATCGAATGCTCCCATCAGATGGACATAAAATAGACAAGTGTGTAGTTACAATCTGGGCATGAGACCGTCAGTCAACAAAAATCTCCAAGGTTTTCCTCACCAATGACTGCATGTTTCTTTCTTTCTATTCCCTGTTTGCTCTTTTTATATAATGTCTTAATGAACAAGGAGCAATTGCTTGATAAAAAAGTGTAGGTATGGAATCTGCTTTGACTCTATATCTTACTTGCTCCGCACGTAGGCCCAGTATAGCCAGGATCGCAGGCACAAGTAAAGGTGTTCACTCCATTACTGCAAGTTCCTCCATTCTCACAAGGATCAGGGGAACAGTCGTTGATATCTGTGCAAATTCAGTTCCAAAGACAATAAATGGGATAAGAGGTATGGGAAAATAATGTCCCTTTTGACATATTTATCTTCATTTGGCGGTGAACAGGAAAATAAAGTCAAAATGGCATTCTAAATACACATTACAGTTCAGGAATAAATCCCTTCATTTGTATAACTATTAATACATAATTCAAATGAATTAAATCAACTAAATATCTCTTTTAATGTTTTCATCTTTTTGAAAAAAACGTGGCCTTATAAAGAAAATATATTTATGAAAAACTCTCATCGTCTCACAAAACGTAATATGCCCCTGCCCGAAAAAAAAATGTCACTTAAACAAATTTCTTTCATTTTGGCATGAAATGAATAAGAAAATGGACGCAGGAATGGCATGAAATTGGACGCAGAAATGGCATGAGACACCTCAGCACCAAAAGTTGAATCGCTGTAATCAGGATGAAACATACCAGACTTTATCATACCATATAACAAATCATTACTTTACTTGAATTTTTCACTTGACAAATTAGATAATACGTCTTCTAATGTACATAATGAAGAACGCATTTTCACGAATTGAATTTCACACAAAAAATGTTTTAACTCATCGGAATCGAATATAGGTCGCTGGAATGGGAGGTGATGTAAATGGGTACCTGGTAGGAATTTATTGCTTGAAACGCAGCGCGCGTAACAGCTGCACTGCTAAAGCCAGGGTAATTATGCTGCATTATTGTAGAGCACCTAGAGGCTGTTCACACCGGCAGAGATAGCGCGGTCTAGCGCGCGCTAGACCGCGCTATCTCTGCGGTGTGGAAGGTACAACGTCGTTTCGGTCCGCCCAACAGCGAGCCACGGCGAGCCACTGCGAGCCAACACTGGAGCACCTCTTGGGGGTGGTCCACGAGAGAGAGCGCGGTCTAGCGCGTGCTAGACCCCGCTATCTCTGCCGGTGTGAACCCGAGCTACGAAAGCACGCCGGATTTTATCGTTCTACACGCGGGGAATTTTATACTCATTCTATTTTGGTGCGATCTGAATCTGAATCGGTACAATAGGCCATTTTCGTAATGTAACCAAATTTAATGCATAAGTGTTTGTGAGGTGCCTCAATACAAATTATTTCATTCACCTGATAGTATTTCAATAGTCAGAATGCAACTGCATGTATTAAGTGTTGCTATATAGGTAGGTCAAGCCATAATGCTTGTCCAACCTGACAACAACTAATGTATGCATTTTGGATTCTGTCTATTGAAATACTATTATTCTTATCAGGTGAACGAAATAATTTGTATTGAGGCACTTCACAAAGACGTATGCATTAAATTTGGTTACATTACGAAAATGGCCTATTCAACACTCCTAGTTCGTAATAGCGCGCGAAATCTTTGACCGCTCTGACCTCATGACGTCACGCGTCATGACAACAGGACCTCTTAAAAAAGGGGGTGCTACGATAGACCGCGCTATCTCGCTGCGGTGTGGATCCGGCGAATGCCAGTGGGCGGACCGTGGGTCGCGCTACAATAGCGCGATCCACGGTCCGCCCACGGTCCCCCCTTGCGGTGTGAACACGCCCTTAGAGGCTGTTCACACCGGCAGAGATAGCGCGGTCTAGCGCGCGCTAGACCGCGCTATCTCTGCGGTGTGGAAGGTACAACGTCGTTTCGGTCCGCCCAACAGCGAGCCACGGCGAGCCACTGCGAGCCAACACTGGAGCACCTCTTGGGGGTGGTCCACGAGAGAGAGCGCGGTCTAGCGCGTGCTAGACCCCGCTATCTCTGCCGGTGTGAACCCGAGCTACGAAAGCACGCCGGATTTTATCGTTCTACACGCGGGGAATTTTATACTCATTCTATTTTGGTGCGATCTGAATCTGAATCGGTACAATAGGCCATTTTCGTAATGTAACCAAATTTAATGCATAAGTGTTTGTGAGGTGCCTCAATACAAATTATTTCATTCACCTGATAGTATTTCAATAGTCAGAATGCAACTGCATGTATTAAGTGTTGCTATATAGGTAGGTCAAGCCATAATGCTTGTCCAACCTGACAACAACTAATGTATGCATTTTGGATTCTGTCTATTGAAATACTATTATTCTTATCAGGTGAACGAAATAATTTGTATTGAGGCACTTCACAAAGACGTATGCATTAAATTTGGTTACATTACGAAAATGGCCTATTCAACACTCCTAGTTCGTAATAGCGCGCGAAATCTTTGACCGCTCTGACCTCATGACGTCACGCGTCATGACAACAGGACCTCTTAAAAAAGGGGGTGCTACGATAGACCGCGCTATCTCGCTGCGGTGTGGATCCGGCGAATGCCAGTGGGCGGACCGTGGGTCGCGCTACAATAGCGCGATCCACGGTCCGCCCACGGTCCCCCCTTGCGGTGTGAACACGCCCTTAGAGACTTCTGACAAAGTAAGTTTTAGGCGCTATATAAGCACTGTAATTATTTAATTATTAAGTGCTTTGACCACTATACCAAATTTTCTACAATTATTGTGACGTCATAATATGCAAATTCGTATTTTGAGTTCGACACCATTATGATGACTTCACGATATACTTAATGGCCAAATGACACATGAAATCATTTCTCCAACTCATATTCTATTCAATTATGAAAAATAAATTGCGGTCCCCAAGCATACCATTTTGGCTTCTATATGCTATGTATTACAAGAGCTTGGGTGAACGGACATTTATCTTGAATGGATGCTTATTCCGTTATGAATAGTCATAAAGATATAAACTTGGTATCAAAATGTTCGGAAAAGTATCGAAAATATTGTGCAGAAAGAAGAATGGCAATTTGCGTTAGTGCATTTTTTTTTAATGCTCAAAATGGCCTGTAACATATGTAAAAAGAATTTGAGACGATCGCGAACGTATGCGTACGCGCGCCTTTATTGACCTGTAATTGACCTTAATCATGATAACAATAAATGAGAAATGACTTTTCGTTATGAAGATATGATCTTGAGTTGATTTTTACAAAATGGCGCTTTGATGACGTCAAAATGATTTGGGTCAATGAACAGTCACAGAGTTCTAAGTTAGACTAGGATCTATCATCGTTATAAGTTTCATAACAATGGCTTCATCCATTCTTGAGATATCTTGCGAACAAATTCGAGGAAGAATGAATAATAATAAAGAAAAATCTTCACGAAATCAAAAGGTGATACGTATAACTACTTAAATATCACCTAATAAAGACAAATCTTGACGATATATGTAGTTGATAAATATAACTACGTACGTATCACCTAATGATAACCGTAGCACTTTGCCTCTATTATTGGTGAAAAAATGTCCAGAGTAATTGTCGCAGGAGAAATTGAATATGGAGCAAAACATGTTGGAACATCACTAGTTTTAAAACTGACCTATGACAGGGCCTTCACCGTAGATTTCCATACGAAGACTGATGTAGCCGAACCACTTGACAGGCATCAAGCGGACATAGCGGCAAATCTGGGGTACAGGAAGAATGTTGGTCACGATGGTGTTGCGGTCAACATTACCGGTGAAGATCTTCAATGAAAAAGGAAAATGAATCCACTTTTGAATGAATTATGACTCAAATGATTCTGCGGTCAATTTTAAACTAAAGAGAAACGAAATGACAAGCATGCTGAATAATACATATTTTTGCATGTCCAGTGCCTGTCCATTCGTTTCTATTTGAAGTTTTATTCTGATGACATCAATTTCTAGTTTTCGAGACTTAGTAATAAAATAGGAAGACACATGATATGGATTGAAGATTTTTTGCTTGAAGAGCATTACTTGCTCTGACAATCCTACCTAATAGGTTTTTCCTCTTATACTTTGTGTAACTAAGCAAAATAGTATATACTTCACCTAAACTGTATATGTGTTCCTGAGGTAACGATTGCCTTTTTCTTTAAAAGAAAGTATCGTAACATAACAATATTTTAATTGTTATCAAAAAGATATTAAATTCCTTCAAATTCCTACAAGAATGGAGTCAATGTAATATTTAAAAAATGAATAATCAGAGAACAAACCAATACCTTGTCATATGCAGGGTTTGTGGAGATGTCCTGTACGGTGTGAAAGGTCGTGCCATCAGTACTACAAGCAAGCTTGTAGCTTTTTACCCACTGGCTGGAATCTTGTCGCCCTTGAGTCGCAACTGAAGTGATACGGTAAAGGTCTAAAAGATCCACCTTTTAGAAAGAAAAAGAATCGGAGGAAGCATTCTTGATGTTCATCCTCTTGGATCATCTATTTCTTTCTATCTCCATGACAAAACTTTGAACCAATGTGCATGTTCTCAAATGTGTTAAATCTATATGATTAAAATAATACAAATACTAATAACGGTTCCTTTCTTTGCACATATCAATGACATTACCATGGTTTTACGCAGCTCTGCCCCTCCAAGGACAATGTTTAAGTTAGAAGTTCTCCACATTGATGCTTCAATTGCCGATCTCATTTCTGAGCAATATCGAACAATTAGATTAAAGCCCTTAAAAATGAAAGCAATTGTTGACTTGGATGTGAATAATAATTGACAATCTTATAGTAGCTTTACCTACATAGTTAAGAGAAAATCTACGAACCCATATGTCACCTCGAAAAGTGGCTAATAAAAACAATTTTAACAGTGTAAGTGAATAGTGCCATAGAAATGACTAGTGACTCTTTCATTGTTGACCTGGTGTCGGCGGTAGAATATGAACCCATATGCCATTTAACTGACTGTTGACTCTTTCGTTACTGACATGGTGGTAGCAGTGGAATATAAATTCATGCCATGCATATAAATGACGGGTGACTCACATTATACAGGGCGTATCATAATAAAGGATATTGAAGTTTAATGACGATTTATATGAAAACTACTGATCTCATAATCAAGCATTTTATGTCTGTTGTAAAGGACAGAATGTCCTCTTTTTAATGACACCCCGATCATACTACTACTGTCATAGTTGACTGAATAACAAAGCATTGCTGTCCACCATGTGAAAGGTGCACTGTGCCAAGTTTGATAACATTTCCTTCTTAGACACATAATCCACTCATTGTTCAGCATTTCAATATGTCTGGGCTGACACAAGCACTAATCTTTAGAATTTATCTGTGAATGCTAACTTGTCACGGTGCACCTTTCACATGGTGGACAGCAATGCTTTGTTATTCAGTCAACTGTGACAGTAGAAGTATGATTGGGGTGTTATTAAAAAGAGGACATTCTGTCCTTTACAACAGACATAAGTGCTTGATTATGAAATCAGTAGTTTTCATATAAATCGTCATTAAACTTCAATATCCTTTATTATGATACGCCCTGTATACTTTGTGGCAGTGTATGGAAATTTGACTGTTGACCCTTTCATTACTGATACGGTGGCAGCAGTGGGGTATGAACCCATGCCATAGAAATAAGGGTTGCCTAATGTTTCGTGTCCAAATTGTCCTTAAGAAATTATTTGTTTACCTGGATCCACTGGTTGGCATCATTTGTTCGTGCAATCCAGGGTGCCTTCAGGTTCCCTTCTCGGACCAGGTTAAGACGACCTCTCTTTGCAGCATAGTCAGCACTAAACTCACTAGAAGCTGTCAGACTTGAATCTGGGATGATATAACTCTCAAGTCCCAGAGGGCCAGGTCCATTCAAGATGGCTGTAAGTTAATGCGTGACAATGTATAGCAAAATCTAGGAAGTGGTGGACATACAATATACAAGTATGTAGTTACAATCTGGGCATGAGCAGAAAAAAGGATTATTTGTAAGAATTGTAAGGCCCTCTCCAAGACAAGTATTGATATTTGTTCATGAATAAACAAGCAAAGCATTCTATGTTCTACAGGTTGATGTGTTCCTGTGAAATGAGGGGAGTCAAAAGCTATTCGAGGAGACCTATCCATGTTTAAAACATCCTTAGATATATATATATATATATATATATATATATATATATGGAGGCATTTTGATCCAGTCAACTTATAGTGGAAAGTGCGGCCATTCCTTGAATGGCGTTCTAAACAAACCATATTAGAATAACCTTTTTAGTCTGGGGACATATGGCTTCATGCCTTAGAAGAGATAGAGTTCAAGCAATTACTGAAGTAAGGTTTTTGGTTGATCGAAGTGGTATTTTTATCAGAGCATGTTTCATAAAACCATGAGTCCCCTTAAATGTTTACATCTAGATGAATAATAGATTAATGAACTAGATTGACCACAACTTTACTGGGCTATACACAGTAGTCTTTACTAGTTAAACTACATTGTAGAATACGGCTATGATTGGCTGTAGATCAAAGTTCTTTCGGAAATGAGCGTCTAGATTCAGACAAAAAACCCTCTAACTACTATCCCCTGGACAACCTACCTACTAGCCAGGACAATGCACCCTTGGACATGTATCCAAACATATATTCTGACTTGGTCTATCATCCCCTGTACAAGCTACCCACAAGGATGATGCACCATTTGACATGCATCCCCACATACTACTCTGACTTGTTCTACAACCTAGCCACTAAGACAATGCACCCGTGGAGATGTATCCACACAGACTACTCTGTCATCCCCTAAATCAATATTCCCTGGAACGATTGCCTCTAGACATCTATATCTTTAGGATTTCCATCTCCTAGGGCAGTGTACCCCTACCACATTCCCATCAGATATCTAGGATTATAGACCCTTGGTGAACCTGACCTTAACAGGTGTCTGGTGCACACTGTCCTAACATTTTAACTCTGGACAAAAACAAATTCGAAATTTACCCAGGGGGACTGTGGTACATGCAAAGAGATCTTCAAAAATGTCAATCTCAACCCTCTCTTAAAAACAGAATGAGGAGCCTTGCCTTAAAGGTAAATTTCAGTATTGGAAACGCCCCAATTTAAAAAAATTAACCGGAAGCTCTTTATTACCAATCATGTGAAAGAATATGTTTTGACTAATACATGATGATAACATTTTTGCCGGGAAACCGCCTACTAATTGATATATTTTTTTAATTAGTTTATCTATTGGACTGTGAGAGATAAACGCACGTGTCGCGCACGTGTGTGTAGTCCCACATACATCTTTCTGTGTACAGTGCTTGTAACTTTACGAAGACTGGGCCAAATTTCTTATCATTTTGATGATTCCAGTACCTTGCAATACACACCAATACTTATATGCTAGATAATCATCATTTTCTGATCGATTCCACAACGTTTCTTTCACAATGCAAACGCATGACCATAACTGGTCTTTATCTTTAAGTCAATTGCCTTTTACAAATCGGATTCTTTGGTATAACAACCCTCCACACCAAATGCGATAATAATATGATAACAGAAGTCTTAACTTCAATCCTTAAAGGCCCACTGCACTACTTGTAGCTACTTGCGCCCTCTATATAACAAACCATGCCTAATCGGTGACCATTGGTCCCCCATGATCCTCTTTTTCTTATGTTAACTGAGAGCTGAGTTGATGAGATAACCACCTGTCGAGTGACCTTGCAGGGCAGTCTAATCCCTCCTGTAAACTATGGCAGATACGCTTTAAACAAGAACTATGTCTTACTCTATCTCTGAACCTAACCTAAAACTCAACTAGACTTGAATTCGTCACTCGACGAATAAGGTGATACGTATTCACGCATTTTCACGATTTCATCTTTCGTTATGAAATACTCCTCCTATTAGATGTAGTATAATTAGCCTCATTAGTGTAATAATCGGATTAGCATATAATTATGTGCAGTATGTAATATTATTGCTAAATAAATCTTAAATCCAGGATGCCTTAAGCATGGATGGTATATGACTCTCACATGGCTTTCCATTGCGAGGAATTCATTTCTGACACCATTTTTTAAAAGTAATGCAATTGTCTTAAAGATGAAGTTGAGTTCTGGTCATGCGATTGCATTGTGAAAGAAACGGTGTGGAATCGACCAGAAAAGGTTGATCATCTAGCATATAAGAATTTGTGTGTATTGCAAGGTTCTGGAATCATCAAAATGATAAGAAATTTGGCCAAGTCTTGGTAAAGTTACAAACACTTGCACAGAAAGATGTATATGGGACTACACGAACACGTGGCCTAAAAAGCCGCCCCCCCCCGATTTTTACCATGTTACATGCATATTTAGAATATGAAGGCATTTGAAGAGCCATGCTTTTCAGGGAACATGTCTTAAGTGATGTTCTTCCACACTTGCATAATAAGAATGAGTAATGCTCACAAATTATTTTTCACCTCTTCCCAGAACTCAACCTTCTCTTTAAATAGCATATTGAGCATGTAGATTTAGTATAATAAGCCTAATTAACATAACCCAACCATTAAGAGTGTTGCAGTACTTTTATTTGTATACACTTGTGTAGAAAAGCCAAAATCGCCAGGATATTTAATTTAGCCTTCTTTACTAAATTAACTCCAGGGCCCCCTCCCCTGGAAAAACCCCAGATAAAAACACGTTACCTTTATCGGGAGAAGGGCCCCCTCCCATGGTGCTAAAGAGTGAGGGGGGGGGGGGAGGTGCGATTTTCAAATTTTCAAGGGCAAACAAAGAAATTAGTGCTCACTACCAACTGCCGAACATGTAGAAACCCTTGACAAAGCCAGGCAAGATCTCCAGGATACATACTATGAGGAGCAGTCAAATTACATGGCTAAAAATGTACTGAGATATAGATTGGTGCAGTCCAATAGCAAACTAGGAAAGTAAGGGATATTGTGAAAGAGATCACTGAAAAATGGGCCTCGACCCATCAAGTGGATAAGCGTAGACGTTAAAACACCCCAAGAGAGACTAAACCAGTGGAAAGATCACTTTTCGAATCTTCTTGATCAACCTCCTCCAGATAACAACAACTCAGTAAGGAAGATGGTCCAAGATACATTCCCAATCAACAACCAAAAAAAACTACCATTAATCAGAACTAAAAGTGGCAGTTACCTCCCTCTCCATTAATAAATGCCAAGGTGTGGATGAAATCCCAGCAGAGGTAAGGAAGTCTGATGCCCTTGACCAACAGCTTTTGGCAGTATGTAACAGAACGCTTATCCATGGATAGGAACCAGACTTGTTGTCTAGGAGCATAATCATCCCTGTACCCCAAAAAGGAGATATCAGTACCCCCTCGAAACTACCGTGATATAGCACTGACCCCAGTAGCTGCAAAACTATTCATCAAAATGCTTTTGAAAAGAATCCGTCCTCACCTGGAACCCCTTCTCGGCAAGAACCAGAATGGATTCCGTCCAGGAAGATATACAGCAGCGCAAATTCTAACTTTGCGAAGTCTGGTGGAAGGTGTTAAAGGAAAGCATCTGACAGCAGTGCTTACGTTCGTGGATTTCAAGAAGGCCTTCGATTCAATCAATAGGAAGAAGATGTTAGAGATCTTAAGAGCCTACGGAATACCACACACAATAGTTACAGCAGTAGGGGTGATGTACAAAGATACCACAGCTCAAGTTCATTCACCAGATGGAGAGACTGACTCCTTTACCATCTTATCAGGAGTGCTCCAAGGAGATACCTTAGCACCATACCTATTTCTCATAGCATGGGATTATGCTCTAAGAATGGCTACTGAAGGGTTCGAGGAACTAGGCTTCACCCCAGAAGAAAGGAAAAGTAGCAGATATCCTTCTGTAAAGATCACCGACTTTGCATATGATATTGCAATAATTTCAGACAATCTGGAAAAGGCACAGAAGCTCCCAGAACAAGCAGCAAGCCAAGTCGGTCCACCAAAAAATAGTACTAAGACAGAATTCATGATGTACAAGCTTCGTGAAGCCGAGATTGGTACTGCTGACAAGACAAAGTTGAAGCAGGTCCAACACTTCTAGTACCTTGGCTCATGGGTTGATCAGTCAAAACAAGATCTGAATATCCGAAAGGTGAAAGCCTGGACGGCTTTGAACAAGCTGACAGCCATTTCCAGGCTTTCTACATGACGAATGATAATGAAGTCCATATATTGAACATATGCGAATAAGCTCATTATGCTCATTATGCTATTGAAGACAATTTCATTACTTAAAAAATGAAACCTGGTGTCATAAATGAATTCCTCGCCATGCAAAATCCCTGTAAAATCATATTGTTCATGTTTTAAGGCTTTGTGGATTAAGATTAGCAACATTGATACATATTGCACATAGGCTAATTATATGATTATGCTAAATTAGGCTATAACGAAAATTCTTCAAGGTTGACATGCTGGCAACCAAGCTGAATTTACTTCGATACCCATCTAGAACACGAATCAACAACAAATCCTTGTACTTTACAACTTTTCCAGGTCTGAACAAACTACCGGACTAATATATGTAGAACATGACGGGTAGAGCATTTCATGAAATGAGATCAAATTGTGAAAATGCATTCCTCATTATGTCAATAAGGGTCGAAGCTGTAACTAGTTTAATTTTAAATGGTCAATGGTCCATGTTGTCTCAATCTATCTCCCATAATTCCATAATGATCAAGGCTACACAGTTGAAACTTGATTATGAATAGACCATAATGGGAGGAGCATTTTATAACGTAATATAAACTCGTGAAAATACATTCTTCATTATGTAAAACATGAGCATACGTATCACCTAATTCGTCAAAGTGACGAATAATGGTATCTATAGAACATCGTTCTGTAATTGAGTTTTCCTGATTAAACCATTACCAGTAATGAATGCAATTTAAAATGATTCACATCAGAACATGACACGAACATGAATACACGGGACTAACCAATCACACTTTCGTTATATAACATTGTTTCCCCATTAAAGCTCTTTGGTATACTTGGGGAACACGATTTTTATTCCTTCATATTTGGATAGAGTATGAGTCGGAGATATGATTTCATGTCTCATTTGGCCGTTAAGTACAACGTGACGTCATCATAATAGCCTTGGAACTCAAAATACGAATATGCATATTATGACGTCAGCATATTTATGGGATATCGATTGTATCTCCGTAAATTTTGATGGTTTTCTTTCAAATTTGAATATGTTGTAGCGGAGATGATTTTCTACAAGATCATTGTTCACCACTTTTCATTTTGATGACGTCATCATAATGAACATTCAATTAAATGCGACAGGTCAGATTTTTCTTAATTTGCGTGTTATCCTAGGAAAGGTGAATTTCGTTCACATCATGAATTTACATGAAATTGTTCTTTGAGCAGTATCTCGCTTTTGTTTTGCTTTATTTTCTCCTAAACGTTGGTATACTTTCGCTGGGACTATGGACTATCAGAAGCCAGCCATTTTTGTCACTCAGATGTAGGGATCATGTCTTAATTTTCAAATGAATAGACCATAATGGGAGGAGCATTTTATAACGTAATGTAAAACCGTGAAAATGCATTCTCCGTAATATGTAAAACATTATCATACGTATCACCTAATTCGTCAAAGTGACGAATTCAAGTCTAGTTTGATAACAGAGTTATACCATCAGAAACTCACAAACTATTTTTTGCAACATTGTATCACCCATTTCAATCCTCAGCTCTGCCCGGTGGGACACGGTGCCCTCCCTCTGCTCTTTTCACTGACAATGCAGGGGTCTAGCCCAGTCAGCACATGATTATCATGAGCTCTAGCATCCGAGGCCACTAGGCCCCTGGCCACACGGGCAGCCAATGAGACTAAAGGGTGATAACTAAGTAAGTTGGGATGTATATACAAATAAAATATTCATCATGGATTTAGTAAAATAATCTTATACAACTTAAGGAAATACTGGGTTATAGCTGGAATAGGTAAGTCTTAAGACGATCTTTAAAGGTGGATTATGTTGCAATACAGCGACATGATGGGGGAAACTTATTCCATAATTTGGGTGCTGCATGCGAAAAAGCAGTGTCTCCCCATGAATGATTGGTATGGGGAAATTGCAGCAAATGATCACTTCCAGATCGATTTGGATTGTAGGGATGTAGTGAGTCTTTAATATATTGTGGCGACATTCCATGGAGGGCCCGATAAACAAGTTAGATAATTTTGTAGTGGACCCTTTTCTGGACAGGTAGCCAGGGAAGAGAGCGTAGTCATCATCATCATCGATATAGGAGTGAGGTAGTCCTATAGATCTCCCAGTCGTCTTACAAGATATAACAGTTTGACACAGATCGACAGTTTGCGACTTGAAACGTAGTGCAGAATGCGTGGATGTCAGGTTACATGAAGCATTTTTAGCAAGCCAGTGTTTATCTAGACCAGTCTTAAAAATACCTTGGTTACATGCATGCAGTGACTCGAGATTCTGGCAGTTTATTCCATAGCTCGATAGCACGTTTACTGAAGAAACAGCCTCTGACGTTACGCTTGCGATGACTATTAAACAGTTTAAACGGATGTCCCCGAGTGAATTGGTACTCTGGTCTCTTGAACGAATGTTCTGGATTAAGTCTGTCAATACCATGAAGTATTTTATAAACCTGTATCATATCAGCCCTCTCACGCCGGTAGCGAAGTGAGAATAGATTGAGTTTTGTTAAGCCTTTCAGGATAGGATTATAAACTCATACCAGGAATAATTATTGTTGCTCTCCGTTGCAGCTTCAATCTTACAGTCAGCTTTTATGAAACAGGGATTCCATGGTACCGTACAATATTCAAGATGTGGATGTACCAGAGTTGTGTACAGAGGTATGAAGATGTCCTGGTTGGTATTGACAAAAGGTCTTAATAAAGGCCTAATAGAGGACATTCTTGGTGTGAAAGTAAGGAGTCTTACACTGGAATTTTGGAGGGATTGCAGTCTGTATTGCTGCTGTTTGGTGAGTCCAAACAAAATATAATAACAACAGTCTAAGCGAGATGAGATAAATGCATGCATTAATTGTTCACATGCTTGTTGAGTCAAAGATTGTCGTATAAACACAGGGTTCCGCAGTTGATATCTCACAGACTTTGATATGCTAAATGCACGTTCAATAAATGACATATTATTGTCAAATATCACATTAAGGTTACGACCATTTGAGGCTAGCTTTTTAACTTTGCCACCTATACATGCAACCCTAAATGAATATGATTAGTATACGCAATAGGCCCTACATGCATTGTATCTGTTCCTGACAATACGTACTCACACGACCAGGGTGTGTTTCACGAAGACAAAGATCAAATTTAAGTTGGAATTAACTACGGCAGGCCGTTCATGCCACTGTTAACTCTCACCGTTTACTGGCATTGGTCTCTCAAGGGACGTACAATTCATGGTCACAAATCTACAGAAATTACATTTTTTGATAATTCATTATTGAAGGAAATAATATTATCTAAAGATCATAATGGTGAGAGCAAACAGTGGCATGAACGGCCTGCCATAGTTAAGTCCAACTTAAAGATAAACTCCAGTTCTGGTAAAAAAAGAAAATAAAATTAATTCTCACAGAATCAAACGAAACTTACACTGAATGTTGAAGATTACAAATAAATGACATGTGCCAAACAACTTTGGAAGAAAATATATACTGGCTGAGTAATGAGCATAGAAAGACAAGGAAATCAAGGTAGTACTAGCCCCGACACCATGTGTGTTGTCCCATATATAGCTTTCTGTGTACAGTGCTTGTTACTTTACCAAGACTCGGTCAAATTTATTATGATTTTGATGACTCCAGAACCTTGCAGTGCACACAAATACTTACATGCTACATGATCAACTGTTTCTGATCCTTTCCACACCTTTTCTTTCACAATGCAATCGCATTACTAGTACTAAAGCTTATCTTTAAAGTCGATCTTAGAGGCTGTTCACACCGGCAGAGATAGCGGGGTCTAGCGCGCTAGACCGCGCTATCTCTGCGGTGTGGAAGGTACAACGTCGTTTCGGTCCGCCCAACAGCGAGCCAAGGCGAGCGAAAACGGCGTGCCACTGGAGCACCTCTTGGCGGTGGTCCACGAGAAATAGCGCGGTATAGCGCGCGCTAAACCACGCTATCCCTGCCGGTGTGAACCCGAGCTACGATAACCCTCACCATTTACTGGCATTGGTCTCTCAAGGGACGTACAATTCATGGTCACAAATCTACAGAAATTACATTTTTTGATAATTCATTATTGAAAGAAATAATATTATCTAAAGATCATAATGGTGAGAGCAAACCGTGGCATGAACGGCCTGCCATAGTTAGGTCCAACTTAAAGTCGATCTTAGTCTTTGTGAAACACTCCCCTGGAGGAACTGGGCTACCCTTCGATCAATACACATTAGATATTGTAATAAAGTGTCAAATTATATAGGGTCTGTGCTTGCCGAATTAATCTACTTTCGTTTTTCCAAATTGGCTAACACAAATTGGCTAAATATACCAGGGAGTACTTAATTTATAACATTTGTTACGTTATTCCGAAGGTTCATTGTTCAGAAGGCTTTTAATTTCGAAAAAAAATATGGTTCACTATTCTGAATGTTGGTATTCCGCACGAAATTAAAAACAAACCCAGCGGTCTATGACATTTTTGGAAATATGACCATTCGGAATAATAAAGCCTATTTCATTTTCTTCTTTACGATGCTTATTTCATCTTCGAAATTAAGACCCTTCCAGTTTTTTAACTTTTGGAGTAACGAACCTTTAGAATTATAGACGCCCAGAATAAACGAATCTTCGGAATAATCCACAAAACTGTTCAAAACTTAAAAACCAAACGCGACGACTACTGGATAGGAGTTCATGAAAGTTGTGTAAACGTTTTCTTATGCATCGGCGGTACATTCTGCGATACACACTCAGGTGGAGTCCTTACTTTCAAGAGGGCATAGAAAAGGTAATCACAAAGCACTACCATCACTTTGGCAGTAATTATTCTGAAATGCACTGAAAAGTGGGACGTCTCCATATGTTGTAAGAGATCTGTGGATATTTTGGGTAATTTGTACAAGTCCTAACTATTCGGGGTTCTATCCGGGGTGCGTTATAATTTACCTTCGGACACAAAACGACACGCAACATTTTACTCAATAGTTGATTACGTATAAGTTTGGTTTCTCTTCGAATTCTGTGATTTTGTAAGAGCTATGGTACTTTTGCTTTAAGCGCTCCTAAATAATCGACAATATTAGTAGTCGTAAAAGCAGCGTTTCAAAAATATCAAACTTCATTCTAAATTTTATAGTTTATAGTGCAAACCCCCAAATACCTTCTCGTTATTTCTATGATTATCATAAGTGATTTTTAATGATTGATTTAATGCAATAGACCATTGAGTTTTAAACTGGACAAAAATTGACTAGCTTTCGTAGATGGCCCCAAATTAGTTATTGTCATGCTGAAATGAAACGTATCTAAAATTTTGGCAGTAGATGGATGAATGAAAATTGAATGAAAGAAATGTATACCTTACCATCATTAGAGAAGACGCTTGCCACACTGAGGCAGAGAAGAAGCGAGAGTATAATAGTGTAGCCTTCCATCATAGCACGATTCATCCAGGACCCTCGGGTAGGATGTATCGATGAAAAGTGTTGTTAATTCTTGAAGGAGGTGCGATTTTATAGAGACATGATAACAAAAAGAGGCTCTCCTTCAGAGATTTGAAAGGATTCGAAATATTTACCCCCACCCCCTTTCTCGTTAACCAGTCGACCGTGGTGGCTGTTACAAAACTGGATCAAAGAATAAGTACCTGGACCCTGTTATTATAAAACTTGTTATCAGAAAGAAACAACAACGTTTTCAAAAGCTTCTCTAATAATTCTTTCACAAAATCTCCCGTCGGCTGTGAAAACATCATTCATTTCTTTCGGGAATTTAAACAAATAGAACGGTCTAGCGATTAGCCAATAGCCAAAATAGTTTCTTTTTTATTCTGTTTTAATCAAGGACAGTATCTCTTAATCAACTTTAAAAATTGTTTTTCAAAATTCATGGCTCAGGAGGATCTGTTCTTTTTAGAGGACCTATAATATATTTTTAGTAGTGCCTCCAGGGAGAAGGAACTTACGAGAAAAACAAAAATTAGTGATATTTTTGTACACGACAAATAGGAGATTTATTCACCATCTTACGTCACAAATGTCGTGGGGTCCAGTGCCAAAGCCCCGGCGGGGGTTTAAGGGCGGAACCCCCGAAAGCTCAGGGGTTTTATGCATTTAATTACGGTCAGATGAGCATATCTTGATACCTTATTTGTGACACCTGCAGGTTGCTAATTGGCTTGGGGTACAGGGGCGGAGCCCCAAGAGCTCAGGGGTTTTAAGACAATAATTTAGGGTCCGATGAACATCCAGGGGTCCGCCTTAATGCCCTTGTGGTGTCCAGAGGCATGGCCTTGGGGGTTTTAGGCATTTAATTACAGTCAGATGAGCATATTTGTATACCTTATTTCTGACACTGGCAGGTCGCTGTTCTTTCTTTCTTTCTTTCTATTTCTCTTTTTCAAAAAAGTGAGGGGTTTCGAGCCCTCCGAGCACCACCGTTCCGCAGGTCATGACATGTAGGCTTCTAAATAAGCATATTTTTTTGCCCGATTGTAAATTCGAGAATAAGTCATTTTCAAACAAACACATACAAAAGTATAGACTATAAAAAAAGTGAGAAAAATCCCGGAAAATCATCAACATTTGTAAATCACTTGTATCGAATTAGAAATAAACCCCGTTTGAATTTTATTTGGGAGGGTCTAATCCCGGAAAATCATGTCATTTCAGCAACATTTCTATATCACTCGAATCGAATTAGGTCGAAATAAACCACGTTTGAATTTTATTTAGGGGGTCGAAACTTTGTAAATTTCGGATTGTATTATGTTACATAATTATAAGCTACGGAAAACGTGGAATTTAAATGGCTGTAAGGATTTTTTTCTTCATAGAAATGTGACCCAGTGATCTGCTGTCTATAAGATAAATAGGGAAAATATTTCGAATTCTTTCAAATATCTGAAGGAAATGATCCTTTGGTAATATTTCACCATACAAACGTACATCGTTCAGGAATTAGCAACACTTTTCATCGAAACACCTAAGGTCCTGGTTGAATCGTACTATGATGAAAGGCTACACTATACTCTCGCTTTTTTTTTTTTTTTTACCTCAGTGTGGCAAGCTCCTTCTCTAATAATGGTAAGGTATACATTTCATAGATTCATTTTCATTCAATCATGTACCACTGGCTGATCGGGGGGGGGGGGGTTTGATTTATGTGACTTCAAGGAGGAAATTACACTCTCTATCCCTCGTGACGACTAATTTAATTTCTAAATTTAAAACAAATTCAAGAACCGCCTGGGGCTCCGCCCCCTAGACTCTTGGCAAAGACCCTGCCCTTGCACCCCATTCTTAAAGATAAAAGTAGTTTCCAAGACAAACTTTTGTTGTATAGAATTGGAAAGATTGTGAGTTATAAGTAGTTTAAGCTTCCAACAACCATTCCCATGGACTTTCTATTATAAGCGAGTTCGTAATTAGGATTTGCGCACGCAGGGGCAGATAAAGGTAATTTGTACCCAAATTGTAAAACCATTGAGACGAATACTCGGATCGTGCTCATGACAGTTATGTAATCAGTATTCAGTTATGCACCAACAGTGCATTTATCGGATACACAGGTGGAAGTATTCTTCTCAAGAGGCAAACAAAAGGTATTCATGAAGCACCTCCATCACTTCGGCAGTGATTATTCGAAAATGCACACGTTGGAAGTGTCCATCGTGTCAAAGATCTGTGGATATTTTGGGGTCAAACGTTCCAGAGCTATTTACGAACTCGCTTATTTACACAATTTCTTGATGTTTGCTGTCTCAAGATCACTGGACCGAAGAAAAGTAAAAATATAGCAAGAGTCCCTATTCAGTGAAGGATTAATCTTTTATATCAAGACGGATTTCTCTAACATTCTTGACCAGAAGTGCGTTTCATACTCAATGATTCGGGCATCATCCCATTGAATTTTGTGTCAAGTATTAAGGGCATGTTTTGCTATACTTGCTGCCTAATCTGAGGGCTTACAAAGAGCACACAATTTGAGCAGTGTAATTTAAATATCAAGGGATGGATTAGAGTTTATTCCTAAAATGAAATAAAAGGGCTATTTGACTTTCAAGAGCAATAACAACCATCCCACATAGCGCATGTACAGCGAAATGTCATCTCAAGATGCCCCTAAGCATTTCGGTATGAGCCAAAATTAAACTGACTGAATCTTTGTTCAGCACAACATGTACGACCACTCGGTAAAAGGGTCGGAAAATCAGACCATTACTTAGATGATTGCAATCACTTAAGTCGATTCTACAACTAATGGTTGTTATTATCTAAATTAGTAATGTCTTTCAAATGCCGTTGGAATTCAACCTTTTTATGTTTTGGCCTGCAAATGGAACAAAGTACCTTTAAAGACAATTTTATAGAACTTTTGTTTTCGTATTGCTGTACTTTCGTCCGCAGACTTCTTAGGCACATGTCGAGCCATCTCATTGGAAATGTAATCTGTAACTACGTGTAATTTCAAGTTTCATGTTCTTCCTTTTTTCTTTCTTTCTTTCTTTCTCTCTCTATCTCTCTCTCTCTCTCTCTCTTTTACCTCCATCCTCTATCCACTACTATTTTACATTATTCTCTCTTTCTCTTTTCATTTTTCCTTCCATCGTTCTCTCTACTCCCCATTTCCATTTGGTTAGGTCGCCAAAAGTGTTATGCAACAGGTCCTAGTGATTTCTATGAAACCTGTAAGGTCCGAAATGACACTTGTACTGAAAATAATGAGTCTTGTTTTGGTCTATACTAGTCCACCCCCTGCTGTGCACGATTTTGCTATCGTCTGGTAGAGTGCACTCCCAATAGCACACACACACACACACACACACACACATGCAGAATAGCCGTATTCCCTTTTCGGGGGAAGTGAATCACTGGGGTAAGTGAATCACTGGAGTAAGTGAATGAGCGCGGTAAGATGACATCTGTTGGTTATGTGAAGGGGTTGCGCATCAATACAAATCGTCCAGGACGTGGACTAGGTCTATACCTGATCCAAGGGCAATTATTACAGTTTTTATTAAAAATAAGTGAGCCACCAGTGCTTCCAGTAGTTTAAATAGAGTTTCCTGAAAAAGAACACCCATTTCACTGGAATTTGAAGGAATTTTCTTAAAACTCTCAAAATGCCTTTTACGTGAATTGTTTATTTGGATGAATCGCTTTAACGTTTGATCTATAATTATTGAGTGGGCTTATTTTGCTTTCTAATGGATCCGTACAAAATGGCAGAGCTTGAGGGGCCTGGATGCTCTCGAGTTTATTGTCTTGAAGAGAGAAAGAGAGGTTATTTCTAAAGTGAAATGAAAGGCGATTTTACGAGATGGAATGTTCAATCTGAGGGCTTTTCGTGCTCTTTGAGAAGAGCACAAAATGGGGGCAGTGCAATTTAAATTTAAATGGATGGATCAGAGTTTTATCGCTCTTGAAAGTTAAATAGCCCTTTCATGTCTTTATAGAAATAAACTCTAATCCATCCTTTGATATTTAAATTGCACTGCCCCACCTATTGTGTGCTCTTTTTAAGCTCTCAGAAGAAATAAACGCTTTTTCGCCGCAAGATTTAAATTTAAACTGCACTGCTCCACCTGTTGTGTGCTCTTTTTAAGCCCTCAGATTAGGCAACTAGTATAGCAGGATTAGCAGAACATGCCCTTAATACTGGACACAACATTCAATGGGATGACGAATCCAGTTTCCCCCCTCCCGGTCGAGGCGCGGAAGCTTTGATATTTCAATAAATTATTACTCTTAATCCTTGTCTAAATTCATTTTCGCCCCTCCCGCGCGAAGCGCTGAAGCTTTAACCCTAAAAGGCCGGGCTATTTGATGTCTTAGTACGGCCGGGGGGAGGGGGGGGGGCATAATGACCCCTTAAGATCTCGGCCGTGAAACGCGAAAAATTACACGCGAAAAATTACACGCATGTCAAGTGTAGTGTATAGAATAATTTGAAAATTTCACTCATTTGCATATTTATGGCAATTTATTTGCATATTTATGGCAATTTATGCAAATAAGGTCTTACATTCACCTTTTTTACCCATTAATCATATAATATTCATATTTAAGCATTCTTTTTAACCACATATATTCATTAGACCATTTGGGATAATAATACGACAATTTTGTTTAGATAAGCCAGCTTATTCCTTATTCTATCTCTTGTTTTGATAATTTCTTATTTTTTTTCATTGTTTTTTTAACGTATGCATTTTTTTTGTTTTTTTTTTGTTTTATTTCATTTCTTACTACAATTCAGCTATTTTGACCCCCAAAACAACCACCTAAACTTTAAACAAGACCCAATAACCAAATGTTTGATCCATTTTTAGGAAAAATGACATTTCCATATCTTTTGTACACAAATCACAAAAAAGGGCGATTTTCGGGCTGACACGCAAAGACAAAAGGTCACGTGACCTTGTAACTGTAAGTCTGATTTTCATTTTTTTTAAAGATGCGCAAGAAAAAGTCAGCGAGCGGCGGGGCGCCATCCATATGCATTCCTGAACAATCAGAAGAAAAAAAAACGTGGAGAAGGGGGGGGGGCATAATAATGCCCCCCGGGCTTATTAGGGTTAACGTTTCATTAAATT